GAGTTTTGTGGTGTGGGAAAAGACTTTTTTTTTTTTGGTGCAAGACCGCTGAATCGATGAACATGCTCGTTTGTGATTGCAGACCACAAGAAGTCATCATCTTCATTGTGGGGGGAGCGACGTACGAGGGTGAGCTCGAGGATGCGACATGCTGGATGCTGCGCCTATTTGTTGGCTGAAGATACACATTTTTTTTTTTTTTTGTTTTTTTTTTTTGTTTTTTTGTTTTTTGTTTTTATTTTGCGTATTGAATTTCAGAGGCGCGAAGCATAGCTCTGCTCAACTCTCAAGGGACGAGCGGGCCGGGTCTAGGCACTCGCTTCCTCTTGGGCGGAACGACGGTGCACAACAGTTCCACATTTCTCGATTTCGTTCAGGACACTGCATCTCGTTGTGGTCCTTCGATCACTCGAGCTGCACCGCCTCAAGGCGCACCTGCGGGCGCGCTTGGCACAGCCAGCAGCAGCAGCAACCCTTTGAACCTTGGTGTGCCCGCTGGACCGGAAATTGCACCGACGGCTGCCGGTGGACTGCTGGACCCGGGAAGGATTGGAGAAGCGGCGGAAGGCGCTAGAGATATTGCTAGAGGCATCTTTGGAAGGGTGCAGGGAGCGGTGCAGGGTTTGTAGTTTTAGCATCAGGGCTCTCGCGGACTAGTTTGCAAAAACCTTTTTTTTTTTTTTTTTGTTTTTTTTTTTTGTTTTTTTTTTTTTGCCAACATCTACACCTCATCGAGTCGGTGACGTTCCCTTTGCCACTACGAATGTTCCAGGCAATGCCGAGCTTGCGTTCGCGGCAGCGAGCGAAGAGTACCTGGCGCTTAGCAGCCATTACGTCATCATTCGGAAAGTTCTTCTTGATCATTCTCGATTTTGGCAGAATCGAGTAGAGATGACTTTTTACTTTTTTTCCCCCTCAAAGGAGTCCAAACTGGGACCCGTTTAATTTTTGAGGTTGAGGTGTGTTGGACCTGTGCGATGGCCATGTACAGAAGCCAGCACCTCCTTCGAGCTGAGCTGCGTTGACGAAAAAAAAAGGTTCTTTCCACGCAAGTCCAGAAAATCTTGCCACACCATGTACCACGCAACACGGCAGCACTATACCGGCATATCCGGCTGCCTGTGGCCTACCGCAGCCCCACTTCCCATGCAGCGCCACCTCTCCGCTCAGATGCACTCGTGACTGTCATGTGTTGCACCTGCATAGTCCATCATTTGTCATGACTGGTCATCCGCCTGCAATCTCTGCTTGTGCCCCGAGACGACGCATCGTCACGCTTTCTCGCAAAAGCGACAAACACTCCCAGGATACATGGTTTTGTTTTCTCGAACACGTGAGACTACGGAAGGGGAGGCGGGGTTGAGGGGGTCGAAGTGAAGTGTGATGGAGATTCAGGAGCAATGTGGGGTAACACGTCCGTGTGGCATGAAGATAGGTGAATGGGAGTGTTCGCGCTGAAGTTTGATGAGTTGAGTGAGGTGTGGGGGGGAGCGGGTGGCTGGTACCTCGTAGAGCCTTTCGGAACCTTGGACTTCCTCGTGCTAGCCACTTCCTGTCTACTTCTAGAGACGCAATCGTAGAGGTGCAAATGGAGTAGAGCACAACAGAAAATCCTTCATCTCGTCAATCCTTGACCCAATCTCTGACTTTGTATGTTCCGCTGGTCTCATCCATGACGAGGAGTCTGCTGATAGCCGTGAAATAAGCCTCGCTCTGTTCCGTCTTCATCTTCGATTTGAAAAGCCTGACCACTTCCTTCGAATGCTTCATTGCCGGATTGGCACGCACAGTGCGCACCACATCCAATTCTATCGACGTCAATTCCTTCCTGCTGCTGCTAGAAGTGCCGCCGCCGCCGCCGCCGACAATGCCGGAAGAGGGAGAGACGGCGCGAGAAGCGTTGGGAGATGTGCCCAGAGGGGAACCTCTACGCGATGCGTGCGCATTTGCACCCGCACTTGCGCCCGCATTCGAACCAGGTCCAGCCGTCGTCGTGCGTGCCCTCTTGCCTCGATCCTGAGTACTCAAAGCCATGTCAGAATGCGATACTGGCGCTTCGCTCTTGCGCTTGTTCGACGAATTGCGATCCGCCGTCGACGGCGTCGGGTTCGTGGGCGTTCTTGACATTGGGCCCGTCGCTCTGACACTCGAGCCTGCGCCTCCACTTCCACCCGCAACAGGGCTAGTAGATCTGCTGTTGGCTCTCGAATGTTTGTTCTGCCTGCTCGCGCTCGCAGAAGGGCTGGTAGCTCGTTGAGCCACACTAGCATGTCCAGCTCCAGGTTTATGCTTCTGTCCCATCACGATCGAGCCTGCGCCAGCCGATTTGTGCTTCTCCGTCCTTCCGCTCGGCGTCGCGTTGCCGCTCTTTGTGCCCGGAGGTGGTGTTTCTCTGCCAGGTGTGGAGACCGATGTCGAGCCGTTATTGCCGATGCCTCCCATAGCTTTCAACCTCTCCCTTTCCTCCTTATCGCGCTTCTCTCTCTCCTCGCGCACTTCCTGCAGCGCCTTCTCGGGATTGGCAACCGCGAGATCAGACTCGTCCGATTCCTGTATCATCGACGTGACGCAACGTTGTCAGCGTCTCATCGCGCAAAGTGCAGATCACGACAAACTCACATCGCTGAGGTAAGGGTTTTCTTCCTCTTCATACGCTTCATTGCCCATGTTTCTTGCTAGCGCTTTGACGATTCGATTCATCTGATTGTCGCTTCCCGTCAACATGTCGTCCTTTCTACTTCCTGGCCTCTTGGTAGACCCTCCAAACAAATCATCTTGCGGTGCAAAATCATCATCCTCGTCCTCGTCGGAGGCTTCAGCTTTGGCCATCTCTCTCTTCATTCTCTCCTCTAGCTCATGCGTCTCTTCATCGCCCAAATCGTACCCTTCCATCTCGTTGCGATCATCATCGTCCGCCATCTCTTCCTGAAAGTCTAGCTCGTCGTATCTGCCCTCGTTTGACTGATTGAAGAGCGAGGACACTGAAATGTCAGCTCCGCGCTAATCCTCTCGTTCGACAATGAGGACCACTCGCGCCGCTCACACTCACTTCGCGCCTTCTCCTGCCGCCCACCGGCTGCCTGCTACGGGTTTTCTTCTCCGAGCTGCTAGCGATAGCCGCGCTTAGGGTGCTCCCATTTGGCAAGAGCAAGTGCTTCCACTCGGGCACGCTATCGAGATCGTCTTCATCCCCACCAGGATCCTCCTTCTTCACTCCTCCACCGGTACGCCAAGAAGAGCTGGAAGGCTGATTGCGACGAGAGGAGCGCCCTTCAGCTCCAAGCGAGATGGATTCTTGTACTCGCAACATCCAACGCGACGCGCCATTATCTCGCGATTTTTGGTAGCGTTCGTACTATCATGCACGAGTTCATACGAAAATGGTCAGGACACTCCGACCATATCGGGCGTACAGCGCCGCGTGCTCACACGCGAGACCAATCACTCACCTCTCTCTCAACCTCTTCCGCCGAAAGAGTATTCGTGCTCTTCTGCAAGAATCTGTAGGTCTTGCTCAATGGAATGCACCTAAAGCCGCCTTCGCCAGCACTATCGAACACAAACAGCACATGATTGTTGGCGTCTCCGTTATCCCCTTCCAACTTGCCGAGCCAAGGAGAATGATTTGTCGTCTTGTTGTCGATCGAGCCTTTCACTTCCGTCTTGATTGCTGGTTCCAACGTTTCGGCGGGCTCCCTTTTCACTTGCCCGCCAGAATCGGCGCTGATATTGATAGTGCTCATACCATCTCCGGTGGGAGCCTCGGTGAGCGGCTCTTGCACAAACCGAACATTGCTCTTTTCTCCTCTTTCAAATTTTTCCACCTCTTCTCGAAGAGCGGCCAGGCCGCTGGGATTGAGCGTCCTGCTACTCTCCCACTCCTTGGACGTCTCTTGATCTTCCAAGATCCAAGGTAACCTCTCATCATTCCACGTTTTGCGCGACGAAGATGCTGCCTTATGAACTTCCCTGACCCGCTTCTTGAAGAGCTGAGTTTTGTTGCGTTGGGCTGCGTTGCTCGAGGTGGGAGCTATCTGGGAGACATCTACTTGACTCGTTCTAGCATCGAAAGGGAAGCGAGCAGACGTGCATCAGTATAGTGTGTGAGCGACCAAGGAGAGGCGGACCTTCGATATGCCGCATACAAGCACGAAGCGATTGACTTACTTTTCCTCCTTGCCCTTGTCTAGCCAAGCCTTGACCTGATCCAATTCTTGCCGATTCCTGGGCCACCTCAACGGGGACTTGCCATCATCTCCCAAACCGAGAATCGGTCTACCATACTTGTCCGGTATCACATCCCCCGGGTTAGGTCTTGGAGCTTTCAGCTTTGGTAGAAGTTTTCTATTCAATCGAAGTGGTTGAGAGAATCTTTCCGCTGAGCTGAGATCGATGGAGGCATTGGAGACCAATTTGAGGAGGTGCGTCTTCACCTTTGCTTCTCCCTTCTGATCGGTAGAAGTATCAAAGAGGGAGCTGGCATTGGACAAAGAGAGCAGAGGAATATCTCGATATTCTGTCGGTGGAGGAGGAGACTTGGGCCGCTGAGCTGTGTTGGAGAGAGATGAGGAAGACGCTTTCGCCTTGGAGGTGGAGAATGCAGCAGGTTGCTTAGCATCCACATCCATGGGCGTTGCGCTGCCTCTCACACTCGCTTGCTTGGACGCGTGCTCGCTTTTGGGCGCCATCTCGAGCGACGGAGATCGTGAACTGCTCGGCAGCAGTGTCGGGCAGGCTTCTCTGAGGTGTGAGGCGAGCCTATCAAGAGACTGATGGCTCGTGCTGTACGGCTGTACGCTGAGGCCTCAGCCTGCAGTGTGTGCTCAGCTCAGCCTGTCAGATACAGCTAGGATGAGGACCAGAATGTAGTGGATGGTGGACTGATCGCGCGTGCTTAGGAGCATCCAGTCTCGTGGTACTCGAGTTGCGCAGAGGTCATCCTGAGTCTGAGTTGGGAGTGTCGATGTGGATATCGTCCGCTTCGAAGCCTCGCTGTGCTGTGCTGTGCTGTGCTGTGCTGTGCCTGATGCCGTCAGCGGAAGATGTACGAATGCGATCAGCTGGCATGAGCGAGAGCGTCAGAGGGCTGAGTAACGGCGGACACATATGTTGTATGCAGCGCACACAACTCAGACTCAAGACTCGCGCGATGCACATTGACTGTGACGCTCGATATGGTCGCCTGCCTTCGGCCGATCAAATCCTCACTCACAATGCTCACAATGCGCGTCCCACTCCACCGTGGGTGTGCGTGCGAGCATGCATGCTGCTTGTAAGCATCCATTCATTCATTGGTGATTCTTGATTCACTCATTCATGTCATTCATGGCACTCAAAACTCGTGACTAGCGCCGCCGGCGTCCTATCCCGTATCTGGTACTCAAGACTGTGACTGTGTAGATGCCACGAGGATCAAGAGGAAGTCAAGATTGCTTGCCCCTCTTCCCTCGCCAAAACCTCCCGGCATCCAGCTACTTTGTGATTCTGCTCCCACTCTTCATCATCGCGCCTTGGCGAAAGTGTCCAGTCCACCCTTTTCAACAATCTTCGAGCACCTTCTTGACTGTATTCGCGATCTGGAGTCACCATGGACGCGCTAGACGGAGACTCGGATCTCTCCGACTTGTCCGATGCTCCTTCCGCCTCCAAGTCTCCCTTGCAAGGCTCTGGCAAGCTCAACACATCGCCAGCCAAGACCCTGTCCAAGGCGCAACCAAGCAGAGCAACTAAGGCTGTCCCTGCTTCTACATCTGCCGCTTCAGCATCTGCCTTGACTTCTGCATCCGCATCCGCATCGCCCGAGCATGGTCGACGTAAAAGTCTAAGAGTGTCGGTGGATAGGGAAAAGGAGGCGACGGCTGCACTCTCCTCTCCAAGCAAGCCGGTCACGTACGGCAGGAACAAAGCCAGTCGACCCAGCAGGGTCAGTGTGAGGGGCAATGCGACACAGCCGGCCGAAGTGCCTGTGCCCCTTGACGCTCGCGACGCGGAGAGAGACGGGAGCGCTGAGCAACCAGCAGTGGAGAGGAGAAGGAGAAGCTCCGGTCGTATGTCTGCGCAAGATCTTCTTGGTGACAATCCGCCTGGGTCCAAGTCGGACGCGAAAGGCAAAACGACGAGCACGCCATCTAGGAGCAGCGCAAGGAAGAGCAAGCTGCAAGTGGATGTGCGGAAGGATGAGGAGAAGGAAGTTGCGCAGAGCATGGACAGCGCATCGCTCGAGGATCGGAATAGACTCAGCCCTCCTCTCACGCCTGGTCCTCCCGCTACGCCAGGCATGCCCGATCAAGCTCCTTCACGCTCCACATCTGCCAATTTTGCAGGCCCTGAATCCACAGAACATGCGGAACCAGTCAGCGTGTCCCAACGCAAGATCAAGCTCAAAAAGGGTCGTACGAGCACGGCCGATGCGGTGGACGGTGCCGTCAAGTCATCGAAGCCCATAGCTGAAGTCGAAGCTACAGAGACTTCGGCTGGAGTGTTGGCGCGCGACACACAGATGGACGACGCGCCGAGAAGTGCAAGAGGAAGAAGAATAAATGCTGGCAAGAACTTCGTGCTGGATAAGCAGAGGGCGTCTGATACTGCTTCTGCGCGCCTTTCTGCTGTGGGAAGAAGAGACTCGGCGGGTGGAAGCGCAAAGAAGAAGAGCGCAGCGAGGGAGACTGACAGGGAATCTCCTTTGAGAGAGGCGGATGGAACTGCAGAGCAGGAGAAGCGCAAGTTTAAGATCAAGCTCATCAGGAAGAACAAGGTCGGAGAGAATGGCGCTGTTTCAGAAGGCGGACAGAATACCTCGGCGTCAATGTCCGCCTCTCCTCTGAGCGACTTGTCTGATGCGGAAGCCAAAAGCGGAGCTTCTGAAGAGGAAGACGAAGGTCCAATGGTGTCCAAACGGCGATCGCGATCGAGTCTCGTCACTGGCAGACCAACTCAACGTGGCGCTCTCGTCTCCAGCGTAGATGCAGAGGCTCCTGCCATTCAATCAAAAGTAGCGTCAAAGAAAAAGAAGAAAAAGGTAGTAGATTCCGATTCGGATGGTGGGGATTATCAGGATGAAGAGGCGCGCCATGAGGGGATTGATTTGGAGATGGGTGTGGAAGAGTCGGATGAAGAGGATGCGTACGAAGAAGAAAGGGTGCCTGCGAAGCGCAAGAAAGCAAACAGAGAAGAAGCTCGACGCGGGCCTACTGGGCGAGGCGCAGCTCCTAGCGCGAGTAAGAAAAAGAGGGTAGAGTCGCTCTTTTCGGAGGAGGAAGGCGAAGAGAAAAAGCCTAGCAAGAGAGAGGTGGAGCAGGGGATGAAAAAGAAGAAGAGCATGAGCGGCTTGAAAGCCCCGTTGAACAATTCTGCCGTATCTACACCTACTTCGCACGGGGCTGGTGCTTCTAGGACTAGCACGACTGCACCAGGCGTGCTCCCTTTGCCTCGCAAAGCAGGCGGCCACCTAACGCAATCGATAGCCAGCGCATCCAGCACCCACGCGCCCACCTCCAACGCCTCGACCTCTACAGCGATAAAAAAGCCCTCGCTGCCAGCTCCGAGAAAAAGCGGAGGAATGGCAGCCTTTTCAAACATTTTTGGCGGGCTTCCTACGCAAGGCGGAACGAGTGCGAGCGGAACTCCCAATAAGAGCAGCGCTGCCTCCAATCAGGCCAACAAAGATTCTTCGGCATTGACTGGACAGAGAAAAGACCAAGCGGCGGCGGCGGCGGCGCAGAGAAGGAATGGGCAGAACGAAGAGAGGAAAGCAGGGACTGGCACGACTAGTATGAGTGGTTTGCCCAAACCGCTCGGCTTTGGAAGCTCTGCTACGACTTCAGTCTCGGGTGGTGCTGCGCTTGGTATGAGGTCAAATCATCGAATGGGCTTGGGCGGCAGACAAGCGACTAGTTGGGGAGCTAATGGAGAACATTTGACGTGAGTTTATGAGCAACATGCGTTCGTTGGAAGTTGATCACGTTTGGGGCATGCAGCGCTGATTTGTTGAAATGTGTGCACGGTAGCGAGGCTATGATCAGTCAGCGAAGAACTGAAGAGGTCCACAGGAACGCGAATCCTCAGGTGAGTGCGGGGCGGACGAGTCGATCAGCGATGCGTGCGGGAAATAGAGGAATCTCAAGGATCAGCATTACTAGGTATCCGCGCTGGGCCAGTTGTGCTCCTTGAATCATATCGGGGGCTCATGCGCAAATGTTCATCTTTGCGCATAACAGAACCTCTTTGATCTGCTCCTTCCTAGCGAGCTCCTCATCGACTGGGAGACGGAGACGAGAAGGTACTGCGCGAGCAGACCGGAGCAGTACAGGAGCTTCAAGGTTTCCAGAGGAGACAATGCTAGCTGGTTGATTGAGAAGATCAGGAGGGAACGTGCTCGAGATCGACAGAGGGAGAGGCAAGCGGGAGCTCCTCCTACTCCTGCGCCTGTTGCTGGAAGGGCGGCGGGATCTGAGGTTGCGAGCGGCACTGCAGCTGGCCCTCTCGTCTAGCCTATGCTCGACGATGTGCTTCATCTCGCGCAAATGGCAAAATTGTCATCAGAGAAACGGGGCAAGAGTAAGGTATCTTGCTCCCATCATTTCGCCTCCTCTCCTCTCTCCTCCACCATTCTCTCACAACATCAATCTCGACTTTGAACTGCTTCGCCCGCATACCTCCCTTCCAGAATTGTATTTTTTACAGCCATCGCCTGACATGCATCGATCCTCTTCGCTCGTCTTGCAAGAAGCGCTTCACCGACCTACGCCGGTGCTCGTCTTTGCGGATGCTTGTACGTAGCCTTGTGCTCAGCGACAGGCAAGAAGGGAGGAACAAGGCGGAAAGTCGCCTGTCGCAATGATTCGGAACCCGGCCAGAGCGGTGCATGCGCGCGTTTTGCCCGAGCGAGCTAATCACAGGTGTGCACGACCCGTTGCGGTACTGAGAAATAGCAATTCCTGCTCTTCTTCCCTCCGACGTAGCATTATGCGACAGACGGACAACGCAAAACACCTCGGGTGTGGAGAGTGAGTAAAGCAAGAGCAGACCTTTTGCATTACGTGGTCGATCGCGGCGCGCGACGTAGGCCTCGTGCGTCTCTCATCTCCCACTAGAACTCGTCGGATTGCCCAAAAGTTCCGGTTTGTTCCTAGCCATCCAGCTGTCCAAAGTTCTCCAAAATTGCGTAGAGAGCTGTTTATCCAAATGTCTCTTGTGTAGATCCACCTGTTGTAGCGCGTACGTCAAGAGCGAGCATCACAAAGTAGGGCAATGTATTCATTGATGCGTGAGCAAAGCGAGCACTCGCTGGAAAATTCCGAATGAGACGCAAGACTTACAACTAGCTCGGTCACGTTCCAATCTTTCACGTTGCCATTGCGCGACTCGTTGCTCCAGCGCACGTAAACTCCCATCACTTTTTGTCGTGCGTGACAAAGAGGTGCACCGGGAGAGTGGTCCGGAAGGCGTGGCGAGACGGAAGTTGCATGAGGTCAAGCAAGGGGAGAGTCGCGAGGGAGCGATGGGTCCGCGTCAGTGTGCCCTCCTCACAAGATCCGCAGCTTTTCTCCCAATCCCAACATCCATCTCTGTCAGGCAAGAGACCCTCCTCGCGATGGCCTCTCTATGCTACAAAGAGGATCCGAGTCTTGCACCTTCGCCACTCACCCTCTCTCCAAAGCGCCTTGGGATCTTGTGTCCTGTACCCTTTGAATTGCCACAATTGACCCGTAGTAAAGACCGCTACGACCCTATCCCAGGCGTCCTGCGCTCCGCTTCCCAATCTACCGAGCGCCTCTACGGAATCCACAACCAAGAACCGCTGTCCGCGCGCGGGGTTCGTGCTACCTCCCGCGCTCGCTGCAGATTTGTTGGAAGCAGCCGCACCGGCACTGGAAGAGATGGGATGGTAAAGACTGATCATACCTTCTATGCCAGGTGCCATCCCACCAGCTTTGGCTTCTTGCTGCGTTATGAAACGCGATTTGCCAAGAAGAGATTCGATGTTGGACAAGCCTACTAGGGCTGTAGGAGCGCTCGAAAGAAGAATGATCGGATCGCCCCTCCTTCTCTTTTGCGCGCCCGATGGATTGATGGAGCTATTGATGCCGCTTTGGGCACTTCGAGAAGCAGGCGCTTTGGATCCATTCGCTTTTTCCCCCACACCTCCTTGGGCGTTAGCGTGCGCCCCAGTGGCATTCTTCACGAGCCCGGAGATGCTTTCTCGAATGGAAGAGAAGTCGACCACGTTGCCTCCTACCGAGCCTCGAAGGACGTCGGAACGTGTGCGCAGATGTACCTCCAGACCAGAGGTGCGCAGACGCTTGACGAAGGCCGCATCGGTCGCGTTAGCAACGTAGGGACCTCGAGTCCGCTTCAGCGTGCTGCTGCTTCCCGCACTGCCCGCTCCTGCGCTGAGACCACCGCTGTAGAGTGCGACGACGGATGGAGGAGGTGAATCGGGCGGAGTGGTAGATGGGCCGGCTGGAGTGCACGTCAAGGAGGAAGAGGGTCAGTTGGCCGTCTCGCTCTATTTGTTTCGCCGATGCTGAGGATGCGGATGTCCTGCCCTGTTCTGCTCTACTGTGCGCACGATACCTTTGCTACTCACCGCTCTCCAAGGCCACTTTTCGCCTTTCCGCTTCTTCCTTGCTGAGCAGAAGCGGGCAACCTTCGGCCCTGATCAGATAAGCCAGGATGACGGGTCTGGTGGTAGCGTTCAAGAATCTGCCAGGCATCACCTTATTAGCCTTGAGCAGATATGCAGCATTGGATTCTTCCGGCTCCAACGCTGCAAAAACCAATATATCTAATGCAAGGAATAAATGAGGAGAAGATGAAGGGGTGTGAAGTGGATTGGAGGAGAGAATGGTAGGTCGATCTCTTGCGAGACGAGTGGGTGCGTCTCGAGGAAAGACATTGCTTGATGAGCCGATGGATAGGCGGATAGAGACGCTGGATGGGCCCGCGCTGACTGGCTGTCCCGACGAGTCTAGCCATTGTACACCGCTCCCTGCTTCTCCCCCTCTGAGAACCTCGAGCAGCGCGTCGAGCGCGTCGGGTGCGGTCGTCGCCGTCGACATGCTCGCAGCGCTCGAACCTTGGTGGTTAGATGCCAAGGCGAAGTGTTGAGTGTAGAAGACCCAGCCTCACCAGATCGGCAGACACGGGTTGCGATGAGATGGCGATGAAGGTGGTCCTTTGCAAAGGCTGAGTGAATCCTGCGAGGACCAAGGTCAGCCTGTGCATGCAAGCCACGCACACATTTCATCGAGGATGGTGCTGCGCCGACGTTGGGCACGTGATCCATCGCACTCAACCCTCTACATGGCCGGTGCGTGCCTGCGTGCGTGCGTGCGTGCGTGCGTGCGTGCATTCTGCAAGCGAAATCGATCGTGAACACATCCACGTCACAAACCCGCTCAAGGCCGCATGCATGGCTTCATACCTTCACTCCCTTCCTCGGAGCATCATCTTTGACCCAAATGTCAGCCTTGGCGCTCGGAACCCATCCCTGACCAGAACCACTTCTACAAGACTGACGGCGAACGATGACCGCTTCGACACTGCTGATATTTGCGCCAACGCTGAGAGACACTGTTTGCGGTCATGTCCAAGCTATAGCATGGCCCCCTTTCGAGGTCCAAGGACGTGGCGCGGAAGAGACGTACGATGTGCGCTCCGACTTGTCCGTACCATCCAATAAGCACGCAATCGTTTTCCGGCGACGTGCTATGAAGCTTGCACAAAGCAGCGCTACCATAGAGCGGATAGGGGAGAGTGAACATGTCAAGGTGATATTCGACCAGGGGTCTCTGGATGGAAGTAGGACGCAGGCGAGCAGCGCAAGTACGAGCTCCTATGCTTCTGCTTCCGGAAATGTCGACGAGCTTTGGAATCTCGCCCGCAAATTTGCTCGCTGCAGTGCCTCTACCCGCACTGCTCTGCTTCGTCGCACAGCGCCAGCTCTAGTACATCAAGACGAGCGAATCAGCATATACGCGTGTAAGTGCCACTTGCGCACAAGCATTTGGTAGTCTGTGCTGATGACCACGTCTGCTTCTGTCAATGGAAGCACTCAATCAAGCTGAAGCAGGACAGAAGGTCAACTGGACAAATATCAGATTCACAATGGCCTTGCAACACGCCCTTCGACACGTCGCTAGCAATTACCATAGTCGTGGCGATGCCAGCCAAGTGCTTGGCATCTACATCGATGCCATTTCGGCAGCGCTGAACTCCGTCGAAGATCAGGTGAGCAACGACCAGTGGCAAAGCCCCGCCTTGGCGTCTTTGTCCCTCTGCTTATCATCTTCCATTCTGCAGCACACGAATGATTCGGCTTTGTCTCTTTCGCAACGCTCCTCTGCAACGCCTAGCCGGGATCACTCGCAAGCTTCGGATCTCAGCATCAAAAGCAGGTCTAGCACTGGCACAGGCTCCCCAGTCAATCGCTCCTTGCCCTCCGGCGTCGCGACTCGAGCCGACTCAAGTGCCAGACAAACTACTCTCGTTTCATACCTAATGTCAGGTCTTTCCGAATCCGAGTCGGATCAATCACTCTCTTCCTCCGACACGGACTCCGACATCGACGCTGAGGAGGTGCAAAGTCCAGTCTCTTACTCCTCATCTTTGGCCTCTTCCCCATCCTTGCCCAAGGTACCGCTAGGTGCGGAAGGGTCGAGAAGCCCGAGTGGAGGAACTCATCTAAGTCCCGCACTCAGCAAAAGCGGTGCTCTCTCGGGCGCGGGGTCCGACACTTGGGCCAACGAACATACGATCCGTAGACAGCCTAGCATCACCATCACGGACCACGACAGGAATCCGGAAAGGAGCAGAGCGCTTTATGATGATGAGCTCGTTGGGGGAGAGCTGGACGAGTTGGACAGGGATGATTGGGCCGAGTACGAAAAAGCAGCGAAGTTGGCGGAGATGGAACGCATTGAAAGAGAAGGCATTCGACCCGCATCGTCATCCTCCTCAGGCCTCGAAGCCGAAAAGAACGCTTCGAGTTCCCAAGATCAGCAAGCGGAAGGAGAACTTTCATCAGACCGAGCGATTCAAGATTCCCTCACTTCCGAACTCTTGCGAATGGCTCGAGTGCTCAAGTCCAACTCTTTAGCTTTCGGTGAAGCTTTGGAGCGCGATCGATTGTTGCTGGAGAGTACGGGTGAAAAGTTGCAGGGAAATTTGGACGTGATGACTAGGACTAGGGGAAGATTGGGAGAGTATGCCAAGAAAGCTAGGGGATTGGGTTGGGCTACGTTGGGAGCTGTCACTGTCGTCTGCATCAGTTGGGTCCTTTGCTTTTTGCTCATTCGACTCACGTGAACATGAGCTGCGACTTGCGACTTGCGATGGACGAGATGAGAGCTGCGCTTGGGCGTCTTCTGAGCCCATGCTCTCTCTCCCACAACACACCATGTACCATAGTCCCGATTCACACATGATCGACCAACATGTACAAATTCTGGCCAAACGAGTTGCCTGATATTGCTTGATGGCCGAGATCACGATTTCTCAAGCGGCAAATGTGTAGTGTTGTTTGAAAGAACATGTGAAATGGATGCGAAGCGTCCAATGCTATCGCATGGCAGAACACATGGCTGGCCAGCAAAAAAGCCTGCAATAGTGTGGATAGCATCCTGCACTTTTGATACGTAGTCGAGCTTTCCCTCCCAAGGCGGTCAATCTCAATTACCGATGGCTACCCAGGCTGCAGCAGCGAGGATGAGGGCACAGCCCGCCAGACTGAGTGGTTGCATGGGCGTGCCGAGGATGAGGAGCTGATAAACAGTGGACCAAATAGCCTGCGTATAAACCATGGAAGTTGCTCTTCCCGCTTTTTCCCTCTGTTGATTCGGGGGGTGGGGAATGGTGCACATCAAAGAGAAAATGTGTATCAGCACGCGTTATTGAGGTACGAGCCTCGTGGGCATTGATCGAGGTTCGATTACGTGTCCTGACTCACTTGAAGACCCATCGCGGCCAGCACTTGCGCCCCCAGTCCGAAGATCCCAATGGCTAGAAGCATGGCACACCATGCAAGTCCGGGCGGCACCACAAATACAACGCCGGAACAAAACATCCACAAGCCCGACACGACGGTTGCTGCACCGCTGAAAGCGGCCACGCTGTGCGTCGCTGTTGCTCGATGACCGACTAGGTCAGTTCGAGAAGGTTGGCTTGGCGTGTTCAGCATAGAAGACATTGAAGAGGAAAAGACCACAAAATGCTAGAGGATGCGGCGATGATGTGCGCCCAACTCACTCGCTCGTATCGTGCAGTATGCACCTGAACTTCCCAGCACACCTGCTAGAGCCACGCTGGTGTGTGCAAGACATCCAGGATTTCCACTCCGCATAAGTGCGTTGTATCTGCTTGGAGAGCCACGGAAAGGCAAAGACTCACAAGACTGCCAGCAGCCTTTGCTCCTCTGTGATCTCGTCGCGAGGGGTGAGAGAGGAGGCAGCATGGCTTGTCCTTTCATCTCTACCCTCCAAAAATCCCACCAGAGCGCCCAATGCTGCTCGTCTAGCCTGGTCGCCGGTACTTCTCAGCACTGCAATGGTAGCCGACGCGATGCTTGCAGTCGATGTCGATGTGGAGCTTGCGAGGACAGATTGCGTCGAAGAGCTGCTGCTGGTGCTAGCATGCAAAATTTGAAGCGCTCGAAGCGCTTCGTCACCCACTGGCATTTCGAGCTCATCGTCTGCCAATTTGCCGAACAAGAAGGAAGGCCTGGCGATGAGCACCACACCAGCAAGCGATGCCATGCCTGCCAGCGTTTGGCGCGTGGAAAAAGATTCTGTGGTTGGACAGTGATCGATGCTGGTGTGAGGCAAAGATCGAGCCGAGCATCGTACCGACACTTTGAGGTAGAGATTGCCAACTCACCTCCCAGCACCGCCCAAGCTAACCAACTGGTAGCGAACGGACTGAGAAAAGTGATGACGGTAGCATCGCTCAAGCTGAGATATTGCAAGGAGTAGTAAAAAGATCCCAAGCCTACAAATCCCACCGCGCCTCGAAGTAGCAATAACCACCTGACTTCTGGCGGACCCAAGAAAGGATGAGGAGTGGAGCTGAGCATCATGTAGCTAACGCAGCCTATGTATGTGATACTGTGCAACGAACATGCGAGAATTTCAGTTGGAGTCAGCGTAGATAGAGCGCGCGTTGGACATTGGGCCAATCGCATGCGTAACCACGCAGCCACTCACCCCATGCGAATGAAGATGACCTCAACTGGTGGGAGGTGGAGAGGAATCTGTAGCTCAGCACGAGGGCACAAGGCTCGATCTTGGGCCATTTCGTGCGCACTCACGCGCAGAGATGGGATTCTCTCTACCCTCTGGTAGATCGTGCAACAGCTTGAAGAACAAAGCCATGGTCCTGACGCACAAAGAAAGGGATAGGGGCAGATCTATCAGATCCGCATTCTGCTCCTGCTGAACCCCGGAGCGTGGCCCCAGCTTGACTCGACTCACGAGTACAACAATTGAGCTGTGCCAATGAGTAGCAATCCTTCCTTACCAGCTATAGAGCTTCGCAATCCACTCAAAGCTCTTCTAGAAGCGTAGCCATTGGGTCGCAAAGGTTTGGAGGGATCCTTTTGTCTGGGAAAGGGGACCAGATGAGCTTCTTCCGATTCCAATTCCGACTCCGATTCCGATTCCAATTCTCCCTGCTCCACCTCATCGTTCCCTCTTTGACTTTCGATTGAGCTGCGCACACTTTCTCTCCTGATGGATCTTGCTGAAGCCTCGACGCCTGACGTCTCTGCATCGTCCAACTGGGAGCTTCGAGCTGATGCGATCCCTCTATCGCCACCACTGCCCTTGGCCATTTTGTCCGTTTGCGTCGATATGCTCTCAAGTGTGTGCTACGTGGCAGATGCTGTTCCCTCCTTGTCAAATCTGAATCTTTCTCTTTCTCTTTCTCTTTCTCTTTCTCTTTCTCTTTCTCTTTCTCTTTCTCTTTCTCTTTCTCTTTCTCTTTCTCTTTCTCTTTCTCTTTCTCTTCCGTGCTCGAGTGCGTGCCTGACCTGTCGGCAAATCCTCAAGTCAAAAGAGTGGAGTCGCGAATCGTGAGCGCTTCGAGTCACAGTCTGCCTGGCATCCGTAGCCGCGCACAAGGTACGGCTCAAAGAGTTTGAGTCACGCTTATGAGTCACCAGTCTCGAGTTGGATATGCTGTCGTAGTCGTGAGTGGTCAAAGAGCCGTCACGCCCTTCCTGGGTTCGGCAACGACATGCGCGCAAGACTCAAGACTAGCAGCTAGCTATACAAGTACAAATGCATGTACAACGACCGTCGTACACATGATATCTGGCAGGGTCCTCGATCCTCTTTGCTCTGATGCTCTGACTCGATCCTTCCCGTGCACAAGCGCATGCATGCGTACTTGAATTCGGAGCATTTGAAAATCGGCGCTCACATGTACATCATACATGTACCAATACACGCGGCGTAATTTGTACCAGTCAATTGAATTGAGCCCAAACTTTTTTTTGTTTTTGGATTCTTGATTGAGCCGCGGCTGAGGGAAGGTCCAAGAGTGAGTCACGTGGTGCAGTTGGGATCATGCGGTTGCGCATCCGTCTGAGAGCGGAGGGCTGCTGGGGCGGGGCTCAACGTCCATGGGGCCGAAACTCGCAGCATGCTGGCAATCACTTTTCACCAACACACTTTCATCTCCCAACTCAAGTGGCGAGCGGCAGCACCTTCGGTACCGAGTCTGGGTGCAGATCTCTAGCATGTGCGCCGAAGATGTCGCTTGCAGTGAGTAGGGTGGAAGCTTGGGATGATGATGGAGTCCGCGCTGATGTCTGTACTGTTCACCATCTCAGTCCACCATAACCACGTTCTTGATCGACGTCTCCCCTTCTATGGGTGCACTTCGAACAGTCGCAGAGGATGTCGAAGACGCCGATGATCAGGAGGAGACGACTCGATTGGACGAAGGAGATAGAGTCAGAGCGGAAGATGGAATGGATGGAGAGCTCAACGATGGGCATGGTCCGAAGAGGACTTCGGGTGAATGGAAAGTCAGAGAGAGAGAGACGAGCAATTTGCAGTGGGCTTGCGAGTTTGTGGGAAGACGCGTACAGACTTATGTGAGTTCCGGAGTACATTTGCGCCATGGTGCCGTAGGAGAGCACGCTCAAACGCAATGATCTGGTTGTTAGGTACATGCGGGGCTCAAGACAGGCAAGGTCTGCCTCATTACGTATGGCTCAGCGAGTGAGTAGATGCCCCATTCGGACTTTGTGAAGTTGACATTTCCAAGCTGATGTCTGCCTCTTCTCTGGTGCATAGCCACAAATAATGCGGTAGCAGGTGATGGTACAACGAAACAAGAGTACCTGGGCATCAATGAGATGTTCTCGCCTGCACAGCCCGATCTCAATACTTGCGAGCTGGTGCGAGCGCTTAGAGCATCCAAAGACTCCGAAGAACCGCACAGGGCAGATCGTGAGTCGCCTCGTAGTACTGCGTACTGAGTTGTCGCTTACAGAGCTGATGTATTGGTGCCCTGCTGGCGCATCACACAGCTCTGGATGCGCTCATCGCGGCGATCTGCACGCTCACCGATAAAGATAGAGGAGGCATCAACAGCTCCTCCAAGAATACCTGGAGTCGCACAATATACCTCATCACCGATGCGATGACCAAATTCAATCAGGACGATTCTGCTCTGATACAGCAGCGCCTGGAGGAGGAGAACATTCAGCTCAAAGTCATGTGAGAGAGAGACGCTTTGCCTTGCTGCAAGCTGCACGCACTTGGCTGATGATCATCTACACCCACCAGTGGTATCGATTTCGATGACGAGGGGTTTGGATATGTGGAAGAAGACAAGCCATCGACTAAAGTGAGTGGGTTGTATGCGCTCTAATGTCGCGCACACCATTGACAATTCGATACCACGTCCCGCTCAGGCCAAGAACGAGCAATTCTGGCACGACTTTCTGTCCCGCGTTCCAGGATCGGGCATCGCTACAGCAGCAGATGTGATCGAGCAGACACACATGCCCCAATTAGCGCCGAAAAAGTCGGCCGCTCAGAATGCCACGCTAACATTTGGGGACCCAGAGGAGCAGCATCTTTCTCAAGAAGTGCTGGGTATAGCGGTAGTGCTTTACAAAGCGACGACGTTGGTCCGACCCATGAGCGCAAAGAAGCTGAGCAAGATTGCACAGCAGAGTGCGGCTGGGAAAGCCGAAATGGAACGCGCTGCTCAGTTGAAGATTGAGCCTTCTAGCGCTCCCAAGCTCCAACCTAATCAGGAGCTAGAGGGTTCAAATCCCGCTTTCATTGACAGCGAAGCTCATGCCATGTCCTATGGAGTGGACATGGTTCGCAAGTACTTCATCTTGGACGAGATCAGGCAACTGCCCGAGGAAGAGATGGATTCTGCTCAACCTTTGCCTGAGGGATCCGAAGAGAATTTTATCAAGGCTTGGAAACTGGGCAAAAGCCATATTCCTGTCGAACAGGTGCAAGACGTGGTGTTCGCTACGCAGGCCGGACTCGAGATCATCCAATTTCACAACAGAGAGCAGGTGAGGCTGACCTCAGACGGTCGCATCCCGGAGCGTTTATGCAGCTTCCCCTAAATGTGAAGCAGTCTTCGTCACGCACAGCTACGAAGATGGTTCGTCATGGGAGAGACGAGCTACGTGCTGGCTTCACCAGGCAACGGCGAAGCTCAACTGAAAATTTCGGCCCTGGTCAAAGCTATGATTGAGCTGGGGAAAATTGCTCTGGTCAGGAATGTCAAGAAACGTGACGCTGACCCAAAGGTGGGTTTCAAAGACCATCAGGAACGCGTCGAATGCTCCCGAGGCTCTTTTTCATGTTTACCCTTTCTTCGACTGCATGCTCTCGTCAGCTCGCGGCGCTGATACCGATTCCCAAAGATCCAGAAAGTGGCTCCGAGGCTGATCACTTTGTGTATGCCGAGGTGAGCCGGTATAGCTACGCGGCAGCCTGAAACTCCAGCTCACAAAACCGTGCATTTGCTCGCAAGGTGCCATTCGCGAACGATTTCAAGCGGCTAATCTTCCCGCCTTTGGAATATGTTGTGGATCGCAATGGCGTCGAGCATCGAGAGCATCATCTGCTGCCGACGCGGGAGATGCAGAGCGCGATGGATGATCTGGTCGACTCTATGGATCTGATGGAAGCTTACGAAGAGCCTGATGGGTGAGTCTTTGCCGAGCGATCGTGGAACGCTCCGAGGCGCAGTGCCAAGTGACGACCTCTGGCTTGGCACGTGTACAGATCACGCTCCGAGTGGTTCTCGACTGAAGATAGCTTCAATCCGGCTATACATCGTATCAAAGAGGCCGTCGAATGGCGCGTCTTTCATCCCGAGGACAAGGAGCTCCCAAAAGCCCACTTTGAACTCGATAAGTTCCTCAAGAGACCAGAAACGGTGTGGAACAAGTCTTCGACTTTAGCAGCGCAATTGAAGGATCTGTTCGAGCTGGTAAGTCGAGACGCATGCCTTTTGTGCTCTGCATGCTGCAGCTCTAGCCTTACTCTCGTGCCTCTTTGACTTCGTCGCGAAACAGGACTACTGTGAGTGGCCTGACCAGCGGAGCTTCGAATGAGTAGCTGATATGCGAGCCTTGCCATCCATGTTGCAGCTCCCGACGCGAACATTCAGCGACAAGAAATGTTCAGAGAGCAAAAGCGCAAGCGGGAAGAGGAAGCGGCGGCCAATGCCAAGAAACAAGCCAGCAATGGAGCCGAGGGCAAAGTGGAGAAGAAGAAGGGCGATGGGGATGATGAGGAGGGCGACAAGACTCTGATCTTGGATGAGAATGATGATAGCGCCACGGACGAGGAGGAAGCTGAAAGCGCACGCCCTTCGAAAGCGACCCGAGCTGGGTCTGCGGATCGCCCGACCAAGACTAGTGCTGGGCCACACAGAGCGCAAGGAGATGTCAGCATCGGCACGAATGACCCGGTGGCTGATTTCAGACGAGCGTTGCAAGATGCTAGGGATCCGGCCGTGGTGATTCGAGCTATGTGTCAGGTCAGTTGTGCTACCCAAGCAGCAGCGAACGTGGATCGACGTACGTCTTGCAACCTGCCCCTCACGCCAAATTGCCCTATTTTCCGCTCATCGACCTTCATGACTCTCTCCTCGCGCCACCTTGATCCCCGCAGCGCATACGCCAACTGGTCTCGGAGAGCATGGCGAGCAACTCGTACGGCAAAGCTCGGGATTCGATGAAGGTCTGTCGAGCTGAAGCGGCAGTGGAGGACGAAGCGGAGGAGTGGAACGAGTTTGTGCGAAAGTTCAAGGACGATCTGCAGCAGCCTACGTTTGGAAGGAGAGCGAGGAGGGATTTTTGGGATGGCTATGTGAGGGGGATGATGGAGGTCGGATTGATCACGAAGCTGGAGGATGCGGGAGGTAGGAGTCGGGTGAATAGTAAAGAGGCAAAAGATGTGAGTTGCGCTTGACTCTGATGTCGTCGCGCGGCATCGAGAGCGCGCTCGAACTGCTTTTTACGAAGGCGATTGACATTCCGCCCCTTTTTCTAACCTGAACATCGGTGCAGTTCGTATCTTAGGACCTTGACCCCCCGATTCAGCATTTGAATCCCTCACCCACTGCACCATCATGTGATTCGGAGCTGTCTTGCTACTTTTACATCTGGCTGTCTCGACATTGCGCGCTCTTCATCTGGGCAACGATATGAAAAGCTTTTCAACGATGCATTCGTGCTTCTCACCGCCCTAGCTTCGCGCACATCAGCGTCACGCGTAATGATGCATTCGGCCGTTTGGCGGAAAGGAAAACTGGTGAAGCGCCGGTGCTTGCGAGAGGAATTTGCTCCCGCACGGTGCTGATGCCGGAGCGAATCAGGTCCCGGGGGTGGGTGATGAGAAGGGAGGGGGCTTGCATCGGCCCGAGATATAAAAAAAAAAAAAAAAAAAGTTTAAGTTGCGTTCTCCTGATTTCGAGTCGACATGATCACGGATCAATCGAGAATGGGAAGATGAGCCAATGAAAGCACTTCTCGCGACTTGTTGCTCGAGTCATCAGACTCACGACTCTGTTGACTCAAGACTCAATACTCTAATTCATCAGACTGTATTTCGTGACTCGTGACGGTCGTTGACCGTAGCCCTGTGTGGGAGCGCATAGCAGATCACGTGATCCGTCTTCGTCCCCTGCACGGGACTTCGGCTCAGACTCGTGACTCACGACTATTTCGACCCGCGCGTGCTACGCTAAGGCGGCAGGAGACTCTTGACTCGTGAGTACGCTTGCCGTGGATATGACCTTCAAGTTGACTGCCACTCTGACTCACGGCTGAAGGAAAGCTTGAAGCTTTGCGTCTTACCACACCACACCATCGAGCCAGATCCCCGAGGCCTTCTTCCGTAGACTTGGAGAGAGGGGGGGAACAGCGTGATCTGTCTGTCTACTGATCATGACGGTCAAATCCTAGTTCAGGAGGATTCGACTTGAAGAAGTACGGCTCACAAAGAATCTGCGCTGTTGGCTTGGCGTCAGGTAAGCGAAGCGCCACTGCCTTCGTCAAGAATGACGAGCACGAGCGGTCGCACATTGGACACGAATGCGCTGAGATGGAGAGGCGAGTCTAGACTGGTCGCTCGTCCGTCGCAAGATTCCACATGGACACTTTCGACGAGCAAATCGGCAGGCACAGATGTGACTTCCATGACTAGCGTGGTGCCGAGCGAAGGAGGAGGAGGAGGTCAAGAGTTTGTCCAAGCTCCTCCGCATCCAATCGCTACTCCCGCTCCACCACGATCAGCGAACCCAACAGCTTCGCACACTTCTGTATTTCTCTTCTTGCTCGCCTTTCGTCTGCTCAATGCCCTGCTTGTTCGAACATTTTTTCAACCCGATGAACATTATCAAGCGACGGAAGTCGCTCATCATGCCGTGTTCGGGTATGGATGGAGGACGTGGGAATGGATGAGTGATGAAGCAAGAGGAGGAGAGATACGGGGCTTTCTTCATCCTGCAATCTTTGCTGCTCTCATGTGGATCGTGCGCCTATTGAGGATGGATGCGCCCATCATTCTTGTGAGTTGGCCTCAGGCATCCGTCCAATGCTCGATCGCTGATATGCGTACTTCTTGCACGCGCGCTCAGGCCACCGCACCTCGCCTTCTGCAAGCTGTCTTTGCGGCCTGCTCCGACTTGTCGGTCTACAAGCTCTCTGATCGACTTGTCGGCTCGCAAGCAGGTTGTATGACGCTACACTGTCTCCTCTTCAACACCTGGCTACTCTACACTTCATGTCGAACCTTTTCGAACACGCTCGAAGCGCAAATGATCTCCATGGCCTTGCTCAACTGGCCCCTGAGCCTTCCTGCAAGCTCGGAAGAGATGTTTCCGAACGCATCGGCCATTGAGCCTATCGATCAGAGTATGCTAGAGACGCTCAACAGATCCATCATCAGCAGTCGCAAGCTATCTCTTGCGCTCTTCTTTGCCGCTCTCAGCATTGCTGTCAGACCTACAGCCATCATCGTCTGGTCCTTTCTGGGCATCAAGTTGATCTGTGATCAAGTCGCATCTGCAAGAAGATGCAGCACGACGCTCGAGGTTCTGGAATCCGTCTTTTCACTCGCCGTAATTGTAGTCTGCGTGCCGACGAGCCTGTGAGTCGAGCACACGCTTGATCGTGCAAAAACAAACCAGAGAAGAAAAAGACACTGCATTGCTTCACTGACAGCTTTTCAAACTGCTCTCTCCAAAAAAGCATACCCAGCTTCTCATTCTTCACGTTGCTCGACAGTATCTATTACGGTCGCTTTATCTTCGTGCCCTACGAGTTTATGAAGCGCAACGTAGGATCCGCAGGCGTATCCGTCTTTTACGGCTCCAGTCCCTGGCATTTCTACCTCAGTTCCGTCTTGCCTCTTCTAGGATTGACTACTTTGCCTTACATGCTGCGCGGGCTCTACATGGCACTAACCTGCTCGACGCGCTCACATCAAACTCCGACACCTGCTGGCATGAATGCAGCAGCAAACAACGGCGCCAGAGATGTAGCAGCTCTGAAGACCCTAGCTTTTCTGACCGTGTGGACCATCTTTGCTTACTCGTTGCTGGGTCACAAAGAACAGAGGTTCTTGCAGCCTGTTGCAGCCATCACCTTGCCCATCTTTGGTGGTCTGGCTCTCTCGTCTCCTCGAGGTGGCATGCCGCACACGAATGTGGGAACCGTCGAGCCGCAGCTCCAGCCTGAGGCACCTGCACCGGCACCGGCAGCTCTCGCAGGGGCTCCGTGCGTAGTCTCACAAGCCATAGGCCACCTGACCCTATTTAGCAAGCAGCTATGGACGTCTTTCGCGTCGCTCAAGCGCTCTCACAAATGGGCCCAGATCGCACTGCTAGCTCATCTTGTTCCCAGCATCTACCTTCTTCGCTATCACTGCATAGCGCAAGAACAAATACCTCGACGCATCTCCCAACTAGCAGACAAAGAGTCGTTCAAGAGCATCGCATTGCTCATGCCTTGTCACTCCACACCTTGGCAATCGATTATGCACCGGCAAGACCTCAGCATCTTTTCCGCCCTCGGATCGGATTCGGGCGAAGGCAAGGGCGGAAGAGCGTGGGCGCTTACTTGCGAACCGCCACCGATTGGGTGAGTGACCCAGTCCATCTTCTCTTGTCCCTGTAGGAGCTTGGGGCGTGCTGAACACTCGTGGCTGCATCTCGTCACCATCACCTCCAGTGCCGATTCCTCTTCGTACGTCGATCAATCGGACGTCTTCTATGCCGACCCTCTCGCGTACCTCCGTAATCGATTCCCAGCTTCCGTCGATGCGCGCTTTCAGCCTTCTGCCATTGGCGCCGCAGAATCGGCAGCTTTCATGCCGCTCTGGGAAGCTCTGCAACTTCGTCGTTCAGCGGACACGCCGCAGGGCGTGCCTTTGTCCGTGCGCGTCGACAAGAGCGCGTCGCCTTTGCACACCTGGCCCAGTCATCTCGCCATCTTCTCCAACCTTCTCACGGTGGCTTCGCCGACATCGGCCAAGTCTGGGCGACCATCAGCGCCGACGGATACTGTGGGGGCCTATCTTGAAGCACTGGGCTACGTGGAGGTGGAGAGACACTTCAACTCTCTTTTCCACGATGATCACAGGAGGAGCGGTGATGTAGTCATCCTGCAGTGGCAAGGCTCTTCTTGAACACGGAATTTTGCGCAAAACTCCGCAAGGAGGCGTGTCGGGCATGCTCATGGAAGTTCCAAGGTGTATGCGCTCGGAAAGACGAGCTGGGGGTCAGAGGCGCAAACATTTTGCAGTCAGCGTCTCAAGATCCACGCTGCACAAACGGTCTGCAGGATGCCAGCAAGTCCCCTCTACGATTCTGGGCACAAGTCTAAAGAGACGGCAAGCTTGAAACATCCAAGCTTCTCACCTCATCGACGACCGCTTTCCTGATCAGCTCCAGGACGAATTTTTCGACCTTTCCGACATTTTCCAGCGTGTGCTTGTCTGCTTGACCCACACTACTTTCCAGCGTGAGGTGCGGAATGAGCTTCTCGCCTAGAGAAAGGGTCGGTGCTGAACTTGTAGCGGCGCTGGGTCTGGCATTAGCAGCAGCGGGATTCGCTCCGCCCTGTTTCTCTCCCGCTTCGTCCAGCTCCTCATCCTCCAGCTCCAATTCCGGCTCTACCAGACAGAGGTGCACCGTCTTGCCGCTGCTCAGAGGCTCGAAAGCGACGACCGCTCCAGCTTGCAGTACCAGACTAGTCACCGTGATGCTCAATGGCAATTCCATGAATGCGGGACTGGGATGATTGATGAGCAGACTGGTCTGAAGCGTCAATCTGAACGTGCTTGTGCTCCAATCCAGGGCCAAGTGCAGCTGGAGCGGCGGTAGCTGACCGGCTGTAGCCGCTTCAGGCTGCGAGAGGCCTTGCTGTTGCTCTTTCTGACGAGCCTGGCGGGTGCGAGTAGGGATAGGATGAGGAGCAGAGGGTGAGACAGAGGGTGACGCCTCTGGACTTTCCCTCGCTGCTGTTTGTGCTTCCAAGCGGCTCGAAGCATCTATCCGACCCATACCTGCAACACCGGCACCCGCTGCACGACCAGCTAGAAGGGAAAAGTTTGGAAAATAGCCATAAGCTGCACCTACGCTTGCGGGTGTTCTGGCATAGCCTAGACCTGCGCCTGGCCAAGCTCCATAGCCGGAAGGAGCAGGCGTGCCGACCAAGCTAGCACCTTCCCAATTACTATCCCTATCGTACTGGCTTGTACCCGTGTCGTTGGGATGATGATGTTGAGCACCTCGTCCGTACTGTCTGTACGTCTGCATCCTCGGACCTCTTTCGAGTTCCGGCCCGACACCTTGGTCATCCGCATGAGGATTCGCTTGAGCTTGAGCAAAAGACGCTACTTGTGCGCCCCCCGCGAACGGAAGATTGCGCTCAGCAAATCGGGCAAGACCTTGACCTGGTTTAGATTCGGCCGGTCGAGGAGCGTGATGCTTCACCTTCACATTCCGATCGCCGTGCAAACGCAACGGATCCATAGCGTTATCAAAAGATGACGCCCTGGTTCTGTAATCATCTTGACCCAAATTCTGTTGTTCCCTTTGTTTCTCTTGTGAGTTCATGCCCAACGATTCTCGCAAAGGTGATTCGCCCGGGCCTAGCGGTGCTTCGCCAGAGAAATCTCTCCAGACATCGCCCACGTCCACCAAAGTGATATCCATCGCATCGCTGCCGAAATCCAGTTGAGATATCTTGATGGGACCTAGGAAAGAGGGCCTAGTGGTGCGCAAAAGAGCTTGATTCAGCTTTTCTTGGATTTGAGAGGCTAGTGAAGAGTCTAGCAAAGACCAAGAGATATCTAGCGACATGTTCGGGCCACCGCCCTGAACGCCGTTGGAGACCGGAAGGGACGAGGTGGGGTTGCGCGAATGGCCTCCCTTCGGAGTGTGGAGTCGATCGGCCAGAGTGTGTGGGGATACCGAGATGCTGAGACACGTCGCACTGTCAATGTTGCGCGTGAAAGAGCGTGAAGGAGTTATTTGGTGAGTGATCATCGGTCAGAGTTGACACGATGTACGAATTGGCCTTGGAACCGATCGAGGAGCATATATGCACTCCGTAAATCGTCCATCACGAATCACGAATGGTGAATATTGGCTCTGGCTATAGCTGTGTGACGCTGATCGGCCGAATAAGTCCGGCGGGGTGGGTATAACATATCGTAGGCGCGTGAACAGTCGTCACCAGGCGTTTGTCTCCATGCATCAGAGATGCGGAGGCGAAAATCAAGATTGAATGGTGGATGGTCTCAATCACAATCTCTGATTTTCGTACTCGAGGGCAAAGCGTTAAGGGCTCAAATTCACTTTGATTTCAACAATGTCCGTCCGAGTGAAACTTGAGCTTCATGCGGCAAATAAACGGATTCGCGATGTGAGAGGAAGAAATGCAGGGCTGATCGACCACATCAACACTCATGACTTGACTCCGCTGCAGGTCCTCTTCTCACCTCTCACATCTCATCTCTCACCTCCACCGCGCTGATCTGCTCGATCCGTCAAAGCGCAACCCAGAAGCATTCACTATGGCTTCCACCTCACTTCCCGCCTCTAATGGACCGTCAGAGACGCACGACGTGTCTCTCGCAGGTCACGACGAGGAGCAAATCCGCCTGATGGAAGAGAGATGCATCGTAGTCTCACCTTCGGACGATTTCATTCGAGACGGCAGCAAGAAGGAGTGTCATTTGATGAGCAACATCAATCAAGGACTCCTGCATCGAGCTTTCTCTTGCTTTGTATTTCATCCTGTAGATGGCAAATTGTTGTTGCAGAGAAGAGCAACGGAAAAGATTACTTTTCCCGATATGTGGACCAATACGTGTTGCTCTCATCCCCTCGCCATCAAGGGCGAGTTGGAGGATGAGAATCAGATTGGTGAGTGTGCGGTGCGGAAAGCTGCGTGTATGCGCGCACGAGAGCAGCACCAGCGAGCGCGGTGCAACCTCCGACACTTCTGTGCGCTCCTCTTGTCACTTGGCACACGCAAGATTGCCCAGCAATGCCACTCGATTCTGGAATCTCTCTGACCCTCTGACTCTCGAATTGCAGGAGTCATCAGAGCAGCGCAAAGGAAGCTGGAACACGAACTTGGTATCCCTCCTGAAGAAGTGCCTTTGGACGAGTTTCAATACCTGACCAGGATTCATTACATGGCTCCATCGGATGGGATGTGGGGCGAGCATGAAAGTGAGTATAACGCAGAAGGGAGACCCAGAAAGTGTTCCACTCCAAGGAAAGGGGCGCGGGTCTGCAGTGAATGAGCGAGCGGGCGGCGCTGCACGGGAATGTCCTGAAGATGCATCGTAAGGAGTATGCATGGCGCTCTCGCACACAGTATTCACGCATTTGTCCGTCTGTGATCTGACACAAATTTCACTGGGTTTGCTCTGACACTACATTGCACCCAGTCGACTACATTCTCTTCATCACAGCTCCGGTCACAGTATCCGAGAATCCAAACGAAGTGTCAGCAACTCGCTGGGTCAGTCCCGAAGAGCTAAAGGAGTTCATGAACGAGTTGGATCGTGAGTGTTTGCCTACGCAGAGCGTCGAGGCAGTAGCGTTTCCGCACATGCGCAACACACCAATATCTGAACTTTCCGACGTCGGCTCGATCAATGTGGTGCGCGACCATCACACAGCAACATCCTTTACACCCTGGTTCAAATTGATAGCCAACAAGTTCCTCTTTCCTTGGTGGACCGAGCTGCTGTCGAACAGAACGCTGCAACCAAAGAACAAGGCTTCTTTGCAACAAGCAGAAGCTACGTCTCAACCCGTCGTGGATGCGCAGCACTCTTGCAAACGCTTCTACGATCATGACACCATCCATCGCATGCTTTAGAAGACCCCAAGAGTAACAGCCGAAGCCAAGAGAGGAGAGAATGTGCGCATTCGTCCCGATACCCGCAACTTGACGAGACTGAGTATTCTGCTTGGACCGACATACCTTTGAATAAGGCTCAATCTTGGCAAGATGGGAAATGCGATTACGGGTGCAGCGATCATGGGAGTCAAGGTTCAAACATGCAAAATTTGCAAGATTCAATTTCCCCGACGCACAGACCTACCTCGGATTTGAGCGTAGAAATTGATTTTGCAAGGGGACCATTTCACAACGAATCTCGAGGTCGAGCGGAGCAAAAGCTATATGGATTCGAAGAAGAAGTCTGCAGCTCGATTGGCATAACGCGCGATCCGACGAGCTGTTCTCATGAGAGTGAGATGTAAAGCCGCATGAGAGCTCTCTGACCCTGTACATTCACGCAATTTTGGCAATACTGATCTCACATGAAATCCTCAAGGTCTAGCCCACGAGCCACTTTTGCGCGGGTCAAGATGGCAGGCCAAGCTGGATGGTGTGCTGCTAATCACGGGAGAGCTGCTTGGACACTTGAAGTCAAATAATAAAAAAAAGGTTCTCTTACGAGTATCATTGCATAGCATCGAGTGCGAAGCGTTCGCTTCGCTTCACACATCTCGAAGCCAGAAGCAGAAGTCGGTTGATCTCCGCCCAACACCACTGCGCTCTGCTAAGAAGGCGGCGCAGCCTAGTGATTGCTGTTCACCGCCCTGGGCTGCGTTTCGTAGGCCGAGACTGAGGTGGAGGCAGGGCCAGAGACAGGCGTGAAAGTAGAGTCGTGCGGAAGACCGTGACGTTTGAGCCAAGCGGTCCAAGCTTCTTCCCTCGTCCTCCTCTCAACGCTCTTCAGCAATCTGAGACTGATCGAAGTTTTGCTCCCTCTCGGTCTTCCCGCTTTTCTTTTGGATTCGTCTTCCACACCACCTTATTGCCTTGCGAATCCATCCGCACTCGAAGCGTGTGTCTGGTCTATCCCTTGCTCTTTGCCATTGTGAGTGGGCGGCTCGGTTTTTGGCGAAAGATTGAGATCCACTTGATGCGCAGATTGCGCGAACTGGCTCGTCGTCCCACGCAACGCTGTTTCTTCTGCGCTTGCAGTTGCTCCGCCTCTCCCGCGAGAATGTCCATAAGAGGTAAAGGGCAAATTCCCCACGTGTCTCGCCAGGCCAGGAAATGTAGGATTTTGGTCAGCTGACGGAATATGCTTGGGTTTTTTGGCCTTCTTGTTGCTCCCAAGCGTCTGCGAGTGCTGCGAGTGCGCATTTGTAGCATGCTTTTTCCCCTCATCGTCAATTTTCAGACGACGGTCGAATCTAGATGTGTCGACATCTTCGAAAGATGGTGTTTGCAACTTGGAAAGATCATCGACGACGAATGCGTGGGAACGAAGTTTGGCTTTATCGCCCGGCTTTTCGTACTCCATCATTTGCGTGCCGTGCTTGTACGTCTGGCCTGGCGCCATGTAGATGAAAGCTCGAGAGTGATGAAGACCTGTGGAAGTGATGCCTCCTGCTCGAATCAAATTGTCGTCAACATCCCTTGCTGAACCGACAGCATGCAATGCGGGCTCTTCGTGTGATCGACCAAATCCGTGCTGCACCTGTACCGAATGGAATGGCAGGCTCGTTCGTGAGACATGGTAAAGACAAGTCGGGCCCTCGTCACTTCCAGGCCAACGTGGGATGTGGTTACGAGTGCGGACTGCACGTCTGCCGACTCCGCTTTTCGCAATTCGAACAAGACGTGCTCACCACAAACGTCCTCATATGAGGCATAAAGGTCTTCTTGTAGTGCTGCACCGCCTCTCTTATGGCCCTATTGTGTTCATCCGCAGTGCTGGTAGAAAATTTGACGCGCAGGGGGGGGCTTGGCGCAGGGTTGAGTTTCATACCAGGAGGAGGTCGGCTGGGTGGATCAGCTGCCGATAGCAGGAACTGAGGCGGGCCGGAAGCTCCACCAACGACGGTAGCTTCTGATCGAATCCTTCCTCCCTGACTTGCATATTCGGGCCATCGTTGAGCCCACGCAGGAGGCAGGCTTGTGAAGCCTCTGTAATCACCAAGCGCATTCCGTTGTGCGCTCACGACACGGTTGTGATCGTGTGAGGTTGATACTGCTGCCTTCGTCGTTGGTGCTAGCTCCACTCTGTGTGCCGGTGAAGAGGCGCGGGACTTGCGGGTAGGCTGGAACACTTTCACATCGTCAATCGCTGAGCTGAGCACCTCCTCTGACTCGGGCAGCTTGTTGAGATCAAACGGCAAGGGAGGTTTTCTCTTGTGCAACGATGCTTTGAAGAAGACGTCCTTGGCTCGTGTGGTCTCAGGCGAGCATAGCAAGGATAATGCGAGCGCAAAGACGACAAGATGATGTGTGTCGAGGTAGTGTCGAATTTTCATGCTGTGCAATCAGAGAGAGTACGCCCACCGACACCAGCTCGAAGGCGCTGCCTCGAATTAGAGGGGAGCACGGTGAGATCTTGTTCCGTGGGCAAAAGGATGCAATCTTTGAAGTTGAATTAAGCGCAGGCCTCTCTTTAGGTCAGCAGGCTCGGACATCCAGTGAACTACGTTGCGTTCCGTGTCATTGCCACTCTGATCCATCTCGACGTGCCGACGCCCAGTCGCCGTTCGAGAGCGAGTGGCGAGTTGAACTGTCACTTATCCGTGCTCTTATCTTTACTGTGGGCGCTCGACGGTGATGGTGACGATAGAAGTGCTCAGAGGGATCCCATCGCCACCGATGCACGCCGACGTAGCGGCAGAGGCCGGGAACAGGTAGTGATGGCCCATGCGCACGCTTGACTAGCATTTCAACCAAGTAATAGCGCCCCTGCGACTGTCAATTTCGGTGTGGTCTCCGTCGTTCGACTCTCCCGAGTAGACAATACCGACACCTCACCAGTTGCACCTCCTGAGCAAGCGGTCTAGGTTCAAATCCACCCGAATCCACCCGCTAAACTTGCGTCCCGTCTTAGCAAGATTCGCCACAAAGCGTCGACCGCCCAAGAGATCGGCAAAGGTCTTTTGTCTCTCCACCCTTCACGGGCCGCTCTAAGCCTCTACTCGCCCTCAAGCGACCTTGCGTGTCTGCATCATACGTCCAAGACAAGCCGCCTTCGAAGCGAGCGCCGCTTTCGATGTGGTTCCTTGATTCGCGGGATGAAGGGATGAGCATACGTGCGTTTGCATCGCCCTTCACCTGGATAGGAGGACTCACGCGGAGCAACGAAAGTCGTGCCGTACCGTTTAGGCATGATGGGCACCGAGTTCTAATCACGAATGCGAATGCAGAGAGGCATGCATGCATGCGGGCGCGAGCGAGCGCGAGCGAAGGTGTTGCTGTCTGCGCGCGTAGCTCACGACGCGTCGCGAAATTGGGGATCGCGGTTGTGGTTGTGATTGGAGGCAGCGTGCAGCACAGGCAGGCAGCTAATGGACTCACGAATGCAGCAGCAGCGTACTGATCGTCTCAGCTACTGTATCACAAGCACAATTGTGAGTTGTGAATCAGATATATGGCGCCTAGTGCTCGTTCGTATCACGCTTCCGAAAGACCTCTTCCTCTCAACGCGCTCAGTCGACACTCAAGAGATCTCCATGCATCGATAGGTTTCTATCGGCTTTTTCATTCTGTTTCCACGCATACAAGCTGTCCAGAGCGCATCACACAAACGCCTTTGCCATCGCAGTCCCCGTACGCCCTTTCACTGCTCCGATCATCCACCAAGCAGAAACGAAAAGGCTAGTTGTAGGGCATATTTCAGCGACAAGATCGTATCCAAATCCTTCAACAACCGTATCTCCAAGGCTTGCAGAGGGCCCAACTCGTCCTTCCTCCCGCTCCTGCCTTGTAGCTACAATGTCGCGACAGTCCGGTGCTCAATCTGCTCGAGGGTCAGTCTACGCCCCAGTTCCAATGTCCCAAGGAGCTCCTCCCGGAGGATCTCTCGGCGCCTCAGCTTCCCATTTTCAAGCCTCATCCTCAGCTACCGGACCTGCACCCACGGGGGCAGCAGCTCGTCTAGCTGCCAAGCAGGCCGAATTGGCAGGACTTAGACAGTTGAAGGAACAGAGCGCTAGGCTGGCGAGGGATGTGCAGGCTTTGGGCGATGGAGTGGATAGTCTTGTAAATGGTGGAGATGGTGAGTTGTCAGCTTGTCTGATGCGAAGCCGAAGTCATCGTGTCGTGATGAAGAGGCAGGCCATCCTGGGCCATTCGCGGAATCGTATGCGATGCTGGAAGTGGAGGAGTGCTGCAAGGCAAAACCCCTTTACCGAGAGGCCGCAAGCGACCCTTCTGCGATCATGGAAAGATGCTAGCTAGCTAGCTCCAAACTTCAGGTGCACTCTGGCTTCTGCTCGCCGAGTGTGTACTCAAATCATCTCGCGCTCACTCTTCTACCTTCTTACCGCACATCGCAGCCGTCGCAGCAGTTCTCTCCAGCTGGCAAGGCGTTTTCCGAGCAATCCAACTAGCTCAAGGTGAGTCATCTCTTCCTTCAACCGTCGTCCGACGTCTCCCCGCCCTCCTTACTGACCCCATCAAATGTTGCACAACCTAACTCCCGAACATGGGGAATCAAAGCCTCTACATTGAGCCGCGACGCAGGTCTGGCAGATACGGAAGAGACACCAGGAACTGCGACTGGGACGTCATTCGAGGCTGCTTTGCCAGACACCTTGGTACGCATTCCCGTCGATGGACCCGGTGCGGAGGCCAGCGCAGCGGAGGACAATAGCGCGAGGGAAGAGTGAGGTGTGATCTGGCTGGCTCACTTCAAGTCTGTAAGCTCTGCGGCACTTGGCCTGTTCCCCTTGACAAGCTCAAAGCTCCTTCAATCTGCGGCCCTCGATGCTCCTTCGGACACCCTTTGTACACTATCGCTACCTTCACCTTCAGCGCCCTTGTAGCTGGTATGCGCGTTCCACCTCAACCAGCAGTCCACACTCTCGACGATAGCGCCGCTGCAGATGCCAATCTTTGAGAGATTGCGATTGACATGCGGCTGACGTGTAGCATTCTTTCTCATAAGCCCGATCTGCCTGCTCTTCTTTGCTCCTCCCTCTGCGCCTCTTCGACTCCGTGCTGCAGCTTGCGCTTGAAGGCGGATTGGTCGCGCAGCCATTGACGATAGGTGGAGAGGGAAGTGACGGACTCGGCCTGTAGGTGACAGACAGGCAAAATCGTGAGCATACATGATGAACCTCGACCTCGCTTTGACACACGGATGCCTTCCTGCCCAGCAAGTCAGCGCGCGCTCTACTTCCTGCTGCACTTGACCCTCGAGCCGCGCTCCATCAGCAATCAACCTACACTCGACTCACGTAGAAATCGGGCAAACGATTCTGCATCGTCTGACCAAGCGCATCAGCCCTGTTCCTGACCACATGTTTCCAAAATTCATTGTCCATCCTTTCCGTCTCCTTCCTCTTTGCTCTGTAAACCACAGCCCAGAGACCGTTTCCCAGTGCAGGCCCTACCAAGTAACCCAAACCTCCACAAGCTACGGTGCCTAGAATTGATAGGTAGACCGGATCTATGCCGGCAAAACCTGGTGTGGATGGATCTATGGTGGCTGTGAGGAAAAATTGTCCGGATGTGAGGAGCGCGACGGCCGTTAGGGGATACGTAGTCACGCTTCCCCATCGTCGACGCGATGCTCGAAGCGACAAGTCTGATGACGGTGGCAAGAAGAGCGAGAGGTAAAAAGATACCAATAGGAGAAAGATGAGCAGGGTAAGGGTTCAAAGTGTATCCTTCTTAGCTTGCGGGTGCAGACGCTCGCGAACTTCGACTCACATTCGGCCCAGGTGAGAGGCTGCAAAGACGTATCGGAAGGCGGCGCAGTCTTTCCACCAGCAGCAACAGGTGTGGGCGCAGCTTCTTGCTCCTGGCATCTCGCAGAAGTGTGCAACGCTGGGCGCTGATGGATCGCACGCTTGATGCCAGCACTCTGATTGTTGAACAAAGCGCGCGAGTTGCAAATGACGGCTAGCCTCGCCGTACCGGATGAACCTGCTGGCACTCGTGGCCTGAACGCATAGGCGAGTGTCGCCATTCTTTCGAAATCGAGGCAGGCTTGCGGCCTTAGTCTCGATCAGCACCGATCTGTTGAAGTGAGGTCACACGGGCGTGTACCGGTCGCAGATCTTCACTCCACGATACTACGCTGCGCAACCAACTTCGCGCGTCGGATGCGTGTGCAGAAGAAGAGCGTGCAACGATGGGTGAGGATGCAAGAAATGACAGTGAATGACTAAGCGTACTCTTTCGAGTTGCGGGTCAAGCAAAGCAAGGGTCTTGATTTCAAGGTTGGATTTCATGAGTCAAGAGTTTGAGTGCACGACGTGCGGCGCGCGGCAGAAAACGCAATGGCAGACTGAAGGTCACGTGCGATAAAAATCAAAATCGAGATACTCATCAAAGAAGCCATCTAAGCAGCCCTCAAGACTCAGGACTCTCTTGCACTCTGCACTTACAAATGTCACATCGAGACTCGACTGATGGTGACCGTTAAGATTGTTGAGCTGATTCGAATCAACCGTGCCGCCCTAGTCCAGATGCTCGCTCACTCTTGACTATCGATTGAAAAGTTTGCCAGCATCAATCAGGTCTCCAAGATAAGACCTGATGTGAGAGTGCGGCGACCCGAGGTTGTCGAATGGCACAACCTGAAAGCGTCTAGTCTAGCAGCTACGTAAGCTTGGTCTCCGGTGGAAGTGAGCGCGGAGCTCCGACCTTGTTCTAATCGCACAAGCGGAGCTGCCGTCCACCAGACTCGTGCAGAACGTGTCAAACAAACACAGTCAGAAGGGACGAAGCAGAAATCTAGTCCGTCTATCATTATTGCCTAGTGCCTCGCAGCATGCTGCAAGCCAGATCCGCTGAATGTGCAGCAAAGAGGCTTTTCTACCCCCCGTCTCCATCCTCGATCTCCTTCCTCAGCATACACCCGCTCATTCGCTGGCAGACAAAGCGGCAGCATCCGTCGGAAGGCTCCTGAAGTATCTGCTAGGTAGTCTACCCGTCTCCGGATCTCTGAACATGTTGCGTCTCGGCTCTCTGCCGTACCTTGGTTCGGCGATGCCTGTGAAGCATGGGTGCAAAAGTCAGGACTCAGTGACATGCGACAGACGGCATCAACACATATCAAGAAGGCTCACCTCGTTGAGCCCAAACACTACTGATAGCTTCCGCATCCTCTTCTGTCCACTTTGTTCTCCAAAATTGAGCAGCGACCACATCTGTAGCGTTCAATCCTCTCGAAGCCAGGTACTGAGGGATCGAGAACGCCTCTCGCTGTACGCTAGCGCTCTCGGAAGCGGACCCTTGGGCGCCGGTCTGGTCGATCAAGACGAGAGCGGTACGACGTGGAGGTCCTCCGTTGCATGGGTGTGGCGCGACGTATGGGATGGCAGTGTGCCCCGCTCGAGGATCAAACGTAGTTCGGCCGCTAGAGAGCGGAACATCTCGCCTGTTTACCAAAATTCAGCGAGTCAGAATCTCGCAATCTTGATTGCCCGTCGCAGTGACAGGATTACCACATCACTCACACCAACCAATGACACCAACTCTCCAGCCTGCCTGATTCCTCATTGGGTACATCAGCATCGATCAGGATTGCCGTGTAAAGTCGCTCTTCAGAATGGAAAGGCACCGCCGTGACGTGAGGTGCTTGCAACGACTGCAGCGAAACATGGGCCGGTCGGCCCTAGTGATTAGTCGGATCATTTCGCGCTGCGATTCGTGACTGATACACATGGTCTACAGCACTCACGTCACGCGCAGGTACCCAAACACCAGTTCCTACTTCGCCTCCATCGGAAGAGTGATCCGTGTAACCAGTCCCAGATCCAAAAGAAAGACGCAGATCGACCCGAGGTGTCAAGCTCTCGATCACGTCTGGCACCACGTACTGCAGCTTGACCCTCTCGAGCAGACGCGGGAGTATTCTTCGATGCCACCATAGCTGATGCAGATGGAGATGCACCGGTCGAGTCAAGTCGGCTATCGTGCGTGCAAGAAGAAGGATGAGCTTTCGTCCTCGGGCTCGACGCTCGAGAAGCGGAAGGTGTGCGTTTAGGCTAGCTCACCTTTGCCACTGTCGAATTCAGCCCTGACAGCAGGATCATTGACTTCACTCGCGATTTCCACGCTCAATATCCTCTCTTTCAGTCTACTTGCTTCCTCTTCGCTGCCCTTTGCAAGCCCTTCAAGTCTGCCCCGAAGATTCTTGACCTCGTCTCGAAGTTGCGCCTGATTGGCGTATATGTACTTGAGCGCCTCGTCGTACGCCGCTTCTACGCCGCTGGCAAGAGCGGGCGTCCAAGATCTGCTACTTTGCTGGGAGCTGCCTTCATCCGAGGGAAGTGGCGCTGGAGAGGCTTGTCTTGCAGAAGAGGAGGAATTCAATGCTCTCACTTGCGATCGAAGCACGCCTCCGGCGCGAAGCATCGACCTGCTAGCTGCAGGTGGAAATGACATCGTGTCCCAGATATGGAAGCCGAAGCTGACAAAGCTTATGCATCAAGCGGGCAAGATGCTGGAAGACTACTCAGAGCGGTGTAGGTCGTTGATGGGTGGCGCGAAGTGAACCTTTTCTTTGTTGAATGCATCGAATATCTCGTGTGTCCTTGATGCGTGAAACGACGGAAAGCGCCTTCTTTCGTGTTTTTTCGGCCGAGAGATTTCTGATGGGAGCGGTTTTTTGCAGCTGCGCGCTTGTGCTTCTCCGTTTGTGGACGGGCATGCATCCAAGAATCGACGTCTTGAGTCCGCTCATGTCGAATTGAATACACGCTCATCAATAACTCATGACTGGCGATTGGTGATTGTCACCTGTGGACTACATAAGCCGGCTACCTCAGCTCGCGCAGTGACATGCGTGACTGGCACTCGACAGCTGGCCACTTAACGGACATTTTGCTGCACGCACACTGTGACTGTACGGCTGTCATATTCAACCCATCGGCCTTGCCACGCAAGCATCGACACACGGACGCGTCCGATCTCTTTCTACTTCGCCCCATCGAACGTGACCTGCTCTCGCGAGCTGGATTCTAATCACTTCGCTGACGAAAGCTTGGCAGTTCTGGCGGCATACACAGGTCGGCTGCCTCGGGTAGACTACTGACACTTCACCGCGGCTGTCGTGATCGTCCTTTGGCGCTCTTTGCATCTACATCCGCCAGGACGGGCAGCGCGGGCGGTTTCGTCAGCACTCAGGGATGTTCCAGCTAGCCCTCATCAACGACATAGCTCGGGTCTCACCACCACACTTTGCACTTGCGCCTCACAAAGCCATCAAGATTGTTCTGAACACAAAGTACGCAAACAAGGTGTTGCAGGATGTAGGGCTCTGTGTTGCGGTGTTTGATTTGCTGGACTGCGAGGAGGGAAAGACTATTGGTGGGGATGGTGCACTGTTCTACAAAGGTGCGTACGTGCGTGCTTCATGTTCTGGAAGAGCCGATGGCATAGCTCGACTACATGCTTCCGGACTTGACTTGGGGATAAAGATGCGAGTCGTGATAGCATACAAGCCGGTGCAAGCGCGACAAGAACTGGCCATGAGCGCTTGCCTTTCGTCATGAAGGACACGCTAGCTTCTGTAGCGTCGGGTCATGTTGTGGGACGTATTTTGCCACTTTCAAAGCTAGTCTACCGATGGCCTTTGCTTAAGGCTGCATCCGAAACCTCCCATCTCCTGCAGTCACATTTCGTCTAGTCATCTTCAGGCCGTTTTTGGGTGAAGTATTTGTTGGCAAGATTGTTTCGTCCGACCCCAGCGGCATTAGAGGTGAGATAGACGCAGCAGCGTTAGATTGAGGTACTCGTTCAACGGAGACACTGACCGAAGCACTTGCGGATTGCAGTGTCAGTGGGGTTCTTTCAGGACATTCACGTCCCACCGCACCTGTTGCCCTACCCAAGCGCCTTGTGGGTGACATAGCTTCGCTTCTGCTGCCCGTGTACGCTGTTCACTGACGCCTAGCTCTCCAACGCTCCATTGCAGTGATCATAAAGAAGGATGTTTCTTCTGGTTGTGGGAGCCAGCAAACGACGACGTGGCAGCTGATCCTTTGTTATCAGACGCTGATCAAAGGATGTACATGGACCGGGATGAGCTGATCAGGGTAGCTGTGGAGAGCGACGAATTTCATGAGCCGGAGCCAGGTCCGATCACTCCTCAAAGCGCCGCCTTCGGCTCGATGATGTCTACAGGAACAAATTTGGGACTCAATGGCGCGATTGCTAGACCTGTTGCAGATGAGAAGAGGGAATCGGCTTACAGGATCACTGTGAGTTGTGCGCGACTTGGATGCACATTGCTAATTCTCGTTGCTTTGTACACTGGCTTGCTGACCCTCATTTTTGCCCACCTCAACGGCTGAAGTGCTCGTGTGCGAGCCAGGGACTAGGTGTCGTTGCTTGGTGGGGCAGCGCGCAAGCAGAAGGAGAGGAAGCAGATGAGGAGATGCAAGCAGAATGAGATACTTGCCACGTCTGGCGTCTGCGATAGCACTCTGCGCGACCAGGTCACAATGACGGAAAAGGGGCGCACATCGACCATGTGGGCGCCTCCGACCGCTTGAGCGCGTGAGGATATACTTTTAGGTGATCTGTTTGGCAGGGTTCGACTTACCGGCCTCAAAGCTTCTTCGAAGGCCAATTTTGTCAGTGACGAAAGGAAGTGAGAGCGCGCAGTCATCTTCAAGTTTTATCGATGGCGAAGCGGAAGATCTGAAGCTCGAGGGCACAGGTAGAGCTGTTCGTAGGATGCCTCGGCAGCACAAGCAGTGTTTGGTACCCTGACACTCGGCAATGAAGGAACAGTCACAGTGATGGAGCAACGGATTGTCACGATTCTGAACAGAGGGACTTGTACATTTAGCAACCCAAGTCACGGGTGCACAAGTCACGAGTCCACAGCCATGGAATCAAAAATGTCCTTTCCATTCGAGAACATTCAGACAATGCAGCGCCCGATCACGCAATCCGTGCATAGGTACGCCGACGCTGTGCGAATATATAGGTCCATGATGCAAGCGCTCGCAGCTTGGTCGTCCTGTGTCAGAGTCCCCGCCAAGTCTTCGCTCGCGGCAAAGAGCAGCTCGGCTTGATCGTGGCTCTACAGCAGCTAGGCATTCACCGCCGCCATGGCAACTCATCTGTTTACACTCAGACTCGTGACTCTATAGGCACTCTGTCTCACGCCGCTACTCACGACTAACTGGCGACTGACTGACTGCACATATGGCTGCTGCACGCTGATTCGCGCCCAGTCGGAGTCTAGGGCTGAGACCGAATCAAGATGCCGAGCTGAAAAGCGAATCATCATATACAGCAGCTTGAGTATGATGTCCCGCTTTGCTGGGGCCCGTACCGAGGCGGCGGCTCGCCGCGCCTCTCCGTCGGTACAGTCACGAGTGTGAGTACAGTGAGTGCACATCTCTGAGGGCCTCGTGTTGCTGACGCGTACCTTTGCGCGACGCGAGCGGTTTACTGTACGGTATATAGCTCCTCTTCTAAATACGCGGCAACGTCACGCAACGTCTGCAAAACCTTCTGATGCGCTCTTCCGGCGGTGGAGGACGAGTACGGGTTGCGCTACCGCCGTTATCGCTCTTGTGGTACTTGAGCACTCGCATTCACGATTCGTATAGTCTGATAAAGTCAAAGTGCTGCACACTTGGCTCTTAGCTGGGAAATCAGCTGCCGCTCGGCGTCGCTACGTGCTCACAATGCAATTAGACACCTGTGCAGTCATCTCTGTGCGCATGACCCGCCACCGCTTGCTTGCTGCCTATATAGCAAAGAGGGACGAGCAGAGCAGACATGATGGGAGACAACTCACGACTGCAGGGAAGAAGGGCCAAGATCACACTAAACCTCATTCGCAAAGTTTTCGAACGTAGGTACGAGGGACACGCATGCAGTCAAGTTGCATGCCGTATTCCGTTTCAGCAGGCCGTTGACGAGTGATGAGTACCGCTATCCCTCTGCATGGCTGTCCGCCTTCGGACTCATCAGACTTCTTGATGGGAAGATTTGGTCATGTGCATGTGCATGTGATGCCCTGCTACTGCTCCAGTAGCTCGGTTCGACCTTTTGAAAAGTTGCGTTGATGGTTCCTGACCAGTACTGTCGACATCTGCCGCTGCACGAACAGCTGCCCAGCCAAGTTCCACATTCATAATTGCCCGATCGCGCAAAATCCCTCAAGTAGACCGACCCTCCGTAGCAGCGAGTCCATGTGACCCCCCCGTCACCCAACCGACTTTCTTCTCACATTGCACATAGATCGCGCTCAGTGCATCGTTTCTCAAACTCTCCTCCATCCGTCTCGTCTTGCTGGTCAAGGCCATCCTTTCCACGTCCCTCAGCCCACCTCTCACACTCTGCCCTCTGACAGCTTCAAGATGGGCAGATTACGCATCGTCGGGAAGATCTTCCCTGCTGGTGCTCCCAAAGTCGTTGACAGGGCTGCAGCTGAGGATTCGACACCCTCGAGCCCTGGCGCGCAAGTGGATGGTACTGTCGTGGAGCGTAAAGCCTCGTCGGATGTGGACCCTGAAAAGGGCGAACCCAAGGATGTGCACGCTGTGGTCCGGGTGGTCTCCAATGCTCAGGAAAGCGGCGAAATCCAATATAGAGTGAGTCGTCGTGGCGAACGATGCGGCGCGAGGCGCGAAGAGTACGTTCGAGCTTCGGGCGGATCATGCGATGGCGATGCTTTGGCTTATCTCGACCAGTGGAGTTTCGCTTCCTGCGCTGACGCTCCAGCCGCGCTTCATGCTCGTCTATGGCAGACCATGTCATGGCAACGGTGTGCCTGCTTGCTCTTCACCGAATACGTCTGTCTGGCTATCTTGTCCTTTCCCTGGGCTTTCAGATATCTGGGCATGGCCGGAGGAATCCTCTCGACTTTGGGCCTTGGGATCATTGCGCTCTATACCAGCATGACGCTATGGCGGTACTGCATGAAGAATCCACACCTGCTACACATTGCCGATATCGGACAAGACCTGTTCGGAAAGCATTGGTTGGCCTACGAGCTTACTGGAGCTGCGCTGATCCTCAACAACTGCTTCATCATGGGTTTGCACACCCTCACCGGATCCGAAGTGCTGAACGTCTTGTCCGATCACGGCACTTGCACGCTCGTCTTCAGCATCGTCGTCCTGATCGTCTGCTTCTTGGGCACCCTGCCGAGGAAGCTGGATCAAGTCGCCATTTTGGGCGTGGTATCGGCCATCTGCATGTTCATCAGCATCGTTCTCGTCATCGTCTTTACCGGCATCATTGGCAAAAATCCTGCTGGTCTCAAGCCGGACGAGCCGGTCAGGATCACGGCGTGGGCACCAGAAGGCACAACCTTTGTCGAAGGTTTCAACGCGTTCCTGAACATTGTAAGTTGACCCACGATCTGGCACAAGCGAAGCAGTATGCTCACCCCCCCAAGCGACGTGCTGGCCATGTTCTCGTATAGCTGTTTACATGGGTCGGACAGGTCAGCAGCATGCTCGTGTGGCTCGCAAGCGCTGGTCGGTGTGACTGACGCTCTTCCGCTTTCCTTGGCAGATCATGTATCCAAGCTTCATCTCGGAAATGAAGAATCCCAACGACTTTCCCAAAGCTCTTTATGCGACGACAGCGATGGAGTTCTTCCTCTTCTTGTTTGTGGGAATATACGTCTACGCTTTCGCAGGCCAGTACGCAGAGACACCCGCCGTGGCCATCTTGCCCAAGCTGTACAAGCAGATCTCCTTTTCTTTTGTCCTGGTCACATCTATCATCATTGGATGTCTCTATGGCAGCGTGGTTGCCAAGTATCTATTCAACCGCATCACCCTCGGCACGAAGCACTACAACAACAATACAGTAAAGGGCTGGATCATCTGGATTGCCTGCTGCGCCTCTACCTGGGTCTTTGGCTGGATCATCGGCGAAGCTGTGCCCTTCTTCGGCGTTCTCGTCAGTCTAATGAGCGCCCTCTTCGACGGTTTCTTTGGTTTCATCTTTTGGGGCAAGGCGTACCTGAGCATGAACAAGGGTCAATTGTGGAAGGGGCAGAGCATATTGAGGAAAGCGGAAACGATCTTTAACGTGTTCCTCATCTTTGCTGGACTATTCGTCTTTGGCCCTGGCTGCTACACCTCTGTGCAGGCCATCATCGATAGCTACGCCTTGGGATCGGTCAAGAGCCCCTTTTCTTGCGCCAATAATGCCGTCTGAGCCCCAAAGGAGCTTTAAACCAAAGCGCACGACATTCGAGCACCAAACGTCTTCGAAAGCGCCTCATTTGGGATGGCTGGCCTCTTGCTGTATTTTGACTAGGACGATGCGTCTCGTGGTTGCTTTGTCATGAACGATCTGTTCCGATTTGCTACGCATACATATCATGCTTGAAGGATCTTGCAGTGAGATACGTGCTGCTGAACTGTCTTTTTTTCGATGCTAGATCATTCACCATCTAGGTATGTCTTACCTGCTCCCTCTGGATGAGTGGAGTTGGAATTTTGAGTCTCTTGCGAATGCCAATGAAGAATCCTGAATCGAAGTCGAAAAGTGTAGAGCTGGGAATCACGAATCTTGAATCCGTCAGTCAACTTTCTCATCAAGGCTCGCTCCATTCAACGCCCCGATCGAGCGGCCCGAGACGACTAGCCCCACACAAAATTGTGATTCACGATGAATGGAGATAGCGAGCAGCAGCACTTTTGACTTACTCTCGTGACTTGACTTCAAGATCCTCAACGGCTTTGAATCAAGAATCGACTCACGTGTCTTGCCGGCGGGCGCTTCCAATTCATATGCGCACACTCACGACTCAAAACTTCTTGACTGCAGAGCAGCAGCAAGCGCCAAGCAGCAGGAGGTCCCGCCGTGCCTGAATTTCAAAGACTCGTGACTCGTGACTGGCTGCTGTGAGTGAAGACATGGCATGAGGTATGCCCGTTCGTCTTCTGGCAGCTTCATGTACCGGTACCAGTCACGAGTCTAGGCCACGCAGCGAAGGCGACAAGCTTCGCATTCACGATTCACGATTGTGATTTCTTCCTTCACCCATTCTTCGACCCAGCCGTTCTGCCCCTTGGACCTCAACATCCACTACGCACCACAGCCTTGATCAAGCTGCAAAGATCATAGACTGAACGCTGCAGTTTTGAGTCTGCACCACGATCTGGTCTCCCGCCCTTCGGCAGCACCCAAGACCGGATCGACAATCTTCGCGAGCGCGAGCAGCAAGATCCGGACGTCAGCCGCGCTGATGAAGAGGTGCAGAGGTGGTGGATAGCACTGCGACGGCGCTGCCTTTCACGAGCACCAACAAAATCTCCTCCATCTTTTCCTTTCAACCTCGGCCACCTTCGTCATGTTCTCCAGCCTCATTTCTGCGCCGTGTGAGATCAAGGTGAGTACGAGGCGTGGCTGCGTCGAGCAGTTGCGCGAGAGCTCTCGCCTTACCCTCACACTCTTCTCATTCAACTCTTCAGCTTCATCTCTTGTCCAACCTCGTATTTCTGCGTCCACCTACCACCGCATCTTCCGACACTGCCCCTCCTACCGCGACAGATGAGATAGTACGAGGACTGGTGGAGCTCTACGTCCCACACGCTCGGCACATTCAAGGCATCAAGGTCAAGCTCAAAGCCGTTCAAACCGTAGCCATCTTGCCAGACTTTCGCGAACTCAACTCCCTCGCTGGACATGCACCGCTAGGATGGGAGGACACGGTGCTGATGGAGAAGAGTGTGCAGATTGGCTTTGCAGGTCCGAGCAGCGGCGCAGGTGGGAATGCGAGGAGCGTCAGCAGAAGGAGAGATGCATCAGTCGCGCCAGCCGGTGCGACCATTGCCGAGGCGGACGAGCCTCGTGGTCGCACGGCAGCCAGGAGCAGACGAGCAAGCCCGGTGGTGAGCCTCAGCAGGAGAGCCAGTCCAGTTCGGCAAGGATCGGGAGATGTCTCGGCTTCCGAGGATAATGCTGCTTCTCAACATTCGCACCATCACAACGCGCTGGGTGGCTTGGGAGCCGCTTTCGTCAGAGCAGTCTCGCGCGGTAGACCAGGTAGTCGGCCGAATAGTCGACCGCCCTCTCAACCACCCAGCAGACCCAGCTCTAGACCCGCAAGTCGCGCCGCTAGTCCAATCATGGGCTTCTCTCCAGCCTTGAGTCCTAGCGCCAACACCGCCACGCCCAACTCGCCGATTCCCAGTCCGACTCGTAGCATGCCTGCCGTGCGTCCAAACGAGAGCGGTGTGACGCCGAGGCATAGCGTCTCCTTTGAGCACCGTGGATCAGAGTCGGTCACACCGATTGGCGACGACGAGGCTCCTTCGTACTTTGCCGCCTGCGACGGAGATGCACGAGGCCGATCGTCCTTGTCCGCCACGGCGGAACGCGTGTCATCGATGTCGATGGATCCGCACAATCCTTCCGCAAGTGGACCCTCGACTCCTAGCTCGCCCGCCGAACATGTACCAGCCCGAGGTCGGGGTGGTCTGGGTGCCGCACGTACTGGCCAAGCGATGACAGCGTCGAGTCCAAGCCATGAAGAGCACGGTAGCTCGCGGGCTTCACGCCTGGGACCTGGACGAGGAGGGGTCGGCTCGGCTTCTGCAGCTGTATCAGGATCTAGAAGCGCAAGCGTGGGCTGGCCTTTCGGCAGAGCAGCTAGATCAGCCTCTCGAGGAGCTGGTCTGAGAGGCGCAGCTAGAAGCTCTAGCACTGCTCCGGCTAGGAATGGAGGCAGAACCCCTAGCGCCGACCCAACTTTGGCTCATAGAGAGGAAGACGATGAAAAGGAGGGTATTTGGTTGGAGAAAGGCGTTCATGGGTGAGTCATCGAGCTTTGCGAGAAGTCAGCGAGAAGTAGTTCTTGTGAACCTCGCATGAACACGCGTACATGCGCTCGCAGGATCGCTGCGAAAGACTGTCGAACTGACGCTTCGTCTCTCGTACAGCTTCGAGTTTGCCTTTATCATACCCGCCGATTCCCCGCCTTACGAGCGCAGTCCATACGGACGGGTGCGCTACACTATCAAAGGTTCCGCGTACGGGGCTGGTAGAGCGAAGAGCAGTGTCGAAGGCTGGAGAGACACGTTCCCCGTAGGTGAGCATTTGGTATTGCGCGCGCTGCATCTCAACACCCAGTGCTGATCTCTGATACGTGCTCCTTAGTAAATCCTGCTCCTGATGGTGGGCCTACGCCGCTCATGGTGCTGTACAATGATGTGCATCCTACTCTTGGCGTGGTCTCCATCGCCTGCACCTCCAATAACATCAGCGTTGGGGGGTGAGCCATGCGCATCTCTGCAGCCGCTTCATCGATTCAAGAGTCTGACCCCTCCTCCGTCTCACCTCATTTTCAGCATCTTCAACATCGACATTCACTCGCCGACACCGCCGCGAGAGCTGCTGGTCTATCTTGTGCGCGTGTCGCTGGAAACGACTGTCGAAGTGCGCACCAGACGCAAAGGCGTGCAAAAAGCGCCTTTGCACAAGCACAAACTTTGGGAGAAGGGTTGGGTACCACCAAGACCGAAAGATCCTCATGGTCCAGGTGACGGAAAGAAGAGCGAAGGGTTGGTGAGAGATCCGAATCGAGTCGGATCGGGAGCTGAAGACGCATGGTCTGTTCAAGGTGTCGCTCGAATGCCTCACGATAATCAGACGAGAGCAAGCACCGTGGCGGGCTCCAAGAGCAGCATCCGATATACGCATCAGCTACTGGTCGAGGTTGTGCATAGTCGAGACGCGTTTGCGCCAGAACACGAAAGAAAGCTCAAAGTCTTTGCGCTCAGACAGCCAGTGCTTCTGCCCAGCTGCTGCGTCGCGTTTGACAGCGTGCTTCTTCCGCAGTACTCTGCGCAGGATCCGAGCGCAAGGAGCGCTACGATGCCCTACGACTTGGCCTTGCAGCACGAACACCTTCAAAGCGCCTCTGCCAATTCGGTCATGATCGGAGCTGGTGCACCTCAACATTCTCAGCCTGGCTCTTGGTTGAATACGGCTCTGCCTGCGACTGGAGAAGGGCACGATGCGTGCGTGTGCGGTCTGAGCACCGAGGACTTGGCGGAGAGGGAAAGACAGATGATACCGCCCGCACCCAGCGGTGGGTATCGATACTCGATCGATGCGCCTGTAGGCCAATTGCGCTCGCACGGCAAGATCGGAGAGCTGCCTGAAAGCAATGGAGGATTGGCTCGAAGTCCTAGCAGGAGCAGTATCAGATCGGGCAGAAGCATCAGCAGATCCATCTCTCGCAGCATCAGTAGAGCCAGAGCTCCCAGCCAAGGAAGCGCTCATCGTATTGCCGCCTCCAACGGCGAGGCGGACGGCTCGACCAGCGAAGGCGTCATTAGAGCAATGAGGAGAGGTTCTCTACCTCCACCCCTCGACGGGGAGCAAGACGGAACGACTGCAGCGCGTAGGACCAGCTCGGCCATCTCCAATGGCAGCGGCGAACCCGGCACAGGCATCGCCTCTTCTTCCTCACAGGGCGCTCGAACTGATCTGCCACCCCCACCCACTTACGCATCGCTGCGACATGCCAGTGGCGAGTCAGGAACGCGCGAGCCAAGCGGCGACGCTGGACAGTGATGTGTCAAGTCGTAAGCGCAGACGCGCTTGCATTGCAATGACAGGAATAAATGTCACCCTCCGAAGAAAATAAAACAAGGATGATAAATGCCTCGCGTATGTGTGATGCCCCCCCCCCCTCCCCAGCCTCCCCACGTCCGCCGCTCCGTGAATTTTGAATTTGGTCACATTGCAGGTCAGAAGCATGTTGCAGGACGCGGCGCCGTCAAACGATGGGCCTTTCAGAGGTCATCGGCATTACCAACAGCGATCCTAGCTTGCACAGCCTGCATCGTCTCGAAGACGTCGCGATCGAGCTCGTCTAGAGTGCTCGCCTGCTCCAAGTGCTGGAGTGTCATTTCGACCTCGTGCAGTCGTTCGGCCCACCAAGCAGCTCTTTCCTCCTCGCCCAGCTCTAACAGCAGTCTGCCTAAATAATAGAGGGCTTTGCTCTGCGAGACGTTTGCGCCCGCATCGGCGTACTCTGGGAGGGGGGCAGATTCGCGGGAAAAAAAAAAGCTTCAGCGGAATCGGAGCCCCGATTCCCAAGTATTTCGAGTCTCGAAATACTTACGCTGCGAAGCTCGTTCGAACCATTGCGAGGCTTCCCGCTTCGATCCTTCTGTGCGGGCGGAGAAAGCATTTGTATCATTCGCATTGGGTTCTAGCCTCTCCTCACGTTCGCTCACCCTCATCTCGATCTTTGGCCAAGATTGCCTTGGCATAGGCAAACATTGCGTCTGCCTTTCGCTCCGCATCATGATCGGCAAGGCACTGTGAAATGGTCCCAGATTAAATGAGTGGCTGAGTGGCTCCAGAGCAGGGTCTAGTCCACGCATCTCACCCGTGGTAGAATCTCCTCCATCGTAAGACAAGCGCTCTCTCCCAATCGGAGGGGACCCGCTTGTAATTCTGCTAGTAAGACTCTTGCGCCTCTCCAGATCCGCGCACGACCACTTTTCTGCGCCGCAACGAGCACGGTCAAGCACTGATCGAGAGAGTGCGCAGCAGCGTCCGCTTCCTATATGGCAGCGAAGCGCAGAATGGCATGTGATCGGTACAAATATGCCATGTGTTTGGTTAGAGAAGTCAGCCTCGTTAAGGTGAGGAGGACTTACGAAGAGGGTGCGAGCTTGCTTCAGTTGGCTAAGCATCTTCGAGTCTGCCGAGGGTTCGTCGAATTGGGCAGGCTCGTCCGGCTCTGTCTGCTCGTCTCGCCTAGCAGATCGAATTCCGTTCGCCTCGTCCGCACCGTCCACATCTGCTTCCACGTTGGGATCTGCTAGCGTGTAGAAGCGCATAGCAAAAAGATCGCCTCGGCGCCTTGCCCTGAGCCACATGATGCGCAGGATCTGAGAGGTCCATCTTGGCAGGAGATGCGCTTCTAGCGCATCCACTAGCTCATCTCGAAACAACGCCTCCAACGAATTCTCGAAGGAGCCCTTCTCTGCCAACTGAAAGTGAGTATCGTGTAAGCCCATCGAGCGGCAAATCGGCCGAGACCTAGAAACAGGAACGCACCTTCCACGCTTCGCCGCACTCTGCAGCGATACGCATCTCGACGTCCCCCTGCTCTTCCAATGCTACCCCTCTCCAGGCATCCGCCACTGATTCATGGCCCATCATGGACCAGAGAGATGCAACGCTAGCAGCTATAGATGTGGAGGTACAAGCAATTTCGGTGCGCGGCAAGTCCGGACCCGTACTTTGAAGCTTCGTTGAGCCTACTTGAGATCGCGCATTTGACGCCCACACCGCGTCCATCAAGCGGCCATAAACGACTGCTGGTGGGACTCCCTACGATGGAATGGCCTGTCGGCATTAGCAATCGAGTCGCAGGCAGGCCTCGAGGTGAGCGGGACCTTTTACCGCTGACGCACCATGTGAACATCACGAGCCGCCTCCCAAATATCATCAGCTTCGAACGGAGGTCTTGCAGTCGGCCGAGGCTTGCGCGAGCTTCCCGGCTCATGTGCTTCTAGTCGGCGAGAAAGCCTACGAACAAGGTGCAAAAGCCTCGGTGAGAAGAGTCACTTGAGCACGGCCTTTTGGAAGACTTACGAGTCGCAGGCTGTGATGCACTGAGAATCGGAGAGCAAACGCGCCACGTGTATTGCCCCATCGAGCGACTGTCACGCAGCTCATGTCAGCGCCAACCTTGTATCTGATTTGGGTGCGCTGTCCTCACATGTCTGGCCTCTTGCCATTCTCGGTGATCGTAGTGAAAATGTGCCAGGTGCAAGAGGGCATGCTGATGCAGTAGACTATCAAGGAAGGGTGCAAAAAGACGATTGTACGAGTGATGCATGGCGCAAGGTTGCAATGATTGGGAGAACGCACCTGTCTGCTCCTCTCGGATGTAGATCGAAGAATCTGTGATGCGCCTCAAATGCCGCAGAGTAGTCTCCTCGTTTGCGGGCCTGTATGTATCTGAGGGCAAGACGGCATGCACGGCAAAACGGTATCGTCAATGCTGTCTTAGCGACGCATTAGCGCATACCGACCCACCTCTCCCATGCCATCTCCCTATCGCTCAAAGGTCTGGTATAATTTCCCCCTCGCCAGCTTTTGAGCTCCTTTTTCAACGCCAAGAGACCCTCGTCGTCCAGACGACTGCATTGCACCTTTGCCCTTCGCACGAGAATACCAAAGCGTGAGCGTCGAGTAAGGAGCTCTGCAGAGGAAGAGGAAGAAGCACCGGAGTCGTCGCTCGGCTGCACAAGTGCTTCCAGACCTGATGAACAGAGGCACTTGAGCCCTTTGCTGTCGCTGAAGAGAGCGCGGCTACAGAATCTCACTCACCATCCAAGAAGTGTGCCAAGCCAAGTGCGGTGTCGAATGATTCGAACTAAAAGGGCGGAAATGAGGGCTGAGTATCGTAACTTGCCTGGCGTGTCGCCCACGCACGCCAACCAAACGAACCTGTTTAACGATGTACTCGGTGCAAGAGCAGGTTTGCCTCTTTGTCTGCTCATTCGCGAGCACAACAAGCGGGCACGCGGCGTCCAAAGCGCTACAAAAGTCCGTCAAGGAAGGCCACTCGCCTTCGATTCCATGAGCCTCCCTCAGCAAGAACATCCACAGCTTCTCGTCGTACTCTTTTCCCTCGTCCGAGTCCGGATCCAAAGGTGCAATGATGTTGTGTGATCTTGCTTGATTTGAAGCCTCTTTTGCCGATTCTGATTGTCGAAGCGACAGGTACTGCAGAGCGAGAAGCACAGCGAATTGACTCGGCCAAGGACGCGCGACGGACGCGGGCAGATGTGCTGGCATTTCTGGAAAGCAAGCTCCGATTTCGAATGCGCAACAATGTGAATGCGTGCGATCTCCGCGTTTGACGAGACTCTTCAGGCGCTCGGGGGTTGGAGGATGAAGACCATACCCATACTGCAATGTGGACAACTGCAAAGCACCTGCCGCCTACTTCTCCCCAATGCTTGACTTGACCGGCTTGCCGCTCCCGTCTCCAAGTTTGCGGCGCGTCTTCGATGGATCCTGCTGGAGTCACAGTTGAGTCGAGAGCCAAGCAATGAAGTGCAAATGGTGAGCTTGACTAGTGGAGGACACGCTGAAAGAGCCTCTCCCGTCTCTCTGCCTCTCCTCGACAAGACGCATGCCGCATGCATCCCTGCCGAACTTCCCGCCGCGTCGCGCGTGTATCGAGCTGCGCGCCGCGCGACCGGCCGGCCAGCAGCCAGCAGCAGCAGCAGCAGCAACAGCGTTCGTACCATCCATCCATCGCGCCCAAACAACTAATTTCCGGAGCGAATCGCGTGGAGGGGGGGCCAAAGTTCACGATTGGCAACGAGCTTGCTTGCAAACCCGAAAGCGATTTGATTTCCATCTGCTCCGGCTGCCTGCCAACCTTGTCAACGCTCCATCACATCCACACTCACGCGGAATCGTGGCCCTCATCTTTCGCTTCCGTATCGCACCCCGCCTTGCTCCTCGACGCAACCGAAACGAACCCGCTTCGTCGCTTCACGCAGCTTCCGCCCCGAGAGCTCAACCCGCCACATTCGTTCGAAGCGCTGCGCACGACATCTCTCAGAGAGCTGGCATTCATCTCACACGTCGGCAGTCCCGCCTCTCTCTCGATTCAGCAAGGTTCTTCTGCCATTTTCCCTCTCCAGGCTATTTTGTGTGCCTTTGTGCGCGCTCGCCCTATCACGCTCACGACGCGATACAATTGTGGGGGAGAACACGAACGTCGAGGTCTTGTGATTTGAAGCCATTTCGCGCAGGAAATCTTGGAATTTAGCGGAAGGGCAGTAGAGGAAGATGTGGCTCACAGATCAGCAAAGTGAGTAAGCTTACACATCAGCATGGCAAAGCAGAAGAGCTGGTCGGGGACGGGGGGAACCGGAAACAAGCACGAGGGTCCTTAAATGCGCTTCGATGGGGTGCGTTCGTCGAGCCCGGCCAGGAGCTGTCTCACACGCCCATGCCGCAATCCTCTCTCTTCTTTCCTCCGCAGAGATCGGAGCAGCGCTAGTCTCTTTCGGCTCGCTCTTCCTCGTGCTAGGTATCCTGCTCTTCTTCGATGCGGCACTTCTAGCACTAGGCAACGTCCTCTTCACAGCCGGAATAACGCTCCTAATAGGTCCTCAAAAGACGTTTTACTTTTTCGCTCGCAAACAAAAATTGAGGGGAACGGTGTGCTTTTTCGTGGGAATGCTGCTCGTCTTTGCCAAGTGGACCTTTTTCGGCATGCTCATCGAGATTGTTGGATTTTTGAACCTCTTCGGGTGAGTGAGACTTGCAAGCGGCCGACGTACTACTTGCAGCCTGGTCGGTCGTATCGAGGAGGGGAGAGCAAAGGGCGCTGGGTGCTCAGTCCCTAAGGAAAGCAGATTTGGCGCGCTCGTTCGCGCGCTTCAACTTTTTCGAAGGTGTCCAAACGCTCAACCACCTTTTCCCGTTTCCCACGACGTTGCCCCACACGCGCATCCCTACAGAGACTTTTTCCCCGTCATTCTCAATTTCTTGAGACAGTTACCATTCATCGGTCCAGCATTGAGTCTGCCCGTGGTCAGAGGGGTGAGTGACGCGTCGATAGCCGTGGAGGATCAGGGCCTCACGCATCGGCCTCCTCCTTGCTCATGCTCATTCCGGCAACATTGTCCGGCTTTGCCCGCTTTTGCAGGTGCTGGACAAGCTGGCAGGCACACGACAATCGGCCGTTTGAGCTCTCGTAGCGGCAATGCTTCGACCACCACCAGCAGCAGCAGCAGCCTTGCTGAGCGTAGGAGAGAGAGAGGAACGAATGGAGCAGCCTCGGCGACTTGCATCGACAAGAGCGAGAGCGCTGGGCCGCCGAGCGGCGATCGGAAATCTACTTCTTGGCTGCTGCTTGAAGGACGCACTCAGACAGAGCGAAGGGCAAGAGATGAGGTGCCGTGTACGATTGGCGCTGTGCTGCAGGGGCAATGTCTATCTAGGAGATCGATCACAAAATCGGTTTGCAGTGGGGTCCATTGTCAAGGAGTTGTGAGGATGAATGTCTTGTCAGACAAGGACCAACTTGCGCGGCGCACTGCGTTTCGTTTTTCTTTCGCTGTTCTGCGTGACAAACTGAGTAGCATCTGCTCGAAAGCGTGAGGGGAGTCGTTTCAAACAAGCGTACAGCGTCGAGAGGGGTCCTGAGAGCAAAGGCTGGTGCCAGAGCACTTATCGGAGACGAAGGACCCATCTGTGCGGATGCTCGACGTTCGCTTTCCAATCCTGCACCAACTTTGCCAATTCGACGCCCTCTACAAAGCGATGATCAGCGGTCCAAGAGGTGGGCAAGATGAGTCTGGGTTGAGGAATGGGCGATGCGTTGGCATGCGCGGACAGATCGGCTTCATCGACATATCTCGGCAGCAATCTGGCTTTGCCTATGGCTCCGATAGCGAGCTGTCCAGTGGGCGGTATGAGGGGGCTCATTGCCGTTCCTCCAACAGTGCCCACATTGCTCAGAGTGACGCTTCCAGGTCTATCGCTGCGCAGATCCGCCCTGCTCAACCCTCTACTTTCCCTCGATGAAGCCTTGTCTTGCAATCGCTTGACGTGCTGCGAAATGTCCGAGACCGACAATCGTCGAATGTCGGGCAGTGTGGGAGTGAGAAGACCAGAGGGAGTGGAAAAGGCGATGGAGATGTCGTGCGTTGCCCTTTGCAGCAGTGTGCTTGGCGCAGAAGGAGACGAGGAAGCGCCCTGAGAAGGCACCATGCACCTGAACAGCGCGTGGTCGTACAGCGCCATCGATAGAGCTTTCAAGAGCAGCGGTAGCATCGTAAGCTTCGTCGCAGTCTGTTCGTGAGATGCATTGATGCTCTTGCGCAGCCGTTCCAACTCCGTCACGTCCAATTCCTCAGAGTAGCCGAAATGGGGTATGTCCCAGGAAGCCGTCATGGCTCTGAACATGGCTCGCTTGATGGGACTGAGTTCCACTTCTGCGTCCTGCTCATTCGCCATTGCATGTGTGGGGTCTGTTGGCATGATGCCTGGCGATGACTCGGCTGCCGACGATCTGGTCGCGACGTACATCATGACATCCTCTTTCGTCACGCGTCCATCCTTTCCCGTACCCGTCACATCCGACACATCCACCTGCTCCTCCCTGCAAATCCTTCGCACAGCCGGCGTTGCCAATGCAGCATGCTTTCCCGAGCTAGGACTGGAAGTCGCAGCAGAAGAGTTTATTTCCGGGGCTGATGGCGTGACGTTGGAGCTGATCGATGATTCCGAAGCTGCGGTAGAAGCATTCGTCGGCTCGAGCCGCTCCGAGCTGAGCTCAGCAGCCGCAAATTCCGTGTCATCTTCCACTTCGATCTTGCAAAGAGGCGTTCCTACTCTCGCCACTTGGCCAACGGCGTAGCACTGCTCGATGATCTTGCCCGCATATCGCGAGGTGATCTCGACTGAGCTGCGAGGATGCGCATTGGGCAAGAGAAGAGAAGCACCGACATGCGTCAGCCTTGGTGAGAGCGTGAGGATGGAGTTCGCTTCCGTGCCGAGGTGGGGTGCGTGCGCACACTCACGCCTTGTCGGACTGCACTTCTACCAACGCGTCGAACTCGGCGACGTCGTTCGCAGGTGCAACGAACCTGGGATGTCATCATCGAGGAGCAGCATGGACAAGGACGGCCAAGTCAGCTCAGGCAGTCTTGCGTAGTTGTGCATGCGATAGAAGATTACGCGCAGGGCGAGCAAGCAGGGCGACGCACCATTTGATGATTTCGCACTCTGTTATACCTTCTCCAACATCCGCCAACAAGTAGTCTACCACTCGCGTAGCCCGAGTCGTTGAGGTGCTGTGCAGCTCTCTTTTCCCTGCGTCCAACCGGTCTAAGAGCTGCAGGCCGTGCCGCTTCCGCTTTGGGCTCATTGTAAAGTTGAGGCAGTCCCGAGCAAGGAGCCGTGCAGAGGTTCGCTCGTAGCTCCACAAGTGTCTACGATGATTGGTTGCCGAACCTGTACGAGCGACGGGTGGGGTGACGAGAACAGACGACTTTGCATGGGTCGCTGTTCCGGCGTGCTCGATGGCACTGCTTGTACACCTTCGAATCATTGCGTTGATGGTCCGGCTTCACCTCCCTACTGGTCTGAGTTCTCGTCTAGGCTGGGCCAGATTCCTTGTGCATTTGTCCTGACAGGAGAGGATAGCCAACGTTTGGCGAGTCGAGACTCGATGCAGAGGCTTGTATGTGTGGAAAGTCGAGTGCAGAGAATTTGAATGGGATTTGGCATTCGAAGGATCAAGAGGCTGCATATATGCGCTTATATCTGACCCAGCAAGCTCGTACTTATCGCTTCATTCGCGTTCAGATGTTGCATCCAATCCTGAAATGTGGGGAAAGTATGTTCACACAGTCTGATGAGTATTCAAGCAGCGAGGGATGCAGAGCGGGGAAAGGACCCCAGCAAAGCCGCCTCGCGCAGGCCACAGCAGGCGCAGCAGGTACGCACGCATTGAAGCCCAGCGCCACAACGTTTCGGACACGCATCCGCGGCTTTCTCACCGTTGGATTTCCATGTCACGTGCCCCCACCCTCTCTCTTTTCCGGATCGACTCTCGCACGAAAGCAAAACAGACACAGCCACATTGATCCCCGATGCATGCGCGTTCAGTCATGGTGTCAAAAGTCGAGATGATTTGGGCCCCCCCCCGTGCAGTGCAGGAACTGCCCTTTGCCCTCGCCCGCTACCCACGCACGCGCATCCAGCCCCTTCCCGCACGCACGCGCGCTGCCGAGCACAAACAACTGCATATGCTGTCCGACGACACTTTTTTTTGGCAGTTGTGATTCAATTTGAGATTCAGAATCACGTGAATCGAATCGTGCTTTGACAGGAGCAGAGGCCCGCGTGAGAGGGTCCGATCATGCCGTAGAGTGCGACCAGGGTTAGTACGAGGGACGCGCTGATGCGATTGGACGGGACGAGCGTGCAAGCAAGCAAGCGCAAGAAGTGTGATGATGAGGCTCGCCGCCGAGAGGGCCTCGGCGTGTGCGAAACGCGAGGGCGCGTATGCTAGCTGGTGCCCGCGTCACACATGTAGCTGGGTTGCTTCTGCGACGGAGCTGAACCGAGCATGCCAGCTGCTGCGTATCGGTGGACGCAGTACCTTTGATTGTTGTTTTTGCGCAGCAATGAATCCAGGAGCTTACTGAAGGGCTGATCACGAGCTTACTGAAGGGCTGATCACTGAATCAACTTCAATGATTAACATGAAGAAGAGCACAAGCGGGAGAGGACTTGAGCTAGGGCAGGCAGGCAGGCAAGAAAGAGGGATCGACGCTGCGTGCATATGGAAAGGGTCAGCATGCGCGCGTGCGTTGCGAGCTCGGCCGCGGCCTGCGTGCTTGCTCTCGATTTCGCTCTCTGCGATTGCTCGGGCGAAACGCCATGCGGAGCGCTTCTCACGGCCGCAGAGAGTTGCACCGGACACGCTGGTGACACTTGACCCTTGGTGGGTGGCTGGCTGGCTGGCTGGCTGGCTGGCTGGCTGCATTGACGAGCGGGGCTTGCGCCACTCGCTGGCTGGCTCTTCTCCCTCAAAACTGGTACAAAATCGTGCAATCTTCGCTTTCCTGATCTTGTCCATCACCATCCCGTCGCTCGAGAGTCGAGAGTCCATTACAACCGCAATCAAAGCTATTCGACGCCAAAGCTTGTCCACCAGGCCGGGTGAAATACGCAGCTCGATCACCACTGCGCGTGCGCGCGTGCCATCCACGTCTACACCCATCGCGCTTCCGCGCGCACTCAACACAACCGCGGCGGCAGCAGCAGCAACCTCTGCATGCCTTCACCCCCACCGCGGCCCTCGATTCACTCAGACTTCCGTCCAAGCACGCCGACTGCCTTGTACAATCGAGCTACATTGAGTCGAAGTAGGCCATTCGAGCACGCGCCCAAGGCATCAAGGAACGGACAACACCTACGTGCATCAGGTGTCAGAAGCGCCACCGCGTCATTTGGGCGTACATAGCCGCGGTCCTTGATCATACCCCTGCCAGTCTCGACATCCTGCTCTCCGGCGACGTTGCGCTGCTCATCTGCATCGTTATCGCGACATCAGTCAGCAGCAGCCTCGCCACATCGGGCGCATCGTCTTGGACGACTCACCCGGCCACCACCTTGGTGATCCCATCTTCGTGCGCTTCACTCAGCGTGGCGTCCTCATCACCCTTGCTACAGAGGCGTTGCGATCGCGCATTTTGGATCCTTGGCAGCGCTGTCAGCTCGTTCGAGCAAGCAGCATACCTACACAGAGTTTGGGTGGTCAACCGCCCTCAAGACGCCTCGAGAGTGAGAGAGAGAGCGAGCGAGCGAGCGCCGGCGCATTCGAGCAGACCACGCGACGTGCAATCTCATCGGGCCGATTTCAGTCGCCTTGCCGCGCTGATCGACTCATCGTCAGTGTACGGGCGCAGTGGCTTGAGTGGCTCTGCGTAGCCAATCTCGACACCTCGCTCCTATCAGCAAGACCATCTTCAACTTGATTGTCTCGCACAGCATGCCGCCACCTACCGGTACTGATGATGAGCAAAGCTCGACATCTACCGCTATCGACTCCTCGCAAGATACAGCGCACCAGACTGCTGCCTCGCCTGCGCGCGCTCCGAACCCTGCAACGGCGACCGCTCCGGTGGCGCAAAACGGCGAAGCTGTACCCCCTGCACCCAGTACTGAGGCGGCAGCTCACTTGGCTGCAGCGAGGGATCAGGCAGCGCGGGAACGGGAAAGAAGAGCAAAGGAGCTGCTGAGCGATAATAGCGACACGGAGTCTGGAATGTCCAGACCTCCATCCCCGGATCGTGGAATGTACCCAAAGAGGAGATTAGGCGGATTGCAGAGCAAAGACAACGTCGTTGTCAGACACGACTCGACGGAGACGGATGGTCTGAAGCTTGTTCGAGAAAGCTCTCCCTTCAACAGAAGGCAAGTGTCGGAAAGCGAGCGTGGGCCCGCAGACTTGCCTCAAGTGGCCACGCCCACTCAAGCTTCTGTCAATAATAACGGTACCAAGTCGCCACCGACCAATTCGAGCGTCAGAGCGTCAAGTCCACCTCCGAGAGCCATGTCGCCACCGATGAAGGCAGTCGCTCAGACAAAGATCAATGGCCGAAATGACACATTGCGGGATGTGCCGCATGAAGGCAAGCTGCCTCCTCCTATCCCCATTCCTTCGGACAGCAGTGCCGTCGCCAAAGCGAATGCCGGACAGCCGGCAAATGGCGCCACTAGCAGCAACGCGTCCGCAGCTGGTAGTCCCTCTCTGCAGGCCGCATCCAGCCAAGCAGGTGCGGCTGTCACCGCAGCGTCATCACCAACGGAAAAGCCAAAAGATCATCGCGGCATGCTCAGACGCATGTTGTCCGGTAGCGGCGGTGGCGATCACGCTTCCAGACCGGAGGGCAAACGCGCAGAATCGTCTCGCAGTGGCACACCTCCAGGCAGTCCGCGAGGTGAACAGCCTGATAGCCTGATGCACGCTGTTCAAGGCATGAACCTCGCGCCTGGAGGTGCCAACGGCGCACCGAAGAGCCCAGGTAGCAGCGCTCCACCGAGCCGAAACACGAGCGTCAAAAGCTCGTCTAGAGCTGCTCATACCGCTTCCAAAGATGCTGCGGCTGCCAATCAAGCTGGACCAGGTGCTGCTCCACCGACGCCCGGAGCGCCGGGCGGCTCGCGCTTGACAGCCGCCGCGCTGCGGGATTGGGAAGCGAAAGATACGGGAAAGTCGAAGAAGCAGTCCAAGCCGGACGACGCAAAGTCGTCGGCGTCATCGACTTTGAGGGACGTCATTCTGGGCGGCGCGCCCCTGCTCTCGCGCAGAGGTAGCAATACCAGCGCTGGTGGAAGAAGCGAAGGAGGGAGCAAAAAGGGGAGCGAGAGCGGAAAGGAGACGACTAGCTTGCTCAAAAAGTATGGCGTGTGCGAAAAGGCGGCCATTGGAAAGGGCGCTACTGCCGTCGTGCGACTGGCCCACAAGTGGGACAGGTCGACGGAAAAGCTGTATGCAGTCAAGGTGAGCACTTGCTTGATGACCCTTCGCGCCACCTCTCTCCCGCAAGGCTAGGCTGACTTCAAGCTTGCGTCGGCGACGCCACCGTCTTTCTATGACAGGAATTTAGGAAACGCCGCAAGAACGAGACGGAAAAGGAATACGTCAAGAAGTTGACCTCTGAATTTTGCATCAGCTCCACCTTGCATCACATCAACATTGTCGAGACGGTCGATCTGGTGCAAGACGAGAATCGACACTGGTGCGAGGTGATGGAGTACTGTCCGGGTGGTGACTTGTACGCAGCGATCAAGCGAGGAGGCATGAGCCAAACAGAAGTAGAGTGCTGCTTCAAGCAGATTATCCACGGCATTGCCTATCTGCACAGCATGGGTGTTGCGCACCGCGACATCAAGCCGGAGAACTTGTTGTTGGATGCCAGCGGCCACGTCAAGATTACCGACTTCGGCGTGTCGGACGTGTTCAGAATGTGTTGGGAGAAGAGCACGCACTACTCCAAAGGATTGTGCGGATCGGAACCTTACATCGCGCCGGAGCAATTCGAGCACAAGGAGTACGATGCCAGGTTGGTGGATGTTTGGGCAGCAGCCGTCGTCTTCTACTGCATGCAATTCCAAGAGTTGCCGTGGAGGGTGGCGAAAATGTCCGACCCGACCTTTAAGGATTTCGTGCACGGATACCACGGCTCTTCGGCACCTGCGCCGCTCTCCAACTTGTCCCCGAGGGAGTGCAGACCTCTGCTCAAGAAGATGCTTTGTCCTGATCCGAAGGGACGTCTGTTCACGGAAGACATCCTCAAGGACCCTTGGTTCGTCTCTGTGCAGCTCTGCGAAAACGGCACGGCTGCGGATGGACACAAGCACACCATTCCTGCCGCTGGTCAACGCGAAAGAGATTCTTAGAACCTCGGAGAAGTTCGATTGCGAAGAAGTCGTTGCATCTACTGTGTTCGAAACATCCCAAAACCCCCCCATCCACCCTTGCACTCGAATTGCGGATTCTTCCGACTCACCTTCAACCCTCAATATGTCCACATCTTCCGTGCTTCCAATCAATCCGCGCAACCGACACATTGCACGTCACCCTTGTCAACACTTTTACTAATGTTCCACCTCACCTCGTTCGCACTCTTGCCAAGCTCGCGACAAGCAGCGATTCATGAACGCTCCCCTCCATTTACCTCCTTTCGGATGCTCGCTCAGCGTTTGCCTCGCATTGATCCGCTAGCCGTCATCTTCACGAAGCTTTACCTTTGCACTCCTCCACTACGCTGCTCTCCCCTTCTTCGGCTCCCCCCTCCCCTCCTCCCCGTTTTGCGCCTCTTCCTAACTTTTGTGTGATCAGCGCACACCTGTTGTAATTCGCACTCCTCCGCACTTATTTGAGCGTATCACGAACCCCCGTTCGATGCTTGATAGCAGCCAGCGCTTTGCGGACGAAGCGCAGGTTCAGCGCACTGGGAAAAAGATTCGTGCATGGGTTGCGTGATCAAGTAGGCGTCGTGGTGTATGATACAAGGATTGCAGAGAGAAAGAGCAGGAGAGCGGCCGGGGGGGGCCAAATTTGTTGAATGATTGAGAAAACATGGGCGAATGCTGCTGCTTCGCGCGTCGCGCATTTGCTCCGAAGAATTTCTGCGCGCGTGAGCGCAGAGCCCCGTGTGGGGCCATTTCATTCGACCTTGGCGGAGAAATTCGAGGTGATGCCTTCCTTGACGATGCTCACCTCCACGTCCAATCCCGCTCTAAGCAGCACATCGATCCAAACCTTTTGCTTCTCCCTAAGCCTATCTCCCGGTCCCTTGACTTCGCAAAACCTCACCTTTTTCTCCTTCCAATTCCACACGACGAGGTCGGGCATGCCGGCCGTCATGTATTCTTCGCACATCATTTGGCAAATCACCGCTAGACCCTTTCCACCCACGCACTGTGCGATCTGCAATAGATCCTCGAGCGGATACGTGTCCCACTTGCAACCTATTGCCCAAGTTTTGCGCTGCGATTCTCGTTTGTGCACCTCCTCCATCAAGTCTAGTCCGCCCCTCTCTTCGATCAGGTGCAACCTCTGCCTAACCTGAGGCGCTCGAGCAACGATGAACGAATCCTCTCCTATATCCAACGGTGCGCTCTGATACGCCGTCTCGAAGGCGCCCGGAATAGGCAAGAAGATGACGTCCCACATCAATAGGGTGAAGAGCATGCTGATGATCGACCCTTCGCAATGATAGCCCGAATAGCCTTGCATCGAGTAGTGCTGCAGCACAAGATCTTCGACTCTGCAAGGCTCCGAATCTAGACCTCTCCAGATAGAAGACATGGACTTGCGCTCGATCGACGTCGTATTCCCAGCACTAGAAACTTCTCCAACGCTAGACCTGCTAGATGCAAACGAATCATCTTGCAAATCACTTGCGTCCGTCTCCGCCTTCTTGATCCCCTCGGCTTCGACCAGGCTGCTAGTGCTTGCATCTCTTTTGATCCCCTTTCTATTCACTCCCACAGGGCTGCTGGACGTATCCGCCTTCCTGGCGACGTGCGCACGTTCCACCTGGATCACTTTCCTCAATGGTGCTCGTTCTTGGAAGCCAGACAAAGAGTCTCCGTGGCTCGACAAGAGGCTTTCAGTCGAGGCCGATCTTTTAGGAGGACTTCTGCCACCACCACCAGCAGATCCCGACGTTCGTCTTTGACTAGGCATCACGCTTCCAAAGATCCCCCTTTTAGGCTCCATAGATGCCATCGCGTCAAGTCTTGTGCCTTCAAACACGCGGTCTCGACACGTGGCGAGCTTCGCATAGCTGAAGTCGTGCTTTTGCGAGAATGGAATGTTGAGTTGATTCTCCAGCCTCGTGATTCTTCTTTGAAGCGTATCGTGGTAGATCAGATGAGTATCGGAATCTTCGATGCCTTGAACTGCCACCTCCAGCGCTCTCATCTTTCCCCTTTTCGCGTCCCCATCCGCCGGGTACTGCGCCAGAATGAGCGCCAAACGATCGTACCAATCTCCTCTTCTACCTCTCCGAAAGGCTCTTTGAGCTAGCAAAGCCCTCAGCACTTCCTCTTCCCTCTCGTACAGTTTGAATCTTCCGAGCAGGTGCGCGCCCTTGTAGACGATCCTAGTCAAGGGCCAACCAGGATGAAACCTCATCTTGTGGTAGGTCATCCTATCCACCCCGTCCGGATTCTGCCTCTGAGCATCCTCCACGCACTCTTTCCACTCTTGCCAGACCGATTCGAAGATGTTCAATCCCTTTGCGAAGGCCTCTTTGCTGCCGTCCCACTCGATCAGCTCGTCGATGGTCACTTCTAGCCTCAAAGCTTTCTCCATCGATATGAGATGTTGTCTTGAAGCAAAGAGCGGAGCTGTCCTTTGATGTTGGTACACAGGGTACACTCTTCGCCTGCTCCGAGCCAGTACGGCAGTGGTCAATGCCGATCCTTCCGACTGAACCGTCGCGCGATAGTAGACCAGCGCAAGACGAGCTATCAAGCTTCTGGCTCTAGGTGCCAAGCGTACACAGTCACCTATAATGCCAGACATGTGCCATTTGAGCACGTCCATCTGGGAAGATCTTTTGGGCGGCGTGTGTGAGCCAGTAGCAGAGACTGACTTGGTAGGAGAAAAGTTGAGCTTCGTTTGACCCTTGATCGGGGCAGCCTTGTTGCTGTGGGTCGCTGACCCGCTCTTAGGACTTGGTCCAAACGAAAAGGTGCCTTGGGTCCGCGATTCTAGCAGAGTGGCAATCGCGATAGCTCGAGTGTTTGTATCGGAGCTCTTCTTGCTGCCCATCATCTTGGCCAGCCTCTTCAGCTCTTCCAAATTAAGCAGCTCTAGCGAAGCGTGCACGTCGTCTGGGTCCATCTCCTGTACTCCGAGGCAGAAGTGTCCCATCCTCTCCGAGTCATTGCTTTGCGATGCAGGTTGCGCAGAGCTATGGGATACTTGAGAAGGTTGCAGAAACACAGGCTCGCACAATTTTCGGATGGCCCCTGCCAAGTCGCCACAATCTCGCTCCTCGAATCGCAACCTGTCCGGCCGTTGCCACGCATCCCGACGTTGCACCAACCTGGCAAAGACGTAACGAGCGTCCGCTGAGGGTGGAGATCATCCAAGAGTCAGACTTTTACGCTTTCCGACAGCGCAAATCAGATCTGCGCCATCCTGCACTCACATGGCAATTGCTGATACTCTCTGAGCATCACGATTTCGAGAGGAGAAAAGAGATATTCCTCCTTTTCAAGGACCGCGTCGATCATCTCTCCCAGTATGGCAGGGTACATGCTCTCCCCAGTCCTCCTGGAAGAGGCGCTACTACTCGTGCTGGAGCTAGATAGATCGCTTGCTGATCGTTCCAGGTCCGGCTTTGGGGGAGAAGCGGGCTGTGAGGCGCCAGCAGCGCCGTCGGCAACATCACTGACATTTCTGCACGGTTCCTTGGAGTCATTCCCAACACCACGCGGGCTGAATCGGCCACTGGTATTTGTGCGCATGCGCTTGCCATCTCCAAAGAGGGAAGCTGAACTTGCCGCCATCTTTGAGACTTCGCCAAGCTGGGGCTGTTGCGAATCGTCTGCTGAGCGCTTGATGGGTCGCTGGTCGTCTACCAAGCAGAAGCTGCTGCTATCGCTGATCACCTGCTCCATGATGCGCAGGGACCGGTATACGCGGTCCTTCTTCCGCTCAAGACAGTCGCAGTACCGAGGAACGTGGTGATGATGCGGATTACATTTGGTGGTGGAAGAGACAAAGAAGAATAAGTCGTGAAGGTGTCGTTCGGTGCACAGAACAAGTAGCCAGTTGATGGTAGCTGATGTGGCAATCTTAAATATTAGGTCGACTCGATGCGCTCCGTCGCATCAAGCACGAAAAAGTCAGCTCTGTGGACTTTAGTGGACTTGAACTCTGATGCAAACCACAAATTGCCAAGCCCTTCTTGAACAGTGTTTGATACTCTTGACTCACGACTGTCAGGCCGATCACGAATCACGAAGGATGAATTTCAAATCGACTCGTACCTTGAGCGAGACCGAAGGTGAGTAACGCGATCGTGACTTGTCGACTCACACACGACTACTCGACTCAACGCGCAGAAACGCGTCAATGAAGCGAGACCCGCGCGTGTCGGTTGCGCGTTGGACCCTCTCCGCAACCGCGCGGTGCTGTGTGCGGCACGGCTGAAGGCGCGCGCATCGCGAAGGTGTACCTGCTGCACCGCACAACTCACGTGATACAAATCGTGAACTTTACGTGATATCATCAAAAATAGGTTGTGGTGCTGCCATACTCACGCTCACGACACACTATTCCCATACATGAGACTGGCCCAGATAACTCATAGGATGCTCGGATCAGCGAGGATGTTGATGATGGAAAGGCAGGCAAAGCGCGCGGCGTGACCCACAACAGTACCAGAGCGCAGAATCACCAATCAAATGAACGCGTATGGGCGCAAAGCCCCGAGTCCTCTCTGCGGCCTCTCATACCCACCAGGCGGCAGCAAAATTAAAATTAAGCGTCAAGTCTACAGCATGCACACTCAAACTAGCATCAGACCATTTGATTGGTTCGGCCAGCTCACACCGTCAAGAGGACAACAGCAACATATGCAACGCTCACAGCTGTGAATGAAAAGCTGCTACATCCATGGATGAATAAGCTGCATCGGCTAAGCATACGCTCGGTGCGGTACCGCTGTTTCGGGTGGCGTGGGCGCGCGGTGCCGCATGGTCAAGGACAAAGGAGAATCAACCGATCATATGGAGCAGGCGCTCTGCCCCGCGTCGAGCCACACCGCGCCGCCAACATCCTGCGCTCCATAAATACTCGTGACTCATCATGGCTGCTGCAAGGCGATTCTGATTGCGGCTTCCCTTGTCGTTCAACCGCCATTGCGCAGCGTTGCCTTCTCCATTCAATTCACGACTCGAGGAGGAGAAAGAGGAAGCGGTGAGGAATTGCTTCCATTGTCCAGGGTCGTCAGTGGCAGGATGGTCGGGCAGGTCGATTGACCTATTGCGTGGGTTCATTTGCTCGATCCGTCGCTAGGCAGTGCGCTGGCTGCCTTTAAAGTACAATGCTACTCTCGATGGGCTCCCTCGCACCGGACCCCTGTCCTCACTCCTCGTCCAAGGTTGTCTAGAAAGGTTGATTTGGTCGCGCTCTCGCTGCCTCGAACGCTTGATTCAGCTTGCTCTGGCTCGCTCGTCTTCTCGCCTCGCATACACACACTCTCTTTGCCCCTTCACTAATACTGCCGACTGTCGGCTCTCGACCTAGAAGCACCCAGCTTGGAGGGACCATCGAGCTCGTATCTATCCAGAATACGGCTGGTCCGTCACATTCAAATTCAAGCTACTCTGCTCACTGCTCTACCTGACTCGGCCTCGCCCCGCCAGACACGATGGGCAAGCTGAATCTGGGTCTATTGATTCCAGCCATGCTTCAACTATCTTCTCTTATCATCGTCTTGCTAATTCTCATAAGTCCAGCACCTTTCAATCACAGCAGCATCAGCTTGTTGCGCATCGAACCGTTTAACAACACCAACAGCAGTAGCGTCGGCGATTCTGCTGCGAACTCCAAGACTAGGCAGAGTTCAACCGTGTACTCGATGTCATTGAACACTTCCAACACCACTTCAGCGCCCGTGCCAATTTCGACGTCAAATTCGAGCGACGCACAGACGTCGGTGCCGATCGCGTCGATCACTACTGACGCCCCAAAGAGTGCATCGATCACAGCTGCTCCGACTCCGGGTCAAGCCAGCAATGCGCGTCCAACGGATATGGTTTCAGAGGCGGTGCAAGAGTCAAACGAGAACGTCAAAGCTGCTTCTACTAATTCCAGCGCATCCAACATCGTGCATCGAAGGGAAGACATGACCAAGAGACCCTTTGGCGTGCTCAACTCAACACAGCCCTACATTCAACCCTCAAGCTTGTCCAAGATCAGAGTCATTCTGGGACCGTTGGGATCGTGCACTATCGACGCTGATGGGAATAGGCGCTGCTCCAAAGCTCTACTGCTCCCCGCTTTCAATACTGTAAGCCTTGCGGCGGATCAGATAGGAGAGTACGACTTGCGAAGCTTGCCAAGCACCATCAAGGCTATTCCCATTATCCTCTTGGTGGTGCTCGTCATTTTCATCTTTTCTTTCGCTCTTGCTCTGCCACCCCTGCTCGCGGCATTTTTTCCCGCCAAATTTGGCTTCTTGATGCAAGCTGGACCTCGTGAGAGAGCGCTTAGACGAGCACAAAAGTGCGTGTTGTGGGCGATCATGTGCAGCTGGGTATTATTGGCAGCGAGCGGGATAAGTCTGCGCGTGACGTTCAGCTCTGCAAGGACCGCATTCAACGCATCCAACATCGAACGATCATTGCCCCTCACTTCGACCAAAGATGCCACCTACTCCGACGTAGGTCTACAAGCCGAGTTGGGAAACGCTTTCACACTCACGTGGGCCACTTTGGGCCTGTTGGCTGTTCACATGTTAATGGAGAGGAGAAGGATGAAGAGGGCAGAAGCTGTAGCGCAGGCGAGAGCGGATGTCGAAGCTCAGTGGGGTCGCAACGTTCTAGAAGCAGGTCAGAGCCTCGTCAAGAACGCTTCGGGTCCCTCGCCAGCGTTTCAATCTCCTCCATCCGCCGACAAAGAAGCGCAAAACATCGTGATGCACAATCTGCCCAAAGCCTCGACTTCGGCCTCTTCGATCGGTTCGGGCTCTGCTGCGAATCATTATTGGATCTCGAGCTCCAATGCGCATACCCCGTCGTCTGGCGCCCAGCATCACTATGTGCACGGATACGGGTTCGGACAAGCGCCGTCCGTCGTGCACACTCAAGAAAGGGAGTACCTATGCGACTCGCCCGTCCAGATGAGACGAGCGCACTCTCCACCTCCTTTCGAGAGGTACATGAAATCTCGCCAAGAGAGGGGGTGGGAAATATCAAGAGGCGCAAATCGCGGTGTGACCTGCTCGCCCGCTCCTACAGAGAGCGCTTATGAGCACCATATGCGATCTGTGGAAGATTTGGATCTGGTCGATTCTGCGCTCGCGTCGGAAGGACATGGATTTGGAAAGAGCGATTGGAAGGATCATCAGTGCGGTGCTTCTTCCTCTTCGCATAGTCATGCAAATGGTCGACCGGTCCATCGCAAGGCTTCCTTCGAGTCGTGCCAATCCAACTCGCATTCCATCTCTCGAGGAATCAGCCCCGCTCCATCCTATTGGTCCCAAGCTCATCAGACTTCAACTTTCCTGGGCGCGAGCTCGAGCGCCGAGATGGAAAAGGCGAGGGAGGAGGCCAAAGAGGCTAGAGCTAGAGTGGAGTGGCTAGAGAGAGAGCTGAGGGAGAGGGAAAGAAAGAATGAGGAGTGGAAAGAGGAGATGAAGAGAGCGGAGAGGATAGAGATGATCAAGAGGAGACAGAGAGGTGGATTGGGTTATCGCACGTAGATCGATCTGCAATGCTCGTGCCATGCTGCTGTCCACTTTCGCTTTTGCTTACCGCGGTCTTCGAGCAGGTATATAGCGGTTCAAGCGATGCTCGAGCCTGCCGCCGACCAGTAGTCGCTTTGCAACCCTCGCCCAAATCAACAGTGACTTGGCGACTTGTACTGTACTCCACATTACGTTCACTCATTACCGATGCTTCATGAGTGAATAGCCACTCTAGTAGTCTGTGCGTCAGTGTGTGGAGATGCCAAGGGATGTTGTGATCCTCGCCTTTTCTGCGCTCAATGTATGCCCTTTGAGCGGCTGCACACATGCTCGACCAAGGAGGGCTCTTTGCACACATCTTGGCTAAAGAAGGCAATCTGGGAGAGTTTGCAAGACTTTGCTGTGTTGATGACATCGCACAAATTACAATGATAAATTTTGACACGGCCCATGGGAGCGAGGTCGAGATGAGAAGAAGAGGATGGCAGGGTGATTGCGACTCTCGATTCTGATTGTACACGCTTGCTCCATCGCGCGTGCCCCGTGCTTCAGACTCACCACTCGATCGTGAGGATTGGCCGACACGTTGCGGAGCTGCGCGCAATTCAAATGTTTGTAGAAAACGTGCTTCGGGCAGCAGCGAGTGCGGCGTTGAGCTGGGCCTGCCTGCATGCATGCAGCCTCACCAATTCGTGATACTCGCGGTTTGTGCTGATTACCGTTGCATGCGATATCACGCATTGCAGTCGAAGTCACACTCACACTCACACTCACACTCACACTCACACTCACACTCACACTCACACTCACACTCACACTCACACTCACACTCACACTCACACTCACCATCACACGGACCTCACTCAATGAGTCACAGCAGTGTTTGTAGCTGAATACACCGCCGACCATTCTCCCTGACTAACTTCCAACTCACAATCAATAGGACATCTATCCCAGCAACAAAAGCGGACAGGGGGCACAAGCAAGCCGATTACCTTCTCGAGCTAAACGTGCCACCTCGGCTGCACATCTGTGATCCTCCTTCTCACAAGGAATACCATTCAGATCCGACCTCGTGCACCTTCTCGCACCACCCCGACGATCTCGACATGTCTCGACCGGTGGGGTCCGAAAGGTGGGGCAAAGGTTGGGTCTCACCTTCCGACATAGATCCGGACGATCGTTCTGCCCTTCCTCTACATCTCGGAAACGGTGCGGCGTGGTCTAGTCAAACGGGTGGAGCAGTACCGACGAGGAATTGGGCAGGTCCTTGGCCCATTTGGCCCGCTTCCCTCAACAAAGGCAAAGGCAAAGGAGGCCCTAATCCGGAGAGTTTTCATAAAGGCGATCAGTCGGTTGTGGATCTGGCAAAAGATGTTAGGATTCAGAGCGGTAGGACTTGGGCTTGCTTCGCCACAGGGCCTTGTCACGCTTGTCCTAGAGACGAGGTGAGTGTCGTGCTAGTCAAGGCTGCAGTGTGGGCTTGACAAGTCGAAGGCAAGCATGTCCTATATGCGTGATGCTGCTCTACAGCTCGCCGGTCTACATTTGCTGCGCTTGGCCCAATTTTTCCACCATCAATCTAACCTTTCACCCTACATCCCATATCAGATTCATCAGCCTTGGTGCGAGCCGTACGGCGCTCGCAGGCCGATCGAGTGCGCACTAGTTACCTCGACAACATCCACTCGGCCTTCCCTCAATTCTACCGGCTCATCTTCTTCATCTGGTACAATCAAGGATCCCTTACCGCTAGACACGCGCGATTGGAACATTCCGCAGCTGGATCCCTCCGCATTCAGACGGGCAGATGAGAAAGGAGGGGTCAGTCATGCACCCCTTGTGAGGATGGGATACGAGACTTGCGGCAGGGATGTGGATGCTACGAGAAACGGCTGGGTCAGCTTTCTGGTGAGTTCACAATGTCAAAATGCTCCAGGTGCGCGACTTGCGAGTACAGAGCAGAGCGCAGACACGGGGCGCATCTCTGGCTTTCATTTGTCCCTCTTCATGACCCGTAGCTCATTTGCGTCTCTATTGATCATCCGCAATAATCAGCTGCTCGACCTGTTCTTAGCACTCGGAGCACTCTTTCTCCTTGTGCAGCGGCAAAGGCTGCTAGCTTCGAAGCACCGCAATGTCCTTGCCAGCCGGGTAGGCAGAGGCTCATCGCGAGCATGACGCACTACTGTTCATTCCTGTGCACGATGCATTCCGGAAATTTCTTCGCTGCAACCCTGGCCGCAATTTTTGCACCGCTTTCGGAATACTGATCGGACACGATGAGTGCACAATTCAAAGCAAATGGCGCTGCAAACATACACCCGCGTTGCGGAATCGAGAAGAAACAGATGGTGCGAATGCGAAGGTAAGAGAAGAGAGTCGATCGACCACATTGAACTCGAGAAGACTTCACCAACCACCATGGGCAAGATCCATGGTCCCGAGCACGATCAGGGCAATGCCAAGCGGCAAAATACCAAAGACTACCAGAATGTCCTGGTACAGCCTCCTGTTCCTGGTCCTTTTCTGCAGTTGATGTTCCTTTCTAGCCAGCAAAATCCTCGTCGCTTCATCGCTCGAAAGAGCGGCCGTAGCCTCGTTCTGCCAAGTCGGAGCCGAGCTTGCGTGATCTTCAGAAGCTTGCCCCGAAGGCGGTACAATGCCTCTAGTGTCCAAAGACTCCCTGTACCTTTGCGAAGAAGCCTCGCCATTCAATAAAGGTTCGCTTTCTCCCTGTCGCGCTCTTCCGCGATTGCGTGCCAAGACGCTCAAGGGACCCATGAACCAAGCGCCGGCGCTCTTGCTCCACTGGCTAGCCGCAGCCAGTGGCAAGATGGCTCTGGGCTGTCTGAGCATGAAGATGATGATCCAAACCAGGGCAGGGGTGACGAATCCGACGGCAGCTCCCAAAAGACCCAATACCTCGCTGCCGTGCACAAAGCGAGCTTCTTCGCCCTGCTTTTCGCGCCTTCGAAGGCCTCCTACGCCGCTGAAATAGGCCGTGGAGGCCGTCAGACCCCACAGGATCAAGCCCCCCAAGGCGTTGCGTGCCAGCTTACCCCATGCCCGTGGCGGCTTCCGTGTTGACCTACCGCCGGTCCCAGTTGCAGCTCGCGCTGGGCGGGTCGGTTGTTGAGACTCTAGCGCAGCGTAAGACCGAGGGGAGGGGTCCGCTGCGTTGCTTGCTGCTGCATGCGCCTGACGTTTGCGCAAAGGATTCAGACGGAAAAGACGTAGCAATCGGCCCCAGGATGAGCGCGCCGTGACGAGACAGAGCGCCAAGTGCGAAGAGAGGATGAGCACGAAGAAGCCTCGTGCCAAGTTGAGGAGATGATCGTCCCTCGGTAGCGACGCGAATAGATTAGCTGTTGCGATAGCGCGACGGAGGGATGCGAAGAAGCAGCGATCTTTGGGGTTGAGCACGCCCATCATTAGCGTCCGTGGGACACTAGAACGAGGAACTCACGATGAATGTCGACGCCCATCCGATCTTTGATGCCTTGCGTTCCCACGCCAATGCCGAAAGCGACACTGAAGCCAACCACGAAGAACACTTGGGCAGCTTGGGCGGCCAAGAAAGCCTTGACATTGCTACCACTGAGACCTCTTCTTCGCAAGCTCCTATTGTGCGCCAGAATTTGCAATGGACTGCTCGAGAGGGTCAAAAGAGGCAGCAAAGAGTAGGGCGCCCACACGCTGGGATCGTGTAGAGGATTGAAACTTGGAATTTTGTCGTGAGGATCCAAACTTGGCTTGTCGTGCGGTGTGTGAGAGTCGTCTGGCGCAAGCGTGTAGACTTTCGACAGCGCTATGGCCAGGATGACAGGATAGAGCGAGACGGCGAAGAAGGTTGATAATCGAATCAGGGTGCGCTTAGCGAGAGGGAACACGACCAAAGGAGTGGTTAGGAGGCCACCAATGAGAAGCGTGACTAGCGCCCGATCGTGCAGCGCACTTCCGGACGGAAAATAGTGAAAAAGCACTTGGAGTAAGAGATCGGCAAGCGCAAAGTACGCAATGACCGCTGCACCGGTCGCATACACCGCCAAGAGGATACCAGAAAAGGCTCGCCCTAGGTTACCTTTCCAGCGCGTGTGCCTACCAAAGCTCGCTCCAGTGATCGCCTCTACGGTCGACCCTTTGACGTAGCGGCTGAGCACGACCCAGAGGCCACCGCCCGCACCTCCAAGAATGGCAACGACGACTAGGCCTCCCACTCCAGCTGCTATGCCCGTTCTCTCGAAGTAGTAGGGCATGGAGAGTAGAACCGCAGGATGGAGCGAGGCAGCGAACAAGTTGGAGCTGACGTGAGGCGCTGAGAGCGAGGCGTGCGCTGGTGAGGAGTGAGTGAGCCACTTCCAATAGCGCTTCGTGCGAGTAGAAGAGGGTTTGAGCGTTTGGAGATAAGAGTCTGCTCTGGCTCTTCCGCCACCCCGCTCCGCTTCATCTTCACCGTTGGTGCTCTGGACTGGTCTGACAATCCTTCTGCGCTCTTGGTGTCCGCCGCTGGACAGAGCCAAGGGAGCACCCTCATCTTCCGAGTCCGTATGACCCTCTTCTCCTCCTTCTTCGTTCTCTTCCTCCTCATCCGACTCGTCCCACGCAGCTCCGTTCACTCCTTCCTCTCGACCCACCGAAATACTTCGCAAAGCGTCAGCCTCCTCGTCATCTTCATCTTCAAACGCACCGGCCGCTCCTTGGCTCGGTGACTCCGCTCGCAACTCTCGTCCTCGTGCTGTAGTGTGCATGGAGATGGAAGAGCGCACAGAGTGATTGGGACTGACTGTTCCATCCGCTACTCGCTCCGCTCTTGAGTTTGCCATGTTGAGTGGAGGTGCGCGTTGGGCGCAGGGCTTAGCGAGTGTCGAAGACGAGGAGGAGCGCCGAGCGATGTTTGGGTGATCAGGCGCAGAGGCAGGTCAAACGTTGAGGTGATCGCCTTGGACGACCTGCTTCATCGCTCGCACCAAGAGCAAGTCAGGGTAGTGAAAGCTTTAGGGCATGTAGGTGGCCGAGCGGCTTCCTGTGTCCGCTTGCACGGGCTGGCGATTCGTGAATCTGAATCGTGAATCAGAATGTCCCGATCGGATCGAATAGGGCACGGCGCTCTCGATCCTCTCTCAGCGGTCAAGCTCGATCCTGCATGCCTGTCATGCAAGCACTTACGATGATGTCGTCCTTGGTCTCGATCGAGTTCGCGATCACGATCCCGTTTAGTCACGTGTTTTGGCGCGCTTGCCTCGCGACACGCGACCTCGCAGCGCGTCGAGGATATGCAGCCAGCATGGCCCACAAGAACAAAAAGATGTGCCGATCGAGCAGCAGTCAGAGGCCGTTGAGCGTGCATCCGCCGCCATGCAGAGCGAGGGCTTGCTCATCTCGCGCTCTGAGACCGCGGTTTGTCAGCTATCAGAGACAGATGAGCATTCAGATTGAGGACAGATGGAGGTGCTCATCATTTCATCTCTCATGTCTCCCATCAAGTGCACGCGATGCTCACGACGAGGCAAGAATAAGGCGCGGAAGGGATGACGTAAAGCACGCTTGTGGCCGCGGGAGGGACGGCATGTGCCTGGCTGATATATGCGCGAGGTCTGCACCGGCGCGCCCGCGTGTTGTGTTGTGTTGTGTTGGTTGAAGCGCGTCTCAGCCCGCGGCGGGGACGGTCGTTTGAACGAGCGTGCCCGTTCCCCTACCTGCCCGTCTCGCAGTCGGGAGGTGACTGTACCGTGGGTGAAATGCCGCTCGCATCCAAGCTTGGAACGAGTGAGATGCGCCATGCAGCGCGCTTGGCGTGCGCACCGTACCGGTAGAGGACAGGTCAACATGAGACGCGAGAGAAAAGAGAAAGTAGTAAATGGTTGGTGCGTTCCTATCCTTGAACTTGCAAGGATGCAAAACGATCCAGCAGGTTTGATTTGATCCATTGCATGTCGACTTCTCGATCCACGATTGCTCTGGCGTGCACCTCGACCGCTTGACTTTGCTTTCGCCCCTTAGGGAGTGGACACTTGAACGCAGGGTTACTACTCAAGCACCCAGCACTTGACTTGCCGCTCTTGACCATCATCGACATCCTTGCTACAGGTCGATCCAGCACCACCACCACCACAACCATCGACAGTCGGCCGACCACAAATCGCCGCCCACGCCGCGCGCCATCGGTCCACTCAAGTTGGAAAAAGTATCGCCTAATCAAACTTACACCTTATCGACGATCTTCTCCTGTCGTCCAACGACCCACGCCCCGACCTCGTCCAGCAAAGCCTCATTCCAATTACCGTTGCATAACGCATCGCTGCCTCTAAGAGCTCAAGCACATCCCTCCCCGGCTACTCTTTCTCATCCACAGTATCAAACGATGGCAGCGACAGCAGCCTGGCCCGCTCCTCGTGGGGGTCCATCGCGTATGATGCCGGGAGGATTTGAGAGTCGGCACGCTCCTGGGAGCGTTCGGGACGCGATGCAGCCACGCACAGTCCGACCCGAACAAGCCCCACGCTCTTGTAGAGCTCAAGCGCCAACCGGAGGTGGACCTGCACCGCTTGAGGACCTTCCCGATGAATTGGCAGATGGCCTCTCGCCCAGCAAGAAGAAGAAGAAGAAGGCAGCAGAGAAGAAGAGAACCAAGACTCAGATGCCCGAATTCCCCGAGGAAGTGATGGATGAAACGGGCGCTTTTTGGAAATCTGGCAGGGTGCTTGGTCAGGTGAGTGACGTCTAGAGGCTGTTGCCTGGCGTAGCGAATGTCTGAGCAATCTTCTATGCCCAAATACGACTCTTGCAGGGAGGTTTTGCTAGGGTGTACGACATGTCGGATGCTCATGGCGCACGCAGAGCATTCAAAGGAATCAGCAAACTCGCCTTGATCGAGAGCAAGAAGAACAAGGCTAAGGTGAGCGTGGTACATGCAATCCTCTGCACCCTTGCTCGATGGCTTCGGCTGCTCATTCTGTGGCAAGCATTCTCCTCGCACTACGCAGCTGTTAGCAGAGATCATGATCCACCGATCTCTGGATCACCCAAACATCGTGCGCTTCGAAGAAGCGTTTGAAGATGACAACAACGTGTACTTTAGGCTGGAGCTCTGCAAGAATGGGGTGCGTTGATGCTCATCGACTACGCACCAGGTAGCGAACGAACGCTCACAGCTGTCTTCCGCGCATTCGCACAGAGCATGAACGACATTCTCAAACGTCGCGGCGCATACACTGAACCAGAGACGCGATTCTTCATGATTCAGATCCTTGCCGGGGTACAGTACATGCACATCAACTCGGTGATCCATCGAGATCTCAAGCTCGGCAATATCTTCCTGGATGAGGGGATGAACGTCAAGATTGGTGATTTTGGATTGGCTGCTCTGCTCAAGTACAGGGGCGAGCGCAAAAAGTGAGTCGGGTTCTGCTGCCGACAACGACGTAATGCTGACCTTTTCTTGTGATCCCATGCTGACAGGACAATGTGCGGCACACCGAATTACATTGCACCTGAGATCATCGAGGATCCTCACTCCGAAGGACACAGCTTCGAGGTCGACGTATGGTCTGTTGGTGTGATTCTGTGAGTCTCTGTAGTTCATGATCGTCTGCATCGCTTCAGCCTCTGACTTCATTTTCACTTTTGCAGCTACACTTTGCTCGTCGGAAAGCCTCCTTTTCAGACCAACGATGTCAACGGCATCTACGACAATATCAGGACGAGCAACTATCAGATCCCCAGCGACGCGAGGATTAGCCAAGAGGCGTGCGACCTCATAACCCTTATCCTGGCGCGTAACCCCGGTACGTGATCGGAGAGTGATTTCGGCTTGCAGTCGACGCAGATGACATCTGACTTTCTTTCGCTTTGGTCCGATGTAGCCGACCGCCCATCCCTTATTCAAATCATGAATCATCCGTGGTTCCAAGTAGGAGCGGTGCCTATCGGCGTTCCCCAAAGCACCGCGATGGGCATTCCAAGCGACATCATCCTGCCTCGGACGGTGGCAGAATCCCGCCAAAACTTTGAGCGTCTCAAGGCTGCTGCTCGCTTCCGCGACGATGCGGACGACCCAGTGGACGAAGATGCCGACATGGTAGACGAGAATGGTCAGGCCAGCGTCAGACGTACTGCCAGGGAGGAGAGGCGAGAACAGGAACGCGTCGAGGAAGAGCGAGACAAGCTTAACAGGAGAATCAATCAAGCTGTGCAGCCTGGCAGCCCCATCGCCTCCTTACTCAAGTACGTATACGTGCAGAGCGGTGCCAGCCTTGATAAAGATTGTGCTAATCATAGTCATCACGTCTCCGATACGCAAACAGAGCTGGGCGACAACCACTGGTCAGGGTTGGTGGAGCTGGGGCCTCGGCGAATGCGGCCGTTCGCACTGGCGTTTCTAGCCTTGCCAAGCAACTCAGCCAGCTTAACGTCAAAGCCCAACATGGCCACGGCACAGCTGCTCCCAATGGAGACAAGATCAGTGCTTCAACTCGGGCTCGAACGGTCGACAAAGAGAACGCAGGACCTGGCAGCGGCATGCCACCTCCACAGTTACCTCGCTCGCGTCAAGGACACGATGGTGAAGCACTCGATGTGGACGAGAGGCGTTTGCTGGGTCAAAAGGCCCGGCTCGTGGCGAGCATGACGGCAGCCGCTGGCAGCGCTGTGAGCGCCGCGAGTGCAGAGTCGGCGAATCGTAGAGCTCGTGCTGGCGATATCGACAGAGCATACGAGCAGCACCTTCAAGCTGTGCAGCAGCCGGGCAAGAAGCTGTCTTCATACGAGGCCACTGTCAAAAATCTCGGCGACGCGCTCCGCTGTTTGGACGACGACTTGCCATTTGAGGCTGTCGACTCGGCGGGCGACCCCATCGAGGTTTCTCTGTACGAGGACCATGCGGATCCGCAAGGACTCAAGCGTCCAATCTTGCGACACGCCTTTGTGCTTTGCTGGCTGGACAACATGGACCGCTTCGGCCTTGGATACGGCCTGTCGGATGGGTCATTGGGCGCATACTTCAGAGATGGCTCGTCAATGGTGTACAACAACAATCGCACATACTGCGATTTCAACTACCCGGTTCGCACACGTCCTACGAGTTCTGCCAGCAACGCCGCCGACGAAGGAAGGGCTGGCCCTCGCGAGCTCAGAAGAGAGTCATTACCATTACCTGAACAGCCTGCGAGGGACACCACTCAATCTGACTCGGTCAGGACGCGTTGGCGCATCATGGCGCACTTCGAGTCGGAAATTCACGAGCGTCTGCTCGGAATGGACCACCCTTTGCTCCATCCCGATGTGGAAGCCGAGAGCGGCATGCCTTTCGTACACAAGTGGGACAGAGCCACCAACGCCGTCGTCTTCCGACTCAGCAACGGCATCATCCAATTCAACTTCTTCGACCACATCAAGGTCTTCCTCTCCAACGAAGGCTCCGTCGTCTCGGCCATCGATGTTGTGCGTGCCGATGGAGGCCCAAGCATGCGAAGCTGGCTTCTCTCGGATCTGATCGCCATTGCGCACAACGATCGATCGGCAAGAGAAGCCGAGGATGAAGAGAGGGTTCAGAATGAAGGAGCCGAACCAACTCTGGCTCGCACAAAGCCAGCAGATAGGAGGTTCGCTAGAACCTTGATTCGCAAGTTGAAGTACATGCATGGAATTTTGGCTCCTAAAGCTGCGCCGTCTGCTAGAACAATCAAGCCTCCCGTCGCTGGCACACAATCCGCTGGTGTTGCCGGTGCCTCGGCTGCGAGCGGCGCGATACGGACCAATGCTCTGACTCGCACTGCAAGCACTGCAAGCGTTGCTAGCTCCGCCACCAGTAGTCACATCACTGGTGCCTGAGCAAGCGGTTCCACGCGGCACCACATCATCCTAATCTATTCGGCAGATCTCGAGCCCACTACAGCATTGCTCCTTTTCTCGCTCGTCTCCTCCACAACTATTCAATTCGTTTCCACAAAGCTTGCTCTCGAAAGTTTTTTGCTTCTCTCCATCTGCCGATGTGATTCTTCCATCTCTCCCTGCCTCCACAGATATCGACACAAAGCTCCGGCATGACGACGCAGCCCCGTGCTAGCTGGTCGATCACAGGCTCGCGCTTCGCGCAATTTCTGCACCCTGAACCAACTCCCAGAATCAGAATCAAACGACTCCACAATCAAGCACAAGACGACTCTCACCACCAGAACTCTAGATGGATCTTTCACAGACCTCCTTTTTCTGACGAAAGAAGAGCCCTTCTGCAATTGCAATTTCCATATGATCTTAAAGCGGCTGTCTTGCGAAAGTAGTAGTGCAATTAGGATGCGATGTGATGATTAGCCAAAGGTGGTGCGGAAGTACTCTGCACCGATGATAGCAATGTCCTGCACGAGGTCCGCGAGGTCTGTGAAGCTCGTCTGGGGGTGTACGACGAGCCTGGATACCGAGAGTGTGTGTGTGTGTGTGAAGGGTAAGATAATGGGCCGTCTTGCGCCTCGTCTCGCTCCTCAAGCACATCCACTCACCTAATGAACTCGCCGATTTCTCCAGGCAGTGGAGCAAAGTCTACCGCAAACCTTCTTCTCTGGCGCAAAGTTGCATGAACATGTCGCGTGCACTTCGAAAGCGCCTCGATTTGTTCATCCTTTCGCAGACGGCGAAATTCTTCTAGAGATGTGGTAGGTCTGAAGCAGACCTGCAGGAAAAGCGGATCGGGCCTGGGGCCCGATTCCAATGTGTGCTTGTACTTTTCCGAAGAAGTCAGATCGGCGACTCTTTGAGCCAGCTCGAAACCTCTATCCACATGCTCGCCCAGCCCTCTTCGACCGTACCTGTTCCAAAGCAAGTACAGTTTGAGCGCATCCCCCCTCCTCCCACAGCCATACGCCAAGGCACCTGGATTTTCTCGACGAGCCAAATGACGCGATCGAGAGGTGGACTCTATCCCTACTTGCGAATCGGTGTGGAACAGGTAACCAGCGTCGAGCGAATTTGCCTCGAGGGATGACCCTCTTTTGAACACTGCAAAGCTACACTGCAATGGTCTGAACGGTGCTCGTCAAAGAGGCGAACGAAGATCAATGTTGTTTATGAGCAACGGACTTTGGCAGTGGTTCAACAAACCCAAGACTCTGCTCACGCGTTCAAGACCTTGTGAGGATTGATCGCGAGCGAATCGCACTTGTCGATCCCACTCATCAACTTGGCCCATTTTTCAGAGAAGAGAACGGGACCTCCCCAGCTTCCATCGACATGAAGCCAAAGCCGGTACCTTTGGCAGACCTCAGAGATGGCTTGCAAGTTGTCGAATGACCCCAATACGGTACTGCCCGAGGTAGCGTTGACGAAGAAGGGGACACCCCTACGCTCTGGTGGTGCAGCATCACCGTCTTTCGCTGCAATAATGAGCCTTTCCAGTGCTGCTACATCCATCCTGCCCTGAGCATCACAGGGCACCTTGACCACGCTTTCCAACCCCAGCCCACATCCCATCGCAGCTTTGTCAAGCGAGTAGTGGGACTGAGCAGAGGTGAAGAGCAAAGGTCGACAAGCATTGATCTCCGTTCCTTCGCGCATCAAGTCCTTCATGATGCCCAGCATCCCTTGCTTTCTGAAAGCTGGAAACCTGTTCTGTAACGCTGTTTGCATAGCCAAAGTGTTGGAGGAAGAGCCTCCAGGCATGGTGAGTCCGTCCGCTTCTTCCGCATTCCAGCCGCAGAGCTTTGCTAGACCTGCAACGCACGTCTCTTCGGCCAGGCAAAGCATGGGAGATGCGGACATGACGTGCCCGTTAGCATTCAGAGTCGAGAGCAAATTTTCAGCTGCTAAGCCTATTGGTCTAGGAGCGGAGTATAGCTTGTCCAAAAATCTTCCAGTGTAGGGGTTGATGCTGTTGTCGAGGATGCTTCGCATATTGTCGAACAGCGCATCTTCAGATTGAGCTTCTTCGGAGAGGTCAAGAGTCACATTGTCGCGCAATTGTGAGCTGGACGCCCATCGACTGACCAGACTGTCCGACTGTTCTCCTCTCTTGATCCATTCGATCGTCAGCGCCGACAATCGGCTCAAGTACTTCTCTGCCTCTTCTGACGCGCTCATTGATGCTTCCGCTTTTGCATACGATACTTTGGCATCTGCCTTGGCTACTTCCGCCTTTTCCACGGCTGCGCCATTCTTGGGCTGCTCAGCATCGATGCTGACAGGTGCCATCCTCGTCGCTTCAACCCCGCGTATCGATATGCGATCTCTTCGACACAATCGACCTTGCTGTTCTTCAAGTCAGGCTTGCAAGCGTGAGTGGTGGTGAAGAGGAGATGTATTCTCGGTCTCAGCATCCACACGGACAGAAATTACGAATGACTCGGCTTGCACGAAGGAAAACGACGACCGAGAAAGCGCAGCCGGCCGATTTTGTGCAGCCGCGCGCTCCTGGTTCCACCGGAGATCCGCGGCTGAAGCGGAAGATGTTAATCGCGATCGCTGAAAACCCACCTCGCCTGCAGTCACGAGTCTGGCTGCGCGCTCACGGCTCACGAGTCACGAGTCACGACTTTGACTGTGACTGAACGACTCACATGCAAAGCTTGCGTGGCATACCGATGCAGCCATGCAATTGCCTGCAAAGGTGTGGTCAGGGTAAAAGGGTACAGTCAAACCGCAAGTCACGAGTCCAAGCGTAGATGTAAAGGGACGACTTCTCCAGCACCTTCGTCTGTTGAAGCACGAGACTCGAATAGCTGATGCGCTTTCAAAGCTCAGCAGTGGGCGAAGAAATTCGCATTGAATTGAATTCTTCATTACGACTCGATTCGTGACTGCCAATAAGTCAGGGTCTCCAGTATCTTAATGTCGCGCTAAAAGGTCTCGCCGTCAGCACCAAAAGGGCACGCTCGCGCGTCTCTGATGCAGCTGCAGATCGACAACAGACTCGTGACTGTCCTGATAAATTTAGATTGGTGATTGTTACGTCAGAGTCGTGTCGGCTTTCCCAGCTCTCGGGGAATTGTGAGCACTTGTCACATATATACAGCTATTGAGTCCGAGGCTTGATCTGATGCTACTTGTAAGTGAGGCGTGATTCGATCCGAAGATGCGCGTTGCCAAATCCGAATTCATCTCATCAGGATCGTGGCTCTTGCTTCTGCACGCAAATAACTCTTCCACACCGGTCTCACTCGACCCACACTCAATGAAGCGCGGAGAAGAGCTTTTTCAGAGACGCGCGAGCTGGCCGAATTTGACGTCAAGGTGGCCTTCACTGGATTAGAAAGCTTCTCAGTCGCGAAAATTTGACATCTTAGAATCAGTGCAAAGTGATAGGATAGGTACAGAGGAGCAGTAGATGCTGCGGGCCGCGCAGCAGAAGTGGTCTCCAAAGAAGTCGAGCAGGCAAGGTTGGCACGATGGACACCATCGTCGTGAGTCAACATCAATCGCGCTTAGACATGAAGCCCGCAGCAACGGTCTCACAAAGCGCTCGGTGCTGACCATGTGACCAACCTCACCCCCAACCAAGCCCGGCGCTCTGGCCGCGTTCTTCGTAGACATCCTGATCTTTCCCTTGGACACCATCAAGACTCGCGTGCAAGCTCCTGATCGCGCCACACGTTTCCCGAACAATCGTGGGTTCTACAAGGGGCTTTGGCAAGGGTTGGGACCGATCATAGTCGTCACCCTACCTAGTGGTGAGCAACAGTTGACAAATGTAGCCCCTCTAAGAAAGAAAAGAGGGAGGGGGAGGGGGGGGGGGGGGGGGGGGGGGGGGGAGAGAGAGAGAGCGATCGCGCGCGCGCTGAGACTTGTTCTTCATCCACGTTTTGAAATTCGCAAAGCGGGACTATTCTTCACGATCTACGAAGAATCCAAGTCGGCTTTGACTTCCGCAGATGTGCCCTTGATAGGGCAGTACACTTCCATCGCGAACAGCAATGCCCAAGCCTTGGCGCACGGTACCTCTTCAGCCATGGCGGAGCTCTCGTCTTGCGCACTGCTTGCGCCTGCCGAGATGATCAAGCAAAGGCGACAAGTGTCAGTGCAGGGCAGCCTATCTTCCACGGTAAGCGCAAGCACTCGAGCGATCAAGAGCACGCTCAAAGAGAGGTCCGTCGTGATGTGGAGAAGCTACAAAGCTCTGGCGGGTAGAAACCTTCCCTTCACAACTTTGCAATTTCCAATCTACGAGTGGACAAAGGAAAAGTTGACGAGGAGGTTTGGCTTACCTTCTAGAGGCAAAGGGCGCAATGGTAGCGGCATCAGATCAGCACCTCTGCAAGAGGTCAGCCACGCTTCCGAGCGATTCGAGCAGGCCGACAAGGACCGAGAACGTGCTCGTGCGCGAGCTTTCCGACAGTTGGAACAAGCCAAATCGCTCGATCCACATCTTGCGGGATCCTCCGCTCGAGAAGAAGCAGAGGCAAAAAGAAGAAGAGCAGCCGCAAATTCTTACTATCTCAAAGCTGGATTGGTCAGCGGAGCAAGCGCTGCGGTAGCAGGCAGCGCGGCCGCATGGATCACCACGCCCATAGACGTCGTAAAGACGCGCATCATGCTCTCTTCCGAATCCTCTTCCACCACTTCCGCCTCCAAGAGTTCAACAAGCTCGACGCAAGGTATCGTTCGGTCGGTCATTACCATAGCTAGGGAAGAAGGTGCAACAGCTCTGTTCAAAGGGGGCGCACTCCGCATGGCTTGGACTGCCCTCGGCGCAGGTCTCTATCTCGGCGCTTACGAAGCTGGCAGAGAATGGTGGATGGATAGCGCAAAATGGAAAGTGGAGGGTTTGGTGGAGGAAGTGGAAGAGACCATAGAGCAAAGGACTGGCGTCTTCAGATCTTCATAGACCAGACGAGTCTGTGATCGTTCTTTGTTCATCACCAACACACCTCTTGGAATCATGTCAATGGCGATAACAATCTGAAAGGCGACTGCTTGCCAGGCAGCGCTGCTTGTTGGACTAAGTCTCGTGGCATTCGAAAGGTCCTCTCGCCACGGAAGCAAGCCGAGCCTGCCCGTACGGCGAGTACAAATACAATCGTCATGTGCAAGAATGCAGTTGTCAAAGACAGAGAGCTCGAAGTAACACCTGTGCGATGGGTAGTTGCAGTCTTTGCAACCTGAAAGCGTTTCCACGTAAGCTGCGATTGAGCAAAGAGAAGCCAGCTAGAACTCGTGGTTGGCAGCCATGATGTCGTGTTCTCTCTGCCGCGGTTGGGATGCAGGCTGGTGTGTCGGCGCGTCCGGCAGACGTTTAGAGGCGACGCTTCTCGCATTTGGAGCAGCAGAGCGACCATAATTTGCGACTGGATCTTCGGGACCCTCATCGTCGAGACTGTCCGCCAGGCTATCCGGTCGTCTGCCGTTCGCACGCCTGCTGGCGCCTCCTCCCCCTCCACCGTACAGGTCATGGCTGAGAGGGTCCGCGTTGACATCTCCAGAGTACTCATTAGACCCTGCGCCGTACTCGTCGGCAGGGGTGCCCATGATATCGTCGGTGCGAGCGTGCCTGTCCTTCTTGCCACCCCTGCCTCGAAGAGCGGACTTCTTCTTCGCTTTGCGCCTGGCCGCTTCTCCCGCTCCTGGCAAAAGCCCGTCATCTCCGGCACCAAGGGAAGCGTTGCTCCCATTACGTTGCCTATCGTAGGCATCACCGTCCCACTCATTTCTCTTCTGCTGTTGGGCGTCCTCCCCGTAAAATTGCTCTCCATCCAACGCATTCTGACGTCTGGCAGCAGCGGCTGCTGCTCTGCGCTGCGCACCTCCAGCATCGCCATCCTCAAACCGGTGATCGTAATCGTAGGTTGTGGGGTTGCCATTGTCATCGTACATGCGCCTTTCTGAGAGCTGGTCGTTGTACCTGCCGGTCCACGCACGCTTCTTGGCGCGCCTTTTGTCGTAGGCATCGTCGACGAGCCCGTATCGCTTCGCCCACTTTGGCGTTCGGTTGGGATGATTGTCGTTATTGCGAATGTTCTCTGCAACGGCATCAGACCACGGAATGAGTGACACCGAGCTTGATCACGCTTGCCTAACGCTATAGCACTCACGGACAAAAAAGTTGTGGCCCTGCGATGGTGAGAGCGTATCAGTCAAGTCAGACGTGAGTATTTCGCAGGCAACGCGGGGTGTGAGCCCTTTGCCGGTCCCCAGTACGCAGCTCCCAGACTCACGTGTCCCGGAAAGTAGCCACAAATCGTCAGGAATAGGTTGATGAAGAAGTCTGTTCCAACCCCAAAGCGCGCGCATACAGCAAGAGGAGGGAAAAGGAAGCCAAGAACCATGATAAACCCAGTCCATCCATGGTGTCGCCTTGGTGTCCTGTGGGAGTCGACGAATTCATTTGGGTCCCAGCGCATGATGGGCAGACGTGAATGGAATTACAGGTCAGCAGTGTTCGAAAAGAGCAAAGTAAGAAAAGCACGAAGGGAGCCTCGCGAGCATCGTCAAAAGAGCTGTCGCTGATATGAGATGAATATCCCTACGCCTGCGCGCTTTCTCCTCCAGTATATGAGAGAGGCGCGAGCGACGAGCCGAAGATTCCACGTCGCACCCGCACCGCCACTGACGCTCCAGCGCGGCGCCATAACACCCCATGTAAAATGGCATGAACCTCGACGATTCTGTGCCAACGCTCGTTGGATTGCAGCTTCGCAACGATATTGACAATCGACGCTTGACGCTTGACAATCTGCATCAAAGCCTAGCTTGCCTTCAAAGCCTTTGGACGTGCCATGGTGGGCGCATCCGGCCCGCTGACTGCGTATATGAGCATAAATGGTAGTGCAAGGTGGACGCACGTTCCTTTTCGCTCTTACACGCGTGCCACCCTGCACGCAGCTCGTCCGCCACCGCAGCGGCGTCCCGCCCAGCCCTCTGACAGAGCTGCTGTAGTACAAGCACCTCCCTTAGGCGTTCCCGTTCGACAAATCGTGTGACCACGATGGACGCTCGCTCCTCCACAAGGCGATGGAGCCCAAGATGCAGCACCTATACGTAGCTCGATTCGCGTAGAACTCACCAATCGATGTCGCCGTTATCCTTCCGAGGCACTCCGTTCCGCATAAGCTTTGACATATTACTTGCAGTTGTGAAGGCGAAGATGGGAGAGCGATGGCCAGTGCGAGAGGCTCAGAGAGTGTCTCTAGGTTCTGATTCGGCGTCGGAGATGGTGCCCAACTTGGCGCCGTATTTGGTTCTCGACCAGGCAGTGTCTCGCAGGGGTATGGGGCTTCGGTAGGTCTGGGCTGGAGCCGTCTGGTGTTGCACAAGATATTTGAGGCTGGGATCGGGTACTTGGCGAACGAGAAATAAGGAGGATTGGGTGTATGAAGCGCGAGTGACGGTGGCTGTGCTTTGCAGCTTTGCTCACGACTCGACCAGCATGAAGTTGAGGCTGTTGGCTGACAGCTAGGAGAGCATCGCTATAATCGGCGCCCAGATTGCGGCCAAAAGGCAAGCGGAAGCTTTCCACCACAGGGCAAGGGCGAATGCGGAGTCAGGCACGGGCACACAGCAAGCAATAACCGCGTGAATCACGCCACGTCCGCGGCCGAGGCTCGACCATCAGCATGCAGCGTATGCGAGCAGGCGAGCAGCAGCATGCGCCGCGCGACAGCATCGTGTCCTGCCTGCATCAGCCCTGAGGTCAGCTATGTGGACGGCAGCAAGGAAGGTTGGGGCGCCTATGGGCAGCTGGCTGCATGACCGCGTGCGCAGCGATGGACAACGCCTCTCACAGAATTGCACATACTTAAGACTGTACGCTACCGTACATGTATGTTCAATTCAACATTCACTCAGCTACAAGATTGAGGAGGATATGTTATGGTGGGCGCAAGCATAACATCTTGCATCTCATACATAACGACGGAGCAGATGCTGAATCAACAGCACCGTCAGCACAAGTCCACGCATGCATCCGCCGACTCTTGGGGGAAGCACGGCAGGACGACGCACATGATTTATGTATACGGTACCTAATCACGAATCAAGAATTCCCTTCACGACTACTTACTATGGCAGACACGCAACGGTGCAAGGTGCAATGTTGAATCAAGCATCAATTAAGGATGCAAGATCGCGCCGCGCAATTGGCCCACATGCTTCGTGACTTTGGAGTCAGACCTGCGACTATTGCGATCCTCCGACTCTTAGGGGTTCTGCTGCGTGGAGATCTCGCAAAAGAAGCCTTACAGGAAGCCTCAATACGCAGCGGGACTGCTCGATCAGGAATGCTAAATCATGGCATCGGACGCACACTCATTGACTGAAGGACTGCATACGCTCACTCGCCAGACTCGACATTTTGCCCGAGGAAACGACTTTCGCCCTTGAGCAACCAATTGATACACACGCACATTGATGAGAAGCAATCAAGCGTTGCTGATAGCAGCAGCATGATTTGAGTCTCGGTCAGACATCAAGAATCGATGCTCGATTGAGGCCGCGAGATGCAATCACACGAAGCTTGAACAATGAAATTCATGGGTCGTCAAAGTTCAGAGCTTCAATAATCAGGATCGACATCTCGTACGCGTGTGGCATACATCCTCGTGTAACGCAGGCGGTGCGCTCTGCAGCGATACCAGCGCGGCGCGTGCCGTGGTCAAGAGAACCCCATCTGTTTCGGAAGCTGTCTTGCGCCCCGCGGTCGTCCCCACTCTGAGACAAATGGTCAAACACTCATGACTGTGCTGTAAACAACCACGCGGATGGACGAGAGTCAAGAGTGTGATTACTATGAAGCCACTCGTGACTGCAGCTTCACGATCGAGGATCCATGCAGCAATCAAGACTCACAGACTCAGACTGCTGACCGCGGCGTGTCATGGCAGCCTTGAGTACAGCAATTCGCTGGCAAAATTGTTCTCTCTGTGGTGAGTTGACGTAAGAGCGAACAAGGTCAACATCAGTCACAGCCAACACTCGAAGATGGAGCCGCGTAGTCTGGACTGGGACGCTCATCATGCCCGCTGGGATACACTCTTCTACCTTTGCCCTCTTCTGATTTGCGGGCGCACACAACAGTCTTGCTTGTGATAGCTACTATACTTGTGTGCTCACGCTTGACCCTCAGCTTTTTTTCCTAACTTTAGCACTCACTTCACCCCCATCACTAGGTGCCGCTCGCCAGCGCCTTCTGCACCATTGGAAAGCACCTGCTGAGCCAGCTGCTGGCCGCTCGCCGGGATCTGTTGACGATGTCTTGGTATGTACACACTGCTGACGAGGGTTTCATCCGCCACAAGAGCCAGGTCATCAACGCTAAGTACTTGTCGACCTCTCTATCTCTAATTGACATCCGCGCACACCTGGTGATCAGCTTCAGTGAGTGGGCTAGACTGCTACGTCTACTTGATAGCTAAGACTAAAGAGCTGACAAGGACCGTCTCCTCGGGACGGGTTAGATTGCGGAGAGGTATGTGCGCTCTCGGCTCCCGATGCAGCGGTCAAGCCCTGAAAGTCTATTCGTCAAACTGCGGTACCTCACCAACCCTTTGCTAGGACGGCCATTGGAAAGGCGAAGTAAGTGGTGCCTGGGCTTTCCGCATTTTAGAGCCCCAAAGGTGGCTGATCTCTTGAAAATCGCAGTGCCCTCAACCACCGGTCGTCAGGAACTGTTACAAGGTACATTGAAGCGCCCCGGATGCGCTCAACGTGCGATGACTCAACGTATTCTGCCTTTCCTCGTCTTCGCAGTGCGGAGAGGTCAGTCATTGTGCGCTGGTTCATCGAGCCGCATTCAGACATGAGAAAGCCAAAGCATGACCTTGCCTTGTCACGACGTTTGTACAGCCCGGACACTTCGTGAGTGCTGTGGGTGTACGGTGCTCGACAGCCTTAATCCTAACGACTGATCAGAGACACCGAACCCTCCAAAACCTCCATGAACAGGCACGTGAATGCCCTGAGTCGTTCAATGGAGGCGGAGGAGAGAATGGCGGTTATGGTCAAGACGGTGGCTACGCCAGCAATATGCGCCAGTGGGGTGCACCACGCAACCACAATGAAGGCGGCTACGATCAAGGCGACAGCGATCGATACGGCAACGATGGACCGCAAGGGGGAGGGGGAGGTGGAGGCGGTCGCGCATGTTTCCGATGTGGAGACCCAGGTCATTTCATTGCTGACTGGTGAAGATCCTCTTGACCGCGTGTTCCTGCCATCTCATTCGCTGACCCTCGGGCTACTTCACCTTATCTTTGTCAGCTCACAACCGGCACCAGCTCGTTTTGGTCTGAGCGCTGCTGGAGATCACGGATACATGAGCTTCAACGGCTCGGAGGACGTCAATGGTTTTGCCACCAAGACTCAAGATTCGGGCTATGGTAATCGTCGCAATCGTCCCCCTCGCATCGTTGCAGACGACGATGTGCCCTATGGAGGCACTGAGAAGTGGAACACCCCTCAAGAGAAGGCGGAGCAGCCTAACGTTGAAGAAGGCGCGGATCAGGGTGACCACGCTGACGATGGATGGGGTGAAGAAGCCAACGATCAAGAGAATGGTGAATCGGGCCATCAATCGCCAGACAACTCGAACGATGTCGACTCGAACGTGAAAGAGGTGGTAGACCTCCTGACTCCACTCACCATCGACCGTAAACCTCATGCCAAGCACGTCGACGATGAGGAGGAGTATGCTGATGCGGACGACGGCGAAGCCAGCGCAGAAGGCGTCCTGTCTGGTGCCGACGATGGTCTCTCCGGCTGGGAGTAGGTCAGATCACTGTCACCTGACTCTTTGCGAGACGGCCACCAAATGCATCATTACGACCATGCTGCATCACTGCGACTCGTTTCGCACACGGCGTCAAGGCACCGCAACGAAGCCTTTCCGCATCCCGAATTTCAGCAACGCAATCTCAGAAAGGAAGAAAGAAAGGAAGAAGAAAAAAGACCCAAGAACACACAGGGACAATGTGACAAGCCCGCCTTCCGCGAGGCGAGACTGCAAAGACAGCGCTGGGCACTGACCGCCAGACTTCTCTAAAAGTCAGCACTGAAATAGCTCCGAGCGTATCGACAGGAGGGTTTGCGAGGCACAGACACTTCATCAAACAGAACTGGAAGATTGTCGAGCCGCAAAGTGAATGCAATGAACCAATTTTTGAACTCATCAGAGATGTGTGTCTTGACAAGAAGCGTGAGAACCGCTTCAAAGAATCTTGCCTGCCATGCCTGCACCGAGACCAAAACCGCTGAGGGGCAGATCGAAGTGCCAGTACGAGTCAGCAGTAGTCTCGAAATAGGCAGCAATTAGGGAACTCACAAGCCGCGGACGGCGCTATCGCCCACCTGCGAGAGGCACGGTGAATTGGGAACTGGACGTCAGCGCTGTATTGAGGCAGAAACCGGAGACGAATCTCTGTCGGGCAATTGCAACTGACCTTGTTACCGATGCCCTTGAACTAAGATTCCAAATGATCGAGCCGTTAGCCTTCAGCTCTGAATCGACCAACGCCAAGCTCTGAGCCACACGCACCCTATCTCTCTTGGCTTGTGCGATGGCCGGATCTTCAGGTGTCGGAGCGTTAGGATTAACGGGCGGTGGAGGAGCCGAGGGTCCGGCAGGAGTAGAGTAGGGACTGACAGCTCGTTCCGGCTGCGCTGCTCCCGAGCTCCAACGGCTCACTCCAGGCTTCCATTTAGGCGGACCGATGGTCGATAACCTTTCGCCGTTGGACGCTTGTGCGGAGGAGCTAGATTTCTCGGAGGAGGCGACTGCTGAGGAGGAGGAGGAGACGCTTGCTCGATATGCTGGAGGAACGGCCCGCGCAGGTGCTGGGGAAGACGCAATGACCTCGACGTAGCTGCACGCAAGAGCGAATGCACCTTTGCTCAGCTGCCTCCTGCGCAGCGCTGCAGGGCTGCCGTGCGGCCAAGTCGAGTCTACTCACTTGCTGGGGAACAATCCGACGACAGCAGGACTGCCTTGCACGTGGCCTTTCCACCAGTCGGAACTCGTTCTTTCCGTCACCACTATGGTGTCATTAACGCCAAAGCTCAATTCATCGCTATCTTCTCCAGGATAAGCCCAGAGAGCTTTGGCGAGATCTTTAGGTGCGGAAGACGCCGATGTGGGGGGTGGTGGAGCCTCGCGCTTTTGGGCAGCTGCAGAGATCCTCAAGGCGCTCACAGCAGTCGCCGTGGAGGCCACTGCACTGCCTTCGTCAGATAAGAGAGGGTGTAACTGAGATCTGATGGTGCTTGCCGAATCGGCTGCTCAGTAAGTTCAAAGCGCTCCTGTGAGTGTTAACTCGACAGAAGAAGCTTGGATTCACTGTCGTTCAGCCCCACTCACTCTCCAAGGCGCCAACTTGCTCCAGCACTTCTACATCTGCGAGCATTCGCTCAATGATATGCTGCGCGAGCAAGTCGTTAGCTGCGCTCATTCTATCCGATTTTGCGTGCTTGGCAGATGTCCTCGATTCCGTAGCAGGCGGTCACGACCTGCTTGCGATGGCGCAGTGATGAAGACCGAGGTGATCCGGGGAAGCTCTTGACAAGAATCACAAATGTAGGTGCAACTACAATAGCCACGGGTGCCGCCCGGCATCAATCATATCTTCTAGCGTTCGTGATGGGAGGCATACGAGAAGAGTCGCGAATGCGACCCTACGTGGATGAGCGAAGGGGTCAAGAAATTTAGCGACGAGGTCGTCATACAGTCACGAGTTGTGAGTACCCGCCGTCACCCTTGTGACTTTGCTGCTCACGCCCCATGATTGTATCTGCTATATGCACGCAACATGACGCTCCCCGCCGGCGCGCTCGTGATGCACCCATGCGGGTCGGTGGCGGTGTTGTTTTAGCGCGTAATGGGACGAGCTATGTATATAAGGGCAAGAAGGGTTGGGTGACTGCGCGTTCTTTACCGGCGGCAAAAGTATAGGTGTAGGGACGAAAAACGGACCAGGCAAGATCAAATGAAGGCCATTCGTCATCTCATGTGATTGTTATTTTGATTCAATGATTCACATGATTGTTGTGATCGGAATGTCCACACCATTTGAATCAAGAATTCACTCGTTGAGCGTGGCGCGTGGTCTGCCTGCTCAAGAAACTCCTGACTCAAGTCTGGACAGCCGTCACAGGTAACGTGAGCGGTGCATTGAGATGTCGCTCAACGCGCTGATCTTGCTGTTGTGTGTGTGTGTGTGATGCTCTTATGTACAAGGCCGATGGTCGTATTTGCATCTTCGCAAGCCGCTTTGCTTGAATCACGGGACGCGCAACACGCCGACCATGGGTTTGCTGAAAGGATTGGGGATTTCCAGCATCAGTCACGAGTCAAGAGTCGGAGTACCTACAGTCGCGAGTGAAGAGTGCGGGCCTTTCTGGTTGTGAACGACTGCCTCGGCGAGCTCGCTTGCCACGCAAGGGACCTATGTTCGATCTGAATTCGAATTGACGGTAGATCTTCAAAGTCACACATGAGTCTCATGACCTGCAATCTCGGCCACGCTCATCCCCGCTCATGAGGCTGTGCTCGACGCTCGCGACTGTAAATCACGAATGTGGGCGCGTGCATGGCAGCACAGCCCGTCTGTACGAGCCCCGGAAGTCCGTAGCTGCTGTATCATCGGTACGGTACAGCTTATATATATGCATACACAGCCGCCTTCACATCTTGCCCCTCGTCCTAGTCAGAAGACGCAAGGTCAATCAACATCTCAACAGCGATCCCAAAGTCACGAGTCTGAAATTTGCGATGAAAGCTGCCTGTCGCATCGAGAGGCGACAGATGGTGGGCAGCACGCATATACATACACTCCGCTCTGATTCAGTCTCTCATCAGCTTCGCCGCTCCCCGCGACTGTGGTGAGTGAGAGCGTGTGTGAACCCACGGCGTCTTCCGCTCGCTGGCTGCCACCGACTATACTCGCGGACTCTTCCAAGTCGTGAATTGGGTCGACTGGCGCCGATGGGTGCTGCACGGTTGGCTGCATGGCTGCTAGCTGCTACACTACTCTCTCGAGCCGACTGCACCGAAGTTTGGCCCCTGCATGATGTCTAAGGCTATGTGCAGATATCTTGGATGTGGACGGCACTGGATCGGTGAGTCATCACTACTACCGGAGCACCGTTGATGCTGGCCCTTGCGCTCTGACTAGTGATTGCTTGTGAATTTTGAACATTATTGATGAGCGGTTGACGCGTGCCAGAAGCAGCCTGACGCGCTCTTTGCATCCGTGCGCGCGTCGTGTTCATCACGGCTGCGCTGGTGCGCGTGCCGTTGCTCAGGCTGACATCCGTCTGATACATGGCGATGGCGCATTGCGCAGCTGGCATGAAATCAGGTCTCGAACCGCCGAGCGAGACAGATGAGAGCCCACGACTCCAATTCAAGATTGAGGACCGGATTTGTTTAGCATGCATTCAAGCGTGGCCGCACTTGTCAACACAAATCGCGATTCTGAAGCATGCTCGCTGTCTTGAGAGACGGTAGAAGAGCCTTCAGTAACGACTCTGTTACCTACCGACGCAGCAGCTCAACCGCCCGCACGAGACGCTCTCGAGTAGAGTAGTCTGCATGTTGATGCGCAGGCAGAGCGGAAGGCAGTTGACCCGTGCGTCGCCGCATGGACGACCGATCACTGCATTCCGCCAGGGGCTCTCGTCGGCGGGAGGGGCATGCGTGCGCGCCCGAGCACGAGCCTAAGCTGCTGGCCGCCCGCCCTGCAGTATGAATGCATGCATGCATGCATGCATGCATGCATGCATGCCTCCAAAGCGCTCGCTGCCGGCCTGTAGCCGCGATGCCGCGATGCCTGCCAACGCGCCCAGTCCTGATGCAACCGAAACGCACTTGCGCACGGATTGAGCAGCGCAAAGCGCGCAGACTCCATCGCGACCCCCTCTTCCCTCTCTCGGAGCTTCAAGTGTTGGTCGAGGGACTCGTAATCGTCTGGATTTTGTCCACCATCATCACCACGACTTGGACTTGTGCACCAACGCTCACACTCCCGCGTCAGCACATCAACCCCTCCTTCTTGTCCCGCATTGACTCTTGCCTGCTGGCTGACAAGTCTACATCCATCCGGCACAACCGCAGGACTCCACCATCATCGACAGCAGTGGAGCCGCTCTTAGATTCGCTGAGCCGCATTCACAGCTTTTTCCGCCATATCTAGGAGCGTTTAGTACTCTTTGCTTCCTTTTGGTCCACAATGGTACGTGCTGCCATACTCGGGTCTTATCACAAGCATACATGCGGGAGTGCCAAGTCTCACCCTACGAGTGCGCTCCTTCGCCTTGACAGTGCGGCATCTTCGCATACGTCAACCACTTGGTGGAGAAGGTAAGTGTCTTTTTAGACGGTTCAGAATGACAAGCCGAAATCGGCATGATGCTAACATCGCATTTGTGATGTGTTTTGCAGGACCGACGCCAAGTCGTAGAGACTCTCGTCAATGGTCTGGCACGACTCGAGTACAGAGGATACGACTCTGCGGGTGAGTGCATAACAGTTGCACCACAGGCAGTCAGATTGGTCGGATCGCGACTTGGAGGCGGCGTCGCCGCAGGCAGCGGTCGTATTTGAAAATCGGGGCGTTGTACTTGGCCGGGCCACGTGCAAAGAAGCGGAGCCATGCTGGCGAGGTCAGCGTTCGGAGTAGGCACCAAGATCATTGGCGTGCGATACCGGAGCCTAGTCATGAAGAGCCAAGACAAACAAATGGCTCGCAAGGAGTGAGATTGCAGGGATTGTGCGACTGACGCTCCTGTCTGCCTCGGCTTGTCCGTGATCTCCAGGTATTGCTGTTGATGGCGACAGTGACAAGGAGGTGCTCATTTACAAACAGGTCGGCAAGGTTCAGGCTCTCCGCAAGCACATTGCAGACTCTCCAGTTGATCTCAACAAGACCTTTATCAGCCAAGCTGGTATGGCTCACACCCGATGGGCTACGCACGGCCAGCCCAGCCCCTTGAACTGCCACCCCCATCGCTCTGACCCTACCAACGAATTCACTGTGGTTCACAACGGTATCATCACCAACTACAGAGAGCTCAAGCTCGTGCTCTCCAAGCGAGGTTTCAAATTTGAGAGCGAGACGGACACCGAGTGCGTGGCTGCTCTCTGCAAGTACCTGTACGACTCTGCCCAAGGCCGCAAGCCGGACTTCACGAGTCTCATCAAGAGCGTGGTCAAGGAACTGGTGAGTGGAGGATTTCGTTTGGCCGATAGCTGGTCAGCATGCGCCTTCCGAATGTCAGCTTGGTCCCACGCTTGAAGGTTTGGGCCCACTACTTGCGGTTCGCCAGCTAGGCCCGCCTTTGCTAACACGCTGAGACTGGTTCCAAATCCGTAGGAGGGTGCGTTCTCATTCGTGTTCAAGTCGGTGCACTACCCTGGCGAGATTGTACTCGCTCGACGCGGTTCCCCACTTCTGATTGGTGTCAAGACCGAAAAGAAGCTCAAGGTGGATTTTGTCGATGTCGAGTTCGGCAACACCGCCGAGGCAGACGACAAGCTCAGTGAGTGGCCTTGAACTTGCGATTCAGACAGGGCTCCATGCAGTACTCACGCCATGAAACCGGTTCCTTGCACAGCTTCTGTTCCTCAGCCTGGTCTCCTCGCTCCTCCCGGTGGCCACCCTGACGGCCCTGGTGGACTGCAAATCCCGGGCGCCAACAACAAGCTAATTCGCTCGCAGTCGCGCGCCTTCTTGTCAGAAGATGGCTTGCCTCAGCCCATCGAATACTTTGTGGCATCAGACGCTAGTGCTATCATTGAACACACCAAGAGGGTCTTGTATCTCGAGGATGATGACATCGCACATATCTCCGAGGGAGGTGAGTCCAATGCAACTTTGCAGAATCCTTCCTAAAGCTGAGACTAGGCTCCTTCTCTGGTACTCGCTAGAGCTCCACATTCACAGGCTGCGCCGTAATGATGGCCTCTCTTCAATGCGCTCGATTGAGACCCTCGAGGTTGAGCTGGCCGAGATCATGAAGGGCTCCTTCGACCATTTCATGCAAAAGGAAATCTTCGAGCAGCCAGAGTCTGTCGTCAACACGATGCGTGGTCGTGTGAACTTCGACACCCGTCAAGTCAAGCTGGGCGGCCTCACCGCATTCTTGAACACGATGCGTCGCTGCCGCCGCATGGTTTTCATTGCGTGCGGAACAAGTTATCACTCGTGCTTGGCGGTAAGTGGTTCGCTCCGCGCTTGATACGCACACCGAAACAGCACTGACTCTGATTTGTTCGCGGTACACAGACCCGTGCCATCTTTGAGGAGCTGACTGAAATCCCCATCTCCATCGAGCTGGCTTCAGACTTTTTGGACAGGCGCACACCCATCTTCAGAGACGATGTCTGTGTGTTCGTCTCGCAATCTGGCGAGACTGCAGACACCATCTTGGCTTTGAGATACTGTTTGGAGCGGGGCGCTCTCTGCTTGGGTCTTGTCAACACTGTGGGCAGCACAATCTCTCGTGAGACCCACTGCGGTATTCACATTAACGCGGGTCCCGAAATTGGTGTTGCTTCCACAAAGGTGCGTTCTATGAGAGCCTGCCAAGGTGCCTGCGTCGATCGACAGCTCACTGGGCGTTGTTTGCGTGTTTCACAGGCGTACACTTCCCAATACATTGCGCTTATCATGATGGCGGTACAGCTGTCCGAAGACCGCATCTCAATGGCCGAGCGTCGCCAGACCATCATTGATGGCTTGCATGAACTCCCAAGCCAGATCCGTGCGATCTTGGAACAGGACAAGGCCCTCCAGACTTTGGCGCACGGTACTTTGGCCAAGGAGCGAAGCTTGCTCATCATGGGACGTGGATATCAGCACGCGACTTGCTTGGAAGGAGCGTTGAAGATCAAAGAAATTTGCTACATGCATTCCGAGGGTATTCTGGCAGGAGAGCTCAAGCACGGGCCCTTGGCGCTGATTGACGAGTCTATGCCAGTCATCATCATCATGACCAAAGACTCACTCTACCCCAAGGTGCAGACCGCCTTGATGCAGGTCACTTCCAGAAAAGGACAACCTATCATCATCTGCAACGATGACGATCAAGACATCAGTCCTCAAAGCAAGACCATCAGGGTGCCTCGAACTGTTGACGCCCTTCAAGGACTCTTGACGGTCATTCCTCTCCAACTGCTCTCATACCACCTCGCTGTCGCTGCTGGCGTCGATGTCGACTTCCCTCGAAACTTGGCAAAGTCGGTCACCGTAGAGTAGACGGCACGCGATGTCGGTCGAGGCTTGTTGCAAGCAGACTCTTACAGCGACTTCTCTAGAACGCCTAGCGCAGTCAAGAGAAGGCGATGTGACTGGCGCTGGTCACTATGTGGTTGTGAAGCAGACCTTTTCCTCCCTTTTTTCCCCCTCCCTGTAACCCCCAGACAAAGTCGCGCAACCCTCAGCTTCCAGAATCTAAAGTTCCATCCCGCATTTGGCCCTGAAATCATAGGTCTGCTTTCGTGCGACGATGGTCCGTCTCCTGTACGGCGCTCAGCTTATGCGCCACATGAACTCGTGACTCCTGTCGAATGCCCGACACAGAGAAGCCCCACGCAACACGGACAAATGTGCGTAGGCCCGCGCAGAAGCGCAAGCCATGACGTGTCTTCATCTTGAGTCCGAGGGACCAGGCAGCTCTTATTACATCGCTCCCGCAGACCGAGGGGTGCGCGAACGCGATGCACGTTCCACGCATACATGCTTGTGCGCCGCTCCTTTGCACCTTCCCTGCCTTCCTGTTTCCCCGCACACAGTCGCACTCATGACTCGTGAGCTTGATGAGAATGGGGATATTGGCGGTCTCACACGCGCCTCTTTAGGTCAGCTACGTACGGCTTGCTCTTTTGCGCATTGATGGAGCAATTAAGTGGCTTGCTAGAGCATGCTTGTGGCAATGATGTAACTCAAAAACTCTTGACTGGAGGGAATGTTCCTGGGCAGACGCCACTCGTGACTCTTCATCTGCGGATGCGCGGTAGCAGGAAGGCAGGCCCATGCAGCATTTGATTTGATCCACGATTATGCGCTGATGGAGAGACTCGTCACGTGGAAGGTGTGATCATTTCGATAAGGTCACAAGCAAGCAAGCAAGCAAGCAAGCAGGACCTCGTCGCCGCTGATTTAAAAATCCTCAGGGTCAGGGGACGCCCCCCCAGCACCACTGCTTTCAAATTGTGAACCTAGATGAGCACCCCCAACGTGGCTCGCGAAGTGACATCAGATCGAAGTTCTTTGCGCAGGACGTATATATAGCTGTGTTCACAGGAGGGCTGGGAACCTGAATATAAACTTGGCTCCCTACCAATCATGTCACGAAAAGACTCGAGTAGAGTCAGTAGACTAACTACTATATATGCTCACGACTGTCCTCATTGCTTGTACATTTTGGGTTCTCAGTCAGGCAAACTTGACACCCAAAAGGGTGTCCTGCCAAAGGGGTGTCCTGTCTAACACGCGGCCTTTTCGTCATTTCAGCGGCATTACAGACTCCGAAGAGTTGTACGACACCATCAGGAGCTGGCCGAATGCGGGCCTGCAGGGGTGTCCGCATGAGCCGTGAGGTGCCTACCATGCGCTCACCGTGTTCCACAACACCTTAAAGGTGTCGGGCGTTGAAATGCTTTGCGTTTGTGCTGCAGCCTACTCGTGACTCGCAGTGCGATTCGTGCACGACTCGAGTGGTTGCACCAGCTCTTGCTGCATGACGATGAGGACAACGGAAGTGGTAGACGGGTGGGCATGTGCACATCCTAGTACTTGCAAGATCATGAAACTTGCAAGATCATGAAACGATGGCTGAAGGTCAAGCAACTTCGTCGTGAGACTGCCGCCAATCAGCAACGGCAGTGGTCGGGCGGGTCATTTCTGCCCGCCGTCATCACACGGCGGGTTCCTGCGAGCCAGCATTGCCACCCATCAGCAGCTGCTCGGGCCGCTGATAAGCAAGCATCACATCTTGCATGCACGAAGCACAACACTCATGACTTTACCAGAAGAGCTTTGGCTTGTGGTTCGCAAATCAAAAGCTTTTGATTGATCTTGAATGATGACCAGACATACAGGCCAGCAGCCCAGTCACGAGTGGCAGTGCTGGCAGTCAAGAGTCTGAGTCAGATCGAGCCGGACTTGGCTGTTCAGGCCGGCGCTATTTGCGCAATGGATCAGTCTGCTGCTGGTCGCTCTGGAAGTCTCCCTGACTTTTGACTGCGCCGGCGTTTTGATTCCTGGTTTTGATCCTCATTCGCGCTGCTTCTTCTTCTTCTCCGAAGCCGAGGCCAGAGACTCACCCAGATTTTGATTAATGCATTTCATCAATCTTGAAACGTCGGCTTTGCGCACTCCTCAAATCGGATTGACAAGCCGCAATTTGAGTCTCGGCTCATGAATACAAATTTCGAGTCAAGTGTTGGCCTCGGGACCCTTGATTCAATTCACGTTTACCCTTGCAGCCTGCGTCCGTCATCCGTCTGCTTTGATCGTTGCTGTCCACTGGTCGGTCCAGCGCGCCATTGAGCTCGTCTCGCGTTTCTATTATGCTGATCTTGACGCAGCTCGTCTCCCACCGGTCTGGCTGCATTCTTGATTGAGATTGAGATCACTCAGGTGAAGCATCATCCATCACTCGCGACTGAGCTGTCTTGAGCACAACATCACAACTCCTGCGGGAGGGTAGCGTGACAAAAGGCCAACCAGCAGCTCCTATTCCGACACAGCCTTCTCCCCAAGCAGTCCTCGCTCTGCCCTTTCAAAGCATCACACCCACCCACGCTGGTTCACGCACATCGCGCAGCAGAGACTGGGTTGACTGCAGAGGCGGATACTCTCAGACTCTTGACTGTTGGAGCGCGTGTCAAGCTGCAGCTCGTATTCAGCATTTCAGTACGAGCCTAGCGTTGTTCGAAGCAGCGGCCTGAGGCGGCCTGCCTGCCTGCAATCAATCAGCCTCTACTCTTTTTTGGCTTGGGGCCGCGTCCGACGCGGCTAACGCGAGCGGCGGTTGGCTACTGTCCTGCCTTGGTGAGAGCACTAGGCTCCGCGACACTCAGACTCGCGACCTGACTTGCTTGAACTCGACGCTTGAGGACTCATCAGCTGCTCGCGAACATCTGAAACCGACTTTCGACCAGTCATCTTGGTCGCATCCCACGCTTCCTCGAACCTGCTACACATCACCTCATCATACACAAATACCCACATTCTCCAATACCCAGGTCTCAATCTTGCACACGACCATCCTCTTGACTCCAGCCATTTCGTGAGCTGGCTGAGGCGCGACACTTTGGCCAGAGCATCGCGCATCGGCACCCTTCCATCGACTCACTAGCTCATTGGGTTGTGCAGCGCCGCTTACTTTGGCCACAGCATCGCGCATCGGCACTCTTTCACCGTTTCACCAGCTCATCTGGCTGCCCATCTGGATCTTTGGCTAGAGCTTAGTGGTCTGCTACAGCTTGGCTTGGACAGCGTTCAAGATGCCGGCCGTCACTTCGCCGCCAGCGACGATCTCGTCCCACGGGTCGTCCGGCAAGAAGTTCTCCACAATCACAGGCCAAGGTCAGTACTCCAATCGAAGTAACACCTCGGGCGCAGGTGGTCTGGGCTCGAGACAAAGCGTCAAGGGTCTGTTCGACCTAGGCAATGCTTCCAAGGCTGGCAGCAACCTGACAGCGTCCAAAAGCGCGGCAGCCACGGCAGCGGCCTCGGGCGTGGGCCCGGCCGCTGCTGCTGCCATCAGCAGAGAGGATGGCATTTGGAGTGTCAGCGTTGCTGAAGCTCGCGACAAGCGCCAAGAGCCCGTCACTTCGAAGCGCAGCAGCAGGCAGGGACCGCCAAAGCCAAGCATTCCTGCGTACACGCTCTACATCACCAACCCAACCCACAACCTCACCCTGCTTCGAAATGTGGTGGAGATCGGCGACTTGGACGCAAAGCTACGAGAGGCCATCCCCACTTCCGGTAGCTCCAAAACTTTGCCAGCGCTTCCTGCCCTTCCGACTGTGGCGCAAAATTCCACTTCTGCTTCTCAGCCTAATTCGCGTAGAATCCTGCAGACCATCTCTCGAACACTCTCACCTGGGGCCAATCGTAACCGGGAGAGATCCGCGCTATCGAACCTGACGGGAATAGCGAGTCCAAAGGGCGAGAACGGTGCTGCCCAGCTGGCGCCTGTGACACCCACCAAGTCAGGCTCGCCCGCTGATGAGAAGGGTCAGGGCATTCTCGGGGCCACGACTCCTACATCGCCGGGCAACATTCCCTCAACACCTGTCGAGAAGGCCTCGGACGCACACAACATCACGACGAAGCTCGCCACGTACTTTACTACCATTTCAAACATACCCGCCGTGCGCAAACACAAAGCCTGGCGGCGATTTGTGCGAGTTGGCTCGGATGACTTCGAGAGCGTGCGAGTCGAACGGAGAGTGAGAAAGGTGCGGAGCGACTTGGCGGAGCACGTCAAGGCGACAGTCGCGCCGACGAACACCAACGTGGGCCTGGCAGCTCCGCACGGCCGACCCTCGGTCGGGGACGATGGAGGTCGCACAGAGGACGAAGCTGATTCCCAAAGCGCCAGTGGTCGATCAGCCATCTCTCGACCCCCATCTCAAGCCGCTTCGCAACGCAACAGCGTGGTAGGTGTACCTCCTTTTGTGCCGTCTCGAACGAGCTCTGCGGCCCCCTCTAACGACTCAGACCACGCCCGTGATGTGGGTCGCAAACCTTCAAGCTTTGCCAACATTCCGGAAGAACACGAGAAGCCCGACTCTGTTCATGCCAGCTCCTCGAGCAAGACGCAGAGAACAAAGGATGCTTCTGCACAGCAGACAGGCCAGGCTGAGAACAGCAAGAGCTCCAACAACGCTTTGAGTGCGCCAGCTGGAAAAGACACCAAGCCCGAACGCAAGCACAGGAGGGTGCGCTCCGAGCATAAAGACAAAGACAAAGTCACAGTGGATGACTTTGAGATGATTCGCGTACTCGGCAAAGGTTGCGCTGGCAAGGTCGGTACTGATCCTGTGCTGTGACTGTGGCTATTGCGATTGCTGACTCGCTCGCCGTCTCCCTTTGCGCAGGTACTTCTGGCTCGTCACAAAGCCAGCGACGGCCTCTTCGCGATGAAATCCATCCACAAGCGTCATGTACTCGCCCATCAGGAGCTGCAGCACACACTCACGGAGCAAGCAGTCTTGAAGCGCATGGCCAATGATGTGATCGACCCGTTTGTAGTGAAGCTGTGGTGGAGCTTTCATGTGAGTACCCCCAAGTTTCTCCATGCCAATATCCCGGCTTCCAGCTTAGCTAATACTTTGACGATGCTGCATGCAGGACAAGAACAATCTCTATCTGGTGATGGATTTCCATCCGGGAGGCGACCTTGCCACGCAGTTGTCTCGCTGGGGCAGACTTGGACGCGACAGGGCGCGCTTCTATGCAGCAGAGATCGTAGAAGGCGTCGAGGGGCTGCACCGCGCCGGCGTCATCTACCGTGATCTCAAGCCCGAGAATGTCCTCATCGGCGCTGACGGCCACATCGTGCTGTCCGATTTTGGTCTGTCCAAGGAGTTTCCGGTCCATGGCGAAGATGGTGCACGCGCTGGGTCCTCGACGCCCCCACCTGGCTCGCCTAAGCGCTCCCACTCTAGTGCTCAAATTAGCGGTGGCAAAGCTCACCAGCCGCACTGGATGTCAGCTTCAGACGACGGTGCAGCCACGGCCTCTGACGCCTTTGCATCTCGTGGTTCAAAAGCACGCTGGGCGGACGACCGGGACACGACCACGACGTTTTGCGGCACCGCAGAGTATCTAGCTCCAGAGGTCATCCAAGGAGGCGCCTACTCTTACGAAGTTGACTGGTGGAGCTTTGGCACGATGCTCTTCGAGATGTTGACCGGCATTACGCCTTTCTGGGCGGAGACACATGCTGACATGTACGTGCGCGTGCTGCACGACGAGCTCAAGTTTCCAGACGATCGTGTGCTTGACCAGGACACGAAGAGCGTTCTACGAGGGCTCCTTCAGCGCAACCCCATGCTGCGTATGAAGGAGCCACGCATCAAGAAGCACCCTTACTTTGCCATGATCGAGTGGCAACACGTCTTCCACAAGCGATACATTGCACCATATATTCCGCCAATCGACCCTGACAATGAGGCGGATACTCAGAACTTCGACGAAACGTTCTTGGACATGCAACCAGTTGTAAACGGCGCGGATGATGATCCCTTCGAGGAGGGCTCCGTGTCGAACCAAGCAGCCATGGCTGGCGATGCGTCTGATGATCGGCCACCAGCAGATTCCGCCGGCGTAGGCGATGTCGGAGCCGACAAGTCTGGAGCCGCTGTGAAGACCACAGGGGCAGACGAGAAGTCTCTCTTCGATGGATACTCGTTCCGAGGTCGCCGTGACTCAGAGGCCATCTCCTCAATATTCTCCAGCGGACCCAGCGAGGAATTAGAGGAGAACGCTGTCGAGAGCGAGGACGACGAAACCGCGGCGCGCAATGCGGTCGCGGCCCTTGCGCATCTCGAGAGCGAGGCGAGCGGCGACGGCTCGACATCTAATGCTTCCACCTCAACGCAGCCGACTTCGATCGCTTACAGCCGTGAGCGAGCGGCGAATGCGACAGGTGGCACCGGTAGCAGTGAGGGACACGACTCGGTCACTCACAGCAACAAGAGCCGCACCGCGCTATCCGCTAGCGGTGTGCCTGCACATGGCACTATCAACGAAACTGACGATGAAGATGAGGACTGGGACATGGTTGACACGCCTTCCGGTCAGAAGTTCGAGTCGGAGATCAATGGTGGCAAAGGCAACAATCTCTTCTCACGAGGCGTGGTTGACACGTACCGCATGCTCAGAAGGCAAGAGTCGTCCAAACTTCCGACTTCAGCATCCTCTGGCAGCCGAGCGTTCAACAGGCTGTCTCGCAAACAACCCAGCTCTCGTCGAAATTTGGGCAGTACCAGCAATGGTAATTTCAATTCGACGAGCGCGGTCTCTCTGGAGTCTTCTGCCGCCCGAAGCGGCAACGAGACTGGTGGAGCGGTTTCTGGCGACGATGCTGCCTCTGAGCGCGAAGCCGCAGATTTGTCCAACAGCGCTGCTACTAACTCTGACACGCGGCACCGAAAAGCGGGAGCCAGCCCAAGCGTCGCATCGTCCGATGAGCAGCTCCAAGAACGCAACCGCCAGCGCATGAAAAAGATCAAGCGCTTTACTACGTGAGTGCTGACTTTTGCCTAAACTATCTTTGACGGCCTCTGACAGAGAACTCGCCTCCCTCACTTTCTCTATCACTGCAGCTTCTTCGAAGTCGCACGATGATGCCCTCAGTCAGCGGGCGGTCGGGCAAGCTCTGCAAAACCGCCAGTCCTGTAATGCGACTCTGCACTATCCCTTTCCATCCGATCGCGCCCATTGCAGCATTTCTTTCTCGTCATCCAGTATACCTGGCCCATCTCACAAGGCCATTTGTTCACCTTGGACGCTCGCATTCGTCTCTGCGCTGCTACTCATTCACCACAGGCTCTACGGCCGCATCTCGGTCTTTGATGCGCTGCTGAGACTGGCTCTTGCTCGCTCTGCCCTCACCTCCTTTCAGCCTGCTCAGACCGTTTTAATGTTCAAGGGATCGGCGTATCCTCTTGTCGCTCTATACCCTCGTTGCGCGTCCTTTGCACCCTAGATCACTCTCACGCTGCTGCACCCCACGTGCTTAGCAAGCTTCAAATATACCCTCCTTAACTCCCAGCTCGAGTCATCCAATTCACCTTCCTTTGGTCTCCAAGTCGTCAAAGGGCGCGCGCGAGGTTCTCGCGCACGTATCTTCGACAACCACACACTCTTTTGCTTCCACTACCTTAGGTCCGACTACTATTGCCTTGTCAGTGGTGCCGCTCGTCTTGACTTTGTCGAGCTGCACTCCCTGGACGCGGGAAACCTGAATACAATCCTTTCCACAAGAAGCGGATGAGTCTTGAGTGTGAGACGAGCACCAGGCGGCTCGCATAGCCGGTTCGCAGGGCGCTCGATCGCGCTCCTTGCTGCTCTCAAATCACGAATCAAGACTATGGCCATTTCTGTCACGTGCCTCGCCAAACGCGCGTACGCTCGGCGCGTTTAGCTCGAGCCGAAAGGATGCATGCAGAGCGCACGCGCTCGCGTTGATTCTGCGATTCGTGATTGTTGTTGAGGCGCATGCACGCGTGACTGATGTACCGCTTTACGTGTTGCTCTCGCGCGCTTGGGAGTGCGGCTCGCTTTGTTGACTTTGCTTTTGCTGGATCAGTATGCGTCTTTCCAAGCTGCCATCATCGACCCATTTGAAAGCGCTTTCGTCAAAGACTCCAGACCAATTGACGCCCGGAACGACGCAGCGATGTCAGCTCTTCCGGCCTTTGTGCTCGCCGACGAGCTGCTCGCGGTTCGGGATGCTGAGTACACGGTGGCAGGGGAGCACGACCTCAGCACTGCCCAAAGCGGAGAGGTCGCCACGCTCTTGACATCCACAATCGACGCGCTAAGCAACGTCTCATCTATAGAGAATGATGACACTTTCTCTCAACTCCTATCTTTGGTCAAACACTATGCCGTCCTGGCTGGCAATCAGCGCTTGACCCTGCTAGATGGTCTTTCAGCGGCGTACAATTCAGCCATCGATGGTGCCACAGCTTCGCTATCAGAGGGCACTGATGCGTACCGCGCTTGGGCATCTCCGCTTGAGCGACTTGCCTTTGCTATGCATTGGGTCATCGTGACAGCTGAGCGAGCTGCATCCACCAGGGAGGAACGCGCAGCAGCGCCACCGCCTAAAGGTGTAAGAAGAGGTGGGCGTGGTGGAGCCAAAGCAGCGACTACAGCCCGGCTCGCAGCCGCAGCACCTCAACACTCTGGCGCAGTCGATCTGACAGGCTACGACTGGTCCGGCGTCCTTCCAGGCTTGCTCAATGTCCTTCTGCGAAGCTTGAGGCTGAGCACTGCCCTGCTCTTTCCCGCCACGGCTACGCGAGATGCCTTTGTGTCGTGCAGCCTGAAACCAGCACTCATGCTGCAAGAGACCGAGTCGCACCTCAAGCTTGTCGCGGTCAAGACAGGCATCTTCCGCATCATCTGCACTAGCGTCAAGAACCACGCGCAGGCATTCGCAGTTCAAAGCGGCCTCATTCAGGCATTGGCGTACTACGAGCACCTGGCTGAGCCGAGCGCCGAATTGCTCTTCATGCTGGCTTCCGAGTATGACCACGAGCGCCTGGCCGACGATGTCCTCAGAGATGTAGGTGCACGGGAGTTCGGCGGAATGGACACGAAGAGTCCGCGCTGCTTTGCTCGCTTCTTGATCAGGCTCACGGAGCTGGCGCCCAGGATGATGCTGCGCAATATCAGTCTTCTGATGAAACACCTGGACAGCGAGGTGGGTGACTCGCACTCCTCGGGGCCTGTGCGCGCCGAAATTGGCTAACACGATCGGTCTTCTCGCAGTCGTATCCCATGCGCAATTCGCTCATCGAGATCCTTGGCCTTATGATCAAGGAGTTGACAATGACGGACGACGCTTTGCCATCAGGAGACCAAGCTGGCAGAGGTGACGGCAGCTCGCACGACACTGCGGCTTCTGGCACGGGCGGTAATGAAGGCAACGCTGATGCTCAGCGCGGCAGTGCTGAGGCCCGTAAGAAGCAGGTCAAGCACTTTTGGGAGCTCCTCTTTGAGCGCTTTCTCGATGTCAACTCATACGTGCGAGTCAAGGCGGTGGCTGTCTGCGTCAAGCTTTGCGAGTGAGTTGAGACCGCTCAGAGGAGCCCATGTGAACATGAGATGTGGCTGACGCATCGCAACAACTCTACGACTCTAGCCTGCCTGCCAAATTTCCATCTCAGAGAACCACACTTACAGACTTGGCTTCACAAGCCCTATGCGACAAGAGCTCAAGTGTCCGCAAGGGGGCAATAGCCCTGCTCACACGACTTGTCCTCACACATCCTTACGGCGTTCTCCACGGAGGCGAGCTAGACTACGCGGAATGGCAAGCGCGCTTGACTGGCGTCGACGCGCAATTGAAGCAATTCGAGGCCAAGCTGAACTTGCCTGCCGATAATGATGAGGAAGAGGAGGAAGAGGAAGAGCTTGACGAGGAGGAAGCGATCGAGGAAGAGGCGAGCATCATCATGGCCACTCCTCGAAGGCGTGCCGAGCGACGAACCAAGAAGCGTCGTTCCTCCACCGGCGGACAGGGAGCACTGGACGTCGCAGCGGCTGGACTTAGCGCTGAAGACGCTCAAAGGGTCATTACTCTACGACTGACCAGGCGCTACTACGTCGATGCATTGCATTTCATACATCAGCTCAGTGGTGCCATGCCCTTGCTCAGCCAGCTTCTGGTCAGCAAGTCGAAGGCTGAAGTACTCGAGAGCATGGAGTTCTTTAGGGTCGCGTATGAGTACCGCATTCCAGGCGCCGACGCAGGTGTTCGCAAGATGGTCCACCTGATCTGGACCAAAGACAATACCCTGACCGCTGCATCAGCCCTGGGCGAAGATGGCGACGGCAGCCAGCTCAAGGGTATTCGCAGCCGTCTGCTGGAAGTGTACCGCGCGCTGTACTTCGATCCACTGCCCGATCTGTCAGGAAGAGACAATGTGGCACGCATTGCGCGCAACATGGTGGAGCGCACCTTCAACGCCACCCTCGCTGAGCTCACGAGTTTGGAAGAGCTCCTCCGCACAATGTGTGCTGAAGACATGGTCCACCCGGAGGTTGTCGCCAAGCTTTGGGGCGTGTACAGTGCTCCCCGAGCCATGCCTCGTGCACAGAGACGCGGCGCGATCATTGTGCTTTCAATGCTGGCTGTCGCTCATCGCGAGATCGTGGCCGACCATGTCGATGCGATGCTGAGCGTTGGCCTAGGACCCTTGGGCTCTAAAGACATCGTCTTAGCCAAGTACACCTGCGTAGCACTCAGTCGTGTTGGAGGAAGCATCAAGAAGATCAAAGGCGCTCTGTCTGATGAGCAGGTCCGCTTTCCGATGAGCCATCCCATGTTTGCCAAGCTTCGCGCTGCTGTCATGTGGCAGGCTCCGTCCAGCAATGTCGCTGTGGCTGCTGCTGTCGACAAGGGCGAGTGGTTCAGCTTGGCAGAGAATGCGATTCAGACGATCTATCTGTTGGGCGAACAGCCGGATGCACTCTGCTCAGAGATCATTCGAAGCATGACGCTTAGGGTATTTGGACCTCATGGACCTGCCTTGAAACAAGCTGGAGATGACGCTTCCGACGATGGCACAACTTTCGACACGGGCTCAGACGCAGATGATGTGACCGTACGCGAAGGCACGCCGAAGCCGGACAAACAGACGGCCAAACAGTCAAGAGGATCTCTGGCACCTGCTTTCTCGCTAGCACAGCTTCTGTTCATCGTTGGTCACGTGGCGCTCAAGCAAATCGTCTACATCGAGCTCATCGAGCGAGAGTACAAGCGCCGCAAGGCGGAGGCAGATAAGGCCAAGCTGGCGGCCCGCGATGCAAACGCGGGCGAGGATGAAACAGCTGGTGGCAAAGCCAAGAAGGGCCGTTCCAAGAAAGGAGGCAAGGCGGATGCGCCTAGCTCCGATGCGCCGACGACCGATGAATTGGACCAGGTTGCTGGCAACGCCGAAGACGAGATCGGGGACGTCGTCGGAGAAGTCAGAGAAAAGGAGCTCCTCTTTGGCCACAATAGTCTGCTGGCTTTGTTCGGACCTGTGTGCGGTCAAATCTGCAGCGCGCCAAAAGCTTACCCGGTGAGTGCCGTGAGTGGATCTCACCTTATCTCTCGCAATGCTGACGAGTGCCTGGGACCGTCAGAACGAGTACCTGCGAAAAGCGGCAGTCATGTCTATGTGCAAGTTCATGTGTGTCTCTTCCGAGTACTGCGAGGCGCATCTGCCTCTGCTCCTGTCCATCGTCGCCAGCTCCACCGATGCAGTCGTGAGGTCCAACGTCGTCATTGCTCTAGGAGACATTGCCATCTCCTTTGGGCACCTGGTAGACGAAAACTCTGAGCGCTTGTACGCAGGCTTGTCCGACCGAGATCTTGGCGTGAAGAAGCACACCCTCATGGTCCTCACCCATCTGATCTTGAACGGAATGATCAAGGTCAAGGGTCAGCTCGGCGAGATGGCCAAATGCATCGAGGACCCAGAGGAGCGTGTCTCAGACCTTGCAAAGCTTTTCTTCTCCGAGCTAGCTACCAAGGAGAACGCGGTCTACAACAATTTGCCGGACATCATCAGTCACCTTTCGATTGGTGCTCACGCCGTAGATGAAGACAAATTTGCCCGCATCATGGGCTACATCTTCCAATTCATCGACAAGGAGAAGCAGGCCGAGAATGTCGTTGAGAAATTGTGTCAGAGGTCAGTGATGCGGCTGCACTCGATTTCCGCGACGAAAGACTGACGCGTTGCTCTCTACGATCCATGCAGGTTCCGATTGACTACCGAGCCGCGGCAGTGGAGAGACGTAGCCTACTGCTTGTCCCTGCTTCCTTTCAAAAGCGACAGGTCCGTCAAACGCCTCATCGAAGGCCTGCCCTTTTGTGAGTCGAGGAGCGCTGAGAGAAGCAAACGATTAGCAGCCAAATTTCTGAGACCTGTCCACTTCGGTCGCAGACCAAGACAAGCTGCACGATGTTGGCGTGTACAACTCTTTCCAAGCCATCGTGCAATCCATCAAAGGCCGAGGCCGCGTGCCAGGTGCTGCAGCTGCCATGTCAGGCTCTGAAGGGGATCTGGCGGAATTCGAAGCAGTAAGTATTCCTAAGCATTGGTAAGTATTGCTTCCGATGATTGCTCATGGACCACGATGGCTTCTCTGCTTCACAGATACTTGAGCAATACAAAGCCAAGGCAGAAGAAGAGACTGCACTCGCTGCTGCAGCCGCCAGGAAGAAGAGCCGCAAGAAGGGTGAGAATGCTTTCAAGAAGCCCACAATGCCGAAGAATGCAGCTGCTCTCGCTACTCACAGGTCTCGGAAGCGTGGCAATTCCAACGACGACGACCAAGATGATCAGGACGAGGATGATGAGAACGTGACTCCTACGAAACCTGCCAAGGCACCACAGCGGCAGACCAGGCCAACACGTGGCCGGGCTCGAAAAGTCGTCGCTGAAAGCGACGACGAGGACGACGATGATGCGAACGATAGTGACTACTGAAAACGCCGCAGAATTGTTTCATTTCCTCGTTCCCGTGGCTGTATGTACAAGTGATTCTTTCGATGATGTCCTGTGCCCATCCTTCCTCATGATTTGAGACGGTCTACCAAGACTCTGGATGGAGCTTGAACCTCGCTCGAGATCCAAGCAGAGGAACGGAGCGGCGCGCGTTCTGATCTGGTCATGCGCCGCTCCCTCCTGCCACATTGCTGGTAAAGAAGCGATCATTCCATTTAGCCCCTTTGAAGGGCTCGTCGGTGCAACGTATTGAGCAGCCAGCCAGAGCATCTTCGGACTGGTGTTCTACACGCAGACATATTACGCGTCAATGACATGCCCTTTTTTCCGGCATTTCGTGTGGCTGGCAGTGTGCACTCACCATGCTCACTGGCGACACCGCGCGCGGATGTGATGATAGGTGCCCATTTCGCTTTCGTCTCGGGCGACACGTCGGACGGCATTGGCATTCGCTGCTTTTCGGCGTACTTTCTGCACCTCTCGATGAAGACTGTCGTCATGAGGTCAAGAAGTGCGTGAGAAGTCGAACGAGCTGAGTGGATGATGTGGGAGAGGAGCAGCTGACTCACTCAGTGGAAAGACGCCACGGACGATGAATTCGGGTCTCTGTTTCGGGTCGGGATTTCGCAAGCCTGGAGTCGAGCGGTGCGCCGCGTGCTGCAGCAAGAAAATCGAATCAGCAACAGTAGCAGAGAATGGTCATCTGCGTATCCTTCACGTTATCTTCTCACCGTCCAGATGCCGCCTCGTCTCTCGAGTGCTTCGAGAACGCGATCAAGCTGTTGCTCGGCGATGTCGCTAGTAGTGAGAAGAGGGAGAGGAAAGTTCAGCGTCGCACTTGGCCAGCCACCTTCTCGAGCGACTTTGCTCACTCTGGCTCCCACATTGCAGCGAGCAGCTTAGCATGAGCACGAATTCATGGGTGGCAAAGTGACGTCAGAGCAGCCGTCTCGCTGGAGAAGAGTAGTCTATCACGGCGCACCTCAGCATTGGTTTTGCGCGGCTTAGCACCGGAGCCATATTGGTCCTTCAGGTAAGCTGCTTCCTGCTCTTTGGTAATTTCGTTGGTATGTCCTTCTGCAGGAGGGGTCAGTATGGTCAATGTCGCCCACTTGACATCAGCCGATGCAGCGGCCATGAAGGATGCGTTTTTGACAGTTGCCCATTTTGGCGCTTGTACGATGCTTGGTGCTGGGTAAACGAAGAGAGGATTGCTCAAGTCTAGAGCTTTGAGCAAAGCTGTGATGATCACGCCCAGCACTTCGCGCTCCCTGACGAGCAGGAGCGTGGGGCGCTCAGAGTCGAACAGTGTATTGATCGCTTCACTCGTTTTCTTTTTGGTGTCGTTTACGATTTGTTGCACCTCAGCCTCGTCGCGAGGACTAACAACGAGTCATGTAGTTGAGCTGAATGCACCACCAATCAGGGAACGTCGGCCTGACAGACGGTGCAGACTCACTTGCGGTGAAAAGTGGGCGACTGCAGCAGGAACCTGCGAGGTATCTGCACGCTCAAGCGTTTCTTTAGAGACGTCAATCCCGTGGCCGAATTCCTTCCAAATGACGCTGGACATCCAACCCGCTGAGCGTGCAGAGGATCGCGTCGGCTTTGTGCTCCGTCATAGGGGGGTCCTGTAATCTGGCCTGCATCAACCACGCACCTCAAGCAGCTTCAGAAAGTGATCATCTGGGTTGTAATTCTTGTAGGAGCATATAAAGGTGACAAAGGTCTCCTCTGCGCTCAAACCGCCACCACACTCTAACGACGTCGCATCGAATCCGCTCGTGCCTTCGCGAGTGAGGCTCGGCAGCTCTAGCAAGGTCGTTGTCGTGCTGAACAGCGAGGCAGTATCGTCGGCATACGGCATTGTTGCTCGTCGAGCATCCTGATAAAAATCGCCGCACGTGGTCAAAACCGAGGCACATTTTCTTGATTCCTTCCGGTATACAGCGAATCAAACTTACGGAATCGCGATTTCTTCAAAGGCAGGTCTGTCAGGTGCGGCACGCACCGACGGCGGCAGGCCAAGCAAAGATGTCCTCTTACCGTAAGTTGGAACTTTTCAGGAAAGCCTTGAATTGGTATTCCCCAATTTGAATTGGTATTCCCCAATTTGCGATGAGCCATGAGTGTTTGATTTTGTAGTCAAAGCGCAAGAGAGCTTTCTTGACCACAGACACATGACGGCATTCACGATTCAGCTCTGCTGGATGAACGCTGGTGCAGCAGCAGAAAGGCTGTGCTGTGCGTGCCTGCCACATACTGCACACGTGAACTTGGCGCATATGCCCACGCGTCAACCAGCAGCGCGGTCTAGCGCTCTGCATACGCGTGCAGAGAGAGAGCCGCGCGCCAAGGGTAGGCTTGCCATGGGAGTGAACACATACAATTAAGACGTTGCGATCGAAGGCTTTGCGCACTCAGACTCTCATCAGATTAGCACTCACGGCTGTCGACTGCTGTACGTGCCGCGGCCGACGTATCATCGGAGTGCCAACCACAAATGTCTTGAGACTGCGTTGCTCGCACGGAAGAGCATGCAGTGAGCGATGCAGACCCACGTTTCGGCTCGGGTGTGACGGCGCAGTCGAGCTGGGGGAGCCTGCGAGCCCGCAATCTTCTAGAGTCACAAATTTGAAGCTCAATTGAATTACGAATGCGAGCCTACAAGCACGTGTGAATCTTGAATGCGAATGCTTTGCCTTGTCACGGAATCTTGAATGCCAGCCCCGCCGCGAATCCGAAGCATCAGCAGTCACAGTCACGATGCACGCACAGCTGCGACGCTCCCTGCACATGCACAGCTTCTTCTTCCGGTTCTCGATCTTGAAACGGCACCGCGAGATTGGCTTACCGCTGCAGCGGCATGCACCAGCCACATACATGCTCACACTAGCCACGCGATGGCCGAAGCGTAGAAGCTGATCGGAAAAAAGCCAGCAGCAGCAGCAGCAGCAGGATCGATGAGCTTGCCGGGGGGGCGGAATTTGAAAACGACTGTTGCCACTTTCGTCGCGGCTATACAGAAACCTTGGTAGTGCTGTACCTACAGTCCATCCGTCTCACACACACAGTCAAGCATCACATGAATTCTTCTCGCTTCTCTACCAGTGCGCAGAGACGACAGATGTTCGCACGCTAGCGGCAGACATAAAGTAGCATCTTGGCACATATTCTAATATTGGATTGTGGACGTACGTCGGCGCTCAAACGAACAGGCTTTCCTGTCATGAGAGAGCCGCGGTCACGATGTGTTAATATCCACCTGCATGCCAGACTTTGACAGGTATACACACCTCGCCGCCCTTGAGCCAATGAAGCATTCGCTCTAAGTGACTCGGACTTTGTTGACATTGAGAACCACGCAGCGGGAGTTCTCTGGCCGAGCCGCGCCAGACACAAGTTTTGCTGCCGCAAATTGATAATGCTCATACTGCGCAATTCCGTGCCCAGATGATCTAAGGAAGCTAGACAGTCACACGTCTTTCGGGTGGGGCCCGACCGACGCCTTCTGCATTACAGCAGAATAGCTGGGAGTAGCAACCGCCATAGGCTCCGACGATCACGAATGAGAGTATGACGATCAATGCGATACATGGGGACGGAGCCAAGCAGACGGCAGATCGACCATCTTCGACCCTGATACACACCTCACTGCTGCACACCTCTCCGACGAGCCGCTCATCTATCTGCATTTAAGTTGACTCAAGATGAGTGATCCTTTTTTTCCGGCTGACTACTACTTCTACTACTACTACTACCACCGCTACTGCAACACAAGCGTGGTCTCGCTTCTGCAGCTCTGCGACAGTCAGCCAAGCAGGTGCATGCATATACAGTCGTGAGCGAGCAGACTGGGCGCCCCGTTTGCTCATCAGTCGCTGCCGGCCTTATCTCACATTGTCAGCTACACTGTTGTAGTTCGTTGCGTAGGCGAGGCGATGAAGCACGAGCTCAGTACATGCGGGAGGCCTGCTGAACATCGTCTGCATGCCCGCCCAGAATCACCAACGTCAAACAATCACAATGCTGCAATAACGTCGATATTTAGCTCACTTTCTCTTCTGAAGGGGGGCGGCGCACAAACCTCGCAGAATCGACGGACAAACCTCTGCGCATGCAGAGGCGTTAGCGCGCCTCGTCAGCAGACTCTTTGCATCGCTGTTGTCATCAGCATGTGCCACTCATGACTCTTCGATTTCGGTCTGCTTGCGCGCGCTCGGGCGGTTCGTCTGTGCGCGGTCGAGTCTCTCCCTGTCCCTTGTCGCTTGTCCCCGTCGCCGCGTCCCTGCCCCCTGTGCGCGACAGCTGGACGGATCTGGCATTGTGCCAGTTTACATTCGCGATTTAGGCTGCTCACATCGCCTCTCTGCTGGAGCAAGAAAGATGCGCTCCTGCGTGCATGGGCGTCACTGGCGGGATGGGCAATACCCAATAGCAGGCCGCAAAGCTTTGCGCGCTATGCTAAGCGACATCCCTTCGAGCGTCAATCGTGAATGGCACACAGTCACAGTGTGAGTGCTCCAGTCGAGATGTCGAAATTCCAAGTTTGTGGCCCACGCGGGGAAGTGTGCATATCGCGTTGCAGGGGATCGACGCGCTATCTCTGGAGTCGTGAGTACCGCTGGTATAGTGAGTACGCTCTGGGGCCTGATGCAAGAGGTGCAGCGCACGTCGGCCACCCTGCCTCGGCCTTCGAGTCGTCAAATTGCAAGCACAATCGTAGGCGGCTTTCCTGCTCGAGGCCGAAGCCTGCTAGCATTAGCATTAGCATATGCATATGCAGCAGGCTCGGCTTCTCGCCACCGCGCACCCCGATTGCGGAGAGCAAGAAGCAAAATTTGTTTGACCCCTCATCCTCATGCAAATTTGTTGACTTTAGGCCCGCGTGCCTGCTCTCTTTGCATTGATGAAGGTTTTCTGATCCAAGCTGCGATACTGCACACCCCTCTGACTGATGAGTCACGAGTATTTGTTTGCCGTTGATGCCGTGAACGTCACGGATCGTCGAATCACGAATGTGAATGTGGGGACTCTTGCGCTTGCTGCGCTGTGAATCTCTTCGCAGCTAGACGACGGCTGCATTCAGCTCCCCTCGACACCACACGACACCGGTGCGGATCTCTTCCCACTCGACATTCGAGGGAATGTCGCCCTTTGCCGTGACACACTTCCACTACTATATATCGTCGTGTGAGGATCGAGAGATGCATTCGCTGAGTAACCGATCCCACGCAAGAAGAGCTCTACGATTCCACGCCTGTCACTTCCTCACACTTAGCACAAGAATCAACGGTCAGCAACTCTGAAAGCCTTGCTTTCACGTTTGCCGTGGACCGATCAGAGCACATCAGCCAGCGTATCTTCTTCCTACCCATCGGCACCAATCGCTGGCGGTGTGCCGTGCAAGGCGACCAGGGACGCGCCGCTCGCGAGCTTACGAACCACGTTGCGCAATCGTCAGCGGCCCACAACCTTGCTTTGAGCACTTCCTGCCGGCATCATGGGCTCTTTCGACAAGGGTCCCGTCTCGCCCCTGCCCTCGAGCGCCATCGCGAGCGCAGGGGCTCTGTACGATTATCTGCAGCCCGTCGTCTACCGCACCTGGACACCCGAGTATTGGGATCAGGTATACTTCTTCCTCGCCACAAAAGTGAGTGCTGCAGGATGCCTGGCGAGATCACATCGAGCCGAACACGGATCATCACGCTGATTCTGGGTCTCCTCTTTCCAAGATCGCCATCACACTCTTCGCAACATTTATGATGACGCGGCTCATCTTCCGCGGTGAATGGTGGTTTGTCCGCAGGGTGCGCGTTCGAAAGGGTGTCATACTGGTTCCTAAAATTACGGACTCGACCATCTTGTTGGGTGGAATCTTCATCGCCACGGATGCAGCATATCGCATCAAGTTCATCCAGTGGTTCAGGGGTCCAACATATCAGAAGCCCCATAACGCCCTCACATTGGAAGCCATGCGGCTGTTTCCAGCTTTCTTGGCCGCCTGGAATCATATGGCCGCCTCATCCCTCATTTGGCCTCTACGACCCGCCGATCTCAACCCGTGGCTGTGGCACGCGGGCTGGTTGGGCCTGCCGATTGCCTTTCTCGCCTCATTTCTTCCGCCAATCATCATCTCCGACGTATATAACAACCGGGGTCTCGACGTATACACCGACACCCTACTCCCTCTGATCCAGGCTGCTGGCACAACCGGCGTCGTCACGGACGAGATGCAAAGGCTCGCTCTGCAAGTACACGAGCAAATTGCCAACGCCTGCTTCTACATCGGTGTTTGGGCTTTGATCGGAGGCATCTGGATCGCCATCCTTGTCATTCCCTACGCTATGATCGCGATCACCCTTTGCTCACGTCTTGCAAGAGCCTACAGGCGCTTGTCCGACGATTCGAGGTGTCCATCGAGCACCGAACCGGACGACAGCGCCAACTCGCATCGTCAATCATACCCAGCCGCACCACCTTCCAATGAAGGCCCCGTTGGTTTGGCCATCGATCTACAACACAGTTCTACTGGGCGAAGCCAAGATGGGCGAGCTGATGGTTATTCGCGACCCGAACAATCGCACGAACTGCTATCGTCCAAGCGCACGTCGAGATTGGCGACCAGAAGAAGACAAATGGCCAAGTTGACTCCATTTCGAATGGCCAAATACATTGCTGGCGTCGCTCCTCTCCGGCACGAGGAGACTGAAATCTTGAAGAGACCAGTTGCACCAAGGACAGCGCGCAAGATCCTCAGAAATTTCCTCGTGCATAGTATCATCGAATTCGGCTCCATCTGGGGATTGATGGTCTGTCTTCTTGCACCTATCCTTTGGATTGCTGTCAAATCTTACCCCGAGATGCGAGATCTCGTTCCGGATCCGAAATACGGCAGCTCCTTTATGCGCACCAACGAGCTGTTTCACACCGTCGAACTGTGGGCCGTAGTCGTGTTCGACACTCTCGTAGTCACGAGCATGCTCAAGAGGCAAGCCTTTCCGCTCAAGGTCGACGTACACGCGGCGCTCGAGGCACGCGCAGCGCATCAGCACCAGAACAGGATACAGGGAATGAGCATCTTCGCAAACGATCTCGCGCCGCATCGTGGAGACAGGAAGCAGAGCGCAGAAGCAACTCGCGTCGGAGCCAGCTACGATTCTGCAGGGCATCCGTCGCATCCGCTCGACAGCGGTCTTTCGGTTCCCGACTGGCAAGCAAAGTCCAACCGCGCCCATTCCAACGCAACGACGGCTGGTACTGAGGCGCCATTGACCGACTTTAGCTCCCGCACCGTCAGACGAGGCTCGCAAACGGGCCGTGCCGGGCGCAGATCTGGATGTCGCCCTTCTTCGTCGACCTACGAAGACGAAGGAGCAGAAGATAGCCCAGAAATCGTGGATTATAAATCCGAGCTAGGCGAAACGACGGATGCGGACGAGGCTATCGTACGACACAGTAGCACCAGCGATCGTGCGCTTGGTCATCGCGCGGTCGAACATCCTGAGAACGATGCCGCCCGTCCAGAGTCTGTTGCATCGTCGAGGATGCCAATGATTGACGACACCCACGACATTCCCATGCACCAACCTTTGGGCTCTCGAGGATCTGGCACGGAAGACTTGTCGTGGTATGCCGGTATGGGCGCAGGTCGCTCCATCGTGCTGCAAGCCCTAGCATCAGGCCAAGCTGGCGACCTGGGCATGTCTGGTCGCAGCAGACGTCCCAAGGCTGCTTGGCGTCAAACCGGATTATCGGAAGATGTGGAGCAAACCAGCGGATCGCTGCGCTCGCCCACAAAATTCGCAACACCACACGGCTTCATCGGACCTGCTCTATCGCCGACGAACACCGTCCATAGCCCGCGAGGTCAGGCGCCGAACACGCCGATAGCTTTGCAAAACATGACCCCTTCGACGCCAAGGTCTCCGACTGGCCGCTTTCCAGGTCGGAGCCCGAGAATATAATGTGGACGGTATCAATGACATCACAAGACTCGTTAAATAGCTGCGCGAGCATCCTTCTCTGTAATCCTCCTTCACGTTGCGGCAATAGCCTTACTGCTTGTATTCACGTCACACACGATTCGATATACATGTCCTGGTCACAACGGTATTCGCCGCTTGCTGGCTCGCTGATCTTTGCCGTGTAGGTTTCAAGTCACGGCGCGTGTAGACTGGGCTCATTCAGGACGAGACGACAATCCATTTGTGAAGGGAAAGAGTATGTATGCGTGGGAGCGCTATGTACAAAAAGTCCGTCTGATCGAAGAGGATACACGGGCTCTGTACCTCGAAGTAGAGGTACGCGCTGTGCTTCTCGAGGAGAAAGATGAATGACGAAGGGGTTGTTGCATTTGTGGGCTATGCCAGGGACTGCTCCAATGGTGACCAGCCAATTGCGCGCAATGTTGGGGAGAGGGGGCGCATCTAGTTGAGGATGGCATCGTCAAGGTGGTACATGGGAAAGTTGGTTCTTCCGCCCTTTGCACCGTTTCCAAAGTATGCACCGGACGCATACAGGTTCCTGATGCCACCGTAGATGCCCTCTGTGATGCTGGTGAGACCGTACTCGGAAGAGGCAATCTCAGGACGAGAGAAGGTCTTGAAGGATGCCGAGGCGTAGTTGTCCGTCGAGGTGAAGGCGTACACGTTGGGCGTCTTGGCCCCGACGAGGCGAGAGCCAGAGCCGTTCAGCGCTGTGCGTGAGAGGGGCGCAACGTCAGCATGGTGGGGGAAGATGCGATCGATAATACGAGGCCCAAGCAATCATCACTCACAAGGGAAGGTCTTGATCTTCTCCGTTCCGTCCAAGCTGCCAAAGTTGCCGTTGATGCGGGTGAAGATTGGGGCTCCCTTGGCAGGGTTGCCGTCCAGCTTGAAGGCAGTGAGAGGACGGGGACCACCAAAGGCGACGATGAGGTTGCCCTCCGGAACGTAGGTAACGCCAGTGAAGCCAGGTCGCTGGCTGCCGTTGGGAGCCTCGTAGTACCATGGGGTGACGGTCTTGCCATCCGCGGACACCTTTGCGATGGCTGGGGCACCGAGAGCAAAGATGACGTAAGAGCTTCCGTCGGTGCCCTGAGCCGAAGCGACGTTGCCGAATGGACGGACACCGTTCTGAGCTTGGAATTGCTTTTGAACATCGTCGAAGTACACGCTCCAAGCGGGCTTGGAGCTGGCGTCGACGGGCAGATTGAATTTGTGGAAAGAGCAAGGACCGGTCTTGCTTTGGCTACCATCGAATCGGAAAGCACCAGCATCCTTTGCGACGGCGTAAAGCGCTTTTGCATCCTTGCGACTGTCCAAGCTCAGACCGGCCATCTGTTGGGCACCGTTGCCGCTCGAGGACACGCCCGGGATCTCGACGTTAAACTTGGCGCCATCCTTCGTTTGCGCTGCGATTCTTCCCTTGTAAAGGTTGGATTGGTAGTAGACACGACGAGTCACGTCGTAAACGCGATCCTCAGGTTCGAGGTTCTTGATGTTGACGTTGATCACATCGGGCGCACCACCAGCGCGCTCAACGAGTTCGGAAGGGCTGGAGACCTTTGAGAGCTCGGCGACGGCTCTAGGTGCAAGGGTAATGGCTGTGCTGGCCACGAGCAAGAGAGCTGCCGAAATGCTGAACTTCATCGTGAAATGTGCGATCTAGAGGAGATGGATGGTGGGGTCGAGAGATGCTGTGAAGAGTTCAAGTGCTGTGGTCTTGAAGGACGCGGGAGAAAGGACCGTGATGAATGAAGGGCGACAAAAGAACGTGGTGAAGCAACCTGAAAGAGGCAGCGTAGAGGAGTCTTATGCTAAATCGGGTCTGGATGCTACGGGATCGTGGTGGGTGTGGTGCAGAATGGAGAGAGCAGTCCACATTTCATCGTGTGTACAGGCACGGGTGAGTAGGTGCAAAGGTGCTGTGGCACTTGACTTGCGGCGTGGCTCATCACTCGCACTGCAGCGACCTCAAATCCCCGACACGTCAACAGAGGACGCACGCAGTCAAATTCAGATTTCCTTGATCGGCGAGGAAGATGCAGGAGCGACTGACTGTCTGTCTGTACGGCAGCAGCGGTCCTGCCCGAATCAAGCCATGCGATTGAAACTCCGAGGCCGGTAAGGGGCGTGTGCCAAGTGAAGAAACCGTCAACGACGTATCGGACTATATGTGCGCAGCCAGCTGCAGACGCCGGGCGACAGCAGGCCGGTCTTGCGTGAAACAAGGGTGCGGAATTGCGGAGCAGATCGAATGCTGCCCTAGAATCATGGCGAATGCATATATACAGCAGCCGCTCGAGCAGTCCGGCCAGCGAAGTGGGTCAATACAAATAACGCGCTGGGTTGCATGCGCTCACGACTGTTCAGGCAGCACATCCGCATCCAGAAAGTTGCTCAAATTGGACAGGCAACAAATTTCAACAAAGGCTTGAAATGGTCACTGCTCAACATTCAAAGACTGTAACCGACAGGGGCGGTGCATGGCTCGACGCTTGTAGATAGAAAAGGGCGATCCGATGAGCTTTTTCATGGCGATCCGCCGCCGTCATGCAGCAGCTGTCCTGGTTGCACGCTCAGAAAGGTTCTTTTGCGCATGCCTCGCACAGCTCCGGCAAAGGCACCTTCTTTCGCCTCTTCTCACATTGCATGCGCCTGCAGACCATTGCATGGGTAGGTATGTATATAGGCGTGCAGTGCCACCCGAACAATTCGCCCGACGCGTCGGGCGTGTTGCATTGTGATGCAGCTCGTGTTGCTGTGCGGCGATCAAGGTGCACGCTCGGCCACTAGCGCGCTCATCAATCGCAGGCGATCATCATCAGACGAAGGCACTGCATGTCGGTCTGCCCCGCACTCAACGCCAGTGACCGCGAGACATGTCGCACCCGTGGCTGTCCATCGACTACTCGACTTCTTGCTTTGACCAGGCGGATTGGTACTCGTGGACACACCTGAGAGCGCAAATCTCCTCAGATCCGGCGGAGCCGCGGACTGATAGGCAACGACCAATTGACAGGAGAGTGGTCAAATCTTTACATGTTGGCTGGTAACATGAGGTTAAGCAAGCACGAATTGCATTACACGGTAGGCAAGGGATCACAGAAGACGCTGGCATGTCAAGCACGGGTGATGAAGATGCGGTAACGCTCGTCGAGAGCAAGTGCATCTCTAGCAAGCTCTTTTTCTGCCTCGGTGACATCTTCCGGTTCCCGAGCAACACCATCCAAGATGGCCTGAAGAGCAGGACATGAGGGCGTGGGCGTGACGATAACTTCCAGCATGCTCGTGCCCTTCTGCAAAGACTGAAGCCTCACGACCCTTTCGTCAACGGCATCTATCTCGATGAAAGAAAGACGAGGCGCATCGTGAAGGACACCTGCGCCCCCTGTTGCCGTCGACTGACTACGAAATGTTGTCAACGACTCCGATAGCGCTTGCGCTTCCTTGGCAGATGGCACGCGAGCACCATTCAATCGGATTGTAGTCCGCCATGTGCCAGCAGCGGGACTGTCCGTGCTGACGTGCTCCGCGGTCTGACTTGCGGTAGTATCCCTTCGCGGATCTCCTTTCGTGACGACTGGAGAGCTGCTGCTCTCATCTACCCCGTCGATATCGGCTTCATCGTCGATGTTCTGAGGCACGGCTCCATTAAAGGCAAAGCTGAGTCTGACGGATTGAGTACTGGGAGGAACTGTGATACTGTGAAGACGAGTTACGTCGTTGTTCAGCGACAGTCTGACTGGCTTGTCCAAGTCGCTCGTCACCTCAACAGCGACCAAGTGAGCTGCTGCAGGTCGTTTTATGCCACGAACGGCCGGCGGCAATAGAGCGCTGATAGGCGGTGCGCCTAATCGCTGATTTCTTATTCGAGGCTGCCCTGCCGAGTGTTGCGCAGGCGGCAAAGAGGGGTGTGCCCCCGTGCCAGCTCCCGACGCCAGGGCACTAGCCGCCCAGGGAGGTGCATGACTCTGACTGCGTGCTGGCTGAGAGATCTGGGCCAGAGGATGCGCGTATGGTGAGTCGAATCCAGAACGAGCTGGCATTCCTGATGTCGTCACCTGTGCCCGAGCTGTCGGAGGTGGGGGCACAGGCTGGAACCTCTCGGACGGGGACATGTGCGCGGAGCTCCCTCTGAAGGGCAAAGGCCGATCGTAATTCTCAGCCGGGCGCTGCATTGGTCCGACATGGCTCATTGAGGACAAGGCGCCATGTCGGACCGCTGGAGAAGCAGGCGCAGCTTGATGGCGCACGCTACCTGGTGATGTCACTCCTGCTAGGCCGCGCTGCATCGTGCCACCCTGATGACCCCCAGGATGGGGTGCAGCGCCCGGTGAAGCAGATGGCCCGGAGCGTCCATTGCTGACAAGTGCAGGTGTAGCCGCGCTGTCGAAATATCCGCTCGCGCGCCGTCCCGCGTCTGGCGGCACGATTGGAACAGGTGACCAAAGGCCGTTCGGCTGCATAGTAGCAGTTGGTGGACTGCCAGACTGATTCAAAGGCCCGCGAGGAGCTGGACTCTGCTCGTCCGAACGGGTGGGCACATTGCCCTGTCGCACGGCTTCGGGGCGCAAGCTTGGCTGTTGTGGAACCGCTGACGTCAAAGGAGGTCGTGCTGACTCGACCGTTGGCGCTTGAGGAGCAGTCTCTCCTGTGATTGCGCTTGCAGCAGCTACAGGACTGCTGGTGTTGGCGTCTCTTTCTTGGGACCGCTTCAGTTTGACTTTGAGCTTCGCCTTGGATGAACCAGCGTCTCCTGGGTTGCTCTTGAGGGCTGCAAGTGCCACCGGTTGCCTTGTCATTGCGCGCTTTGCTGTGTCTGCCTGGGCCAATGCGGCTGCGCGGCTGATGTTCTCCGGTGCTCGCGCTGATTGGCGCTCATCAGCAGGGTCCAACGTGAATCCTTGTGCATACAATTTCGGTATTGCAGTCTTTTCCAGATAAGTCTACGGTCGTGTTGATGGGCTCGATGTCAATTCACGCCTCCTGCTGAGTCGAAGAACTGCCCTCTTACCCGTATTTGAGCAGCATCCTCGTACACCTCGCTATCATCCTCGTTGTATGTCTGCGCGTTGTCAAGCATGCTACGAAGGTCCCCAATCATTGAATGTAGACTACGATAGGCTCCGGCGTTGATCTTGTTCTGCGCGTGAGGGCGAGGAATGCTGTCAGCACCGCAGAACGATTGAGCGATTTGAGGCGCACTGACCTCGATTTCGAACATCGATATCGGTTGTGGAATCAGCTGATAGTAGTCAGGATAGTCTTTTTTGGAAGGCAACTCTGTAAAAAAGTCTGTCAAAGGGGTTCCTCTAGTAGTATAGGGGGGCAAATCAGCCTTCAAAAGTTGGTGTTCTCTTCTGCCAGTACGCCGACTCACTCTGCTGATACTGCAGCATTGAGATCGGCAATGACTTCCTTGAAAGCGTCCTTCAGCGACTTGCCTCCACTCGAAACAGCCTCGCCTCCTTCCGGGCGCGCAAGCCGCTCCTCATTCGGCATTTTCCGACCCAGCGCACCTTTGATCCGGATCCTCATCGACGTTGGCTCCTTGACGATCTCCGTCTCGCTCTCGCCTTCCGCATCTTCATCTCCCTCGCTCTCTGCCTCTCCGTCTGCATCTGCCGCGATCTCACCAGAGCCGGCCGGACGAAGGGCTGCCAGACCTCCGGGCTGCTGTGACAGGGCCAGTCGTGACTGCGACGGCGATGCAGGGCCACCAAGCGGTGAGGAACACCGGCCAAGCTCTATAACGTCACTGTACGCGTCCTTAATTAGAGCCTGAGTGAATGCGCGTGGTGAGCCTTTGAGCCTTCGTGTCCATCCAGCGAGTCAGATTTCATTCGCAAAGCTTTGCTCACGTGTAGGTGCTTTGCCTTGGTCCAGATTGGGGTGTCCCTCATATTGTAGCGCTTGGCGTTGTTGCACACCATCTCGAGGTCTCGCTTAAGATCGGAAACCTCGCTGTACCTGCCTCGCTCCAGCCGCTCCTCGATGATGTACAGGCTGATGGGATGCCTGATCGTTTGGTAGTAGTCCGGGTAATCAGACGCCGAGGGCAGCTCCATGAACGGCGCTGCCAAAAGGGTCTCATCTCTGCGCATCCGAACAACGTTTATGATCAGCCTTGCGATATTGCATCGAGCGGTCTTCACTACGCCAGAGTCCTACGAACACTTACTCGGGATCGATGCGATGGAGCAAGACATCCAGAATCTGATATCCCGCCTTGGTAATGTCCTCTGCCCGCAGCGCTGGGGATGCGGTCCTAGGATTGATGGGGGTACTGGGACTTTCCCTAGCGCTCACGCGCTGTCTCTTTCGGCCCCCTTCCAGAATCTGTGGAAGCGTGGTAGGTCCGGGTCAGCCAAGAAGCAGATAGGTGCAGCTGCACCATCAACCTTGGAAAGCGGACACGATTCCCAGCTTTGTGGCATCGAGATCGAAGTTCCATGGCGAGGATTGTCGGAGATGGATTGCTAAGCCCCACTCCGGATGTCTTGGTGCGGAGGGGTCGACAGAGCAGGTAGACGCGGGCGTGCAATGCTGCAAGCTGAGCTTAGACGAAAGCCCGCGTCCGGAGAACTTTGAGCACTTGTGACTTCGTGCATTCTCTCGAGTTTGTCTGCTCTCAGGACCAGGTACGGTCGCCGCCCCATCCCATCCTTCAATATAGTTTGTGTCCCCACGAGCATCGCCGCGCTTACACTCATAGGATGCAAAGGTGGAAGCATACACTCACATTGATGGCGGAAAGCTTGGCGGCGTCGTGCCCATCGCCGGTGCGCATGGTGCAGAGCGGCTAGCTGATGCAGAGGATGCTTGAAGCGCGCGGATGTCGCACGCGAGTCGGGGCTTGCTGGGCGTTCTAAGGTAAGAGCTCTGCACAGTGAGGGGCCCGCGAGATCGGGTAGAAACCTTGTCAGAAGCGCGCGAGTACGATTTGCGTCTAAGGTCACCCTGCCGCAAAAGGTCGGGTTGTGGAAAGCTTCTTTTGGGATGCTGTTAGGCAAGGCTGAGCATACCATGTACGGTGCCGTACCTGTTGGAATGAGCGCGTATGCTGCTGATTGCGAGACGCGCGAGATCCACGCGACGCTGCCACCATCCATCCACGCACCTCGCGTGCGCAGCTACAGTATAGCGCCTAAGCGGCCCCGCGACGGTCGAGTCGCGCTTTTTGATTTTTGCAGCCTTGCGCGCAGCGATGAGATCGGGATCGATGCGCTTGCAGCATGTTCGCGCGGCGCGGTGCTGCTGCTGAGGCGCTGCCGCGACGCGCCGCGCCGCGTGTTGTAATCAGCCGTAATTGACGCGTTTGCAAGCGCACCGGCGATGTTCAACGCACCAGCAGCAGCACCATCCCAACATGCAGGAGCTGCTCTTTCATATCCAGCTGCGAAGCTCCTCACGACACCCACAGCAAGCCCCTCCCCGTCAAGCCTGACCGCAGCTACTGTATCAATTGGCCTTGCCCCGATACCAACTCTCTCCACGCCGTGCCGCTCCAGGTGCTGGCGCCTCAAAGCGCTGCTCAAAGCTGCTGACCTCAGGTCACCTGTGTTACTCTTCACGAGTGCACACATTTAGATTCGTCGCTTTGATCAACTCCTGCAAGGCGATCACCTTTTCTCAACGCGCTCACGCATCCAACAAGGCTTCGGGGCCTAGCTTAGCCGCTCGAGATGCCGCTGATTCAACTTGAAGTCGAGAATTTCAAGTCGTATCGGGGCAAGCAGATCATCGGTCCTTTCAATAGCTTCACAGCCATCAGTGAGTGCGCGGGACGTGTTCGAGAGCGCTGTTGACTTCCCTACTGAAATTGTGCTTGCCTCGTGCTGCAAAGTCGGGCCCAATGGAAGTGGCAAATCGAACCTAATGGACGCGGTGTCCTTCGTCCTTGGTGTAAAGTCGGCGCAGCTCAGGTCGAGCCAGCTGAAAGATCTCATATACCGCGGAAGAAAGATGGCTCGCGAAGAAGGCGATGAAGAGGCCGACGCTCTAGGTTCTGATGAGGAAGACGAAGGAGAAGGGACGGCTGGCAAAGCGAGCGTGAGCGCGGTGTACAGAGACAGACAAGGCGCAGAGTGGCGCTTCACACGAAAGTGAGTCTCGTCACCGAGTGTACCGGTATATGCGGCGCACTCAACGCTCACGCCTTTCGGTCACCCGCGTAGCATCACATCTTCGGGCGCATCAGAGTACCGCGTCAACAACAAAGTGCACTCTTGGAACAGCTACAACGATCGACTGCGGTCCTTCAACATCCTCGTCAAGGCGAAAAACTTCCTCGTGTTCCAAGGCGACGTCGAGGCTGTCGCGCAGCAAGGTCCAAAGGAGCTCAGCCGGCTGATTGATCAAATCTCGGGGTCTTTGGAATACAAGGAGGCTTACGAGGCTGCCAAAGCCGCACAAGATCGCGCAATTGAGCAGTCGACGTACTCATTCAACAAGCGCAGGGGTATCAATGGGGAGCTTAAGACGTACCGAGAGCAAAAGAGTGAAGCGGAAAAGTGGGAGCGTCTGCAAAGCGAGCGCGACGCACACATTTTGCAGCACATACTCTGGCGACTATACCACATCGAAGAGGAACTTGAACAAACGTCCTCGACCATCGATTCGGAAAGCAGCAAGCTTCCACACTTGAGGAAGCAGGTACGTGACGAAGAAACTCATGTTGAGCAGGCGCGCAAGGAGGTCGCACAACTCGACAAAGACATCGTAAAGCAAGAAAGCTCCTTGCGCAAGCGAGAGCGCGAGCTAGAGGCTCTCCAGCCGAGCATTGGAGCCATCGACGAGAAGATTGCCCACTCAAATAGAAGACGCACAAATGCCGAGGAATTGTGTGTTAGCGTAGAGCGCGACGTAGAGCGCTTGACTGCACGAATTGCCAAACTTCGTCGAGACCACGAGTCCGCTAAAGAGGCCGCAGACGAGGCAGCCGAGGAGCAGCGGCGAGCAGCGCAAGAAAGAGGTCAAGCGCTGAGTGGCCAAGAGCTCGCCGAGTATCACGAACTCAAAGCCCAGGCTAATTTACGCGCTACGGCGGAGAGGCAGCAGCTTGAGACGCTTTCGCGAGACATTCGCGCAAACAAGGCTACCGCTGATGAGCTCGACGAAAAGCTGAAGGCGCTTCAGCGCGCCAAGGAGAAGCAAGAAACGACCTCCGAAAGCCAAAAGGAGCGGAAGCAGGCCCTGGAGGGGCGTGCTCGTCAAGTCGAAAAAAGCTTGAAAGAAGCCAGAAACGAGTTGACGCGCGTCCAAAAGCAGCGCGCTGATATTGTCAAGCGCGAGGACGAGCTTAACAAGACGCTGCATGACTGCATCAACAAGCTGTTGCAAGCCGGTAGCGACGCAAGGGAGACAGAAAGAGAAATGCGCATGAAAGAGACATATGCGGCCCTTGCTCGCATGTTTCCGGGTGTTCACGGCCGCCTTGCGGATCTCTGCAAGCCAGTGCAGCGCAAGTACGACACAGCAATCTCCACGGTGTTAGGGCGCAACAATGATGCTCTAATCGTCGACAACGAAAAGACAGCAATTGACTGCATCGAATACTTGCGAAGCCAGCGCGCTGGTCAAGCCACGTTCATCCCACTCGACACTATTCAAGTCAAGCCAATCAACGATCGCCTCAGAAATATCGCATCTGGTGCACGTCTCGCGGTAGACGTTCTGCAGTTCGATGCCGCTGTCGAGCGCGCGATGCATTTTGCGTGCGGTAATGCCGTAGTATGCGACTCTATGCCTATCGCTCGCTTCGTGTGCTACGAGAAGAAGGTGGAAGTCAAAGCGGTCACGCTAGACGGAACCTTGATCCACAAAAGCGGCAACATCACCGGTGGTGTGACGGCTGGCGAAAGGACGCACCGATGGGAAGAGCGGGAGGTTGACGGACTGAGCCGTCAGCGAGACCAATGCCTGGCAGAACTGAAGGAGCTCGGCAAGCAGCGGTATGAGCTGTCGCAAGACGATGACCTGCGCGCGAGTCTGCAACGCAGCGAGGCGGATCTGTCCACACTGCGCGATGAGCTAACCGAAGTCAACAGCCGTCTTGACGGCGCCCGCGATGAGCTCAAGATCATCAATTCTCAAATCAAAGACACGACCGGGCGTTTCAACAAAGCTCGCACGGCTCAACAAGACGCGGAGAATCGCGCAATTGGACTGATGAATACCGTCGAAGGAGCAGATGACGCAGTCTTCGGAGCCTTCTGTCAGCGAATCGGCGTGCCCAATATCCGGGCGTACGAAGCACGACAATTGCGCGTTCTGGAACAACAAAGCCAGGCGCGTCTTGAGTATGAGGAGCAAATGAAGCGACTCGATCACCAAATCAGATTCGAAGAACGCCAGTTGGGCGACGCGGAAGAGCGACTTGAGCTCAACCGCAGAGTCATCACAAAGGAAGCTGAACGCCTCCAAGCTCGACAAGCCGAGAAAGAGGAATTGGAAGCGCAGATTCAGGAGCTGCAGGAGAGAATCGAGCAAGTCAACGAGCGTCTGGCGGAGCTGCGCGAGCAGCAACAGCAGCGCTTGAAGGCTCTTTCGGAAGCCAAGAAGGCCGAAATCCTGGCGAACAAGACCCTTGGCGCAAAAGTGACTGAAATTTCGAGATGCAATGACGTGATTGAGAAGCTTAGCGCAGAGCGTTCTTCGATCTATCGCCGATGCCGACTTGAGGAGATCGATCTGCCTCTCAAGCAAGGCAGTCTGAGTTCCATTCCGTTGGAAGACAATCCGGATCTTGCTCCCATGGATATTGATGAGGATGTCACGCAGCGCGCGATCGAAGCGGCAGATTACGGAATCGAAGTTGACTTTACTGATCTCGACGACGAGGAGAAATCAGACGGAGGTGAGGATATGGCAAAAGAGCTTCAAGGACGCATCGACGATGTTATTGCGCAGATCGAGCAGATGCAACCCAACATGAAGGCCATCGAGCGACTAGATGATGCCGAGGCTAAGCTCAAGGAGACGGAGAAGGAGTTTGCAAGATCTAGAAATGATGCTCAAAAGGCTCGCGACGAGTTCAACCGCATCAAGAAGAAGCGGTGCGACCTCTTCAACGCTGCATTTTCTCACATTTCTGAACGCATCGACTCGACGTACAAGGAGCTCACCAAAGGCAAGGCGTCGCCTATGGGTGGTGTTGCATACCTCTCGCTTGAAGACTCTGATGAACCTTACCTCTCGGGTGTGCGCTACCACATCATGCCGCCAATGAAACGCTTCCGAGACATGTCGGACCTGTCCGGAGGAGAGAAGACGATTGGTGCCCTCGCACTGCTTTTCGCTATATCGACCTTCCGTGCGCCCCCTCTGTGGATTCTGGACGAGGTGGACGCCGCACTCGACTCGACGAACGTCAGCAGAGTAGCCAACTACCTTCGTTCTCACGCCTCGGATCAGACTCAATTCATCGTCATCTCCTTGAAGGCCTCCATGTACGAGAGAGCAAGCTCGCTTTGCGGCATCTACCGCCAACAAGATGTCAACAGCTCCAGAAGCTTGACCCTCGATCTGGATGCCTACGCCTAGCGGCGACTTTTGGCGATCGATGTCCCGACCGGCCACTTCCTTCTCGGTGCATCTTGGCATCGCGCGCGCTATATCGTTGATGTACTGTACAGCTTCCGCCCCACTTGAGCGTAATGAATTGGATCTTTTGATACGCCGTTGAAATTGAAGCTTCCGTTCTGAGTTGAGGCTCCGACGTGGGTCTGCCCCGAGCAGTGGCTCGCAGGAAGGCGCAGAATCCGATGAACGCACTCCGCCTTTTATGTGTCGTTAGACCCTCTGTCTGGCCCGCTGCTCTGAACCGAGGTTCGCCGAGCGGAGCCTACCCCAGCTTGCGGTACTTCCATCAAAGGATACCTTTCGTGATTTGCTTCTGGGCTACTGTAGCATCCTTCGTTCTCGTGCGAAAGAATGCCGTGTGATTTCGGATATCAACAATGTGATGCTGGGTACATTTGCGATGTGTATGGCCATGTGACGGCGATCGGCTGGGCATACCCAGGCGATAAAGATGATCCGTGGACCAGCATCACGTCTGCAGCACTTGAGGTACTGGAGGACCGGCGCTCATGATTTCTTGTTCTCTCTTCTTCAAAACTCTCGCAGGCTCGCAGCGGCTTGAAAGACAAGAATATCGCCAAAAGGATATTCCGCTGCTCTTTAAGCTCATCAAATTATGTGACCATGCTGAGTTGAGTCAATGAGAGGGTCATTGGATGCTGGAGGCGTCTGTCTGATGAGGAGGGTGTGGCTTGCATCTGAAATGTGCTTCTGGCTCAACTCCGACCGGGCCGTACAGTGGAGGAGACTCGTGGCTCTTCTAATGCTCTCGCCTTTCTGGCGCCACACTCACTGAAGGGCTGCACTCACTCGACCGCACCTGCATCGAGATGCATAGATTGCTGAGGGATGAATGTTGCCAGTTGCTAGGTCCCACACTGCAGCGGTGCCGCGGATCCTAAGCTGTTCGGTTGAGCTTGTTGACGCGCAGTGCTGCAGCGCAAGAATCTCCTCCCAGATGGCATGAGGTCCCATCGTCGATACAGAGGTCCGCTGCGACTATGAGGACTCGATACCGTGCACTGCTGGGGCTGTGGGGGGATGATTACACTCGCACTCGCAACTGCAAGGCATCCCATGATCTCGCTTCGGCAAGGCTACAGGCGTTGCCGCCCATGCCGACATCATACACGAGTGATGCGAGACAGCAGCACTCATGCAGTGCTCGCGTTACTGCATGGAGTCAAAGTGGCAGCCCCTAGCCACTCACGACTCACAGCACTGCTGCATGCATGTGACTTGAGTCACGCCGCGTATACGTGCATGCGGTGCTGGATGGACCAGGAGGGCAGGCAGCCTGCAGCAGGGCCCATGCAGCAGCTACAGTCACAGCAGTCACTCTACTCGGTGACCACAGCGGTCACTGATGCGAAGAGTCTCAAGAAAGGACCGGACCGGATCACCCGCGCGGGTAAGACGCGCTTCTTCACGCGATCCAGATGAATTTTGACTCACCATTCGTGATTCACGATTGTGATTGTGACAGCCCGCGCGGAACGGAGCGGTCTGGCTTTATAGACATCTCTGCAGTGGTCGCACCGTGGAGAGAGAGGTCATACATTTGCAGGGTCCCTATCCGCTTGTTTGGAACAAGCGGCAGCAGCAGCTGGCTTGTACGGAAACATTAATAAACGCGTCACGGAAGAGCAGCTATTCAGTCACGAGTGTGAGCACCTATACCAAGGCCAAGCGAGCGGAGTTGAGGCTCATAGATCGCTGCGTACAGCTACCGGTGCAGAGCGCGCCCGACCAACGACGCGCTCGGCTCCAGCAGCCTTCATTTCCCTTCGCAGCTACTTACAAGCAAGAATATTCATTCGCTCATTCACTCATCCGCTCAGTCTCACGACTACCAGTGAAGTAAGCAGCGTCCAGCCTCAATATCGCAAGTCTCTCTGCGTGTCGCATCTGCCTGGACCAGGAGCGATTACGACGACCTACCACCACCACCTTTGCCATACCGCCATCCTTTTGTGCCACAGACTCTAGACATTCGTGCACATCCGCCAGCGACCCATCGGCTTCTTTGAATACCACACCCTACCGCTAGGCTCGTGAGCTGTCAGCAGCGCTCTTCTCCTATTCAACTTCTCCACCACTGTCCATCAAAGAGCTGCACCCGTAGAGCGCTCGTCTGAAGCGAGCGCTTCTACGACCCGGCTAGTCACCACGTCGCCATCCCGCAAGCGTCCGGCTTCATCTCAAGGAGGGCCTGAAGAAGAGGCTTCGCAACGAACAGCATCCACCGGCCACGCACGCGGTGTCAGCGCTGGTGGACAGTCTGGAGGAGGGGCATCACAGCCCTCGCCTGCAGGCGGGGCGCGACAGGAAGAGAGCAGGAAAAAGCGCGTAACTCCTCCACCTCCCCAAGGTCTTGACCAAGCGGTCAGGCCCATTCCACCCAAATTCGAGCGCAGACGCTCTGGCCTCTCTCCCAGCAGACGCGCAGCAGTCAACGCCAGCAGTCCGCGAAGTAGCGGAACGGCGAGCTTCGATTTCGAGAGGAGGGGCAGCGTAGCGAGCTTCACCTCTCAAGGGTCAGAGACTGCATCGATTTCCGCCCTTGTTGGCCTCTCAACGCATCCATCGGGGTCGGTGCAAGCCACTTCCGCTCCGCTTTCTGCTCCTGCCACCGCTGCACTCCACGATCCAGCTGCTGCGGCAGCCCTTTTGGGAGTCGCTTCTCAGACCGGCCCTCGGCCCCGCACTGTAGCTGCTGCAGTCGAAGCGGCAATAGCTTCACCCCAATTTCGCGTCCCTGCGACACCATCAGAGCAAGCAAGAGCACAAATCAGTGAGGAAGCAGCGGTACCATCTGCACACACGCACGGCAGCCGGTCAAGCTCGATCAGCCTGTCCGCTCCGCAAATTTCGGAATCCAGCCCGCAGACGCATTCCAGAGGATTTAGTGCGGCTGCTGCGAACGCTGCGTTTAGAGCAGCTGCCGATTCCGCAAGCACAGCTACAAGCGGCGCGAAGCCAACGGGAACCGCAGCGTCACAAAGTACGAGGCGCGGGGTGCCTGCCATCGCCACTCAGACCGGATCTTCGCGAGGGCGTGCCAGTGCAAATAGCGCACACCCGACCCCGCAATCTGCGCAAGCCTTCGCTTCCTCGCCGCCTGGTCGCTACACGCAAATTTCTTCGGCTTCCTCGCCTGACCAAGTCTTTCACGGAGCTGGGTCTCCCGGACATTCGATCGCGGGCAGTCGAGACTCGCCTTCGTACACAGGCGTCGTTCGCGGAGCTCCGGCTGTTTACGCCGACCGCAACTACGTCACCAGCGCTCACTTCGCATCGCCCGCTAGCAGCAGCTATTCGAGTCCTCCTGCCGGGGCAAGCTCTACAGTTCCTCGCGCTCCTTCTTTCGAGATGCTCGATCTCGACGAGACACTTCGTGCACTCTACTTTGCGCCCTTGCCTTTGATTGTATTGGACAACAATCGCACTGTGCGACTATGCAATCGACCTGCTGAGCATGTGAGTCGATTTTTGAAAGCCCCGATCGGTTTCGAACAGATGTCTTTCGCGAGGGCCCCTGACATGTACCCGACCTTCCGCGATTCGACAGCTCCTTCGAGTAGCCGCACCGGCCTGCACGGGGCAGCGGTTTGAGAGCTTGGTTGCGCCAACATCTCGGAATACCTTCACTTTAGCTCTCAACGAGGCAGTAAGTCAACAAGCCCAGATCTTAGCATGGCACGGTATCTATGCATTGTGTGCTTAAATCGGCACCTCGCCACGCCGCGCAGTCTCAAACGGTGGAAAAATGGACAGGTCCGACGATGACGCGAGTTTTGATGCGCACCGGGGAAGAGCAGCAGCCGTTGCAGTGCGACCTCAGCATCAGTGCATGGGTGAGTACCTGTCAGAGCAGTGGATCGTCTTGATATCTCGCCGCTAACGTGCTTCATGAATCCTACCATGAACAGGGAACATCTGACCAAATGTTTTCGCCTGCTGATGGCGGCCATACCTTTTTGAATCGAGAGGCTTCCTCAGCAGACAAGGCTGTCGCTGCGTCTAGCGCCGCCCAACTGTCACCCCGGACAACACCTCAAAGCGTCCCTGCTGAAGACCAAAGCTCGCCGCCCAACGGTCGCTCCGAAGCTTTGGCTAGCGCGTCAGCGCACCACCTCCCGCACGAGTCGATGTTCACAATCTCCATAGCGCCAGTGTGAGTCTAGCGCACTGCATTCCTCGCGAACCGTGGAAGCTGACCACTGCGCAATGGCGCTTTCAGTCGAACTGGGGAGAGGCGCTCCAGTCCAGGGGGAGGTCACCTGACCAAAGCGGACATGCTACGCGAAAGTGTCCTGCATACAATCGAAGTGCCCATGCTCGCCTTGAACTGCGAAGGCACTACGATGATCACGAATCGTGCAGCGAATGATGTGCTAAGCATTTTCAGACGACAGCAACCAGTCAAGAGAGAGAAGAAGGATGGCGATTCAACGCTCGATCCTAACGTGGTCAACACGGAAATCGATCTGACGTGGATCACCGAGAATATGGACTGCTACGACGAGAACTTCGAGCACCCTATCCCCGAAAGCGAGTTCCCAATCTATCGCGCAACAGTTTTGGCGCAGCCGACCGCTGCTAAAGTCATGGGTATCGAAAATCCTTTCACTGGTCGCCGCATCGTCATGGAGATCTCTGGTCGGCCGATACGTGACAACGGAGGCTTCGGGGAGCACATTGGCGGCCTGATCACCTTCCGCGACGTCACCGGCGAGCGTGCTAAGCGCGAAGAAGACATCCAGGAACAGGGTGATGCTTACTTCAAGCAGCTGTGCGACGCCATGCCCCAGCTTGTCTGGGTGACAACTCCTACTGGCTTTGTCGAATGGTATTCGAAGGCGTGGTACGATTACACTGGTCAGGACGAGCAGGACGCGCAAGGCGTCGGATGGGGCTCTGTCCTTGCTCCTGAGGTGCGTAGTCTTGGTGAGGAACACGTAGAACGGCGACTGATGCTCTACATTGACTTGAACAGGACGTGCCCGAGACCAACCGGAGGTGGAGCCACTCTTTGCGAACTGGGGAACAGTATGAGACAGCTTACCGGTGCAAGAGAAAGGATGGCGTGTACAGATGGTTCTTGGGTCGAGCACGCCCGTTCCGTGATGCGCGTACTGGTGCTATCAAAGTGAGTCTGGTCGCGTAAGAACACTCGGGAGCAGGACTCACTCGCAATGTCTTCTCAAAAGGGCTGGGCTGGCTCTTGTACGGACATCCACGATCAGGTAGAGGCCCTTGCTGCAAGTCGCCAGGCCCAGACTCAGCTGGAAAGCGTCATCAATCAGGCCGCCATGACCCTCTGGGCGATAGATAGAGAAGGAGTCGTAACTGTGGCTGAAGGTCCAGGCGTGCGTCAGCTCAAGCTCATGGCGCCCACCACACCAATGGGCTCTGAGCGCGACGTGAGTACGAGCCAAGCAGATCGCGCGAGCGAAGACGGCATGCAGATGCAAGCCTCCAGCAATAGTAACAGCAACAGCAATAGCAACAGCAGCAACAGCAGATATCGCCATTCGATGATCGGGCGCAGCGTCTACGATGTCTGGAACTCCGTCGAAATCAGATTGGCCATCCAGAAGGCGCTAGCCGGCGAATCCGTTGTCGAAGAGATGGAAATCGAAGGGCGGCACTTTAGAACGAGCTACAATCCTCTGCGAGCCTCTGACCCAGAGGCACCGATCGCAGGCTTGCCCACAGAAACCTATGAGAGTGAGATCATAGGAGTCGTTGGATCGTCGATGGACATTACGGAGCGCAAGCGAGCTCAGATCAGGATGGAGGAAAGCTTGATCGAAAAGTCCCGCGCACTGGCAGCTGAAGGCGCGGCTAGGGAAGCGAGCCGATTAAAGTCGGAATTTTTGGCGAACATGTCTCACGAGATTCGCACTCCCATTGCTGGTGTAATTGGTCTGTCCGAGCTGCTGCTGGACGAGAAGCTCACGACTCAGCAGCGTGACTATGCAGAGACGATTCAAAGATCGGCGGAAGGCCTACTGACGGTCATCAACGATGTGCTCGACTTTTCAAAGGTCGAGATAGGCAAATTAGACGTGGAAAGAGCTCCGTTCAATTTGGAGGTCGTTTTGCGGGATCAAAAACGGATGTTGAGCTTTGCTACGCAAAAGAAAGGGCTAGATTTCCGGGACTCCGTCAGATTGGGCTACAAGGGTATGCTGCTTGGTGACGCTGGTCGCCTGCGTCAAGTCATCACAAACATTCTCACCAACGCTATCAAGTTCACGTCGGAAGGATACATCTCCTTGGATGTTGCAGAGGTCAAGGAAGACGCTGAGCACCTCACTGTGCGATTTGATGTGCGCGATACAGGTTGCGGCATTTCGACCGAAGTTCTATCTCGCCTCTTTCAACCCTTCAGTCAAGCAGATCCTTCCACTGCTAGACGATTCGGAGGCACTGGTCTGGGCTTGAGCATTTCCAAGAATCTCGTCGAGCTCATGCACGGCAAGATCGGGCTGAACTCGGTTGAGGGGCAGGGATCCCACGCATGGTTCTGGGTACCCTTCCTAAAGGCCAAAGAACCTTCCATCAGCGACATGGATGAGAAGACGTCTGCGAAAGTGCTAGCCGATTCGGCAGCCGGCAACGTGGGCATGCCAGGACTTGAGCGCAATCCTTTGTCGCGGCCACGCAAGGACATTTGGATCCTCATCGCAGAGGACAATTTGGTCAATGCGCAAATCGCGAGCAAGAACCTTCGCAAGATGGGCTTCAGCTGTCGGACGGCTGAGAACGGCAAGCTTGCCCTTGACGAGTTGGGCCGTAACACGTACGATGCAGGTAAGACGCTCAAGAGGTGCAAGCGTTCATGTACCTTTGAGCTGATCCCCTGGCCGGTCGTCTATCTCAGTGCTCATGGACTGTCAAATGCCAGAGGTGAGCAGAGACACATTGGACGTTGTAAATTCCCTCTGACGGTTATCGTGCTCCACAGATGGACGGGTATGAAGCAACGCGACTTATTCGAGCTTCACAGAATACCGACACGAGAAGTTTGCCGGTCATTGCTTTGACCGCTTCTGCTATCAAAGGCGATCGAGAGCGAGCGCTGGAAGCTGGAATGAATGACTACATCTCCAAGGTGCGCTGTAGGCCGGGATCTTGCGAGGCGCACCTTATTTGTCGTCACTCGCGCCGCTATGATTGACACTGACATTACTCGCATGTCCACTTCTGAGCGCAGCCTGTGAAGCGTCCTCTGTTGGAGTCTACGTTGTGCAGATGGCTCTACGATCAGGACGCCCGCCAAAGCCTTTCGAGGTATTCGAATCCTCCTTTGTCGCCTACGCCCGAGGACGCGTCTCCCGTGACGGCGGCGGCAGTGTCTGCGGCCTTGGGCACCAGCGCGCCTCTGAGCTCACAAGCCATACAAGCTTCGCTGGATGTTGGACCCTCGCCACGAAGCCAGGAAGACACGACGGCTCTGGGCGCCACGGGCAAGTCACCGGGTCTTTCCCCGAGCAGCACTGTCAGTCAAGTTCAACGCACTCTCAAAGTGAACACCTCAGATGCTTTGACCACGGCAGCAGAGCTCTTGGCCGCTCGGCGCGCGTCCGACGAAGGATCGCCGAGCGTGAGGTTGAAACGACCACCTCTAGGGTCGAGAAGCCACTCGCACAACCCCAGCTCCACAACTAGCGAAGAGTCGCTCTCTTATGCCAAGATGACAGGCGCCAAGTCGTACCAGCAAGCAGCGCCGCCAGGGGTGCCGCGAATGGTCCGTCGCTCAAGCCGCGAACAAGGAGGAATGGGAAGAGATTTGGAAGGCGAAGTGCTGAAAGCTGTGGCTGGACTGGCTAGCGAGCCCAGGCTGGAAGCGGCGATGGAGAATTCGGAGGGGGAACAACTTGAGCAACTACTTGCCCAGGCGCACGCGCAAGCGGCCGGAGATATTTCTAGCGACACTCTGCCTCATATTACGGACCAACAAGTCGATGCGGACGGCGACTCGCCCATGCCCGACGCTGTGTACGGCCCGTAACTGCCATCAGGATGTGTCAATCCCGGCACGGACGAGCCTGTGACACTGGACTGCATGCATCTCTTCGACATTCTTCCGCCTTTGTTTCGTGGAAACCTTTTGCTTCATGTGCACAGTATCCTTTTCTCTCGTATATCTTCTCTCGTATGCAAAAAGCGACATTTCCTCGGTTTTGACTGTGCAGCATCTCCTTGGCCACGCATGTATCCATGTATCCTCTGCCATGATGCCGCAGTAGAAGAATGCCATGGCTCTTTGGTGTCATAAAGCATCTCGCTCTGGTCTGAAGCTGCGTAGAAGCGAGGACAGACTCATTACTGGCACTACCTTGACCTATTGTGGGACCTGCGATTCTCGAATCGTGGACGACCTCCTATCACACCGCTCGCCGGTCGAGTCGCTAGGCCTCTCAAGGAGAGGGGGAGGCCTGGCCAGTCGTCTGATAGACACTTGTGTGGAGTTGTGAAAGCTTGGTCCAGACGTCGCAGCATGCACCCAAACGCTTCCTGATGCTGGTAATGTGCACCCCGTCGTCACCTGCCAGACCGCCAGTGAACAAGCAAGGCCGCATGCAGCTCTTCAGAATATGAATTGACATCTTGACCTGTGAGCTTGAGAGCAGCTATGGACATTGCGCGCATGGACGCGTACAGCGAAAGCCTTAGATGCCAGCTGTGATTCCTTTGCTACCTCCGCCCACTCTGCCACTGAGCGGAATCACCTCTCCACTCTTGTCCAGTACCGCTTCAAACCTTTGAATCACAAAGAGCTTCTCTTGAGAAGGTCTGTAGGATTTGAAGTAGATCGTTGCAGTCTCCTCTGAGCGGGTGAGAAGAAGAGTGAGAAGGTATGAGCGGAGAGCAGAGATTTCAGGTCGAGATTGAAGAACGCGGAGCTCACCAGAAGGTCCTTTGACCTGAAAGTTAATGTCTATCCGGCCTTGCATCATATTGATCTGGAAATTAGCACCAGAAGAGATGATAAAGGTGTCAATAATCAACGGGCGAACAGAGACGTGTTTGCAGGGCGGATGACATTGACTCGCACTCACACCACCTCCCACCCAAGCATCGCCCAGCAACCAGGAGCTTCTGACCAATTTAACGTCTCCTAAATCAGCATCCACTTCATCCAGACTAGCGATCTTTCCCACGCCCAACCTCTTTCTGAGCGAGACATTCTCCTTTGCCTGATCCAGCGCAGCTCTTAAAACACTGCTGCTCAGTCGTTCCTTGTTGGTTGCGTGTGCTGTGAAGAGCGCCCAGGAGGAGAGAATTGCTGTACCTAGACCTAGGGCGAAGAGCACACGACTGGAGGTGGAAGGTAGGGACGGCAAAGAACGAGGAGAGGCATAGGGACGTGAGGCGTCCGTTGCTAGCCTTTGTGATCGATGTCGCGTCTGCGAAGGGTAGTATTGGGTTGAGCTTGAGGCGAAGCCCTTCTGATCGGCCCTAGTATCCAGACGGCGGAAGTTCTTGCCCAGGCTTAGCGCGCTGGCAGCATCAACGCGAGCTCGGACTGTCATGCTATCCAACCCGTGAAAAGTGGACCGAGAATGAAGACGACGTAGCTGGTACATGCCCTGAGGCCGCAAGGGTTGTCCGTAAGCTCGCAGAGGCGCTGCTAGAGCAGCGAATGCACCCTGAATGGGGAACACAGATGACATCTTCACGGCAGGTCACAGTTGTGAGGAAGGCTGTATGCACTAAGCCCGGATCCTCTTAACGCCCGCTGCTTGCTTCGTGGAGGTGGGGTGCACCAAATCCGCAGGACCTTGACACTTGCCAAATTGAGGTGAACACCGATCCGGTTGCTGTAGCCAAGTGAACAGTCAGTCAGAAGATTGTCTCTGCTTAGCACACACGCAGCCCAACCAGCTCAAATTGTGCACCTCCACCGCCATGCAACGAGTGACCACACATTTGGATGTTTTGCGCGCGGGCGGTGGACGACGCTCCGGTAGCATGTCACGTGACTGCCCCGGGCCAGTCATTCGCGCGCAAGCGAGAAAAAAGTCGTGAGTGATGCGCAAGGGAAACTGACTTTGCAGACAGAGAAGGAATTTGAGTACTCACACTTCCGGCTCTCTACATGAAATCACACTCCTGACTCACGACTCAACGGATGGATTGTGGATCGAAGTGGCTTCGATGACGATTCCGCATTCGTGATTCCCAAATATTGATCAGTCAAAATTCCAAAGCTGCACAACTCATCTTTGGACCCCATCACTGCCTCGCACCCGACATTGACAGCTGCTCGAAGCGTTCCGCATAGCGTACTTCCGAAGAAAAGCCTCCTCTTTGCCGCAAAGCCATGCCGAAGCGCTCCAAGGTCGCAGGGCCTTCGACGTCGCCCGAAGCACAAGATGAAATCTCGGCGCTCGAATCATCCTCTCGTCCTAGCGCTGCTCTCAAATTACGACCTTCCAAACGCGCAGGTTTGCCAGCTACCGCCGAGGAGAGCAGATTAGCGAGCTCCCTCTTTGGCACGCCTGCTGCGAATGATGGGCGCCAAGATGAACGAAAGAGGCGAAGGCTTGATGCGCTGGAGCAGAAGGAGACGGGCAGGGAACATGTCTTGGATGAGGATGTGAGTGGTAGACCATGCGTGGGCTCGAGCGATGCTCATTGACCCTCGGCCCATTTCGCAGCTCTTTACGATTGAAGGCGTGGGAAGCGAAAGTGAAATTGAGGAGGAGGAAAAGGGCAGCGAAGACTTCAGCGATGATGACGACGACCATACCGAGGCTACAGAGCTTGAGGATGATGCCGCGCTCGGCGAGTCCGATCATGAAGCAAAAGAAGGGGGCGCACTTCAGGCAGACTCGGACTCTGCAGATGAAGGCGAAGAATCAGATCCTCGGATACTTCCAACGACGACTCGGCGACCTGCCTGGACTGACTCGGCACTCTCATCACTACAGGTGGCGCTGGCGGGCCCATCTGCTCGCGCTATGGATGGCTCTTTCGTCGGGACAAAGAGGCTGAGGAAGTTGCGAAATGATCCTGATGAGACGCACGTCTCCGGCGTGGAGTACGAGAGGAGACTTCGAGAGATGTGAGTGTAACCTCATCAGCAGTCGCCAGACTCGAGCTTTGGGAACCTCGCTTGAGCCCGCCCAATGCCTGAGACTGCGAGCAAATTGCCGATCGAGGCAGGGCAAGTGGCATTGTGTCTGACCCGATTTCGCTTGGCCTATATCATTGCAGGTACGAGCGTTTACATCCTCGACCAGCGTGGGCAAAGTCCGCTGCAAGCGCTTCCAACAACGCCACGAATGCAGGTTTGTCCTCTCTACTTTCGAAAGCTGGGACGCTGGTTAGGCCCACCAAGCAGACCAAGCAAGCACCTCTCCCCCGGGAGAAGATTCAGCTGCGAAGAGCTAGGGATGCGAATCAGGTGGTGACTTCTTCTGCGGGACAGGATGGAGCAGCAGCTCTGGCTGGCATCGAGTGCATCGATTGGCACCCCTCGACGAGGACCAGGTTGATGCTCACTGCAAGCAGAGACAGAATAGTCAGGCTCTTTGAGGTGAGACATAGCAGTGGTTGCGACTTGTATCTTCTAGGCTAAGACGTCAGTTCTCTGCTATCTCGTTCAGATTGACGGCACGACAAATCCGCTCTTGCAGTCCGTATCTGTTCCATCGCTACCCTTGACACGTGCTTCTTTTCATCCTAGCGGCAGCAGCATCTTGCTCGCGGGCCCACGGCCCTACCTCTATGCATACGATCTCCAATCTGGAAGATCGATTCGATCGACACCATGGAGAGGTGGTGGAGCACACAGCGATGCGGATTGCGCTGAACGAGATCTCAGTTTTGCTAGATTCCAACCCGATCGTGCAACAGGTGGCAGTGGCAGACTGTTGGCCGTTGGAGGAAGAAGAGGTGCTATTCATCTGCTGGACTGGGGATCTGGATCGTCCGGAGGAGGGGCGGCTGGAGGAGGAGGGGCGGGTCTGGCGTCCACGCTGAGATCCAACTCTGCCGTGTGTGGCATGTCGTGGGATCAGAGCCCGAGCGCCGGAGGCAATCGATTATTGACGCTAAACCAGGGCGGCACGGTGCACGTGTGGGACGTGAGAAGTATGAGGGCGCAAGTGGAAAGGAGGGATGTGGACCTGTTTGCTCCCAAAGGGCTCGAAGGAAACTGCGACGCCACGCTCTGGGCAGCTGGAAGCGAAGGAGGCGTCGTATCTATCTATGACAAAGAACTTGCAAAGGCGGATAAGATGCAGGATGATGCGGCGCACATTGGCACCGTGTCGGCCAGAAAGACCATCGAAAACCTCAAGACTAGCATCACTAGCATGAAGTGGAACCACGATGGATCAGTATTGGCCTTAGCAAGCAGGAGCGTCAAGGATGCTCTGAGGCTAGTGAGTGTCGCCGTGATGCGCGCTTAGGCGGTTTCATTGAAGCCACACTGACAGTCTCGATCCGAATCCCCTCTCTCTTAGGTGCACGCTCCTACCCTGACCGCCTTTTCGAATTGGCCAACTTCCAGCACTCCTTTGGGACACGTGACCGATTTAGCCTTTTCCAACGCTTCCGAGTACCTTGCTGTGGCCAACAGCCGTGGCAAGGTGCTCCTGTATGCTCTTTCACACTACAATGCTTGACGGATGTCACAGACTCTGAATGCATGCCGACCCGCTTCTTTGTAGGAGATTTTGACATGCCTTGTCAAACGTGGATTTCAGGCGTGGAAAAGAATCACGAATTTTGCACCTTGGTAGAGCATCCAACCGAGAATATTTGATCATGCTGTAGACGTTCGAATGGTGAGAGGTTGACCAGCGGGGTCGCTAACAAACAGAACTGAGGAGACGGATGCATCAAAGAAAAGAAGGAGGAAGCAAAGCAGAGGCAAAGAGAAAGAGATTCAAAGGCAGAGCAAGGCGACACATTGGCGGATCTGCGATACACTTCAATGTGTAGTCCTCTCCTGGCCTTTGGGCCCTGATCTCCATGTTACGGAACAGGATCACGAATTCATAAGGCACACTGCGGCTCACTGTACCTCTCACCGCCAAATTGCTGTTCATGCGTGTTACTGCGACATCTTGCCCGCAAGCTCTTGCGCTTCTGCTTTGCACTGTCAAGTAATCCCGCTAGGCACTGGTCATCTTATGCACGGCTTGGTGCAAGAAGTGGGCTGCTGGCAAAGAGCCCTTCTCGCAGGGTGAGGCTCGTCGTCCGTCGGGGATGGGAAATCGTCGCCATCAAGCATACTGTGGTCGTCGATGCCTCCCGCAGTACATTCTTAGTTGTGCGCCGGTCAGGGAGGGGCAATCTCCGACTCATGATCGAAGCGCGTGATCGGTATCCGACGCATTGCAGCAGCTGTCAATCAAGAATCTTGAATAAAGTAAATCACCTGCTCTACCCCGGGCTCCTTACGCAACCGAACACCTCCATTCGTGACCAGCCGTTCATGAACAACCTTTCGTGCATCTCTTAGACTTGCCACTACAGACTTCACGTACCTCCACACTCGCTTACAAGTCGAAGCAATCAAGGATAACCGTGAATCACGAATGAGGAATAGCCGTCGAGCGGGTGGCGGAAAGTCAGTCACGTGACGCTCGACCGTTCTTGAAACTTCGTGTTCTGCAGGTCTCTCATACGCAGGACTTGCCACGCAGGACTTTTGTGGTTCACGAGTCGATTGCTGTCATCATTGGATGCGCGGCGAACTTCGTTCACTTGGCTCACCCACACGCCTCGTTGGCCTAACGTTACTGGACGCAGTCGGCGCTCAGCATCCCGCCAGGCTTTTGCTCCTTTGCGCTCCACTTGTAAGACACACGCTACAGGTCTTCTCTCCCTTACCTCGTCGCCGTCTCGAAGCGGAGCTGCAGCGCCAACCCTCACAATTTGACCACTGCACCCGTACTCGCGCGTAGCACAGAACAGGGCGCCGATTCAAGCGCTCTCGTTCATTGGAAGATGTCGTTATTCTGCCCTACGTGTGCCAACGGGCTGTTGATAAGCACCGAGGGAGAAGGAAACAAATGGACCTGCCAAACTTGCCCTTACGAATTTCCCATCACCAAGCAAATGACTACGAGGGTCAGGCTGAGACGTAAGCAGGTGGACGATATCATGGGTGGAGAAGATGCTTGGAAGAATGTGGATGCTACGGATGGTGAGTCGCTCGGGAGCGAATGCATCATTGCGCTGCGCAGGGGGGCTTTGATCAATCTCGGAGTAGTGTGGCCATCACGTGCCCATGTAGAAGCTGACCCCGCCGCTCTGCCTCAAATGTCTGCTCCTCCGACCTTTGCACGCTTCGATCTCATCCAAAAGCCCCTTGTCCAAAATGCGAGAATCCCAAAGCTTTCTTCCTGCAGATTCAGATCAGATCAGCGGATGAGCCAAGTGAGTGCCGTCGCTCAAGTCGTAGTAGTGCGAGTGCAGCTTGAAGACAACAGCCCACGCGACAAAGACTGAGTCTATTTCCACCAACAATGTGCTTCGCGATGCAGTGACGACATTCTATAGATGCACAGAGAGGACATGTGGTCATCAGGTGAGTCTTTGCGCAAGCGCGTGGGTTAGGGAAGGGAACAGGGGGCCAACATCTGATGAAACGCGAGGAAGTCGAGGCTGACTGATACACGATTCTCACAACGTCTTCGCGTAGTGGCGAGAAGGATGAATGGTGTGTGGCTTTGGTAGCTCAACCTCACTCGTCGATCCTTCCGCTGCACGGCACCTTGATTGCTGCATCACGAGACCACAAGCACGGCTACTCGACGTACTTAAAGACCTCCAGATGCTCTGTTGAACAGCACACTGGACCAGCGTCAGCGTATTGCTGTCTGCACTCAGCGTTGTCTTTAGAAACGGAGAGCTGCTGCCCTCGACGTCAGCAAGCATGTCCTAATCAAAAGCATGACTCTCACTTCGCGCCTTGCGTTCTCCCCAGCTCGCGCATTCCCACCGCAATCATCAACTGTACCAGTATTCCTAGTCATTGCGCCTTTTACAGCACACCAAATTTCATGTGCGCATGCATACAAGCCATGCGCCAACGGATTGCATCGAGAAAGACTCGCGCTTCGAATCGGGGCTTCTATGGATGATTGAACACGTTGTACGCGCGTTCGCATGGGTCTGTCTCAGTTGTACATGTTGGCAGCCTCACTTTTCAGCAAGGTTGGAAACACCAGGCAGGTCCTTGCCCTCGAGCAGCTCGCTGTGATGAGGGCGTGCAAAAGCCTCGTGAGCAAGCAGACGGCGGCTTTTTGAAAGGGATGGAGAGTGTCACACTCACAGAGAAGCACCACCGCCAGTGCTGACGTGGCTGATGCCTTCCTCGGCCTTGTAGTTCGCAACAACGGTAGCTCTGAGAAGAAAGGTGTGGTTGCACAGAAGGTCAGCACAGGCGTAACCTTTGTGCGCGCCACTCCAAGTCTGTTATCTGCAACCGAGCGACCCAGACATTGATACCCACGTGTCTCCACCACCGACGATGACAGTCGCACCAGACTTCTCAGCTTCCAAGCAAGCGTCAAGCATGGCTTTAGATCCCTTCGCAAAGTTGGGAAATTCGAACACACCGGCCTATGCGGTTGAAGAGCATGAGAGGGGAAGGTCAGTATGGCTCGCCCCAAGCTCTGCGAGCTCGACTCACGGGTCCATTCCACAGAATGGTCTTTGCGCTCTTGATGGCGTCCTTGAACAGCTGCTGGCTCTTGGGTCCAGCGTCGAGACCCATCCATCCGTCCGGAATACCTTCTTCGTCCGTAGCAGCACCGACCTGAGCGTCCTTGTCGAACTTGTCGGCAGTAATGTAATCCACAGGGAAGACCAATTCCACATTGTTCTTCTTTGCCTTTTCCACGAGGCCAGCCACCTTTTGAGAGCCTGGCTCGTCGAACAGAGAATTGCCAATCTTGACATTGTCCAGGGTCTTTTTGAATGTGAACGCCATTCCTCCGCAGATGATGAGCTTGTTGACCTTGTCTAGCATGTTTTCAATCAACTGAATCTTGTCGGACACCTTTGCACCACCAAGAATGGCCAAAAATGGTCTCTCGGGGCTCTCCAGAGCTTTAGCAAAGAATTCGAGCTCCTTCTTCATCAAGAAACCGCTTGCTCGGGTGGGCAGATCCACGCCCACCATGGAGGAGTGCGCGCGATGAGCAGTGCCGAAGGCGTCGTTGATGTAAACATCTGCCAACTTGGTCAGACCGGATCTGAAAGCTTTGACCTGCTCAGCATCCGCCTTGACTTTTTCTCCGGCCTCGTTGACACCCTTTCCCTCCTCTTCGACGTGGAATCGCAGATTCTCGAGGAGGGCAATTTGTCCGCCGGAAAGCTTCGAGACGGCCGCTTCCACATGGTCACCCACCGAGTCGTGCAGGAACTCGACTGGCTTGCCCAGCAATTCGGAGACTTTGTCTGCTACGGGAGCGAGGGAGAACTTGGGAGTGACCTTACCATCTGGTCTACCCAAGTGAGATGCAAGAATGATGGCCTTTGCCTCTGTCGCACGGTGAGGGGCATAGCCTTTAGCATGCTAGCAGCCTGTCAAGCTACGACTTTAGAAGATGAGCACTCACGCTTTTCGATGGCGTACTTGATGGTGGGCAGAGCAGCAACGATACGTTGAGGGTTGGTGATGGTCTTGCCGTCCATGGGAACGTTGAAGTCGACGCGGATGAAGACGCGCTTGTCCTTCAGGTCCACATCGGTGATGGCCAGCTTCTTGGAGAGAGACATTTTGGCGGGAATTTCTTTTTTCAGCTCGAGATTTGTTTTAGTGAGCGAATGGAGATGAGGGTTGGAAATAGGAAGGAGAGCGCGGAGTGTGTACCCTCTTGACTGCGAGTCGAAATTTCATCGATCGCAATTTTCAACAATCTCTGGTTAGATTTCCAACGCCTTGGTGCCCTCTGCCTGCAGCATGCACTCAACCTTCGCGATTCACGAGTGCAGTCAAGAGTCTCTGATCAGGCTCTCACACACAGACAGCGAGGGAACCGCCATGCACATGCGAATTCACGATCAACATCTTCTGCTCTCCGATCATCGCTCGCTCGCCTATACGAGGTGAGGCGCTCGCTCCGCGTCCCGCGCCTCTCCGCGCGCCCCAACCCAAGCAAGCTCGATCACTCCGTCCAAAGCCGGCGGGCCCGTGCGTGCACCCTGGCGCGATGGACAAGAAATGCAGCATCACAATGTGACACGTGGCTTGATTCCACCGTCCGCGTCTCGTGCGACAGGCTTGCAACAGCAGCTATAGCTGGCTTGATTGGCGGCGGGGTACAGCTGCATACACGCACCCCTACATACAGCTTACACTCACACTCGTGACTCACGACTGGGAGGTGTCCATGGCAACATCCTCGACATTGGCAGGTTGTCTCTCCATATCTGCGTCTTGATCAGACTCGCATCAGCCCTTCACATCCGACACCCAGAGTTCAGCAACGGCAAGCTGGAAGAATTTCGCATCAGGCAGTCCGGAGCTGCTCCTGGCTCGCCTTGCTCCACGGCTTGCCTACTCCCTTGAAGGTGCACCTTTTGGTCCCTCGACGCTTGGTCGTCCGCACCCTCTGCACTCTCGACGCCTCATCTGGGAGACATCCCGAGCGTTGATCATTTTGCGTGGTCTTGAGCGCCCCAGCATCTATCTTCTCCCTATTTCGTCGCTTTGAAGATCCTCCTCCCGCAATGCACAGCCGCGCGTTCTCACTGACAGCAGCATGCCTGGCGCTGCTGCTGCTCAGTCTGAGCTGCGTCTCGGTGCAAGGTGCAGCCTTGACGACCATTCTGCAACCTCACGAAAAGTCATGTTTCTACGCTTGGGTGGACAAAGTTGGAGAAAAGATTGGTTTCTACTTTGCGGTCCAGAGCGGTGGGAGTTTTGATATTGACTATCACGTTGGAAGTCCTAGCGACCGCACTATAGTGGAAGGCGTCAAGGAAAGACAGTTGGACATTGTATTTACAGGAAACGAGGTGGGCGAGTACGCCTTCTGCTTCGAGAACGACATGAGCAACTTTGCCGATAAGATGGTGAGCGACGGTCCAACGCCCTGCGTGTCATTCACGTCACCTTGTTGACCTATGCTCCCTTCGACCATCCGCTCTTCCCACCCAGATCGATTTCGACATCACCGTGGAGTCAGAGCCGAGGTTAGACTTACCGCTGTCCTCTGCCGCCGCTCTCTCAGAGTCATCGGCTCCCCTCGAAGAGTCGATCGGCAAGGTGGATGCTCAGTTGACGAATGTGGTCAGAACGCAGCGCTACTTCAGAGTGTGGGAGAATCGAGGGTACAACACCGTCAAGGGTACGCAGTGAGTACATGCAGATGACTCATAGAAGGGTCCTCCTGCCACAAAAGGGCGGCCGGTGGAGGTTGCGCTGCCACGCGTGGTTCAGCGGTGCTGGTCCGGCGGAGGAGCGTCGCATGTGGTACCAGCTCTCTGCACTTGCTGACCACATTTGCATCACGTCGATGCAGGCGGAAAATGTTTTGGTATTCCATCGTCCAAGCCTTGGTGGTCATCAGCATCTCGGTCGGGCAAGTGTACGTGGTCAGATTGCTCTTCGAGAAGGGAAGCACAAAGCGGTACCGTGTATGAGCAAGTCTGCTTTGTGCGGGCAGACGCAAGGACGAAATCGATCATGCATCATCGCAACGCGCACGCCAGAGTGTTGTGTTTGGACCAAAGATATCAAGTGGCTACCTTGGTGCAGACCATGACTCCTCCGTAGAGACCAGAGATGACAAGCGTGCCATGTTCCTTTCCAGCAAGCCACTCTGCGCCTGCACTGCTCGGTGTTCCCGGTTCTGCGCCATCTGTGGACAGGTACAGGCTACGAACGACCCACTCCGCGGCATTTGGCTTGACCAGACTTTTCGTGAGGTCAATGGGGGCATACCTCGTGGAGCGAACCATGGAGTCATCCGTCGTGTCGTCTCGTAAGTGCGCAACACTTTTTGAGAGGGTAGAAGAGGCGGGCAAGATGTCTATCACCCAGCTTCCGGCCCTTTTTGGCCTCGAGCTCCGGACTGTGCGAGCCATGCCGACGAGTCGCAAAGGGTGGGGATGCCCAGCAACCACCAATCTGGATGCGTCGAAGGGGTCGTCTTGCACGCGTTCGCTATTGCCTTGGGTAGTGTGGCTCAGTGAACGGGCACCGAGATGATCCGATGAGGAAAAGGACAAATTGTCGGGTGTTTGAGGCGTGTGGATGGTTCCCCTCTTTTCGAGTGGACGAGACCAATCTGGTTTTCCATCGCCGTCGAGATGCGGGCTGTAGAGCACTACACCTGGGAGGGTCGTGCTCGCGACAGCGATCGTGGTACCTTTGGGAGAGACGGAAATGCCATTGGCAAATGCAATCCCTTGAGCCGCGAGGGCCGAAGTCACAGTGATGGAGGTGCGCTCAGAGGGCTGCATTTGCACCCGTGCTACCCAACCTAGCTTAAGACCCATGAATGTTTCGATCCTTGGCAGAATTTGACTGAGGATTGGGTTGGTCAAGACGGCGGCGCCCAGTAGAGCGAGCCAGTGCGGAGCGCGCAAAGCCTGCAAAAGGTTGACGACCTGCTCTCTCGGTGGTGGCCTAAGCGCAAAAAGATGATCGTTCGTCACGAGGAACGAGTCTTGGCTAAGCATGGCGATAGAGTTGGGAGTATGCGTGGCGAGAGCATCGCTGATTGTTCCCCTGTGGGACAGTTTGATCCTCTCGGCTCGTGGGACACCAGACTCGCCGTGGATCGAGATGGAGAAGACTTCGATAGTAGAGTGGGTCGAGGCGTGATTGACTACCAAGAGCGTGCTGGGCTCGTCGCCTGAACTTGAGGGATACATTGCAGCTCCCAATGGGTGAAAGGAGTCTGGGAATGGGTCTTGTGTTGTATTCAGCGAAGGCGAGAGTAGAACAGGCTCTGCGCTTGGATTCGCTGGATCCCATACCCACAGTCCACCACGAGGCTGAGGCCTGCAGTCGAATAATACACTGGTCAGTCCACCTTGGCGCCATCATGAACGAAAGCCTTGTATTGCCTCACTCTTTCAATGGTCCCATGACCGTATTCCATTCTCCTCGACCCGGATCGCAAGTAGCGAGTAACAATGGCGTAACGTCACCCTCGTGATCCAAGCCTTCAAGGAACAGTACGTCTTCGCAGAAATTTAGACTTTGGGTACCGCGCCTGGCACGTGCGTCTGCTCTTGCTGCTCGCAACTTGTGGCATTGAGGGTCACCACGCTGCTCTGCTTGCGCTGGATGTGTCAAGGAGCCGGGAGTGTATGTGAGGTTGCGAACCCAATGATCAGGCAAAGACGGCCCGATCAAGAAGCGAGAGTACCAAGAGCGAGCCAGGAGCACATGAGCCAAGAGCGCGCTGCCGGCAAAGAGCGCGAATGAAGTCCATCTGAACTTTTGCGGAGCAGCGCTGGCTGCGCTTGGAGATTTTGTGGTCGAACCGGCGCGGAGGACGCGAGGACTCTTCATGGTCTGCTTGCTTTCGCCTCGTACGATATGCCTTTTGGAGGTGGGAATCCCTTGTGACGAGGTGGCATGAACAGAGATCGAACATCCAGTGATCTTCTTGGGATAGCTGCTTCTTATCTGCCCGCTGCGCAATGCGAGATCACGAACATGTTTGGCTTCATCGCCAGCCGTCACTCAAGGATCGTGATTTGGTGGGACGACGCGGGCCATGAAGCGTAGACTCCCCAGGCGGAAAGAAGAAAGAAGAGTCGCGAGAGAGCACAAGCTGGATGGAATCCATTACGAAGGCGCACCGGGCGTCCTGAGCGAAGGCGAAGAAGCACTTGATCGGCTCAAGCTCGCTTCCTCTTGGCTGCCGATTGACGCTGCCGTGCCGCGCATATAACGAAGCGTGAATCAGTGAATGCACCGCGATTGGGCCTGCTGCGGGTGATGGTGCACTCCTCGTAAGTCGTGCGTGTGGATCTGCGAGTGCTGCGCGGAAATTGCGGCGTTGGCCGTCCATCCTATCTAGGTACAGAGGTTGCAGCTACACTCGTGGCTCATTCTTGATTATAGCTAGGCACGTACGTTGGGCTGCAAGCCACACGAATCATCCACGCACCGCCATCATCATGTGAAACCACAACTTGTGGAGAGGACACGACTCCCTGCTGGTGGAGCTTTGGTGCTACCCACACTCACACGTGACTTGAAGCCTTTCAGAGGCAGCATGACCATGCAGCACCACACCACACGACATTACACCACACCACGCTATCATCAATAGCAGCATGGCTCAACACGCCTCTTCAGTCTTCAAGTTTAGACTGAGCGAGGCGCATGAAGCCCGGCGCAACGCGCGATGGGGTCTTCCAGCGCGTCATTCACGATTCGACACGCTGCACGCAGATCAATTCGTTTGGGTTTCGTCAAATGTCGCATCGCGAAATGTTCTTCGCACCTCCATCTAACAGATCTGCCACCAGACCTGCAGTCAATGCATCAAACAAGACAAGATGCATTGCTGGCCTGGCAGCAAGGATAGCGGGCGGGGCATCCTAAGCGCACTGGGAGAGGAACACCGCGCTCGCAAGCACCAACAAAGGGACACGCAAAACTCGTCTTTACCGCCTTCAGAAGAGTCTACCGCTCTGGAGTGGGCCCGCGACGCCCGCAATCCGCGCAACTGGACCAAGTCCACCAAATGGGCCGCCACTTTGACATCGTGCTTCATGTCAAGCTTGGTTTCAATTGCCGCTCACAAGCGGTGCCAGGTATTTCTGAGGATCTCGAGACACCTCATTTGCTCGCAGTCAGTGGCATCTCATTCTTCACCATTGCAGTCGCAATTTTCCCCCTCGCTCTCGCCCCTCTGGGTGAATCTTTTGGACGCCAAAAAGTTTACCTCGTTTCTTATGGCGTCTTTTTCTTGTTTTTCCTGCCAAATGCTCTAGCCCGGAACATTCAGACGGTGTTAGTCGCCAGGTTCATCTGTGGGGCTGCAGGCTCGGTCGGCTCAACGATGGTCGGAGGCACGCTCGCAGACCTCTGGGAGAAAGACGAGAGAGATGTTCCACTGGCCTTCTTTGCGCTCTCCGCACTTCTCGGAACACCTATTGGCACCATCGCCTTTACCTGGGCGGGCGGGAATGTTTCTTGGAGATGGATCTTCTGGACTCTGTTGGCCCTGGCTGCGCCATCTGCCGCAGTGATTCTCCTCTTCTTTCGAAAGGAGACACTGCCTGCAGAAGCCCGGCGGCAGCTTGCTGAAGCCGCGTGCAAGGTCGACTCGGCCTCGAGATCCTCGTCAACGACCCAAGTTCCCTTGCAGTCTCGATCCGCTTTCAAGACTCTGCGCGAGGCGGTCATCCGCTCGGCGCTCCGCCCACTCTACTTTTTGCTCACCGAACCAATCACTCTGACGCTCAGCGTGTGGATTGCATTCGCCTGGGGTGTGCTTTATCTCTTTCTCGAATCGCTACCTCTCGTTTTTGCGCCATATGGGTTCACGTCGGACAACATGACGCGAGGGTTGTCATTTGCAGGCATCGCTGTGGGCGCTCTTCTCGGTCTTGTGCTACACGTCGCCATCTTGAAGGCTCGCGGAGTCGCGAGCACTCCAGAGCAGCGTTTACCAAGCGCCTGTTTCGGAGCTCTTCTGTTCTCGTTCGGCTTCTTTGTCCTCGCTTGGACCGCCCGGCCTGATCAGATACCCTGGATTGTGCCTCAAATTGGCACAGCCATGACCATGACGGGCCTCTTCCTGGTTTACGTAAGTCATGGGAAAGCAGAATGGTGCAAGTGGGTCGCGCTCACAACCCTGTCGATGCCCTTAGACATGCATCTTTAGCTACTTTTCCGACTGCTACGGCGCTTACAGCTCTTCTGCGATTGCGGCTCAGAGCTTCCTGCGCAATATACTGGCCACAGGTGAGTTTTGAGGTGTTTGACTCAGCCGGCGCAGCGTGAATTTACATTCAAAATTTATGAATCTACAGCATTCCCCCTTATAGCCGAAAGGAGTGAGTGCTCCCGTGAGGGCGAGCAGAGAAGAGCTGAGCAGCTCAGTGCCGTTATTTTGGTGTGCAGTGTACCAGCAACTCACGTATCCATGGGCATCGAGTCTGCTTGGTTCCGTCGCCCTCGTCTTGGCTCTCGTGCCGTTTCTGCTCATGTGGAAGGGCCAAGCCCTGCGCAAAAGATCTCCCTTTGCCCAGTCGGAGATTGGCAAATCGTGAAACCAGGCCGCTCGACCCGCTTTATTCGTGATTGTTGGTGTGTCACACACAGCGCCAATGAAGCCCCATGACGAAGGCAAGGATGAGCGGGATCAGAGCCGATCGACCGGCAGCTGAGCAGCTGATCGATTTATTGGGCCCAGGCGCCCCATGCTAGAATGTCTCAGGTGATGCACCTTCACATTTGGCTACATTTAATTGCGCGAATCTGGTTCAATCGTCAGCGGCCGCATGCCGCCTTATAATCAATCCAATTACGAATCAATCATGAATCCAATCCCCTCACGCGCTCAGCAGATCCAACTCGCTTTACAGCAGCGTTCGCGCAAATGCAAAGCTCATCCCGTATATGCATCTTGCATACATATGGCCCGGATGTCATCTTGTTTGTACCACATGTGACGACACCGAAGGTCTCAGGTGATCGCAAATACGGAGGCATGAGTTGCACCGGCTTCGCATCGACACGCAATGAAGGACTGCTCTCAAAAATCGGTGCGGATGAAATGGATTCTAAGTTGATGTGCGCTACTTCCGAAAGCAACACGAAGATCCTGCAGAAAACTAAGTAGTCACGAGCGACGCGTCGCTATGTTTGCTGATTGTCGCTCCCCGGCTGACTGGGACGTCGCCCGTTCTCGGAGGTGTTGATGCGCACATGTCTAAGACATCTATAGGCTTGCAATCCGGATCATGATGACCTATTTCTCTAGCTCGTGGGTATATATATGGCAGAGGGACTGCTGTTTCCCCCTCGCCTTAAATTCTAACCGACCCCGCCCCTCCATCGCTCTCTCACATGACCCACCACCGCATTCAAGTACTTGGCGTTGCACAGACCCACGCTGCTGAATGCCTGGCGTCCCTTTGTCCGTACGGTTTCTGACCGATCCAGCGCACATTGACGGCAACTTTGTACGTGCACAGCCAAGACGAAGCATTTGGACCGACCGGTCGCGAGTGCAGACACTCACTCCATTCGTGATTCACGGTTTCGCCAGGCGCGTTCGAAAGCTTGGTTGGCTGTTGGTCGCGAGTTTTCAGCAAACTGAGGCGTCGCAGCGGGTCGGTCCAGCTTCCGAGCTCCGAGCCGCGTTTGAAAAATTCGCGAGACCCTGAAGCGCTGCTGCGCTTATTTTGATACCCGTGGACCAGCAGCGACCAGCAGGTCCCGGCGGTGCTCGCGCCCCACGGGCCAGAAGAGGCCACCCTGACCATATTCAAATTTGGATTTGCCTTTCTGACCGGCAAGCGACAAGACAACAAGGTCAAGCATCTGAACTTAGAGAGTGCGAGGAACGGCATTCTTTTCCGAGGTGAGTCGCGAGGGCCCGCTTTGGCTGCAAGGAGGGAGCTCAAGCGTGGGGACGCGCGCACGCGATGGCTGCTGGCACGTTAGGCGGTGCGAGGCGCGATCAAGTGCGCGCAGTCGCAGCTAGTCGCAGAGAGCGCGTGGGGCGGAGGCCAAGGTTCGCGTCGTGACTGTGCTCCGGTACAGTGGTCACAAGTCACAAGTGTTCGACGTGACAGAAATTCGCCTCTGCTGCAAGCGGTACCGGTGCACTGCTGAGGACAAGGCTCAGTGAAGACCCTTGGCTCATGCTCAAGCAACAGCGGGCGTGTACCGTAAGCCACGTACGCGCCTCGGTGTCGTCCGCACGCGTCTTTTTGTCTCGCTCGTCTTCGCAACGATTCAGCCGCGTCGCCGAGACCAATCTAGCGGAGCCGACTTGCGAGGGGGGTCTCAGGCGCGCAAAGTGTCCCATAATCACGAATGTGGATGCAATTTTCAATTGCGTCCGCACTCGCCATGATGTTGGACTCGCAGCGCGCTGCCACTGTCTCGGATGAACTCCACTCCCTTGATTGGTGGACGCTGCATCCTACATCACCACGTACCGTGCTATACGTGCAGAGCGATTCTCCTCGCTGCACGCCCCCGAGACCACGCGCATTGCAGCTTGGGCGTCAAGACAATGGCGCAGAACCGTTGTCATTGTGTGGCGGCGCGGCCGTGCTAAACAAGGTTTCACCTGTGCTTCTGCAGCAGCGCATATGGCTTAGCGCGGGCCATCCGCGAGCGGACCTTCTTTTGCAGGCTCCAAATCTGTGTCCATGGCAGGCCACATCAGCAATCGCTGTTCGATTGACAACTCAAACTCAGACATCTTCTCCATTCGCAGCTAAGGGTCCTGCCCATGAGTCGACTCGTATATGCCCTTCTACAGCTTCAAATGGCTCAACCTCGCGTGCTCTTGTAAGAGCGTCACTGGTCGCAGACCGGTCTGCCCCATCTTCGACTCTTCTTCACGACCGTCACGTTGACTTTCTGCGCACGCCCTATCAAAGAAGACACGCGGGTTTCAAGGCAAAGCCATAACCTCGACCAGTAGCGAATACGACGAAGCTGCTACTGCAGGTGGAGAGGCTGACGATGACGAGCGCTTCCCAGCGCATGCGAAAGTCCAGCGCGCCTACCAGAGGTCTTTCTTCGCACCAACCCGCCATCTCATCCAGAGATCCACACCAATTGGTTGCACACCTGAGTGGTCTGCACTCGAGCAAGGGAGTGAAGGCTAGCAACCGATTGAGCGGCCGTCCCTCTTCGTCAGCTGGAGAGGCATCATCGCTCGTGCAATCGCGCCCCGTCCCAAATACAGAGCAAGACGAGCACGAGTTCGCAGGATGGACCAGAGAAGATGCCATCGAGCACTTGACTGACTCTGCAGAAGACCGAGACGTGCGGGAGGACATCATTGCGGGCGATGCGCAAGTTCAGCAACAGGCGAGCCCGTCTACCTCATCGAGCATCTCCAGATCAATGTCCTTTAGGAGATGGGCCGGAGGCGGCGAAGCTCAGTCCGCGCAGCCTGCTAAGCATGCTGCGAAATCCTCGTCCGCGTCCGGAGGCCTTTCAAGGTTTTTCTCGAAGCGCAAGCCAGCACAAGACGCCGAGCAGCTTGTCAGCGTGAGTGCGAGGAGTGCCGCGTGCTTGACAGATCATGCAATGCTGACCACCACTCGCATTGGGCCTCTTGCGTTGCAGCGCGAAACCTCTGCAGCACATATGAGCGCGGCACAGTCAGGGCGCAGGGCCTCCAACCCCTCTGGGCCGGTCGAGAAGGACGCATCAGTGCGAACCTTTGAGTTCCCACTTCGAAGCTCGATCGTCTCCGCAAAGGGGTCGCAGGAGCCGACAACCTCGCAAGCTGGCCCCTCGGCCGAAGGAAAGCGCTCCACGCAAGGCTCTCATGGCCCCAGCAAATCTGTCCCTGTGGTAGATGTCGCTGCTCTCCAGCAATCAGCGCTGAAATCTGACCCTGATTTGCGATCCACCGCTTCTGGTCCTTCGCAGCCGCGCCAACGTCCATCTCAAACGAGCTCGCTTGGCTCGGTCCAGGAGCGAAGGAGGCGCACGAGCCTGGCCGGAAGGTTCGGATCGCTCTTCATAGCTTCAAATGCCGATGCGCCGCCCTCTACCGCTCAGATGGCTTCGTACGACACCCCTCATTCAGCGCCCACTCATCAGCAAGCGCACAGCGCCAGCTCCATTCGTACTGCGTTCCCTGCGCGTTTGCGGAGCTTGAGCTTCGCAAGGCGAACAGGTACCACATCAAATCCCACCAGCCCAGGCAGAATGTCCTTTTTTGGCTTTGGGGATCTAGCAGCAAATGCGGGCACCTCAGATGATGGCACTCGCTCTGACGCTGCAAGCCACCGCCGCAAATTGAGTCTGCGCTTGAGAGCTCCTCACTTGCGCGCCCAAGAGGAGCGAATGCCACTTACGCCGGAAATCGACTCTTGGCGTGCACCTCAGCGCAGAGCGAGCGACGAAGAAAAAGAGGAATTGTCAGACGAAGAAGCGGTTCGTGTGCAACGGACATCGCGCGAGGGTGTGCCTGCAGCAAGAAGCAGCTCGATCGACGGCTGGGTTGAAGCTCCCGACGATCATGAGGCTCACAAGCGCGCTCCTCTGCCGCGGGGTCGGTCTCTGGACTCCGCCAGGCTTTTGGGGCACAGGTCGACTCTCCCGCGCTCATCGTCGCATGACACCAAAGCCGGCCTGCAAACCGCAGGCTCGTCCCCGTCTAACAGACGCAGAGCGCCCCCACGCTTTCTGGAGACTCCCGATCTTGCTGGACCTCTCGACCCGCGCGCTTTGATGAGACAGGCAGGGGTTTCTCCGCTTTCGAGCCCGAACATGTCCGTACCTGGCAGTCGCAGAACCAGCGAAGGGACCGCAAAGGGTCAGATGATACCAGATGAAGCTTCATCTACTGCCCTTCTCAGTGATCAGATTCCCCTGCAAGCAGACACACAGGCTACGCCTCGTGCGTCTTTGCAAGCTCTGCAAGACGTGACGCCACGAAGACGCCAAGGTGCGGATCAAAAGTTTGATGGGCTCGGACTCACTTTCGACGAAAGAAACGACAGAGTTGCAGCGCGCGAGGCGGCGTCCGCGGATGCGAAGTCGTCTCTTGAGGGTCAGTCTGGCGGCGCCGACTCTCTGCGCCGCGGCCGAGCATTCGTGGCCGACTTGTCGGCATGGAAGTGGGAGGGGACAGGGAGCGAAATCGATGGCTCCGATGGCAGAGACACTCCGGGAACGATCCACTCGCGACGACGGCCCGACGCTCCGACACCACATCAATGGGCAGCTGAACGCAGCAATGGCTCGGCCAGGACAGATATGCGGCCCTACAGCCTCATCAGCACAGACACTGACGGAGGCGACACGCCGATCATGAAACTTCGACGTTTGGTGGTAGACACCGAAACTGAGGGCGAGGAGGCCAGCCTGTTCTTTCGACCACCAGGCACAAGGTCAAATAGTGCTCCGTCGAGCACACGGGATGTACAGAGTCCTCGCTCTAGTCCGGATCGGGAATCACGTAACGGTACTCCGCCGGTGCCCGAGCTGACGCCAGCGCAAGCGCACGCGGCCAACATTCGGCGCATGCACATGCAACAAGGCTTAGAAGAGGATGCGAGGACATCTCCTGTCGACGAACTTGCAGAGTTGCGTTTCGGCAATGTCGATCATGGCAGAGTTGCTCGCCATAAACGCACTTCGACTACTCTATCCGCTGGTGGTCGATCCAAGCGTGCAAGCACACAAGAGAGCGATGCAGGCGCGACAGACACGTCCGCGCTCGATGCGCAGGTCTCGCAGGCGCGACGGATGGCAGCTGTACCTCTTGGACGAGCCAAGGTTGCGGAGTGGGCCGGCAACGCTGCTAGCTCGGGCAGTGCAGTGCCTCGAATCTGGCAGGCACCGCAGCTGGAGGCGTGTCGCACAGCTAGACATGGTGCTACCGCCCCTACGCCTGGTGGATCGCCAAGCACCACTGCGCATAGTCCAGAGGCACCGGACCAAGTGATATTGGGTCCTACCCAGAGTCCCTCTTTACGCTCGCCAAATCAGCCGAGCAGGCAGGTGCAACGATCTGCGCCGACACAGGTAACGTTGGACGAGGCTGCAAGGCTGGGTAAGGCGCCCTCCAAACGCGTACGACGGTCGCGTTCGCAGCCCATGTCTAGCAGCGTGTACGTGCCCAAGACGCCTACGCGCGGGCCTGCTGCTCTGTCGGGCCTTCCGACGAGCAAGGCTCTGCCGTCTTTGCCTGCGCTGCCACCTGCGCCGAGTTTAAGAATAAGTGGCAAGCGCAACACTTCAAAAGGTCGCAGACACGGCATGGCTTCCCAAACAAATAGCGCCAATCAAGATGAACGTGCTCTGGAGACTGCCCGCACTCTTCGCCCCTCCCAGAGCGGCAACTTGCGTGAGGGCACTTTTACTTTCCGAGCAGAGGTCCCCTCTCAGGAGAAGAATGCGCCAGCGACACTATTGCGCTTGGACACTTTGAGAAAGTCTGCTAGCGCTGGCCCTCTAAGCGACTGTGGCAGCCACGACAGCAAAGGCGCAGCCGACGCCCACGACACAGCATCCACTCGCGCGACGATCGAGTCGCCCACAAAGTCCCGCCGTGGTGGTGGTGATGGGGGCTCGCGCTTCGAGAAGCGGCCTGAGAGGACTTCTCGGCGAGAAGAAGGGCACGACCGCTCGCGCAGTAAAGGTTCATTGAGGAGAGGAAAGTCGTTTGCAACGAGCGAAGAAGCCGCGCAAGCCATGCGCCAAGAACAGGCCGATCGCGAGAAAAGGCATCGCGAAAAGGAGCAGAAGCGCGAAGAGCGGCGGCGTCAGGACCACGCCAAGCGCAAACAGAATGATCCTCTGTTAGCCACTCGTCTGGCTCTCATGGGTCTGGCAGGCCCAATGCCCGCAGGCGAGGGCTCGGAGGCCGCTGATGATGTCGCTTCCGCGGCCACTGCCGCTCACGACAGCCCCGAGCGGATGGTGACGCCTTTAGGGTGGGAGCTGCGGCGAGAGCCTTTGAGGCCGATCACCGTTTCGTCGCCACCTGCGAGCAATGAAGAGGTCTTGATCGCTGAGGCGCCTTCTCTTCGGGCAGAGATGCGCCAGACGAGTCGGAGCACGCCTTACAGTGAGAGCATACTAGCCTCCACGGTGGACTCGAGAACATCTTTCAAGACGGCAGAAGAATATGTTCGCCGGTCAGCTGATGGAGGCAGCTCCGATAGCGAGGCGGAGACGCTTCACCAGCGATCTGCTATTGCCGAAAGACCCTCTCGCCCGGTGCGAGATCGTGCAGAGCGCCAGCCCGCCTTGGTGAGCCCGCCACCAGCCAGGCCCGTCTCTTCTGCGACAATGGCCACCGTCACGTCGACGGGTACCTCATTCGCCTTGCTCGATTTCCCGAAACCGCCTTCACGACAAGCTTACGCAGAGGTATCAGACGACGGAACAGTGTTGTCCTTGGCGCACTTGAGCAGCTCAAGAGCCATCATGAACGTCGCTCCAGGCGCGGCTCGCCTACCCGAAAATGCGTACCCCGAGCGCGAGCAGGGGCTTCCATCGACGTCGCCTGCATATTCAAAGGGCAGATTGCTTGACCTGCATGGGCATTCGAGACCTGTCAGCGGCAGACTGGGCGACTCACCGAGAGGTCAATTACCGGAGCTCGTCTCTCTTGGTCTTCCTAGTCCTGCTTTGCGTTCACAGCACGCCAGCATCATTTCACAGAATGCGCCGCCGCCTTAGCCCGTCTGCTAATACCGTAACATAAACATTTTCATTGCCAGCCGAAGAACGTCAATAATACTCAAACTCCCTACACCTGATACCTGCCGAACTCTTGTACATTACAGACACCATGCAAAGACATCCATCCAGTGTCAGAGTCACGCTCACTCGCCCTGCTGCCAAATTCAGCTCTGCAGCCAGCACCGCCAGTGTGGTCCAGGCGGTCTTACCGTGCGAGAGCCCCTGCGACAGCGAGCTGCACATCCATGTGCAAATCGACGTGGCGCGTTGGATAGGCGCAATGGACGCAATGATGACAGCGACCATCGCACGCTTCGTTCCCAAAGTTTGCTTCCCCATACGCCACTCACTCGCGACAGTGACTCGCTACGCTGCCGTCACGCTCTCGGCTTTGACCTGCCGCGCGAGCGGCTTGCAACCGTCGCAGCTCTGACGCGTGAATGGTGTGCGTGCGACCCCGCGCACAGGAATTCTCACCCCGCGCTTCTCGCCCGATCGAACATGCCAGCCTTCGCTATGGATGGCTTCACTCAGCAGCTCCGCATTCGCTGTGTCTCTGAGCTGCAAGAGCTCTTCGTCAGGCCGGTGGCATCGTCTGCCCAATGCAAGAGAGCAACACTCACGAGTGTCGGGCCGCGGATTTCCGTACGCGTGCCGTTGTAACGGTCGACGAACATCTATTGTGCCGCGATGACGCAGCGGAACGCCAAGTTATCAAGCGATCCTGCATCCATCTCGTACCTCAGCAATCAAATGCCGACGGCAGGTGCGGTACTCGAACAGGCCGGCGTCAATGCCAGGAACAATGAGACAATGCCAGCCTTGCGGAACAATGCATTCGCTAGCAGAAGATGCAGCGCTTGCCAAATCGAGATTGCCGTCCGGGCCTGTTGGTGTGCAATGTTGGCCTGCCACGCGCACATATCGCCGGGATTCGATGAGCCTTTCGCATCGCGCTCATCAGACTCTGTGCAGGTCAGCTGGTCAGCGATCTTCCACCACTTCCTCCAACCCCAATCTCCACTTCCGCCGCACTGAATCTTTCAGTCACGGCGTAGCATTCCCTCTCCCCTTTCTTCTTTTCGCAGCTCTGGCAGCAGCACTTTTTCTAGCCTTCTTTCCATCTCACATACATTCCCAGTCACTCTTTAGCGAGGGCGCTGAGCGTTCCTCGAAGCTGTGCCCGCTAGACGCTGGGTCATTCCTCGCCGTTCTTTACATTTCGACAGGTTGAGCAGTCCATTCTCAATGGAGCTTCTACCTCGCCGGGCCTTCTTTGCGCTCTTGACTTTAGGCATCTGCACGGGTATCCAGACGAGCGCAGCAATCGTTCCTCCCGTGTCGGCATCTCACAACTTTTCTACAGTCGCCACCGCCGCCACCACAGCATCGGCGCCAATCAGCATTCAGACCGCCCCTTCGGAACTGGAGCCGCCGTGGGGGACGCAGAGCAATGGATGGGTGTATGCTGCTGGGATGCATCCAATGAGAGTGTCTTACATGGGAGGGGCAGGGTTGAAAGGGCTGCCAGTAGCCGCCGGCGTTGACATGGGTGTTGCAAGTCAATCGTCAGAGGATGGCGCTCAACCTCGGCCGTCTTTGGGCTTGTCGGCCGCATCACCACCCTCATCCACCGGACAGCCGCAGCTGCCTTCTCGCACATCCAACTCGACGCTACCGTTGGCAAAGATCGAGCTTGAGCCAGCGACTTTGCAGTCCCTAGAGCCCGCTCGGCCTTCGCCTGCGCATATTCAAGCGCGTCGGAAACAAATCCAAGAGCGTTTGGCGCGTCGGAGGCGGTCGAGAGAGCGCAGGCAATCGCAGAGATCCTCCAGCAAGCGAGCCAAGCTTGTCAGGTCTCGCAAGCGCTCGTGCCATGTGCAGTCCGCACTAAAGCAGACCGCCTCCGCCACCTCTGATACCACGCCTCGCGATGCGGTCTCCGCAACCAAGCCATCCTCGCCTCGACCGTGGCAATCTGAAGCCGCGAGTTCTGCGTGGGCTGTACCTACTGGCAAGGTCGCAACTTCAAATGCCGTCGAGTCCTCGGCTACGCGTCCCTTGACACTCAAATCACAAGCCAGCGATCTGGCGACGGCCCCTTCTGCTCTCGTCCTCACCTCGAACAATGCCAACTATGGACCAGGAGAGGTACGACAGGATCTGCAAAAGATTATGAAGTGGGCGTACGATGAGGGCAATCTATCTCCTGCTGAAGAGGATGAAGTCATCGCTGCAGTGCTGTCAGCTTCTGCGAGATACTTTCCAGAGGTGCCCACCAGGGCAATGTGCCGCATCATGCTGGCCGACATCAAAGCGGAGAGCGATTTCCAGCCTAGACTTTCGAGCGCAGGACGGCTGGATTCAGGAGCGAGCGTAGGTCTGCTCCAAGTCTCTCCCGGGGGCGGATCGCAAGAGTTGACACTGTGGAAGACGCACGCCAAGGTCAGCGCCAATACCTTTTCTTGGAATCGCGATGCGGGAAATGGTGCCGGTGCGCTTTTGGATTGGCAGACGGGCAGTCAAATGAAGTTGTCTGCACTGAGCAACAGCGATGTCTTGCGACCCTGGGTAAACATCCACCTGGCCATGTGGGTGCAGAGCAACAGTGCTCGTACCTCCTCGCAAGACCCCTACAATTGGGCGGCAATCTCTGCAGCCTCTGCCACCTCTTCCAAGGGAAACAGCGCCAAGGTCAACAAGTTGCTTGTGGGGGCCGGTCTTAATAGGTCTGTCAGGACCGGTCTGGGCACTTGGGTCGCTGGCGCTGCTACAGATGGTGCTGGAAGCTACAAGCAGAAGGGAGATGATATTTCGGAACAGTACATCGATAGCGTGCTGCAAGGCGTCAGCGTCCTGTACGGAAAGACGATGACAGCAGACTGGTTAGATCGCTGGGTGCTCAATGCTGGTCTCGTTGACTATCGATAGTTGTGACGGTGGTCGTGGAATCACTACACTTCAATTTATTACCAAATTTTGCGAATGAAATTTTTCTCTCTCTTGTGGGACGAATTGGAAGCAACAAGCTGAGGGGTATCGGATGAGAGATTCAGCTTCATTGAAGGGGTCGATGAGTCGGGCTGTGGTGTGAAACCTCAAACACTGACAGATGCAGCGAGAGCGAACGGTGGCCGGGTGAAGGACCCTGATTGACTTGTTTATGGGCGCCGAGAGGATCTCTGTGCCTCTCTCGACCGGCCTCAAGGAGCCAAAGTCGGGTCCTGTGGGGCATCGAGAAGAAAGTCAGGACGGCGCGTCGAGGTAGAACGAGGTTGGGGTCTTGGTCACCTGGCCTTCTACAAACTTACCTGCAACACCACCAGCAAGTACTTTTCGCCTGTAATGCGCTCGGCCGAGGAGGGTCAGCTATGAGAATGGAGACCAGGAAAGCTTTCTGCGTGCTTTTCCCTCCGCCAGACTCACTGGGTGAGATCATCATCTCGTAGCGGCCCGTCCTGATGCGTAAGAATCCTAACTCGTCCTGTACAGCGCAAACGTGCTTGTGTGAGCTGCGCTCGAGTAAAGATGGGCAAGCACCCCGTTGACGCTGCGACCAAAGGTAGCCACTGCTGCAAGTCCTGCACTCACACCTTCCTCGGTCTCTGCAATCTCCTTGTCCAGACAGGCCGTCACATTCCTGGCCATCCTCGTAACCTTTCTGAGTCTGTCTGCCCTCTCTACAGCCCCTGGTCCACTGGGGTCGAAATCTTTGCCGCCGGCTCTGATGACCAAAGCGTCGGGTCTCGAAAGGACCAAGCAGCCAGTCACGTTTCTGTGAGATGTTAATTTGCTCAAGGTGGCCTCCACTTCCGCCGGTGGTGAGGGTTGGGAGGAGGAGAGCGACGCCATGGGTGGCATTGGGGAGCCAGGTGGAGGAGGGGAAGTCGAGAGATCATGAGGCTTGAGAGCCACCGCATCGGGCGAAAGGGCCACCTTGGGGGATGTCATTGTGGTCCTGAAGGCGATGCTCGCAACGGGGGGTAAAGAGCCTAGCTGTGAGGCTGCTGAGCGACGCTTGCGGACAAGGAGGCTTTGTGCGGGGGCTATGAGTGCAGTTGCTGCTTTCTCGAAATACGTGGCGTCGTGATGGTTGCAGAGATCCTGTGCGAGCCCGTGTGCACGGATTGGAGGGCTCGAAATACTGCGCTTCGACGGATAGGCAGCGTAAGTGGTGGTGATAACGACATTGATATCTCTCGATGTGTTTGAGTAGAAAGTATTCCAGCGCTAGCTGCGCGCATCTGAATATCGGTGTATGCATGCATGCATGCCTGCATCGAGCTGCGTCGCACGCTAGGGCGACGGGCGGATGTCGCACCCAAAAAGAGCCATCTTGGCGCCCGTGTGCGCGCACACGGGCGTCAAGCTCTGCTGTGTTCCGGTAAGTCCTTTTGCCCCAGGCGAGGTGCCAGCCATGGCAGATGGCTCATCCTGCTTCGGCCTGGGTTGTAGGGGCTCAGGGATGCGATCTTCATCTCGACTTTTCCTATTACGGACGTTGCGAAAGTAATTCGCGACTCTCGACTAGATCAGCGCGTGTTCAACGCAAGCTTGAGCGCGAAGGGCAGACCAGACCCCGCAAAGCGTCTCGTCATCTCGATCAAGTGATGCAGTAGCGCCGGGGCGGAGTTGCTCATCGCGTGCGTGTACTGTATATAGAGGCGAAGCTTTTGGCCCTCCCCCCGATCCGGCAAGCTTTCAAGCTCGCGGAGAGCGCAGTACCCTTCGTGTTCGGCATGGCTACGGCACACAGCGCTGAGATGCCGCAGAGCCTCTACACGGTACTGGAAACGGGTGCCTCGAAAGCCTGTACAACAAAGATTGGATGGGTGATTCACGATGCGTGCAAATCCTGGACAGGGCGCGCAGTTGCCTACAGGCCGTCGGTGCCGCCATCCAAACGCCTGCCACGAAAATTTGGTCCAAGGCCCTCCGATCCTTGTCGCTGTGTGCTCAAACCGGCCGGTGCGTCATTCTTTAGCCAGCTGCGCTGCATGCTGTTGGGGGAAACGACCCTCATGTGTATCTCCTTGCACGTAGAGCACAAAGTTGATGATTAATGCATGACCTCGTCTATCGAAGGTCGTATGGGGAAAAAAATAAATAAAAAATGTCAAAATAAGTTCCCAGACACGGAATTGAACCATGGACCTCGTCATGAATCCCGCGAACGCGCGGGGAGGGTTGCGAAACTACTAGTGACGCGCTCTACCTCTGAGCTACCCGGGACTTCGAGCGCGGAGGCTTTCGATAACCCATATGAACTCTGTGAGATATGAAAAGATTTTTTCCACCGGCATGCCACTTCTGCGCACAGTCGTGCGTGTGCGACTTCGATGTCGCTTGGAGTCGTGGAGGCCTCGCGTACATGTGCCGGTAGCCAATTGCATGCACACTTGACTGTCGGGCACGCTCACTCGCACTGCCGGCGCACCCTCCCAATGCCATGCAGTCATGCCCTGGTCATGTCGGATTGGAAGGCAGCAAAGGCACATTGCTGGGAGTCGAAAGGAGGTACTGTATGGTCACGTGGTACGCACGAACGCGCCCCTATGTGTACCCATGGGAAACATCCACTTAGCAGTTGAAACGCCAGTTTAACTACCTCCGTTTAACTTGCAGGTACCACCCACAACTCGCTCTCTAGGCGCGAGCCTCAGCATCCGCACGACCACTTCCAGAAAGCTCTGCCTTGACATGCTTCTGCGGCCGTCACAACGTGCAGTCAAAGGAGAGTGAGCAGCTGCCATACATTGAAGGGAGCTACGACAGTTGCCACCAGGGCTTTGAAGCGCGGCTTTGAGGCGACGAGGACAGCAGCAGCCTTTGGTGCATGGCGAGCGCTTGAAAGAGACTCGGCCCGCGTGACGCGAAAAGCCAGACAGGTTCAGGACTCAAACGAGCACACGCTTGGCAAGCGCCTTCGTGCTAGCAGCGAAGGGGGTGAAGTCGTGGTGTTTTCAAATCCATCTAAAGTGATATTTGCCACTGCTGCTCGAGGCGTGCCCCCCAGAAGCATCGGGCTTCGCCTCTTTCCCTTGCGGATCCAGCTGTGCCATTAGCTGCCTCTGCCTAGAAGAAGCATACTGTGGTCCTCCTCCCGTCCCAGCTCGGAGTCTTCTTCGAGCGCTTCGTGCTAGTTTTGCCAATTCGGCGCGCGACAGGGCAGGTACCACCGAAGTCCGAATTCGCGCGTTTGGACCTGGCGTCTCAGCGTGTGCCACTTGATCCATCTTATCATACAAGCGGCTACCTGGCTTCATGTACATCATCGTGACACCATACTCTTTTCCAGTAGAAGTAATGCCGCCACCGGGAATTTTGCGGCTGTCCTTGTCGTAGGCGACACCCCAAGTGTGAAGCACAGGCTCTGTTCTGGTCCGCCCAAATCCTTGTCGAGGCTTCAGGGGGCATGATGCAGTTTGAGCGCGAGCTTCGACGACCGCGCGCGATCTGCAACTCACGGTAAAGAATGCCATGTTTGGCATAAATGTCCTCTTGTGGTGATCGGCCGCTTCACTGAGCGCTTCAAGATGACGGTGACGAGATTCATGGCAGATCTTTACGCCGCCAGGGCATTGCTCCATCTTTGCAGCTGCTTCCAGATGCCTCGCAGGCGGACTCTCTGCCGAAACCAATTCTTCCGGCTCTGCCCTAAGCTGACCGTAGCCACGCTTTGCCTTTGGCGAGTCGAGCGGCAATGCATCGACGTCTGCAAGCGACGAGAATGGACCCAGTCGATGTTTGATATACATGCTCCCAGACTTGGGGCCGGGCTTTCCGCTTGAGGCAGATTGTAGGTCAGTCAAAATTTGGTGCCTGACGTGGCGACCGGGAACATGGTTTGGATCGTTCAAAGCGTGCGAGTATCCAGCTTGTTCCCGGGAGCGCGTCGATGCAGCGTCATGATCGTAGGGCGTTTCTGCATCGATCGAGGGCAGTCGGCTGCCAAGGCGAGAACCATCGGACCGTAGAGGAAGCCCGCCAGTGTAAATATCAGGCGTGGCTTCCGCATTGTGAGATGCGTGGGGTAGATGCTGATAGGCCTGCCTTGTGAGGCCGGATGTGCGGATATTGGCTACCAATTCTGGCGGCAAAATCGCCGACAAGTCACCCGCGTTGGATTGCATGTGCTGCGCGACTCCACGAGAGCTTTCCACCGAGTGTCCAGCGAGCGCACGTAACGCCGACTCCCACCCGTCGTTCGTCGGACCCGTGCGCCGGCTCAGGCTCTTGTAGGGAAAGATATGAAGCCACTATGAGCCTCTATGTGGGACATTTTGCCAACGGGCCACTCACCTCGAAGCTAGGCGAGGCGTTCTGGCTGGTCACGCACGACGTGAGCAGCAGAAGCGCGAGGGCGATCCATGGTGGCAGGAGGGGCATCCCTGCATGCAGTCGGAGCATCAGTGTACCAAGAGACATCCCCACACAGGGGGCCAGCAGCTGAAGATGCCACAAGAACGTGAAGATGGAAAGGTGATGGGTTGTACCCACAGCAACGTAGTCTCCGTTATAGAGGAAGCATCATCAGTGGCGAAATCAAACTTCATGCATCGTCATCCTAGGCCGCAACTCACTCGCGTCTGCTCCTGGATCCCAATTCTGCGCGGAACGATGGTCGAGCGGCGGCTCGCTTACGTCTTGAGACACTCCATAACCATCAACTTCCCCATGCAGGCCTGCGACCGTACGGCGCTGCAGTGAGGTGGTGACGGTCCAGCGGCCTCTTTTCTAACCAAAGACTGACTGGCGTCAGGCAATGGTTACAGCGGCACCTCCGGCACCGCCCTAAAGCTTCAATTTGTATTCCGATGCGCGAGCTCATCGCAATTTGCCACCTGTCCGCGGGCGCGCTCGCTGGGAACGATCGAGTTGCGGTCTTGGTCTTCCGGCGGATCGGTCTTAGCGCTCTCAAGGCCATCGTCGTCTCAGTCGCCACCGCAAGTGTAATTGTCTGTCCCCAAAGTGAGCTCTGTACGCGACACGCAATGTCGTCTTGACAAGTCTGCTTGGGTCGAAGCAAGTCGCTGATCTATCATCTAATGGGTGTCATCGCGAACGCTTGTTACCATCCGCTGAAAAGCCAGCAGCGCAGTCGTCACCGAGCTGCGCTGTACCAGGACGACGAGCCCTGCATGCCTCTGCGCGCTATGTTGCTTGTCTTGCCCTCCTGACAAAGGTTTCAGGACTTAGTTAGGCTAGCTAGCTCCGAGTAGTCGCCACGAGAACAGACACGTTCGTAGTCGTGAGTCAAATGAACTAAGTCGAGGTCAAGCCTACACGAATGCTGTGAGCGCATTTACAGCACACGCGCCGCACTTTCGCGTTTTCCCACGTGATCTTTGCCACACCGCTTTCACGCAGGCCAGACCTCACCTCGCAAACCATGCACCCATGATAGCAGTCATGCATCTAAACATCAATTGCGGTTTGCTTTTTGTTGGCAGTGTGCTCGCATCTACACCGACAGACGCCCTACGCTTTTCGCGCCCACACCCTAGTTGTTACCCAGGTGCTTGTTGAGCGCAGCGATGCTCATACTCTTGGGGCGCTCGATGGGCAGACCGAGAGCGCGGTCCATGACGAGTTGAGGCAGAGCTCCAATGGCGCGGGAGATACCGAAAATGACAGTGTAGTAGCGGAATTCGGAAAGACCGTACTCATGGAGCACACATCCGGAAGCGGCGTCGACATTTGGGAAGGGGTTTGCAGTCTTTCCGTGCTCCTTCAGCACGCCGGGAGCGACCTCGGAAACCTTCTTCACCAGCTGGACGATGGAAGATTGTTGCAGCTCGGGTCTGTCATCGCAGAATCGGCTCAGGGCTGTGAAGCGAGGGTCTGGTCGACGCAGAACGGCGTGTCCGTAACCGGGAACGACACGGCCGCTCTTGAGCGTGTCCCAAAGGTACTCTTTGATCTGCTCGTGAGAAGCGTTGGGGCCAACCTTGTCTTGCATGCCAAGGGCCCATCCGAGCACTTCCTGGTTGGCAAGACTGCGAAAGTGCAGACGCGGTGCGTGTAAGCTTGTCTCTATAGGTTCCCACGCTCGTGCAATACTATGCTCACCCGTGAAGAGGACCAGCGAGACCAAGAAGAGCAGCAGAGTAAGACAAGTAAGGGTCGGAGAGGGCACTGCCAACCAAGTCTGTCGCGTCGCGTTCCACAGAGAGGCAAGATCAGCTGCCATGTTCTTGCCTCTACTCGACACACGATGCTACTCACGAGCAGTGTGGGCAGACACGTTACCACCCTCGTGGTCACCGTGAATGGCAATGTACAGACGAAGGTAGTCGGTCAGACCCTCGTTTCCACCGTAGCCAATCATCTCGGCGTAGTTGCCGATCAAGTCCTTGGAGGTGTCAATCTTTTGCTGGCCGTCACCCTTTCCGAAGACATTGTAGTAGATGCGGGCTGCGATGGCGGGCAGCTTGGCCACCAGGTCGATGGAGTCCTCCAAAGTGGGCTGCCAGTATTCCGTCTTCTTAATGCCCTTGGTGTATGCAGCTGCAAAAGCGCTGTCGTGGTTGAGGGCACCGACAGCAGCAGCGAATTGGGTCATGGGGTCTGCAAAGCGTCCGGTATCATGCACGTCAGAACTCCCGCCTACATGGCACACTCGCGATTGTCGCACTCACGCAAAGTCTTGGGGAAGCTGTCGATGATCTTCTCGACGAAGCTGGGGAGCTTTCCCTTGGCAGCGAGCTCAGCAGACAGCTGCTTAACCTCCTCGTTGCTGGGCACGTTGCCGGTCAAGAGAAGCCAGAGCATAGACTCGGGGACTGCAAGCGCGTACATCGTTAAACAAGCCGAGCGCAGAATAGATGCAGCCCACGCGCGCACTCACGCATCTCCTTGCCTCCGAGACCAAGGTCTTTGGCGTTGGGCAGCTCCTTTTCGCAGTCGGGGATAGTCTTTCCGTGGAAAGTGATACCAGTGTTGGCGTCCAGGACGGAGCCTTCCCAGAGCATAATCTTCAACCCTCTCATACCACCCAAAAGGTTCGACACCTTGACTTCACCCAGGCTCTTATCGGCAGAGCTAGACTTGAGCTGAGCCAGCTCCTCGCGCTTCTTGGGAATGACCTCTCCGACGGCTTCTGTGAGGGTCTTGACTCCTCGAACGCTGCCATTAGCAGCGGCAGCGAACTGCCTGGATGGGGCAGCGGCCCTCAGGGCGACGCGTGGGATGGTGAGGGAGATCATCGTGAAAGTGGTGCGTTGTATGCGTATGGAAGTGTATGATGGACGAGGTGGAGATGGAGAACAGCAGAAAGTTGAGGACCTCGGCTCACGAGAAGAAATACGCAGAGCTATCTCTCTCCCTCTCCGCTATCCCACTTCGCTTCCTCGATCGCTGTTGCTGCTGTCTGGTGCATGGCCCCAAGGTCTTTTGCACACTGCGCGGCTATCCGATTTCTGCCTGACATACACAGCGCAGCAGGCGCACGGGCGCACCCGTCCGGCTATCACACACGATCGAGCGCGCGCGCGCGCCATGCGTGCATGCAACTCGCAACTTTTTTCGCGCGTGCTGATGATGCTGCTGCTGCATGCCTGCCGTCCGCTGCACCCTGCGCATCTGCCGCGCACCGGCCAATATTCGAGCGTCGGGACCGCTCGGTCCACGCCATGGCGAATTTGAATGGAGTTCAAACAAAGCGGGACGAATGTTGGGTTCGCTCTATATAGACGCGCCCTTCGGCGGACTCCGTCTGACAGCAGTCGGTTGCAAGAAGTCTCAAGAGGCGCTCTTGTCCTCAAGTGCGCGTCCCAATCCACAAATACAGCAAAAATTCGTCGATATCGTGAGCGCGACGCCCTACTCTAAGCGCCGTGGCAGCACCCTCCTTGCGAGGAAAGCTTTGCGCGCGGTGGATCGGGTGGGCGCGGAGAGCGGCGAACCGGTGGGGATGCTCCGTGATCCGGCGCGGTGCTTGGGTTCCGATTCGTCCGGCGTGTACACGTGACTACATCACGTGCGAACAGAGCTCATGCACGTGTTGCACGCAAGCCACTTGGCGGTCCATTGAGCTGAGCAAGTGTTGCGAGGCTTGGCTGCTGCACGCGGTCGGGCTGAGCCACACCGCCTCATCTGGGACCAGAGCGCGATGCGGGAGCATGTGCACTCACGACTCGTGACTCAAACTCAAGACTTGATGTAAGCTGGTCTGCCAACGTGGATGATGCCAAGGTCGCCTTCCACCAAGACTTCATTCTTCGTCATTGCAACGTCAGCACACCACTGCACTTATCCATCGCTTAACCATCATGTCCGAACCTGAATCGAGACTCGACCTCCATGCGCTGCAGGACGCTCTGGATGACCAGAACAAGAACCAGTCTCGCGCGGAGGCGGCTGCATCCTCGGCGACCGCAACACAGTTGAGCAAGCCCGAGCATGGAAAGGCCTCCCCAGAAACGCTATCTCCTTCTTCGCCTGGCTCCAAGAGCCCAGCGCGGCCAACCTCTTCAGCGCCCACCGCAGCTCCGACTGCTTCGCAGTCACAGCAGCAACACAATGCAGCACCTATGAATCCACAAGTGGAGCAGATCCGCTCCATGTTTCCAGACTTTGATCAAGACACTGTCGCTGCGGTACTCGAAGCTCAGGGATCAGATGTGGAAAGAGGTGCGTGCTTTCAAGCCGCTGCTGCGAGCCACGCATCCTTGCTGACATAGTTTCATCCCCACAGCTGTGAATGCTCTGCTGTCAATGTCGGACCCGACGTACAAAGCACCACCGCCAGCATCCAACGAAGAAGCAGACGCAGCCTTCGCGCGCTCACTAGCCCAACAACAAAGAGCAGAATATGTTTCTGCACAGCAACAGCAACAGAGACCATTCCATGAGGGCACTGGAGCTGTTTACGATCCCTCTCAGCTCAACTATCAGCCTCGTCTTCGACGCAACCCTCCCTCTCACACTGGAGCTGCCGCATATCATGCACCGCCTCCGTCAGGCTTCGAGAACATCAACAGGCAGCAGGCGCCGGTAGGTTGGCCAGGTCCAGACGATGCTAAGCGCTGGGGTGATCAGATCAATTCGGCAGCAGAGAGTGAGTGTCGCACTTGAAAGACTGGTGACATGGCATTGACGCTTGTATCCGCCTTTCGCAGAGGGCTTCGCGCAGGCTTCTACGGCTTTCTCGGCCATACGCCAACGGCTGGCACAAGGAACAAGCCCGGGAGGTACGCCTACAGGAGGAAGTGCCGCTCCTAGCGGTAGAGGTGGTGGAGGTGCCGCTTCCTTCTTCAACTCTATAGCAGGCGGCAACAGCGCTAGTGCGACGAACGGAGGACGCAACGCGCGAGGTAACGTGAAAAGCCCGGATCAGAACTATGACAGAGATCCAGCTCAGGTGGGAGACGCGGATCTAGCAGCGCTTTTGGCTTCCAACGGAGCGCCCAAACCTCCAACCAAGGCAGATCGTATGCTCGGCAACTCGGCCAAGAATGGATCGTTTGATCAAAGGTACGGGGCGAGTGCCGGTGGGAAGATGCCCAATCGACACTCCGTCGGCAGGCAAGTCAGACCCGAGGACGAGCTGGAGGATGCCGAAGAGCTGGGGTGGGAATCTGCAGGAAGGGCTCCTGCGCCCATATCCATCAGAGACAACTCTCTCGGCGCATCGGGCACGCCCTCGACGCCTGTGCGAGATGCAAAGAGCAGCACGGGCTCCAACCGGGACGCGGTGGACAGGATGGAGTCTAGCACGGGCAGAGGACTTACCAGTCCTAAGCCGAAATCTCCAGCTGCTAGCGCAGTCGCACTGGGAGCTGGAGCTGGAGTGGGCGCTGCCGCTGGCTTGGGAGCAGCGGCGACTGCCGCCCACGATGATGAGCCTGCCAAGTCCAAAGCGCGTAGCGACGACGGTTCGAGCGATGGAGAAGACTTGGAATACGTCTCGAACCCCTTTGACGATGAAGACTGAGCTACGTCGCGAAGCCCTCACGCACTACTCGCTGTACATTTGAGTCGCTCTTCGACACTCTGAAATGCTCACGATCTGCCTCCATGCGCAGCTCGTGCAATCGTATTGGGGTAAAGCAATGAAAGCGTGTGTGGCGCGTGCAGCCGCAGCAGCTTTGAAAGCAAAGCGAATTGCAGCTGAAAGATTTTTCTGTGAGTGTTTGTGCTGCTGCTGCACTCTAGTCGTACACCTGCACTCAGACGATAAGTGCATGGCGGTCAGCAGTGTTTGCTCACACCGCCACGCGAGAGCCACTTACATTGAGCGGATTGATACGGTCCATAGCAAACAAGAAATTGTCGGACAAATCTGCGATTCGAGCCGTACGAAAGGTTCAGTGGCGTCTTTTGGCGCACCTCGAACACCAAGCCGCAGCTCACCTTCGGCCTCCAAGAATCTCGTAGAGTGCATGACGAGCGTGCCTCGCGTCTCGTGAAGCAGCGCCTCCATCTGTTCCAGCTCCTTGGTCGAAAAGCCATCGTCTGGGAGCTTGGGACCACCACGAGGGTACGTGGCTGGCGTTTGTTGCAGAGACGGCCCGGCGTTGCCTTCCATGCCACTCTCCTTGCTCTTGGGCAGCGGCAGCGTGTTGGAAGCCCCATGTGGGCTGGCCTCCATCTTGCCGTTTTGAGCGGACGGCGTTGCGCCCTCATCCGTCGGCGCAGCGCCGCTCGGTGGAGCTGGCTTGACACCCGACGATCGCATCAATCGATCGTACCATGCTTGGTAAGCCTTGTATTCCGCCCATGTCGTCACTTGATCATCAGGAGTAGCCTATGGTCCGAGACCGTCAGCACCTGCAGCGTCGCGGGGTACCACATTCCACACACTTACTTTGAACACCTTGCGGAAGACGTCGGTGTTATGCTGAGCTGCCGCTAGCCACGAGCCATGGAAAAACTCGTCAGAGATGGGATCCTCAAAGCCATATGGGTCGATGACCGGGGCGTCGGATGGCACGGCCCATGGATTTGACACCTACGAAAGATGGCGACATCAGATTAGCGCGCTCTGAAGACACGGCACGCCTTCAGACTCACAGTTTTGGAGCTCTTGTGGCGCAAATTGTCCTGGGAAAATGTTGAGAGAGCGCTGGTGCTGCTGTTCCGAGCGTGACCGTTTGGCGCACCCCGCACTCTCTCGGAAGCGAGCTGCTCCTCTACGCGCTCTACAGCTCCTTGATCGGCCGCCTCATCCTTCTCAGGCTTTCGATCAGATAAACCAGCTTTCCCACCATCGCTTCGCACCTCTGACTTGATGTTGGTGCTCATACCCGACACGAGTTCCCCAGCCGTGCGTCCGAGGTTCTTGAACGTGTTCCTCGGCTTGACTTGCGTCTGACCGATGCCAGGCCTACCGTCTCGTCGTTGCTCATTGGAAGGGTCCCATTCGTCTTCGTCGTGGTCGGCCATCTGAGCAGGCATGCGGTTGCCCGTGTCATTCGCGCTCAAGCCCTCAGAAGCTTCTTGCTGCTCAATCTTGTCGACGTCAATGCCGAGGTGCTCGCGCATCAAGCGCATGCGCAGAGTATGTGCGAACCTGCCAACTTTATACGGTTGACCGCCCATTGTCGAGTCGATCATGTCCGTATCGCGAATGACCACTGCGAGCTCGCTATCCCTATCACCGCGCTGAGAACGCTCATTGATGTTGGCTGACCCGATCAGCGCAAGACGATCGTCGACGATCATCGTCTTGGCGTGAATGTAGCCAATCTCTGTGCAAAGCTTGCCGCCTCTCAGCTTGCCCCACTGCCGCAGGCTGAAAAAGGTAATGTAATCGTCCGGGTTGATGCCCTGTCTCTTCAGCTTGCCGAAGATGGAGTGCTCGCCTCGGCATATAGACCTGTTCTGACACTCGACGATCAGACGCACAGAACCAGCGTCTGGATGATCGATGGGCATCGGAAAGCCTGGAATGAGCGGAATGACGATGATTGCGCGCCACGGAGTGCCTTCTCGATGTGCCCGGACGATGCGCGAAACGAGCGCTTCGCCGATCTTGTTCGTGATTTCAGTGCCGCGCACGACGGTAGAGGTGACAAAGAATTGATTCTCAATGTAGACAAAATGGTCGCTCATCTGAATCGCTTTGAGGTAGGCGTTTTGTATCGAGTGCTCCACCGTCGTTGGCGTTCCCATGCTCCAAGGGCCTGCGGACCGACAGATTTGCGCCTCGCACGTTCCCGTCAGCTGATACTTGGACAGGTCGGACGGGACAAAGTCTGGAGGAGGAATGAGAAAAGGCATGACCCGCTTGTGGTTCTTGATTCGCAGCAAAAAGTTCCAGCGCTGGACGAAATGCCTGCACAGATCTCGCGCGGGCTGGCCGACGAGCTGCACACCAACGTCGTGCCACGGCATGCGCGGGAATTGGGTGCGGTCGATGAGGTCGTTGGCCGGCTTGGTCAAATCGTGCCACTCCATGACGCGTTCGTTAGCATAGTCCTGACCTGGCCAGATCTGCGCCTCTGCGCCGTTTCGTCCAGGTCCCAAGAGACTGGGGTCTTCGTCCAGATGCACATGTCCAACGTTGCCGTCCGCCGCGTCGTACTGAGCGTCGTCGCTGAGGATATGCTCTGCAGTGTCCCACCTCCCAAAGCAGAGGTCCAGCCCACCCATGAAAGCAATCGTCTCGTCGATGACGCAAAGCTTCTCGTGGTGCGCCCAATAGAATGTTCCCGTCTGAAAGTGGCTGGGTGATCTCTGCACAAAGATGTTAGGGTGCAAGCCAATCAAGCGCTGCTTCGTGTAATTGCTGTCTGTCGGCGTGAAGTTGTTGCTGACCTCGTTGTAGAGAATGACAAAGATCTTGACGCCCTCGCTTGCCTTTTTCTTCAGAATATTGTCCAAGCGATACTTTGGCGTTCCCGGCCGTCGCAGGTACATTTCCGGTGACAGCCACCAGTCGTGGATGAAGATGCGATCCTTGGCCATGAGCAGCGCCTTGGAAAGATTCCAATAGTAGTCGCGCCCGTCCACAAGCCATTGAGCGCTGCAATTCAGCCGAATCGGCGCAAAGCTGCCAAAGCGGTTCGAACCCGAAAAGATGTTTCGCGCAGCCACTCTCTCGAGACTAGCGATGAACTGCGTCATCAGGCGTTCGCTTTTGGCCACCAGCTTCATTCTCTGCTGAGCGTTCTTGATGTAAAAGGTGTGACTGCTGACGCTCTTCGAGCCGCCAGGCTTGGTGCTGTAGTCATCATCTTCCTCTGCTCCATTCGGACGTCCATACTGACCATCCGTGAGAAGCGCCGTGTGACTTGCACGCGCCTTTTCGGACTGCCCCTTTTCCGCCTTTTCATCCTCGCTGTGGTGGCCCAGTTCCGACGCCAGGTGGATCGTCTGCTTGTACAAGCGCTTCGGACGCTCGATCTCAAAATCTCCGTCGATGAGAAACACATCGTGGACTTGCAAAGAGGCCGGCTCGTCCACGGCGACGATGTACGACTCGCGCACAATGAACCACTTGGGCGAGTACGACTTTGCCAAGCTCGCTGGCGTCAAAAGGCCCTTTTGCGCATCCTTGCGAGAGGATCTCGACATGATTCGAAGGTAGCCTTGCTTGCCTTGGTAGCCGCCTCTGCTGGCGAGCGAAATGGATAGTGCGCTTAGCTCAAAGAATTTGCATAAGCGATTCGCTTCCGGACGGAACATGGTGCGCCGAATTAGTTCCAGAACATAGTCTTCCAGCGCGTCGCGCTGTGCCTTTGCAAAGTCTGCTCGCGGGTTGATGCCATCCTTGCTCTTTGGCTGGCGCTGCAGCTGGTTGAGGTACGGCAGACTCGTCTTGGGAAAACTGGGAAGACCCAGGTCACCTTCTGCTTGGCCAACTGGTCGTCCGAGATAGCCACGCAGAGCTGCCGCTCTGTAGTGCGCGTGCAGGTTGATAAAGTCGCGAAGTTCGCGGTAGCATACCCAGCGCACCAGTCCGTCGCCGTACTCGAGCTCAATGCGGAAAACCGCGTGGGTGTTGTGAAGCGGGTTGACCGAGTCGGTGATCCGCAACTTCAGATGATTGAGAAGAACAGGAATACGTCGATTCTTTTGCTCATCGCGCTCGAGGGACATCTTGAGCAAAAAGACGGGCAAGATGCCGCTCTGCAGCTCGGTCACCACATTCATGGGGCCAGCAGCCGCTACCTTATCCGGACGACCCCGTTTCTTCAGCGCTTGCGACTGTTGCAGACGCTGTCTTAGGGCACCCCATCGAGCAGCGCCAGCTCCAGGAGTCTGCGGCGGCTGGTCCGTGCTGTTTTCGTTCTCAGTCGCCGCATCCGGAGTGCCGCTGCCACCACTGTCGCCTCCCAGCATCAATTTGCTGAGCCGAACCATCTTGGCGTGAGAGGGCGACTGGGGTGCAGACCCCTCTGCATCAGCGTCTGCTGACCCATCTCTCTGCGTGGCTTGTCGCGAAGGACCAATCCTGGGAGTGCTGGACCCGCTCTTGCGCGCAGAAGCTCGTCCTGCAAACGCCTTGAGCTTGTCCGCCGCTTGACCTGGCGTGTTCGAATCGGTCGAGGTGCTTTTCTGCGCCCCACTTGCTTGGCCCGCACTCGCATCAGCCGGTGCGTCTTGTTCTTCAGGTTCCGCAGTCAAAGGACCTCCCATCGCGCTGCGCATGGACCGGTGATTCTCGCTCCACTGGCTCGTCTGTTTCGGCAGACTTGGTCTCGTTGCCCCTGCGCTCGAAGCAGATCCTTGCCGCTTGGAAGCTGACTGACCACCCTGCATCTGAGTTGCACCGGAGGGCGTCGAAGGACTGCTTCCAGGCCTTTGCTTCGCTTTGTATGAGCCACCAAACTTCAGGTTGAGCTTGCTGAGCTGGGAAGGACTAGAGGCGTGATCATCTTGCTGAGCAGCGGCATCCTTGTCCGCCTCCTTCATCTTGTGCTCCTCTGCCTTTTCGCGCGTCGTTCTACCCAAGCCTAGTCTGAAGTGGTGATGCTTCTCAGACTGAGCCTTTTGCTCCTTTAATCTGCGAATCTTTTCCCTCTGCGCATCGTCCGGCTTGCTAGCCCAGATGGGCCCCTTTTCCGAATGTTGCTGCGCATCTGGAGCTTGATGCGGATGAGCTGCGTGTGCGTGACGAGCCGTCTGACCTGGATCAGCATCGCCCAGGGCTGTTCCCTGACCAGCTCGTGCTGCGACTGGGCCGTGAGGACCCAAAGCTCGCTCGATGGGATCTTTGCCGTTCGAGACGTGACTGTCCGCCGTGCCCTTACGATGCGGCTCCGAAGCGTGGGGTGCAGCTTGCTGAGATCTCTCGCCCTGCTCCTCTTCATCTTCCGCTTGACTTTGCAGACTGCTCCTCGCCTCGGGTGCAGGATGATCGTGTGCCGGGTGCGATTCGCTGCCCGGATGATTGCCTGGTCCCTTAGGAGGCTTTGCATCTGCTACATTCTGCTCCTCTCCACCCTCGACCGTTGATGCTGGGGCGTTTGAGTCGGATCCGAGGCCGAACAAGTTGGCAGCCTGGTCGTACGCTTGATGGAGCGCATCCGTCGCAGACGTACCAGCAGATGTCATGATGTGAGCTGGCAGACAGTATTGGATGATGGATGCAATGCGGTTTATGGATAGCGCTTCGAGCCTGAGCCTGTGTAGTGGAGTCCACAGTCCGCCGGCGATGATAGAGCGGGTTCGTTTTTGCCTTGCACCGCCTCAGGTTGCGTCCATGCAGCGATCGAGCGACTGCGTTTGTAGGGAGCAACCTTGAGTTGGTGAGTAGGAATGAGGGTGGTCAGGTGTTCCATGAGCGGTCGAGGAGAGTGATCCATAGATGGTTGCAAAGGTCAGGAGAAGTATCGATCGCCCTCGAATTCGTCGACATCTCGATAATCGCGGCCTGCTGATGACGCACTTACTCGCGCCCGCTGCGTATACATGTGCCAAACGGCGAAGCTGCGCAGGACGAGAATCGTGTGGCTTGCGCGTGCAAGGTTAGCGCTCGGGCGCCTGCTGGTACTGTGCTGGTGACAGTAGCTGTACCGGCACAGTGCCGGTATACTAGCTGTAAAACAGCAGGCAGGCAGGCAGGCAGCGGCGCGCCGCTGCATGCGATTCGTCAGGGTCAATCGCAGAAACCAAGGTCAGAATCAGAATACGTCCGGCCTGCATGGATCGAGGACGCATACCTTGGCTGGGCTGAGCTTCTTCCTTGGGACGTTTGGGGCCCGCGATTCTTGATTTTTAATTCTCGCCTCGACGATCGATATATGTACGACTATGGTCAGGGAAAAGCCTCAATTTGAGTGGACTGGGTGACCTGCGGATTATTGTGATGCAAGTATTCACGATTGCTTTTCGAAACACCATACTTCCCCACAGTTTGATGAGACCGCCATGCACACATGCAGCAGAGCACACTTCATAGTTGTGTTGTGAAACTTGGCGGCCATCTGCGCGGGCACGGAACACCGCCCATGTACGGTCACGTCACGCCGAGCATGCCGAACGTTGAGTTCACAGCATGTACTCACGATTCAGACTCCTGACTCTTCACTGCGATTTGACTCCAAAGCTTGCTCCTGCCATTTGACACGAGCATCGGCGCGCTATTCGCGCACGAAGGCCTGATCCAAGTCCTGATCAAGTCAGACTAGATTGTCATCGTCACTGAGATGAGCGCCCGCGCAAAGATGAACGTCGCCAGCAGGCACGATAGCGGATCGCGGCGAGGTAAGCAAGCGTAATTCACGATTCACGATTGTGATTCTGATTCAAGGATTGAACGCTTCCAGTCTTGAGTGAGAGGCTTGCCCGACCACGTGATCATCAACGAATGTTCTCGTCTCCTGTACTCGTACTACTGCAGTTCCGCCTGCCAAAAATAGGTCTCGCAGCAACGCACGCATACGCATGCAAGCAAGATGCACACTTGCGCGGCTGAGCAGCCGAATCGAAAGTCGCCGACATGTTGCAGCTTCGTAGCCGGAGCAGCTATATAATAGATTCACATTCAATTCGCAAATCTCTTGAGCTGACGCCCTGCCCTGTACATGGCCCTCGGATAGCGAGCGGATAGCATGGCGAAGGGTTGCAGAGCGTCGCGAGTTGAGGGCGACGCATCCCAATCGGGAAGTCCAAGCAAGACCTCCTCCTTGCCGACAGAGAGATGTTGTCCAGCCAGCCACGGGGCGCGGAGAGCCAAGCTGTTCGTCACGATGGACAGGCGAAGAGTGACAAGCTTCGAGGCAAGTCAAGTCAAGTCATGAATGCAGTGCAGGTAGATCGTCTCCGAAACATCAGAACGGCAATTAAGAATCATTGAGGATAGAACTCCGAAGCGGGTCGATTCATCTGCCTTCGCCTCGTTGCTGTGGGCGACAACGCTCGATCGTGACTCGTAATTGACTCGATGTCCGCGTCCAATAAGGCCCTGACCACCCTCGCATCGCGGCCCAAGCTGAAGCGTGCCGTAGGGCCGGCCGTGGCATGGCATGGCATGGCACGGGCACGGCACAGCTCAGCGGGAGTTGAGTGGGGAATGTGTGCCGCAATCGCGTGAATCAACCCACGGCACCGTCGCGACGGGGCAAAAGCTATGGGCGACGTGATTCTGACGATGAGTTGGTTCAGCAGCAGCAGTGAGAAGTGCACTTGCTGGCTGTCTCTTGCAGTTGCCCCGCTTCTCGAACACTAGGCACGCGGCTGCTCGACTAGCTGCTGCACGCTGGGGGCGCGGCTGCCGGCGGAGTCGTGAACTCTGACGCGCTATATAGGGGCCCCGTGCGGGAGGCTGATGCTGGCTGACGCCTTTAGCATCGAGAAATTCACCGCAATGTAAGCGGTGCACACACACCACACAAGACTCGTCGAACAGGCGCATCCACAGACTGCAAGCTCGAGTGGTAAGTACTCGTGACTCTATGCAGACGTACAAACACGCGCGTTGAAGGCGATTCGAAATACAGCATACAGCATGTTATGACCAGTAGTAAGTAGTAGTACAGTAGTAGAGCCAAAAGCAGTCTTGAGTGCTACTCAAGACTACTGATGCAGGACAAGCCGCTAGAACGTTCATCGCCACAGGCATGAAACCCCATCCAGACATGAACGTACAGTACTCTGTTGTCCCGGAGATGGCCAGACAGGGGTCAGCAATTGCATCACGCTGCACCAGGCAGAGGAGAGTTGCGTCGACTGTACCGTTGACTGGGTATGGTTGCGAACGAGTTATGAAGCTTTGGAGTGGCCATCATCATCAGCCCGTGTCTTTTTCATTCGTGATTTTTGGTTGTGAGTCATGTCAACCAGGTCGCTCGATTTGCGCCCGCCTTCACTCACGACTGCTGGTGCGACCTGGCTGGCTGGCTGGCTGGCTGGCTGGCTCAATTGCCCCTTAGCGTGCTCGAAACGGCGACTTGTTTGCCTTCATGGTCTGATGCATGGTATTCGGATCTGAGCATACAAAGAAGAGCACCCTAGCTCGGTGTGCAGGCGCTGCGCTCGTTTCCCCCTAAACGCATGCGCGTGTTCCAAATCAAGAATTTGACACCACATGCAATAAACACTCGCGTCACACTGCTGTTGCTGACGCCACGCCGCACGCATGCCAAACGCCGGTAGTGCGTGAGACGAGGCGGAATGGCATTTGGGTTGCATGAGGGCAAGATCCCACTTGCGGGATCGACGCAGCAGCAGCAGCAGCAGCAGCAGCAGAGCAGGCACCCGCCCCCCGCTTCCCACCGCCCGACTTACCGTAGCGGCCGCATCGACGCCCTCCCTTCCCTGCGGCTCGCATCCAACGGTTACGCACAGCCTGCATGCTGGACTCCGTGACTGGACTGGCAGGCGCAGGCGCGAGCATCCATACGAGCCGGCGTTCACGATCAACTGTTCAAGCGCCGGTCCCCCCCTTTGTGACGGCACGCCTTTTATTGTCCAGCCATACTCGCTCGCTCCTCTTGTGTGTCTCTCGCTCGCATGCACGCTCCCTCCATCCTCTCCATCACCACATCGTTCCTCTTGATTCGCAATCACTCCCGCTCGAAGCACTCCACACACTCGCTAGATCGATCGAACACCACACTCCTTCACGCAACGACCTACTTCACCGTCGTCTTCTCAACTTCATCTTCGCTGTACAAACACTGAAACAGTCACCTCCATCGACTCTTTTTGACCACTCCACGTCGTCACTTTTCACCACACGTCACTCTTCTCAAGATGCAGCTCCGTCTCACTTTCGTGGCCGTCGTTGCCGCCTTCGCACTCGCCTCTCTCTCTCAAGCCGAGGAGGCCAAGCCCGAAGCCACTGACCTGGTCTCTGCCGTCAAGAACGAGGTCGACGAATTTGGCAACGTCTTCTCCATCATCAACGACGGTGCTGACGAGGATGGCGACGAGGAGGATGAGGCGGAGAAGAACTACGTCGAGAAGAAGGTGCACAACAAGCAGAGCGAGACTGCCGAGGAGCAAAACGCTCAACCAGAGTCTCGTTCGCCCAAGAAGCACCACAAGAAGAACCACCACAGGGCTGGAAAGAGAAAGGGAAAGAAGCACTACACCACTGCTGCTCCCGACACTGGTGCCAAGCGTCTCTCTAGCAGTGTCCAGATCACCTGGTACTCCAAGAACGACCTCAAGAACCCCGCTTGCGGCAACGGCTCTTGGAACCCTACTCCTAGCGTAAGTGAAGCGCACTGTTGACACGGCCCGAAGATCCCAAACTCATTACCGATCATGCTCGTCGACTTCACGATCCTCATTCAGTCCCACATTGGTGCCGTCATGGCCACTTGGCACTCTAGTGGCGGCCCCAAGTGCGGAGAATTTGTTCAGCTCTGCAACAAGAACTCTGGCAACAAGTGCCTGAAGGGTGAGCATACAGGTCACCGTCATGTAAAGCATCCTTTCGCACCCATCGCTGATTACCAACACGGTTGACTCTTTACGCAACAGTCCGTGTCGTTGACTACTGCGCTGGCTGCCCCACCGACGCCATCGACTTGACCAAGAGCGCCTTCAAGAAGCTCTCCCCAAGCGGAGGTCTCGACGAGGGCCGTATTCACGGTCTGCAGATGTACTACTCTGGCAAGCCCAACCCCTTCAACACTGACCTCTTCGGTCCTTTCCGTCTCCACAAGTAAGAAGCGCGGTCACGTCGCTCTGAAGGCCTTGCCACCCCCGATCCAGCCTGTCGCACTTCTCGTCACGAATCGAGCTCTTCGATAAACTTCCGCATTCACAGTCCCATCAAACAAGACTGCTTACCGTCGCACTCATAACCCTCAACAACACCACTCATGCGCACGCAAATGGACCCTACCACTCTTCATCCATATCAACGCCCATCAAAGACCGCTTCTTTCCGCACATCCCTCCCCCCTTTCCGTGTCCATGGTTGTGCTTTCCATATAGCCCTCTCTTCTGTTTTGCCCTTCCCCATCGAATTCAGCTTCTATATAGGGTTTCGCTTTGTACGCGCCGAGCTGCGCTCGCGCCAACACACCTTAATACAACCAGTGTTCGATTGCAAGCGACAGTCGAGCTTTGCGGCGGTGATCCATGATTGCACCGTTGGTCTGCCCGGACCTTCTGACCGTGGTACGATTTTTCTGTGTGGGCAGCAAGACTCGCGCTCTCCCAAGACAGGCGGCTGAGGTCACGGCGGCCAACGATAACGATTGGTTTGGTTACTGTACATCGGAAAACAGGGCACGCGCAGATGGCAATAGCAGAGCGAACAATTTAGAACAGTCACTTGACTGCCTTGATGACGTTCACAGATCTTCCTTTTCAATCTGCGGATCGGCCTCGCCTTCCGCATCCGCATCCGCATCCGCGTCTTCTTCTCCTTCTTCTGCCCCCTCCTCCTCTTCACCCTCCGCATCGATATCAGCGTACTCCTCGTCCGGCTCGTGCGGCGCATCAAGGTCGTCGTCGGCACCGGCGATTTTCAGCTCTTCCGCGGCTGCCAATGCTTCCGCTCGATCGAGCGCTTTTTCTTCCTCGATTTCCTCGATTTCAGTCCCCTCTTGAGCTCTCGTCAGGTCAAATGTCTTCTCGTGAAGAGGCGAGATGCCCTTTTGTTGATCTTGCTTCGGCACAATGATGCGCGGACCATCTTGATCGTCTATCAATTCCTGGGCGGGGCGCCGCTTGTCTCGTTGAGATGGGCTGCTGCTCGCGCCGTGCTTTGTGCCACGGGCAGAAGGGCTTCTTTGCGAAGCCACAGCATACGCTGGCGTTTTTGCGGCGTCATCATTAGCACAGGTCGTGGTCTCCCCGCCGAAATTTCCCGCAGCTTTGGACGCTGCCTCATCGGTGGTCGTGGCAGTTGCGGCTGCGACTGGGTCGACGGTCGTGTCAAGGGTAGGCAGAGGAAGAGCAGCAGGTTGCGGATACGACCTGGTGAACAAGAATGGCGTCCAATGCAGCTTTTCTGGTCGCACCTTGAGGTACCCCTTGCTCTCATACGTTTTCAAGTGAGCTTGAATGTACGCGCGGTCGAAGTGTATGTTGTAGTCCTTCGGGATGGTCAAAGCTGACTCTTTATCCTTGTGCGCTGCGGCTGCCCGATTGGCGGCTCCACCACCGCGCAGGCGACCGCGGCGGCTCGAACCTCGCGTCGCGCTGCTAGATCTCTCTGGCGACTGGGACGCATCACCCCCTTCGCGAGACTTGTACTTGGCCGTTGCAGGCGTCCTCACCCTGCTCGACCCGGCGGTATGCACTGTGATCATGTCCTGTTCGCGGAGTACGTACAGAACATCATCCGTAGTCATAGCTGTGGCGGCGGTGATATCTGAGAGTCGCAATCACGGTCAGCTGCTGTCAGCGATGATGAGATATGCAACGCACTCACCTTCAAGCTTTACACGATCTGGCGCTGAACGCAGGAAAGCAAACACTGCCAGCGTCCAATAATTGCGATAGCTGAGCAGGCCCAAGTCTGAAAGCGGCTTTTCGGGTGAGCCATGCTTGCCTTCCTTTTTCGAGAGCCAGTAGCCTAGGATTTCGAACTGCTATTAGCATTGACTGGGCACCGCTCACAGCGCTTCACCACAACTCACTGATGTCGATGAGGAAATTGCCCCAGCCACGACGCTGACGAATGGGCAGGGTCATGATGCAGCTCACGTTGTAGTTCATCGGACTGCGCTTCTCCTTTGAAAAGTAGCCCACAAAGTGAGCCCCTTGGTCGTCCATCTCCGCCACTACGTAGAACAGAAATGGTTCAACGTCGTAGTATAGCGTCTTATGGTCTAGAAACATCTTTGCGAGGAGGCACAGATTTTGGCAGTAGATCTGCGCGAGAGTATTGATTAGCACATGGGCCTGCGGGCCCAGCGGACTCCCCACATACCTTGTTCTTTCGCCCATCCACTTCAAAGATGGAAACATTGCCATCGCGGTAGATCTCATCGCCGGGTGGGTGTGACATTTTGCATTTCGTCTGTTCGATATGTGAAGCGTAAGCAATGTGTACGCATCTTCAGCTGCACCGCCCCTTGTACTCACGCGATGCCTGATTGCCATGAATCGACTCTTCATGTACTTGAGACAATGCTCGCATATCCACAGCCGGCCATCTGGCACAAGGCTGTATTCTTCTGGGTACGGTGCTTGGTACCACGTATCAATGTCAAAATCCGCGAAACGAATCATCTTGATCGGAGCTGCAACGCCCGTGTCGGCAGCGCCAGCTGACGTCGTGGAAGCGTGGCCGAGATGGATATTCTGGCTGCTCGAACCGGGAAGAGGATGCAAAGCCGGAGAGCTGGGAGCTGCAGCGGGCCCAAGAGCGTTGCGTCGGGAGGCCTCGGACATTGAGCCGGTACCCGCCCAAGGTGAGCCCGCAAAGTAGCCCGCAGCCGACGAATTGTAGCCTGTTGGGCGCTTCAACAGGCGCCCGCTGCTTGTGCCCGGTAGACTTGCGACAGCACCACCGAGTTGGCGCTGTGACGTGAATACAGCGCTTTCAGTTGCTGGACCGTCGAACGGTCGAAGCATGAAGCACTCACTTCTGCATCCACTTTGCTTTTCTCGAAGCGCGCCTGGTCGTCCGGATTTGGTCTAGTGCGAGTCGTGTCTGCGTCTGCGCCAACTAGCACGCCACCGAATGGGTCCCTCTCCTCCTCCTCTTCTTCTTCCACGACCTCCTCAGGCTCAAGGCTCTCCATGCCTTTCGGCTGCGGCGCTCCCGAATGCTGACCATCTTCGGAGTCGCTACCCTCTTGAGATTGTCTCTTGAATGACAATTTGAACCTCCTATTTTTTGGCCGTACGTTCAGACGCGATTTGTCCTCGCCCTCGCCAACTTCACTACCGCTAGCATCGCCCTTCGTGCCAGTCCGCGAGCTCGCCGCGTCAGACGTTGCATCATCATCTGTCAGTGGGATGACTTGCTGCATAGTGCGGGAACGCCGGGCAGACTGAGCGGCTGCAGCGCGGTGAGAGCGCGCGAAAGGAGCGGTAGTAACCGTGGCATCCTCGTCTTCTTCATCGGATACTCGCATGCGGGACTTGCGCTGGCTTCGCGAGGAGCCTGCTGCACTGCGCACTCTTGAAGTGTTGGACGCGACTGGAGAGTTGGGATGGGGGCTGGTGGGCGCGGACGAGCTTCCTGCACGCGCGCCTACTTCAAAGCTGCGTTCCGGGTCTGTCGGTTTGCGGAGACGTCTTCCTTTGCCCATGTTGCTCTCGTCTACTGTCTCCTGTTCGGCCGGAAGGCCAGCGACTAGGCCATTAGCTCGCACGCCAGCCTTGGCGTCTGCAAGTGTCTGAGGACCATCAGGGGCTTTGGGCAGAGGCGAGCTTGCTCGCAAAGGCCCAATGTACTTGCCCCCCGCAGCGACGTTGCCGCTCTCCCATATCCCGTATGAGCTCGCAAGGAGCGCCTTCCGCGACTGCTTCTGGTGTCCATTTGACAGCTTGGCACGAGAAGAGTCCTCAGAATCCATCAAGTGGGCTACATGCGCCTCGAGCTGCCGGCATGTGGGACAGATCCATCTCCCTAGGAGTGCGAAGGACACACGAAATGAGCTTTGTGACTATGTTGAATGCTTGTACGGACGACTCACCTAGGGGAACTTTTGTCAGCGGAGGACTCAGGCAGTACAGATGCCACCCACGATCGCAGCGATCACAGAACATGATCTGCGCCTATAGCCAATGACAAAGAGCTGTTCAGAGAAGGCCTGGAGAGGGGCACGAATCGAACTCACATCGTCGCCCTTGTCACTGCAGACCTCGCAGGTTTTGCACTCCATGCACCTCCAAGCGTACTCTCGAGCAACTGCCACTTTGCGAGTGGCTCTTCCCCAGCGCATGCAGGTAGGATGCCCTGCAAGTATGTGATAGCAATGAATATGGCGTTGTGCCGGCTGCTCGCTCTGCACATCTCTCACTCACCGCTGCTGCCGCACTCTGCGCAGCTGATCACTTCTTCTGGCTTGCTGGTCGAGTCCAGCAGAGTGACCTTCCCACAGAATGCACATTCCAGATCTGGCTTCACCTGTCCGTGACTGCTGGTGGTACCATTTGGAGAAGCTGAGGTCGCGTGCGACGGAGTCTGTGACGAGTCCTCGTGGGCAGCTCTTCTGATCCTCTTTACAGGCCGTGCCGCTTCCCGGCCAGGCCTGGCATGCCGACCTTTCATAGGAGCGGAGTGTCCGTTTGGTGCACGTGGGCTAATGAGAGCGTCCACAGTCTGACGAGAGGGGTGGCAGGCGATGTAAGCTCGCGCTTCGAGACGGTCGCAAACGACACGAACCTCCACTCGCTACCTGCGACAGCACACTCACGCTTTCGTCCTGCTCGCTCTCCGCAGGCCCAGACTCGTACTCGCTCTCCGTCGCTGACTGATGTCTCCGTGCAGGCATCTCGTCGATCGGCGCCGCCCTTTCTGACCAGATGAGACTGGGATGTAGCGTGCTGAGTGAGGCATTAAGCGCGGCCGAGCAGCACCGACGCGCTAGGATGAGCGCGCTGCGACCATGCGTACGCTTCTCTTGTCGGAGAGTCGGTGAAGTTGTCAGAAGAGCTGCGAAAGCGATGGCAGCGGAGACCAGGGTAGTTCCGAAAGCAGCTCTCCTAGATGGTCGGGTGGCTATGACCTCTGTGTCGGCACTCGTGACTGTGAGTCGTGGCTGCGTAGTCGCGATTGGGGACATCAAATACGAGGCATCTGTGTGCATATGAGGGCCTGCATACAGTAGTGTGAGTCGAGTATGTGGCCCAACAACGCGTCGCGCCCTGCGCATGCGCCGCCTGGTGCATCGGGGCTAAGCATTCCATCAGCCAAATCAAAGTCGAGAAATCAGGCAGCCGCGCGAGTCTTGACAAGCTGACTGTGCCTCTGCACCCCGTGAATATCGCCACGTGGCGCAGCTTCCCGCGCGCCTATAAACCCTCCCCGTCCTCGGCATCGCATCCATCGCCACCTGTTCCATCGGCCGCTTTGTACAAGAGATTCTGGATTGAGTAGCTCGTCGCATTCAGGATGCTTGTGAGATGGATTATAGTCCATGCGCTGAACTCGAGGGCTCGAGCACGCTTTAAGGTGAGATGTATACCGCAGTGCTTTGCAACGCGTCACATGCTTAGACACGAATCTCGACATGGCGGTCTCTTACCTCGAGCATCACTCATAAGAATGCTTCAATCTGCACTCTGCTTCCACCTTATTGGCACCTTCAAAGCAGCTTGGAGATTTTGACTATTAGCGCAGGAGTGCGTGATCAGTCGAAAGACCAGGGGCGGCCGACGCCGGCACCAAGCAAAGGAACGAAGTACCTTCAATTTTTGGTCGGCATGTCAGATCCTGATGTTGGTACGGTGAGCACAACAACAAATTTTGACCGTTCTTGCAGTCGTCAAGAAGTCGCACAGAGAGAGTGCATTCCTATGTCTTTGCCACATTCAACATACCCAACTTGGACATAAATTCGAAGAATCGTTCTGCGGAGTGGTTTTGAATATTTACAAGACGACGGCGTGTGCGTGGAGGTGGCCTATTTTCAACCTAAGCGGGGATTCAAAGGACACAGCACGGGGGTGGCAATCAGCCAGCGCAGGTCCGTGTTTAGGGTACAAAAAGATTGTGGATGACTGATGTCTGTCGAAAGCGGGGGCCAGAGATCTTGCTCGGCTTGCCTCCCGCACCACACACCACCCAGCCTGCCAAAAACGAATTTCACCACGCCTTCGCCGACGGCGACTGCTCACAGTCGATTGAGGGTGTCGACGAGGCTTCAGTCCTACGATCGCACATTCTATCTTTCACTCGGAGCAACCGGCAATCCATCTGCTGCGATCCATCTAATCCACCTTGACAAGCTGACGCGCATCAGCTCGTCAAGGTGTGCTAGAAGGATCGCAGCCGAGGGACTGCGAACAACCCCGAGAGAAAGCTGAACAGCGAAAGCCTTCACAAGGTGGCAGAAGAATAAAGCGTCACAGGTATTTGAGGTGTGCTTGCGTTGAGCGCGACAGGTGGTCAAGCGTCGTAGCAGCTGTCGCATCGAGACATGTGGCAACGGTGCCAGTCGTGGCGCACCTATGAGCACGCATCCCTCAGCGTTGCTTGCTTGATGGTGCTGACCTTGGCCGTCGAGAGGCTTTCTCTCGTGAAGGGTTGAAGGGTAAACAACTTTCAAATCAAGTCTAGGACGTCATGGATGGGCGGATGGATGACGGTGGCGAGAGGCGTGTGGGAGTCACACACATCGAACTTTGGGGACCCGCTGCTCAGTCTTCCGCCTGCTTCAGGCACGCCTGCTGATGTCTCACTTGGTACGGCGCCGCATGCCGTACAGTCATTTACAGTATTTGTGCTGCTTCGCTGTACGTCCGCATGTGCCGTACTTGTCTCCGAATTTTGGATGCGCGCACCTCCCCAGCAAGATCTGCACAATCTTGAATCGTGACTCGTCCGCAAATTTATCTCGGAAAAGAACACGTGACTTTATCCACGGTGCGAATTTCGCGTGACGCTGGCAACAGTCACGCGCTCCGGCGCCCGTGACCCATGATTGAACTGACATGCACTTTTGATCCGTGATTCAAATATCTGATTTCGAAGAGGAAGAAGCCCCCGACTTGAACGGCCCACCAATCGCCTTCTATGTATAGACGATATCTTCGAGCATCTATATAGCGCCGTGTTTGGGCTTTGCAGCAATCGTGGGAATGCTGGCGACGTGCAACGTGCTTTTAAGAATGTGGGCAAGTTCCTTTAACAATCAAAACATGGCACACTACGCGTGGAAGGGCACGCCTTATTCAAAACACACGCGTGCATGATCTACAGTCACGAGTCAGTCACTCGATCGGTACACCAGTTGCGGGCCAGATGGCCGACGCGCGCCGCGGATGCGAGATCAACGCGACGCGAAATGATCCGTGCGCAATCACGAATGGCGGTGCAGCAGTATGCAAGAGCGCGTCGGCAGGTGATCGACCACGCGCGCTCGGATGCGCGAATAGCCCAAGGCACATGAGCAGTACACCACACACGCAGGGTGGGTATCTGAACCGAAGCGGAGATGGTGCTCCCCACACGGAGACGCCTTCTAGGCTGCTGCATTCCATCGCCAAGTACCAAGCACCCGCTTGCGTTCCAACCACCACAACCCCTACAGCACCCAGCCGTACCAGCATTCTCAAACATCAAAAGCCTTGCCACCTCTCGAGCATATTCAAAATGGTAAAGAAGTGAGTAGCGCCTCCGCGTACAAGCGGAAGTCACAAGCCTTGCTGCGCACACATACCCGTCCATCCGCCGGTACTCATCCATGTCCCATCGTTCGCTCAAATAGGAGTGCTTACAACAAGTTTGTCAAGAAGGAGAGCGCCAAATTCAAGCAGACGCACCCCAAGGGTACCACTCAGGTGAGCGACGCGTCCTATTGCAACCATTGAATGGGTAGACATCGCGCCCGAGACGCGGGGCCCCACCCGACTCCCGTGACGTAGATTCTTGCCTGAAGGCCGAAAGCTAGCATACAAGCGTGTTTGCTAACGTCGCTGCCGCTCTACTTCGCATGCATGCCCCACCCAGGAACGCATGAAGCTCATCGGTGCTGCTTGGGCCAAGAGCCCGGAGAACCCCAAAGTGAGTGGGCTGTCCATTCGACGTGCTCGTGCACGCGCGCTGAGCCGCTTCGTCGGTGCTACTCGACACTACGAACATCACAGAACAAGCCAGGCGCAAAGAAATGAACATGAATGGAACTGGACAATGAGCGACTCGATGTGAGTGCCTTCGCATCAGGAAGAGGCTGCCCCACTCAACACGAGAGGGCAAGCGGACTAGCTAGAAGGGCACACACCAGTGGCATCCGCAGGGTTGTTCATCTCATAGGCTTCACCCTTTTCGCCGATGACCTCACTAACCCTCGCCGCCTCTGCCTATAATCGCGCCTCAGCACCACGCCTTCACGCGAGAATGCGCTCCGCCTCCTCACTTGCTGTTGCATGCAGGGTAGGCAATCTGTCTGTACCAATCTTCCCCCTCTTCGCTGGTCCCACTTAGCGACGAGGCTTCCAGGACGACCCCTCGCATCCCCTCCGCCCTGGGCTCTCCAAGCTCTTCTCCGATGTAGCAAAGCTCATGGCCAGCTGTATCTTCTCCTCTCACCCGCGAAATGAGATCGTGTACCACTTGACCTCGTGAGCCTTTCCAGCCTCGCATGAATCACAGATATTCTGCGAACACGCCCACGAGTGCTTTCGGGGCTGTGCGCTTCGGCGTCACTTTGTTTCATTTAATTGAGCGCGAGAGAGTCCCATCGCACGTCATCGCATTGCAGGTGTTGAAGCGATTCGCGGTATCTCGCGTCGCACGCCAGATGAAAACGTGGCTTTGAAGAGCGGTGTTGTTTCAACCGCTCAGCGAATGCGGAAGTCGTACACCTGTAAAATGAGGAGGGCGAGGTGAGGGATGTTCGGCTAGCGGCTCCACAGACTCCGACATGCCCTCGAGCGCGATGTTTGTCACCTCTCGTTGGTCCCCTCTTAGCCACTTGGGAGGCAGCCCAGTAGCTGTCCTACCAGCCCGTCTCGACCAGACTCACCTGCTTGGCGTAGTAGGCTCCAGCGAGTGTGCTCGCTACGCTCAGACCGGCAGGTACGGGACCTTTACGAGCTCTAGGCAGGGATGATCCGAGCAAAAGAGCAGATGCGCCTGCGCAAATTTCGTAGCCGTAGTCTGTCGGAGATGGCAAGAGCGAGGAGGAGGAGGAGGAGGAGGAGGAGGAGGCGGAGGCGGAGCGCGAACGGATCAAGGTCAGACATGGAATCCATCTTACCGAATGCTGTGGCGAAGGTGACTCATCACGCCAGGATTCTATCTGGCGCGAAAGCTTTCTGATACAGCTAGTGCCCACACCACACCCAACCCGCCTCGATGTGGACTCACCTCCACCGCTCTTGATCCGATAACCACCCACAGCATAGAGCGCACCGACACCCAGTCCAGCAACGATGGAGGGAACAGATCTAGTCTTTGCAAACCCGATCAGGCCTCCAATACCGCAGAGGGCTGCCATGGTGTAAGCTGTGCCAGGAGAGATTTGAGGAAAAAGATGATGGTGCAAGCGTCAATCCAGTCATCCACTCTCTCTGAAGCGACGGACAAGGAAGCGTTGGCTTATTAAGGAGGCATGCCGTGAGCGTCCCTGCTTAGCTGTCGAGAGGTCTCACCTGGATGCTCCGACTACAGCGCGGCAGGCGTGCATGGATCGCAGCGATGGGATAGCGCACATATTCGAGAGGCAGAGCATGCAACGTCAGTGTCGGCGACTCTCAGGTCAATGCGCAAGTACAGATGACGTCCGCAAGGCCGATCGACGTCAAAGCAAGACTCTCGAACTTCCCTCTTCTCTCTCTCCATGCCCCCCGCCTTTTCTCGTATTGCCTTTCAGACTCACCATCTCGAAATTGCGTTGGACGTTGGGTCAGTAAAGGTCCGAGCGTAGGGTTGGGGCGTCTGAGTTGACGTGTCGCGAGAGTCAGAAGAGGTGAACACGGTGGGGAAAAAGCAAGGCTCAGGATGAAGTTGATGCATGCATGGGCCCACATCACTCGTGACTCTTCTGCGCGCTCCTTTAGCTCATCCGCGCGAACGGTTCCGTGCGCGCGAGTGCCATGCGTCCCTGCTGCGTGCACGCAGCAAGCAGCTCGGCTTGGCCGCGTCGAAATTAAAGCATCGATTCGGTTAGACGGAAAACGCGAGCATACTCGTTCACTCGATCTTCAGCGATCACCACATACAGTTTCCCCCATTTCAGGCTGGGTTACTCTAATCACATCGCAGTGTAATGTGCGAATGATTTGCCTGGGTGGCTCATTTCACACGCTCAAAGGTCTATAAAGTACCTACAAGTCATGCTCGATCTCGTGCTCTACATTCACAAACACCTTTGAAGCTGTCTCCACGTATTTATCCCCACTGCTCTTCGCAACCAAGCAGCGTCCGCGCGTGATCCTTTGCGCATGTCCTCCTGCAGACGAGACAGGCACGCTCAGCTATGTGTGTCCCGCTGCTTTCGGGCGCTGCTGTGAGGACAACATCACATGAATAGAGGGCGGGGTACCAGTACAGTAAATTGTTAACAGAGGGAAACGTCAGGCGAGGCATTGTCAGCTGAACGCGTAATGGTAAGCGTAGAGTCGGAGTCGAGCGATGCGGGCGAGAGCTTGCGTGAAAATTGTCTCAATGACCACCGACACCACTTGGCACCTGTTGAGGCGCAGCTCCATTCGAAGCCGCAGGAGCGGCGCCATTCGGGGCGACCTGCAACGCCTCATTCGAGACTTCCGGAATGCCCGCAAAGAGCGAAGTGATGTAGGTCAAGTCTGCATTAGTGTTCTTCGAGTGTTCCACAATCATGTCGATCATCTCCTTGTGCTTGTTCAACCTGGAGTTCAAACGCGGAACAAATTTGCAAGTCTCTTGCACTGCCGACAAATCCTCTGTGCATTGCGACAGGGACTTGTCCAGCACGTCCAGTCTATCGCGCAGCGTCGAGACGTCTGGTGTCGTGCCTGACGATGCGGGCGCTTCTCCTTGCGGCGGTGCAGCTGGAGCGCCGTTCAGCGTCGCGGTCGGCCCAGCAGGCGCAGCTTCCCCAAGACGTGCGATCTCTGCTTGCAGCTTCTCGATCTCATCCTTCTGCGCCTTGTTCGACGTCTTGAGGCCGTCTAGCTCCTCCCGATGCAGGTCACGCATAAGCGTCATCACTCTGCTCACGTTGCTAAATCGATCGTCGTTGCGCTTTCGCTCCTCTGCGAGGGATTTGTAAAGCGCTTCGTTCGAGGGTGCGCTGCCGCCTTGGGCGGCCTGTCCGCTTTCGGGCTGAGCAGACAAAGAGCCAGTAGCCTGCGACGTTGATGCAGCTCTAGGCAAAGGGGCAATAATTCGATCGGACGATTCTGCCGCACTCGCCGCACTAGTGCCCGCCGAGGTGTCCTTCTCCTTTTGCTCGCCCGCAAAGTCGTCGGACCTCGCGAGTACTTCGGGTGTGAATGCACCAAATACGGCATCGACGAGTTCTTTGGCGGCGGCGAGAGGAGCGTCTCGCCTATCCTCCGGAGCACTCGAAGCAGCAACAGCTTCGAATGCCTTGCGCTTCTTGGCTCGATGTTCCTCTTGAGCATCTTCGATGGCAACCTTGATGAGTTCTGCCAGGTTATTGCTCAACTCGGCGAAATGATCCATCATCTCATGTCGCATGTCAGTATATCGAGCGTCTATGACCGCGCGCACGTCCTTGTGCGTCCGAGGTTTCGTGGACGGTGTAGGGCAGTCATCCTGCGCCACTTCGCCTTCCTCTGGTTCGGCAGCGCCGCTCCCAGACACATTTGATGTCGCGGGAGCAGGCATGGCGGTAGCACTCGCTGCTGGAGCTACAGGAGGCGGAGGCGGTGGCGGTGGTGGTAGGTCGAAGGCCTTCAGAGCTTCGTTAGCGACATCTCTCATCAGAATGCGGCCTTCCTCCTTCGTCAAGAAAGCGCTAGTCAGACCCCGGCGTTCAAGTTGGATCATGCTCTGGACCTGATTCTTGACCATCTTGTCGATCTCCTCCTTGCTCGTAATATCCTTCCGGACCGAGTCACCAACATCTTCAGCAGTCTTCCTGATGAGCTGTGGTGAGGGGATGCTCTTCTCTATGTCATCGAGGTGCCTCTTCGTCTCGTTTCGTATGGAGCGTATGATGGAATACTGCACCTCTTGATTGGCTTTCAAGATCGCCGCCTTGGCATCCTCAACCTTCACGTCCGCAGCTTGCAGACGTTCCTTGGCGGTCTTGAACTGCTCAGCGTGGATCGGAGTCTCTTCTTCTCCCCGTTTGTCGCGTGCAGTTCGCAAGTTTTGCATTTGATCGAATTTCTTTCTTGCCTGTGATGAGCGAGCGATGGGAAGGAAAAGTTCAGCAATGCTTCAGGCAGCGCGCCCCCACCCCCTCCCTCTCGGCAGTCACCACACCGTAAACTAGCTTTCAGACGTACTTCTTGAAGTTCCAACCTTGTTGGCTCGAAGCCGACTAAAGCTTCGATGAACTCCGATGCTGCCTGTTGCATTGCTTCATGCGCGGACTTGGAGACCTCGCTCGAGGCAGGTGTCTCTGTCGCCTGTCGCTTCCTCTCTCGTTCTGTGCGAGGACCCCTTGGGGTGCTTGGCCTGCTGGACACGGCACGATCGCGATCCGGTTCATTGGATGCAGAGGGGCGGCGCGCGTCGGTTGGAGGAGATCTGCGCCTGTCCCGATTGTGCGCTCCAGGGGATCCGGATGACATTTGCCTATCCCGAGAGTCGTCTTTGGCAGCACTGTTTGCGAATCTTCTGGATGAGGGACCAGCCGTGGATCTCCTATGATCGTTTTCGGTGCTATCGTCGTATGAGGGCCTCGGGGCTCTGCCGTTGTCTACCACCCGCCATTCTCTGTCTGATGCTTGGGAGCGATATTGCTGTCCTGCGTCGTAGCGCTCAGGCCGATGGTAAGGGTATGAGTTCGACATTGCGTGAGATGCGACTCCCACCTGGATAAAGTGAGTTGTGTAGCGATGCGCGGATGTGGACGACGAAGCGAGTTTGGAGTTGATTGCTGGCGCTTAGACAAAGGCTGAAGTGCTCGCGTCGCCATTGATCGACCGACGGGCGAGAGGTCGCAGCCACTCCGCGCAGAGCAGCCTTCCTTTGGTCCGCGGTTACCTTGCAAATCGGCACGGAGCTGGTGGAAGCCTCGCTGGTCCATTCGTGGGTTCGTCCGCTCGATCTTGATGCCGCACACGGGCGATGATCGAGATGGCAACAATGAGCGTGTTTGAGAGTCGTGATCACAACCCCTGCCCTCGTCTGCAACAAAGACAACAGTCGGTACGCAGACGTGCAAGCTTGGCGAGATGATGGGCTGCTTATTGAAGGGAATGTAATGCACGCGGGTGTGCTCACTCAAAATTGAATGCTGATGAATGTCTCGATCGAAAGAAAGCTTTGACCGCGCGTCACGCGAATTGGATGGGCATGCGCGCGCGCGCACATTACGTGTGGCATGGACTCTTGTCGGCCGGTAAGCGCGCGGTCACGCGGGCGCCGCGATGACGCTGGCAAACGACTTGGATGGACAACCACCGCGGCGGCGAGCAGCAGCACCTCCATCACGCGCGCGCCGCGTTCACCTATAGCTTGTTCTTGTCTCGCGGCACAAGGCGCGACCGTTTGAATGGCAGCATCGACGCCATGCGGCGTGGCACGCCTGTGCGTCCCAAATCGTGAATCGACCGAGCCACACTCAAACTCACTCAGCAGACTCACGACTCGTTGAGCCTACCTTGTGGGCTGCACGGCCCGTGAGGACGCGCAATGCGAGGTCGGTGACTCGTGACTTGACTCGTGACTGACGCTGCATGTACGAGTGCGCAGGCAATCAATCACAATTTGAATGAATGTGAATCACATCTTGATTCTTGATTTGATTCACGATTGCTGTCTATATAGATCGTGGTCCGCATGACGAGCGCACATCCTCTTCATACTCGCCAATCGTGACTCTCAGGAGCCTGGAGATTCTAGGACAGCCATCATTCGATCGAGACGAATTGACCCGGACTCGCACTCTGACTCGATCACGGCTGAACGAAAAGTCTTCATCATATCACTTCAACGTGATCAAGCAACAGGCATCATCGATAATCTTGAGTTAGAGTAGCAGATAAGCAGCAACTCTCGCACTTTAATTTAGACATTCAAGACTTCTAGCCATTCAGTCAAAATTGTTCGTTCAAATTTCCACGCAGCCTAATCTCACGCGCACGTAATTCCGTCCCGCTTTACTCACGACTGCTGCTACACCACCTATACAAGGCTCGCCAGCTTGACTCGTCATCACATCCGACCCAGCTTGATTGCTGATTGCGCCCACCGGGCCGCAACGACGTCGCGTGCCGCCGCTGCCGCCGCGACTAACTCGGTTCGCGATTCTTCTCCGCGGAGCCGGTAAAGCGACCTCATTCGCGACTGTACCTCGGTCTCTCTAAGCTGATTTCGACGTCTTCTGCTGGAGGCCACTCGAATATTCGGGCGCTCGGACCAAGCGCTATCTCGCACATTGCCCGATCGACGCTCGCTCGCTCCCTTGCAAAGCTATAACGATGGTAGCTAACGCCCCTCCCCTCACGCCCGACCCATTCGTCGAGGATCCTCCACAGTATCTGTCAGGTCCCGAGACTGCGTCGAGAGGGTCGTCAGGAAAGACTGCAGGCGGTGCAACACCTGCGAGATCAGGCAGCAGCTCCTCAAGCAGCGCTGCCACCGGCAGACCTGCCAAACTCTCCATCTGCGAGTCGAACTCGGAAACAGCGCAACCTTGCGAGAACAGAGCGTTACCGGAAGCAGGGCAGCTTGTACACAATCCGGCAGATGGCATAGGTGGAATGGGTGTAGGAACTGCGGCGACGGGCGATCTGGGCGCCTCGTCCAAGTTCGAATCGCTGCAAGATTTGAGAGCTCAGGTGTCGGATCTTCAAAACGACTACAATGCTCGTCATCCTGATGCCAAACTGAGCGGAAGGGTTATTCACGTCAGCCACTACATCCCCTTCGTCATTCGCGCCTTGGCAGAAGTGGAGCATGAGCGTCAGAGGGAGGAGAAAGTCAGCGCTACTGCTACGGTCGCAGCTATGGCAGCAAAGGCGAGAGCGAGAAGAGCAGCCATGAATGCGGCCAAGGATGCGGAAGAGCGGCGATTGGCCAACAAGCCGCGTCAGGGAAGCTTCATAGATGGCATGAGCGACACTACAGATCTGGAGCGGAGACTGGCAGAGAATCAGGCCAGAAGCCGGGCCAAGGCTGGTAGAAAGGCTTGGATGATGACGCCGGTAGTCGATGACGAGGAGGAAGAGGACGAGAAGGACACGTTTACGCCCGCAGGGTCCAGGCGCGGATCGACTTGGAGCGTGGCTAGCGCTCGTCATTTGAGCTTCAGCACCTTTGCCAATGCGGACGACGACAACAAGTACAGCGCAGTGTCGGATGCCAATTCGCCAGCTCGCACTCCTTCTCGGCGCGTGGCTACTGTGGGCACACCACCTCCGCCGCCCGAGCCTGTGAAACCTCCTCAATGGGTCCTGGCCCCGCGCAGAGGACATACGGCCCTCAATAGCGGGATCAGGAGCCTGTGCGCCACCCACAGGCAGACATTCGTCGGTTGGCCAGGCGACATTTCCTTTGCGGCGCAGGCACGCAATGATGAGCGCAAAGAAGCTAGTCAGACGACAGCCGAAGAGCGCAAAGAGATTGAAGCCATCTTGGCTGGGCTGGATAGCGCTGACAACTGGGCTGCGAGGGATGCGCTCTTGCTCGATCCCAAAGGCGCACCGAGCGAGGCTGTGGGCAAGGTGCCTACTCCACGCATGAATGGAGCAGAGCCTATCGGTCCGGATGGACCGGCGCGTCAAAATGCTACGTCTGCTGTTCAAGAGCATGGGATAAAGTACGTGCCCGTGTGGCTGGAGCACAATGTTGCGCATGGACACTACGAAGGCTATTGCAAGACCAGTGAGTGGTGTTAACGCGTACGCCTGTAAAGATGCGACACAGGCAGATTTTGACGCGCGTTGTTCCCTTCCACCGACGCTCCAGCGCTGTGGCCCTTGCTACATTATCTGCTCTGGCAAGACGTTCCGGCAGATCGCCGAATGACGTACGATGAGCATGCGTGGGATGCTTACGTAGCAGCCAACGAGGCGTTCGCCAAGCGCATAGCCGAAGAATACAAGGCGGGAGACATGGTCTGGATACACGACTACCATTTGCTCCTCGTGCCTCAGATGCTTCGACGAATGGTCCCCGACGCTCACATCGGACTGTTCGTCCATGCACCCTTTCCCTCGAGCGAGATCTTCCGCTGCTTGCCGCGTGAGTGCTATCTTCACCCAACGAATCCATTGCTTCCTCGCTTTGACGCCTTTTGCCACACTCTACAGAGCGACGCGAAATCATTGAGGGCATGCTGGGAGCTGATTTGGCCTGCTTCCAGGCTTTTTCCTACTCCCGTCACTTTTTGTCCTCCTGCATCAGAGTCTGCGGCTTTGAAGCATCCAACAACACCGTCGAATCCAGCAACGGCCACATCACCAACATCAGCTACAACCCGATCGGGATCGATGCAGAAAAGATAGACAGGGACAGTCGCGCGCCCGGAGTCGCTCCCAAGGTTGCGGCCATTCGAGAGATGTACAAGGGGAAAAAGCTGATCATCGGGAGAGATAAGCTTGACGTCGTTCGCGGGGTGATCCAAAAGCTGCAAGCGTTTTACAAGCTCCTCGAAGAATTTCCCGAATGGAGAGGTCAAGTCGTGCTCATTCAGGTCACGGCGCCTGCGCTCAATGACTCGCCCCTGCTCGAACGACAAGTGTCGGAGCTCGTCAGTCAGATCAATGGAGACTTTGGCAGTCTCAACTTTACCCCTGTTCATCATTATCACCAGATCATCGAGCGAGAAGAGTACTTTGCTCTGCTTAGCGTAGCCGACTTGCTGCTGGTCACGACTGTCAGAGACGGAATGTCGACGACGCCGATGGAATTCATCGTTTGTCAGGAGAGGTCTGGTAAAGCGCCTCTGATCGCTTCCGAGTTCAGCGGATCTGTTGGACGCCTTCGTTCTGCGATCCAGGTGAGTAGAGTCGATCTTGCTTGCTGGGACTTTTCCCGCGACTTATCAGAAGGTCGCTCTCCAACAGATCAACCCGTGGGCCACCGCGCATGCCTGCAAGGCAATCGACTACGCTCTACGGCTTAGCGACGAAGAACGTATCGCTCGCCATGACCAGCTATACCACCAAGTCGTTTCCCACACCAGCCACACCTGGGCGGCATCATTGCTCAAGTTGCTCTTGCTGCGCTTGCTTTCGGAGCATGCTGCGCATTTCACCCCACCGCTGAACCGCACCTTGATGGTGGAAAAGTTTCACAAGGCTCAAAAGCGCCTAATACTGTTGGATTACGATGGCACCTTGACGCCCATCGTCAAGAATCCGGCAGATGCTGTGCCTTCCAAGCGGCTGTTGGAGGCGCTGCAAAAGCTTTCGGAGGATGAGAGGAACGTCATCTACATTATCAGCGGTCGAGATGCCGACTTTTTGGACAAGCATCTGGGCCACCTCAAGAACCTTGGCTTTAGCGCGGAGCACGGAGGGTACGTGCGCAAGCCTGGCGAGGGCAAGTGGGAGAATCTGACAGAGGTGCTGGACATGTCGTGGATGCAAGATGTTAAAAAGGTGTTTTCCTACTTTACCGAGCGCGTACCGGGCAGCGAAATCGAAGCCAAGAAGAGCTCGATGACTTGGCATTATCGACAGGCGGATCCCGACTACGGCGCATTCCAGGCTCGAGAAGCGCAAGCTCACCTGAACGACCTGGTCCAGAAAGATCCGAGCATAGGTGTAGAGGTTTTGGTTGGAAAGAAGAATCTGGAATGCCGACCTCTTGCCGTCAACAAGGGAGAGATTTGCAAACGGATATTGTACGAGTATGCAAGCTCGGCTGAGTTCGTCTTTTGTGCTGGCGATGACAAGACTGATGTGAGTCGGCTGGCGTCGCGAAGGGGTCGTGTGCAGAATGCTAATCGTGATTGCTCTTTGGTCTGCACAGGAGGACATGTTCCGCGTTCTGTGTTCGCTGGGCTCGCTCGCTAGCAGTGGCAGTATGGACAGCCCTTCGCTCGGCGCTTGCGGCAATTCATCCTCTCTGCGGCACGCGACGAGAGGCGAGAGCGCGGGCCACGTGCCTCAGACGCCGGCAGATGAGGAAGCAGCAGCGATGTGCCTTGCGCCGACGCAAACTCTCGTCATCTCTCCACCCGCACCTCTGAATCCCAAGCAGCAAATGGGAAGTCCGAGACCCATGGCGCTCCACTCGGACGGCATCTGGACAACCGCTGTGGGGCCTTCGAGCAAGAAGACCCTGGCTCATTATCACGTGGACACGGTCGACAAGATCATCTTTGCCCTGTCCGAGCTGGCTGGGCTTCAAGACCCTGCTGACGATCCACCTTCTGAGGATAAACGGGATGAAGATATCGGCAATGATGATGTCTAGGATACGTTGGAAGCTGCGCATCCGAAGCGACAATGTTTGGCGCGCTTCAGCAGACATTTAACCCTTCAGGCTACGCGAGGCTTGAGATTCTGGGCAATTGCGGCCGCACGCAATGCGACATAGCCTCCGCTCTGTTTCTTCTTGTGCCTCGTCACACTTCGTACGCCTTCAAGGTTTGGCAAGACTCGACGTTACAGTAGATGCAATAGAACTTTTGATACAAAATGATGCGCGCATTGACAAAAGTTTGTCTGCGGCCGGGAAATTTCAAACGAAGTTGCAGCAAAAGATACTCAGAATAGGTCGAAGCAGAAAGCTCCAATGCAGGTCGAGCTTGAGGGGTTGGGCGTTTCGGAGGAGGAAGTGCCGGCAGCTGCAGCATTGGAATTTGTGTCGGGGCTGCCGGCGGTCCGTGCACTGCCACTGCTTCCCGCATTGCTAGGATTTCCGCCGTTCTGGACATAATCGAGCGATCTGCCCAGCACGCGGCACTGTTTGCCTACTTGGCCGCTTCCAAGCTTGGTCATGACTGGACGCGGCCCGAAGCTGAGCAGACCCAAATTTGACGCGGTAGTGGCTTGCCAGCCTGAAGGCAAGGAGGCAATGGCGGATAGAGAAGTGGCGTAGGCTGCTCCTCTGGCGCTCAAGTATCCAGCTTTGAGGTTGGGATCCGCATTCCTGACGAATGCGCCCCACATGTCCATCTGAAGATTGACGTAGGTAATGTCCAAATTGTCCCGCGGTGAGATTCCAAAGGCCGAACCGTACGTGCCGAACACTGTGAGCAGGTCTCCACTGTGACAATAGTAGTAGCCAGAATTGGCACTGCCTCCCTTGGCTTGACAAATGGCATTCGGATCGTAATTTGGAATTTGAAGACTTCGCTGATCTTGCACGTAGGCGTAGATGGCCGGGAGCGCGTTGTTGCGCGCAGCAGCAGCAATGGTGGATTCCTGACCGCATCGAGCGATTCCGCTGATCAAGCTCTGCACGCGCACAGTCGTGTCCCGCACACCCGTGTCCGGGAAGGCGTTTTCGGGATTGGCAACGACGGTGGAAATGTCCGCTTGGGCAATACCTGCGCTCTTGAGCGCCTCCGAAAGGTTCGTCTGAGAGGCTGGCGGGTAATATCCGAGCGCAGCCATCTCGTCCCGCATGAATCCGATGATGGTCGGCACGGCATTCGTGATACCACCATTCTTGCCCGTCACGTCCAACCGATTTGTGCGCACCAGCGCACCGTCCACGACGGGGCGACTGAATTGAGACGTCTGTAGGAAGCGATCTGGCGACAAGCCTCTCAGGCACACGAGCTTGTCCGGGGCATCTCCACATCCCAGCTTGGCAATGACGCTGGCAGCGAGCGCATTGGATGAGCTGGAGGTACTGGCCGCTTGAAGAGTGTTGGACGCATCTGAAGGTCTCGAAGATTGCACAATGGCGCCTCTGAAGAGACCCTTTGCAGCGGGAGAAGACAAGAGCAGGTTGACAATTTGAGCGCCTGCACTTTGTCCTGCGATCGTCACTCGCGAGGCGTCTCCTCCAAAGACTGCGATGTTGCGTTGGATCCACTGCAAGACGGAGATAATGTCGGAAATGCCGTAGTTGCCCTTGGCTCTGTCATCGATGGAGAGCCAACCTAACGATCCGAGACGATAGTTAGGCTGGCGTGTCGCGACGCAGTGCATTTCAATGCGTGTCAAGCGGTCAGCGCGCATGGCCTTTGTCGCGGCTCTTCCACGCCCGCCACTCACCGTGACGACGACGACGTCATTCCTGCTGGCGAAGTCGCCCGCGTCAAAGGTGAAGTCTTGACCGCTTCCGGACGAGAAGCCACCGCCGTATATCCACACCATGATGGGTCTGAGGCCCGTCTTGGATCGACGTTGCGAGAGGCTGGGAATGACGGGTGTGTAGATGCTAGTGAAGAGACAATCCTCTGTCCAAGTTTTGTCTGTGCCGCTGGTCTGGGGACATTGTTTGTCCCTGCTCGGATCGAGTGCTCGATATGCACCGCTAGGGATCAGGGGAGTAGAGCTGGAAAAGCGCTGAGCACTAGCGAAGGGAAGCGCCTGGAAGCGAAACGACTTGGCATCGCGATAGCTGTCGGCAGAGACGTGGACGTGGTGATTAGCCATGAATGCGGTTCCCGCGGATTTCTTGAGCATCGCAAACTCACCCGGTCCAGCTCGCTGCATCACCGTTGGCCGTCACTTGCCACTGCACGCTCGTATCCGTTCCATTGGCAAAATTCCACGGTGCTCGTTGCGTGCAGAGAGAAAAGTACCTGTTGGTTCGCGTGATATTTGCGACGAGCGTCACATCGTCCGCTGCGTTGATGCGCAGCCGATTGCCATTGGCGGTCCACCACGCATCTCCAGATGCTGCTTGTTTGGTGTACAACAGATAGTTCAACTGCGATTGCAGACCCGCATCGGATACTTTGAGTTTGCCTCCCTTGGACGCCGTAGTCGTGACGGTAGCAAGCTGTTCGGACAAGGCGGCACACGCAGTTGTCGCATCCGCCAAAGAAAATTTGCTGCTCGTCAGCGAGATGTATGCCGCTTGACGATTGCCGCTCGCTGCTCTTTGCCAATCCAAATCGTTTTGATACAACACTCGGAGCGTCGCGTCGGTCAATGGGACATCCCGCGAGACATGTGACTTGCGCTTCGACTTTTCGATACGCGCTACGTCTCGTCGTCGACCTTGTGAGCTTGTGCCTTGAGCAGCGGCCCCTATCGTGGCGATCACCAGCACCACCACAGACAACAAAGTGAAGGCGTACTGCAACGATGCCCCTCGCATCGTCGCCGAATCTTTTGAGCGTGCTCGGAGCTGTGGCGTGTGGGTCGATTCGAGCTCAGGCCGTAGGTTGGCTTCTCTTTTGATCGAATCCGGCCTCACGTTGGCGGGACAGGGAGGACGGGAGGAGCGGAAGGCGAGCGAGTGGAAGAGGTGGTGGAAGTATCGCGAGGAAGAGCGGCGTTTCCGTGTGTGTAATGACCGTGTCGAAGGAGCGAAGCAGGCGGCGGGTCACCAAGGAGAGAGCCGAAAGGACGGAGCTCGGTCAGCGAAGGCACCGCGGTGAGTGAGACGACGGGTGAGTCATGAGTCCATGCAAGCGTCACGAGGGCAATCAGCAGAGCGCTGAATGGATGATCCGTGATTGCAAGCACGGCATCGCGCGTGCCATTCGAGCCAAAACTTGCTTTCCCCTTTCCCAGCGCTGTCCCCGTCCCCGTCCCAATCCCCGTCCCCGCGTGCTGGAACATGTGGTGGCTTGCATGTATGGATCGGGGAGATGCGCTAACGGAAGATGCGTGCAGCAGCATCTCACGAGCACCGCGCGACGCGCTGCAATCAGCGGCACGGTTTGAGCAATTCCCGAAGGAGCGGTAGAGCGGGGTGCATTCAATTGCTTCTCTTAGCGTCATCAACCAAATGACCCCCTGTAATCAAGTTCGGCAAGGCCTTCTTGCCGGGATTATGTCTTGGCCTTTGCGTTCGCGCGAGTCGTCTCTTCGATTGGTCAAGTCGCAAGATTGGGTTGTCACGAAGCTGAGGATCGGATTGGCAGCACCCGCCACAGCGCTAATGACTATGGTCCATGTCTCTCTCTCCACGCTAAGGAATATTCTTACGGTCCGCGCAATGTCCATATATGAAGTACGCGAGCCGATTACATCCGCGCGGATCTCGATGGTGGGAGGTTGAAGCGGTCCCCACCTGACACTGCGGCAACTCGCAAGCGGAGCGCAAGAAGGGAGACTTCGTTGCACAGTCCAGCAGAGGTGTCTAAACAGAGGTGGAAGCTGAGTTCTGGAAGTGTCCAGGCGATTGGTCGGCTTCACAAGCGCGAATCTGTCGACATTGAAGTGAAGCGAGGCCACGTGTATGGTTGACGCAGCCGGTAAACAGCGGGACCACCCTGCTGTTCATGTCGCACCCAGCGCTGCTGCAGCAGCAGGTGTTCCGCGCGCGGAGGTCTGGCGGAAAGAAAGCATATGGATATATATATGCACACGTATTTATACGATCGCCAGCCCATGCAGCAGCAGCATGCGTTCGTGCTCGTGACTGCTGGGCGGCCGAACCGCGGTATACGGACGCGTCAAGTCTCGCCTGCACGCGGCTATACAGCGCAGTCGCGAACCTAAATTTGAATATATACGTGTACACACACGGGCACGAGTATTATTATTATGTTGAATAGCAGCGCTGCCAGCATATGTAACTAAGAATGTGAATGCAGCATATATGCGTCAGGCGTGGGTGTCAATTGGGCGCAGGCGCCGTGCGTCTCATCCGCTACAGCTAGCCTACAGATGCGGGGAGCTGCTGCATGTGCAACAAATTCCATTCGCGCCAGCTGCCCCTTCCAATCTGGACATGAATCTCTGACGTTGACAGTCGTCTCGCACCCTCCGCTACAGCTTCGAGGTGGTCTCTTGATTTGCAGAAGATCCGGCACACTGGTCAGGCGGTGCTTAGCTGATGGATCCCCATAAGCGCTACAGTAAAAACGAAAGATCGAAGCGGCGAGCAAGCTGCAGCGATCACAATCTTCAGCACTCGCGTCACTGGTCGGCGGAAACTTTCCACAAGGCGGAATCCACCGGCGGAAATAATCCAACTGATCGTCATCCTCGCCTTGCTTCCCGTTCAACGATACTGCCGCAGCACAGCTGGGCTGGTATAGCGGAGCACACGATTAGCAAGATCCCACGCTCCTCTACAATCAGACTTTGACTGGTTCGTTGCTGTACTGCGCAGCGAATCAGGCACAGGTAGTCAGACTTGGAGTGCTTGTCTCTCCGGCGTCTCTTGCCGTCGACTGCACCGCGACTCGGCAGCAAGGAACACAAGGGTGTTTGTCCTGCTGCTGTGAATCGACGCACGCCGGGTCTAAAGTCTGTTCATCGCTCCCGCACTTCGAATTTTGATTGGTGATTGTTCGCATCGGAATATTTCAGGAGGTCGTCAAGATTGCGCAGTCGCCCTTTGGCTATCGGCTCTCCCACGGGCGAGTAATCACTGAGTCCTGCATCGACAAGCACCCAGTCTTGGCACGATGCATCATCGACGTCACTATCCCTCCGTCTCTGACGCTCGGAGCCGTCAACGTCAAGGAGATGAAGAGGATCATAACGAGCAGCAACGTCTCGCGGAAAGGAGTCCTTCCAGACCTCACGCTGCTTTTGAGGGCAGTCCCGCTCCAGCACCGCATCAGCAGCAGCAGCAGCCCAGAGGATCATTTCCAAGTGCTCCGCTCTCCACCTTTCTCCATTCGCCTTCGAGCGGCAATGCTTTGGATCATGTTACCCTTCCCAGGATTATCTCGCCACCGGAAACTCGAGGACAGCAGCTCAACGCGGATCTGGCCAGAGATTCAGCGTTGCACCATTCGTCTCGCGATGAAGATGCACGTCAAAGATTAGCATCTTTGCGCCACGAGGCGGATGCAAGGAAGGATGCAGAAGCGTTCAATCACGGCCACTCGTCTCGCTGGGCTGTCGGAGCTGGGTCCCCTTTATTGCACGATCACCAACGCCTCCCAGCTCACGAAGAGCGTGCATTCCCAAACAGAGAAGCACGAGATGGGTATGGCGGTGGATCGCGTCGGAGAGAGCCGAATGTCGAAGACTCACGAGCGTTCTCTGCAAGTAGAGGCTCAGACACGCAGCTCCGCAGCAATGCTTCCGTTCTGCGAGAGGCCGCGAGCTCAATTGCGGCAAAGCCCACGATGACGAGCCGGACAGTCGAAGCGACAAGGACAGCTTCTTCGGATGTTTTGGCACCCGTCCAGCGAGGTCCTCGCGGCTCGTACGCGGCTCGAACTTGCACGCAGTGCAGGAAGCGCAAAGCAAAGTGCAATTTGCCTGAACAGGTCTTGCTCGCAGACACAGTGTCCACTACAGAGCCCCTGCCCGAGCATCTGAGATGCGTCAGGTGCGCCAATATGAACTTGACCTGCTTGGTGTACGAAAAGAATGCGCGGGGCAAGCGGAAGCGCGTCGTGGACGTCGAGCAGGACGAGAAGAGAAATACCAACAAAAAGTCGGGTGCGAGCACGCGAAGGACCTCAGGTGTACCTTTGGTGCTGCCAGAAGATGATGGCGACTCTGTCAGTCTGGAAGAGGACGAAGATGAATCGCAGGTGGAGATGCGATCCCCAACTCGCTTTCAAGCGACTGTATCTGCCAATCGCGACCCTGCAAACTATCCTTCGTCTCGCGAGAAGCTCAACGCGAGCAGCGGGAAAGAGGTGCAGCAAAGCTCAGCAATTGCACAAGCACAGGCGCGCACAAATACTGCGTCAGGCAGCTTGACATTGGATGGGCGCGATGCCGCCAGGGCAGTCCAAAATCTCGTGTCTTCGGCACAAGTCAAGTCTGAGAGCATGAACATCTCTCCCCACAAGAGATCACCCTCTCCAACTACGCGCGCCTCGGTCGAGCAATTGCAAATCTTTTTGCCGAACAACATTAGTCCTGGATTCACGGCTGGCGCACAGCTCGCCATGCGCCCATTGTCCCTTCTCGCACAATACTTGGTGAAGAACAAGAGCTTTGCCACCAAGCAAAAGTTTGAGACAGACTGGGATGGCGAAGCTCAGAAATTCGAAGCTGAGCAGGATTCTCCAGACGTGTTGGACGTTGTCAGCGAAAAGCTCAGTCGGAGGTTGACGCCTTGGTGAGTGATACGCTATACGCATGTGGTACGGGCATCGGCTCAATGTTGCCTTATTTTGCGTGCATGGACACGCAGGGCCAACGCGTACATCCTTTGGCATCCGCACCTTCCTACCCTGTCTGAGCTGCGCACCCGGCACTCTTCAACGCCTACCACTTCGAGCTCGCTACTGCTGTCTCTACTGTACTTGCTCACACTACCAAGGCTGGAACCTCAGCCTTCCTCTCCTGGAAAGACATCACACATCCTAATTCTGCTCAGTGCAGCTGTCAGAAGAGATCTCACTCTGGTCATGATGGGCACAAGACCAGACATTTTGTCCGTCCAGGCTTTGGAGCTCCTCTCAGCGCATGCGCCTCTGGCTCCATTGGAGCGCCTGTCTAGGAGGGCGCCCAGAAGTCCAGAGCCTTTCACTGGAAGAGGATTACTCGTCGTCGCCCAGCGCATCGCTCAGGCCCTCAACTTACCTGCTGCTCCTGCTCGGGCCGCCGAGATGCTAGCGAGTCACTTCTCGGCTTCCCGCGAAATGTCTGAAAGAGCGCAACCGGACTCTGTGAGTCGAAGGCGCAACGAACGGCCAAGGAAGAGCACGGATGACGACAGTGATGCCAGCAGTGAGGACATGGACGATAATGAGTCTGCAGATGAACATCGAGAGGTAGAGCAGGATGAGACGTCTGGAAAGCGTGCTTGCGTGCCCAAACAAGGAGCGCCATCCTCCACCGCCCAAAAACAGGCCATGCATGAAGCCATCGTGTGGCACAGTCTAGCCTGCTGGAGCGCCGCGATGGCCTTTGATGACGAAATGGTATCTCCACCCGCATCCTTACTCACGGATCCCAACGACGAATTCGAGCTGCACAGCGAGCCGGGCGCATCGACGGATGAGATTGAGAGCTTGAGGAATGCCGGAAGAGTCGTCATGCGCTCGAGGTTCTTGACGCTGAAACAGCTCTACGACAAGTGGCGCAAGATGGACGGGAGTATGAACAGGCAAGAGGCCAAGAGGTCATCGAGCGAGAGGACATCATTTGCGACTAGGGCTTTGATGGAATTCAATACGGATCTCAAAGAGGCCGATGCGCAGACCAAGCGGGATTTGGGTGCGTTGCATTCGAACTGGGCTTCTCAGATTCCGAGCTGACTTGCGGCATGCCCACCATAGCGCCGTTCTTGGAAAGCAGATCCGTCGATGTGCTGGTTCGATGGCTCAGTATCGATCAACAGCAGAGGCAGTACCTGCTGCTTTCTATGGCGTTCATCTACGTGATCTACGGCAGGCCGGTCAGCGAGTGGCACATGGCTGGTCCGGTCGACATTCTTCGCCAAGTACACGGTAATCCTTCGACTGGAAAATTTTGTAGAGAAAGATCCAACCTTCACGGAGAACAAATTCAGCGCATCTTGTCTGCGTTTACAGATTTGGCTTGTCTTGGTCATACATCGGATAATACGGCTTCTAGGCAACCACGCTCGGCATCAAGACATCAGAAGGATTCGGCTGCACGACGTTTCGTGTCTGCTCAAAGATCTCGTGGGTCTTCGAGCCTCACGGCTGACGGCTCACTTACTTCGGAGGCAGAGACGGACGAAGAGGGAACAAGCGTTGAAGAGCTTCAAGTCGGTGCAGCGCACGCCGTCGGTGCGATCCCGGTCATGTGGACATGCGCTTCCATCGTGAATGTGGCCAAAGGAGAAGTCGAGAAACGCGCGGCAACGCTGATGGGGTGGCGAGCCATGAATCCAGGAGCAGGAGTCCAGATCGCCCTCTTAAGGCTTACAGCTAGATGCTTGAGGGAGATGGAACCGAGGGTGAGGAGGGGAGAGTTGTCTTCGGATGAAGCTTGCAAGATGGGCAGCGTGTGGGCTGCTGCTGCTGGACTCATTTCTGACGCGGCACAGAGTATCGCGGACTGGAAAGGCCTCATAGAAAGCAACCACATTCAGCGGTCCAAAAATTTCATCGTCGCACCCCCCAGTGCGAATGGCGCCAAGGACAAGGATAGTGCGGAGGCTACAGACAAGCACGGCCAGGATGCGAACACTAGCAGAAAGGCGGCCTTGCCAGCGCTGCCCCTTTTCGGTCTCGGACCTTCGAGCGGCGTGCCACCAAGTCATGCGGGCGGAGCTCCATCGGCAAATCATCACAATGTCGGATCGAGCGTGCCGTCGTCTGGCATGATGTCTGGAGGATTCGATCCCTTTCCGCCCGGACTAGGTTTCGGGCTGGGCGGCGAAGGCGTCAATTCGCTCTTAGCTGGAGGCGGGCTGATGACGGATCTGATGATGTCTAGCGCTGCAGGATGGGGGCTAGGAGGAGCAATGACGAATGCTGGCGCTGGTGATTCGGGGAACACTTCACAGGTAGACGTAATCAGCGCCATGATGAGCACAAGCAATGGCGGTGGAGGTCTCAATGCCCTTGCTAACTTCTTCAATGGTGGAGCAGGAGCTCAGGGCGGACTCTCGGCAAACTCACGAGCTGCTTCGAGCGCATTGACGGGCCGACATCAGCAAGCCAACGCGGAAGGTAATGGCGCTTCGGGAGTGCAGTCTTGGAGCGATATGCTTGCCATCTTTGGCGGAGACGATGAGAGCTTAGCTCGGAGCACCAATCCAAACGCACCTTTTGATTGGGCTACATTTGCAGGCTGGAAAGCCGAAGATGGCACGGATCGATGAGCCACCGCTTTGCAAGTAGACCAAATGCATGGATGTAATGTACACTGGGGTGAATCTGTGCGTGTATCTCCTGCGGCATGCTGTCGCGGTCGTGCTCATGGTGGGCTGTTCAGACCTTGGAGGTCTTTCCCGCTCTGATCAAGTCCAAAAAGTTGTTCTTGCTCAGCTGAGCAACTTGCTGACCTTTGCTCTGCCATTGCTCTGGCTCCCGACCCTGATGCCTCTTGCCTGAATTCCTTCTCTCTTGCGCCTCTGACGCGGATGGAGAAGGAGAAGGCGCCACACCGCGAGGCTGCACCGAGCGAGACAGGTCTTCTACGGATGCGGATTGGGCTGCTCGAATCGCGTTGAACAGCTTGACAACTTGAAAAGGAGCGCAAGACGTAGAGTGTGAATTAGTACTGCGCATCCTCTCGGGCATGGCACAACTACCAGTTGACCGCGACTCACCTCCTCTCTGAGCGACCTTTCGAAGCTTGCGCTCTCTTCCCGCCGCTCCACCGTCCTTGATCCAAGCCTCGGCCATCTCCTTTTGGCTACCCAAGTCCGGCGTGACTCCAGGTGGCAGACCAGGGGCGCCCCACCCACTGATCACATCCTTTACCCGCGCACGCTCCTGCCTCTCTTTGCGAGCTTGAAGCATGACGCGGGCCGCTTTGGCTGATAGACGAGAAGAAGCTACAGCTCGACGGAGCTGTGGTGCGAGGGAGAGCATCGGACCTGCACCGGACGAGGCGGAAGTGCGCGCTTTCTTCGACGGCTGATCTTGCTCGTCTTTGTCATTTCCGGATTCCGCCTTGTGCTCGTCGATCGTGTCCTGGTCTGCCTGCGCTGATTGACCAATGAGTCCCAACAGTGTCTGCCCGAACGTCTCGGGAGAGACCGCTCGTCGCTTTCTTTTGGCCGTCTTTGCGCTCTTGCCTTGACTCGCTTCAGTCGCTGCCGCTGTACTTTGCTGCTCCTCGTCGTCGCTCGCAAATTCGTCCGAACCGTCATTGTCGCTGGCTGCATCTCGCGCGTCGTCATTTTCTGAATCCGAGTCGAATTTGCTGAGCCTGGAAGGTCTTTCCTTGCTTGCATTTTTACCAGCTGCAGCGCCCTTGGCGCGGACTGCGGCATTCGCACCCTTTGCTTTTGCGTCTCCTTTGCCCTCCCTAGTGTGCGCATCTGCACGCAACGAAGACGGCAGCTTTTGACGCGCTCCAGACTGACCTTGCAATCTCTTTGCTTCGGCGCTCTTGCTGAATCTGAACACTTGCCCGCTTCCCCTCTTACCTGTTGCCGACGAAGTCGCGCCAGTGGAGCTACCAGTGTGCTGCATCTTGAGCTTCGAAGTGCTCGGCTTGGAAAGTGAGGACGACATCTTGGCGTGTTGAGTTCAAACCGGTGAGCAGGTCGTTGTCTCGCGAGCGGTAGAGGTGGCTTATATGCTTGCAGCAGTGTCGCTCCTTGGGTTCTAGCGTAGCTCAGACAGAAGCTCTACGGGAAGATTCTGGTGTTGTAAGGGTCATGGGCGAGCATGTAAGCGTCGGATAGTCGCACGAAGAGAGTCGTGAGTCTTGAGTCCTTCAGCCTTTTTCCCGCTCTAATTTTTTGCTCACGCGCACTCAGTCACGTGACCCGAGATCGAGGCATCTTTTGGTGGTGCGCGTGCGCGTGCGCGCGCCCGCGCCGCGCTGAGCAGCACATAGAAAGTTGAGCGCGCGTGTGTTGTGGTGGAGGTGCGCAGCCAAAGATCGATGTCTTGTGTGGGGCTCTGCGATAAGTACGCGCTCACGCGCACAGTCGCGATCACTCTCACCACCGTCGTACGGGCTCGTCGTGCCTTTCCCTCTCACATCGATCGACCCTCAAGCAGCCGAGCAGGCACGTCTATGGTCTTCTAGAAAGTGGGCAAAATGTTTCGCAGGAGTGAGTACCTCGCAGCGACGTGATGCTGTGTATCCTTGTCGTGCACCAAGCTGGAGCACATTCCCACCATCGCTGGTGGCCCATTGCTGATCTCGTCATTCCCCTTCACACACCTTTCTCCCTCTCGTCTTGGCCCACAGTCTTTGGCGGTGGGGCGGGTGGTGAAAAGTCAGAAGACGTTGCTCGACTGGACAAGGCGTCCAGCTTTAGCGAGATCGACCATGGTGCCCGCAAAGTCGTGTAAGTCTGAGCGCGCCAATGCTTGCGATGATCGCTGACAAAAGTGGATGCACGACTGTTCGCAGCTACGAGTCAGCAAGGGCTTTGATCCGCAAGACAACGCAGGAACACGATTATCAGCTGGTTGTGCTTGACGCGACGGACGAGAGCGATTTAGAAGAGCAATCCTACCTCTTGTCCAAAGAGATCCATTTCCAGCTCCTCCCTGCCGGCGCTGCAGGCTCGCCCATATTTACTTGGCTGGATCTCGCTGCAGAATCCAAAAGCATCAAGGTGGCCGAGCTCACGGCGGGCGACCAATCGCAGATGCTGGCGTTACATCAGTTCGAGCTCGCGGTGATCCAGTGCGTCTGGAGCAGAGCCAACCAACAGAGCTGGGATGCGGCTACAGATGAGCAGCTCGACGCTGTTAAGAAGGAAATGTGAGTGCTGAAGCGAGGTGCCCCCTTGTTGACCACTGATATCTTTGTTGATGATTTCTGTTTGGTCTTTCAGGAGCGCAGTCCCTGCTTCTCGCGGAGGCAAAGGCTCACGCGTAAGCGCAGGTGCTTCTGGCCAGGCCAGCGAAAGGAGCGCAGAAGCATTGGCCTCGTCTGTGAGCGGAATGCGAGTTGGCAGCAAGCGCAGGAATGCAGCATCAAACATGCAGCCGAAAGCGAAGCCCGGAAGAAAGGGCAAAAAGTCTGCAAAGAAGGTTGACGAGGGCGGGAATGTCGAAAGTGCGACCTCGGCAACCACATCTTCACAGCAAGAGCAGCAAGAGCAAAGAGCTGGATCAATCTCGCCAGTCGATACTTTTGAAGACGCGGAGCAGGGAGCCGACACGGTGCCTCTCATCACCACCACTGCCGATCTCTACATTTACGATCCCGATCAGGGGCTGTTCATGACGCGCGAAAAGGGCGTTACAGCAGAGGTGTTTGAGAGCGGACGCTTCTTGTACTCGCTGCTAGTAAGCACGCCTGACAAGGTATGGGTGGAGCAGCCCATGACGGCAGAGATGAACATGTCGTTCGCAGCGCGAGAAAAATCTGCGGTGTGGAATTTCTTCGACTCGGATAGGGCGTGCTACTCTTGGCTACTGAGGTTTTCGGACGCGGATCGCTTTGACGAGTTCCAGCGGGGCTTTGCAAGGCTACTCTGGGAAGCCCTCAACGAGGACAAGTGGGAAAAGGCCAAGGTGGAGGAGCAGAAGTACGTCATTGGAGCGTACGACGAGGATGCTGTCATGTCGGATGCTCAACAGAGCGACGGCGATGACAGGAGCGAGACGGAGAGGGCTGTGAGGGATGACGATGAGGAGGATGAAGTGGCGGCGGCACTTGGTGGTGAGTCGGCGCGGTGCGTGCAAACTTGTACAGAAGCTAACCAGAGTTCGCCACCTTGCAGAGGAGGAGGAAGAGGAACCAGATGCGGGCAACATTGGCGATCAGCTCGATCGCATGCCAATTGCGGCAGACGATCACGACTCCAACAGCCGCCTTGCTGTGGGTTACAAGTTCGATCGCTCATTTGTCGTCAGAGGGAATCGTATCGGCGTCTTTAAGCACAATGAGGACGATCAGCTCGAATTTGCAACGACCATAGACCATATTGCGACGCCCAAGGGAAGACAATTCAATCCCGGAAAGGTGCTCCTGCACGACCAGGACAGCGCCATGGTGCTGATGGACCCTTCGAATGCACACGCAGTGTACAAGATGGATCTGGAGTACGGAAAGGTGGTGGAGGAATGGAAGGTGCACGACGATGTGCAGGTGGAAAATGTCGTTCCTCACAGCAAGTATGCGCAAACGACAGCGGAGCAGACGCTTGTCGGACATTCGCACAATGGCATCTACCGCATCGATCCTCGTCTTGCTGGGCTGAAATTGGTGGATGGAGATTTCAAGCAGTACGCGACAAAGAACGACTTTAGCGCTGCGGCTACCGACGAAAAGGGTCGACTGGCCATTGCATCGAATAAGGGAGACATTCGCTTGTTTGACAAGATTGGAAAGAACGCAAAGACGGCTCTTCCCGCTTTGGGAGATCCCATCCTCGGAGTGGACGTCACTGCTGATGGAAGATACGTGGTCGCTACATGCAAGACGTACTTGCTGCTCATAGATACGCTCATTGGCGATGGCAAGTACAGAGGAGAGGTGAGTGGGTGCGCATCTGTCAATACTTGGCAACGCGCACGACTGATGCGCCTAGTCTTCACTCAGCTCGGTTTCGATCGTGCGTTCCCTGCAGCATCGAAGCCGATCCCTCGAAGACTGCAGCTCAAGCCTCATCATGTGGCATACATGGACCAAGAAGTCTCCTTTACTCCAGCGAAGTTCGACACGCCCATCGATGGCGGAGAGACTTCAATCGTGTCTGCTACTGGCGCTTACGTCGTCTCTTGGCCCTTGGAGCGCGTCAAGCGGGGCAAAGTCGACGGATATACTCTGCGCAAGTTGGCAGATCAAGTCGTGGAAGATAGCTTTGCGTTTGGCTCGAGCGACAACATCATTGTCGCCATGCCTCAGGACGTCCAGCGCCAGACAAAGGGAGAGCTCAGAAAGCCAACGCGATCCTCGCTTGCCGGTGGCGCCCGCTCCTCTGGCAGATACTCTTGAGCAAGCGCGAGGAGCGATACGATTTGACCGTGTTTTTCGCAAGGAGCGATCCGGGAGTTTACCGTGTTTTTCACGTTCGTTGATCGCCAAACGAGCTCATCCGCGTTCATACATGTTTGTTCTCCCTTGTACGAGTGAGAAAAGTGCTGCAATACCCATGTCGTTACTTTGGCCTGAATCACGGGTCTTTCGCACGAGAGATTAGACTGTGCGGGGGAAATGCGTGCCGAATCGACACGATTGATCGCAGTCCGGCACCCCCGCATCGTGTCGCTGTCGTGGTGGGACGGAGGGCGGGACTTTTGCCGGCCTAGCCGGTTCGCTTCATTGCCGTACCGAGCGAGGGCGGTCCGGTCTCGCAGCGCATACAGCAAGCACGCCAGTAGCAGTCCGCGTGATGCTCCAGACGCTGTTGCTTACTTCTTCTCTGCAATCACTCACTGAGACTCGTGACTCACGACTATCACGACGCATGAGCGCTATTCGAGTCGTCCAAACACAGTGCCTGCGATCTGGCATTCGCTCTGTCAGCCTTGTTCGCACGCCCGTCGCCCTCTGCAGAGCGCCATTCATCTCCAATACTTGTGCATTTAGCGCGCGCACCATCAGGATGACTTCCTCATCAGCCAACGCTCGAGTCAACTCGCTCGTCTCGCACTTGGGCCAGCACACGGGCAAATTGCTGCAAGGTCAGGTGGCCATCATTACCGGATCAGGTCAAGGCATTGGCAAAGCTGCCGCACTGCTCTTTGCAGCTCATGGCGCAAACGTGGTGGTGAGCGATATCGACGCTGCTAAAGCTCAAAGCACCGTCGATGAGATCGAAAAGAGCGATGGCGGCAAGGCGCTCGCTTTTGCTGGAGATGTGATGAAGGAGAAGTTTGGTGAAGAGGTGGTCAAGGCTACGATTGAAAAGTTTGGCAAGGTGAGCGCAACGAAGCGCGCAGAACGTGCGAGACACTGCGTGCGCACTCATCGACTCGAGTTCATCTACCGCGCAGATCAACCACTTGATTCTCAACGCAGGTTTCACAAACGACAAGATGATCCACACGATGGATGATGCCACCTTTCAAATGATGCTAGACTGCCACACCGTAGCTCCTTTTAGGGTGCTTCGCGCCGCAGCTCCTCACTTTAGAGTCAAAGATCCGGAAAGGAGGGAGAATAGGAGCATCGTTTACGTCTCTTCCACTTCCGGCACGCACGGCAATGTGGGACAGCTCAATTATGCCGCCGCAAAGGCCGGCGTCGTGGGTGAGTAGCGAGGCGCTGAGAGGAGCAGGAGCCCGAGCAGGAGACCTAGCAAAGCACCCCCTCGCTCAAACCACGCGCGCTTCACACAGGCATGAACAAGACGACTGCAAAGGAATGGGGTCCATTCGGCGTTCGGTCCAACTGCGTTGCCTTTGGCTGGATTCAGACGCGCCTCACAGCTGCCAAGGAGGAAGGAGCTTCGATCGAGGTGAATGGCAAAAAGGTTGCGCTAGGTATTCCGGGAAGAGGCAAAAAGGATACCGCCAACGACGTCAATGCCACGATTGACATTCCTCTTCGAAGACCCGGAGAGGCCGCAGAGGCTGCTTCTGCCATTCTCTTTCTGGCCAGTCCGTTGGCCAGCTACGTTTCAGGCCAGACTCTTGAGGTCACTGGTGGTCGTGGCATTTAGGTTGACGCGTGGAGAGAGTGCGCGGAGAGAGTGCGCAAAGAGAGTGCGCGGAGAGATTTTGCGCTACGCGTGGAGATAGTTCGCGCTACAGTCAATGTGCATGCTCCTGAAAGATGGCATCGCGCCCCACATCTAGCCTGATAGTGTTGCGTGTTGTGCGACGTGACGACTGGAGGTCGCCTGTACATGCTGCTGGGTAGACCGTGCGATTCTGACTCTTGTCATTCGTATCCGGCTACCTGCTGTGAGGGCCTTTACCGACCAGACAGATATGCGCGCATGTTCAACGCAGCCGATTGTCCGATGGCCAGCACTGGGTCGATGAAGGCGCAAGACGCTGTCAGCCCATCCGAATCAACCCCATGCCGCAGCAAAACGCTCTCACTCACGCTGCCTCTCATCCTCGTCCAGCCCTCTCAAAAATGCAACCATCTCCGAACTCATACCCACTCCGTTTGCACTGCCGAACCCTGGCGCGTCGGGGTCCATGCCCATAGTCTGACCCTGGTTTGCGCTGCTGGAGCCTGACCCCAGTGTATCTGCAGTTTCGAGGCTTGACGTCGATGTCGTAGCTGCCAAATGCTGCGCCGCGGCGTAGATCGAAGTGATGCGGGCAGTGTACGTCTGGAGTCGGACAATGGTGAGGATAGTGAGCATCGTGGCGATTGTAGGCGCTTTGCACTGCGAGGCGAGTACTCACGGCGGCGAGCCTGTCTAGGGTATCCTTGTCATCCGCGAATGCACCCAATCGCATGCCCAGTGCGTACCAGTAGTTGTTGAGGGATCTAAGCAGCACGCTCTTTGGATCAGCATCCAATGCAGCCTTGACTCTGCTATTGTACTGTCTAGGAAAGCTGAGATTTGTATAGTCGTGCTCGGTCAGGTACTCTGCCATCCAGAACGGCAATTCCAGCTTAGTGCCCGCTCTGAGCGTATTGGCAGCTTCGTGTTCCTGCTTGCGCTTTGCAAGTGTGATGTCGTCCATATCCGCATCCTCATCGATGTGCCCCGCGCCGCTGCTGGAAATGCCGCCCGTGTTTGTGATGGTGCCTTGCAGGTGAGAGAGACCGGGCACATCGTGCTTGAATTGGCATGGCACCTTGGTCGCCTCGCACAGGATGGACGAGAGGTCCCAATAGCTGGCATTCATGGCCGTCTTCTGAGCAGTGAGACGGGGGCGGTTGCGAGGGCAGTTCAGGGATGATGGAGTCGTGGTCGAGAACCTGAGAGGCGGATCTTGACATTCCGCTTCTCGCCACTTGTCTTGCCAGCGTGTTGGGCTCCAACGCGTCAATCCATTTCGCGTTGATCTGCGCGTCGGACGCGTTGAGGCGGTGCTGCACAAGCGCGGCTCAAAATCTGAACGCACGCACAGATTCAACATTCACATTTTGGTGCGTCTGATTTGCGCAAGAGCGTGATTGCTGACTATCTCGTGCGACGACTCACGCCTTTACTTTATGCCTTGGCAAGATACGTAATGACCCGAAGGATTACTAGTGAGCCGAATGATCACCACTACCGTCGTAATGTGACTGGTTCCACGAACGGTACGTCCAAAAGCACATCGATACGACATACCATCTGCACCGAGGGCCACACGTAATTCCCTTTCTACACACAAGAATCTTTCGGCTGGCATATGCTCCTTTGAGTCAAAGACAACATCGTCCCGCAATGCTGCGACGTCTACGTCGCAGCCATTGGAGTCGATGATATTCCGTTCTTTGAGAATGACTTTGAGTCTTGATGAGGGTGCATGATCACGAACGCTGCACAATGTATAGGCGCGACACCAAGCTCGCCGAGATGACTTTTGATGACTTTAGGTTCATGTTCAGTACAAATTTGCCAATGAAGCAAAGGATCTCAAAGGTGGGACTGTCTCATTGACAGGTGAGCACACGGGCGCGTCGATACGACAGCCAAAGAAAGGCACATGAATCCTCAGGTACATGCCTCTCTCCAAGCCAGTCACGAGTGCAAGCAAAGACCGCTGGGCACCGTCCACTCAGATTAGCAGGACCACAATGATTGGGCGAAAAGAGAAAACTCCTAGGCGTCCCAAATTGCTCTACGGCGGGAACTCGCGCTCGCGTAGCGGCGCGAGTTCGCGACGGCCTTGGCGCGGGATGATGAAGATTTCGGTCAAAGAGAAAAAGCACACGGCCGGATTCGAAAGAAAATATGCACTGTGGGGGTCGAACCCACGACTTTCTCCTTGCGATTCTTCAGACGTACGGGCAGTAAAACGCCCTCCGCCCGAATTACGCCATGCTAGATGTTCCTAATTAGGAGGGAGACGCGCTACCACTGCGCCAAGCGCACATGCTTTGTATTGGATTCTTGGAGCTTTTTAAGAAGCAGAACCCTGTACTGGCAGGTGAACATTGTTCAATTCTTTACACAAAAAAGCAGCCCTGAGGTCAGGACTTTTGTCAGAAGGGAACAGTAGCAGCACTTCACTGTGCTAAGCACGCTTGCATTCATCCTGCCTCTTCTGAGAATTCTGAGCTCCAATATGAGCTGTACATCAAGGGGAGTGATCTGTTTCCTGTGTGTAACATGAGTGTAGCCTTAGGGTCAGAGCATGACCTAAATGACATCCAAGGGAGATATTTGAGGTGCATGCTCCTCTGCAACTCTGTCA